GCCTCCATCCGTATTCGTCCAACGACGGGGGAAAAGCAAGCAAAGAATGGGATGCCGTTCCGATACCCAGTCTGACCGGGAATGCCTTCGGCGGGAGCTGAGCGTCGCGGGCGACCCGGCAGCACAGAAGTGCGCATGTACATGTGGTACCTCCGAGATATGTGTGCAGGCACTAGAAGCCGCAGAACACCTGCGATCCCCCGTTCGAAGCGGGGTGATTGAGGACGAAATCATCCGCGAATTGGCCTCGAGCAGCGCCTTGCCCGCGCCGAGCACTGACTCGACGAGCACGACGTACTCCGCGAGGAATTGTGCGCGCGCAGAGCGGCGTCAGCCCACCGCACTCCGCACTCTCACCATGCCCGACGGACACGCGGGGATGCACCTTCGGCCACCAGTCGCGGCACGTGTCGTCGAGCTTCGCCATGAGCTCGTTCCAGCACGCCTCGCTCTGTTTGTCGCTACGTGCGCGCGCACGTGTCAGCGCCGCATGCGCGCGATCTAGTAGAGGACGATGTACGTGGAGAGGGGTATACCCCCACGACGCGTCCGCCCGGCGTCATTGTTGCTTTCCACATGGAGGTCGACCGCCCGCCAGTGGCATCGTGGTGCTCGAGTGCTCGAAGGCTCGCCTCAGGTACTGTCGGCACAGTGGTCCGTTCAAGCGCCTGTTTCAGGGCGCAAGACGAAAAGGGAGTGCTTGCCACCTTATTGGACAGTTGCGGTCTTCGGTCTGGACTCTGAACTGTCCACGCGCTGGAGCTGGACAGATCGTACCTCCACGTTTCTATTCAGGATGCACAAGGAAGCGAACCTAAGCCACATGCACACCCTGCCAATGAGGTTATGTACAAGGCGGCGCCGAAACGTGAGATGCGCCGTCCTCATGTAGATACCAGAGTGTTCAAAGTGGGTGAAGGGCGGGAGTAGAAGTTAGAGCACGACGCTCACCACCTAACGCGTTCTGATGAGTGTTGGAAAAAATGAATGGTCCGATGACAGACGTACCGTAGATCTAGGAGGAGAGCTGCCCACTTCGCCTGCGCACTCCGATGAGAGTCGGGGGCCGCCCGGTCCGTCCCTCTCGCCGGCGTCGACTCCTGTCACCACCCTCGACTCGACGCGATAGTAGGAGGGGCTCGGAGAACAGTATATAAATACTGCGGGGTCGTTCGTACCACTCATCGGATCAGCCGACTCTCAACGCCTACACCCTCTTCGTCGTCACTACACCCACCAATCATCAGCCATGCAGTTCATGCTCAAGGCCATCATCGCGCTCGCCGCATTTGTCCTCGCCGTCCAGGCTGCTCCTGCCCCGGAAGCTAGTACGTACCTAGAACGTTACGATGTCTTGGATCACATGATACTGACCTGTCCAATAGAGCCCCAGGACTGCCCGGTCAATAACTCACTCGAGGACTGCTTCTAAGCATATTGCTCTGTAAGTCAATGACGTAGATAGTTAGTTATTACCTCCCACTCATGAGCGGATTGTTTAGGAATTCAACGAGTGGAATGAAACCGTAGTAGCGTTGACTTTGATTGGTTCCGTGCTGAGCCCGTGTTGTATTATCGTGTGGATCAAATGAAATGTCTATCAACATATTGAACCCGTGTGATCTGAAGGATGCCTTTTGCGCTTGTTGACCGCCGGCGCTATGAAGAACGTGGAGAGCGTCCTCTAAGCCTACTTACTTCATGAGATTTCGGGTCGTGGGACGTGATCGGGATACTGTACCATTTCGTATTAATCGAACGTCACGCGTCACAAGGGGGTCCAAAAGTTCGAAATTTCGGGGGTAGTCACAGCTCACAAGGCCCAAGTTCGAAACTGTCTCGCGGGCGCTTGTCAGCGCCCGCTCAGTTTGGGCGTAGAAGTACCCAAAAGTCGATGATGGGTTCGAACTTTCCGGGCCGTCACGGACGGCCCGGTCAAAGTTCGAATCCACCGGACCAAACTTTCCGTCACGCCCCAAACGGCGGTTCGATCAATTCGAAATGGTACAGTAGTTTGGAGGGTGGAAGTGTCGCACTTGAGCTCCTCCGGGCACGGGGGAGAAGCGGACGGACGGCAGATGCACGGTAGATGGTGGTGGATATATGTACAGGAGCATTGACGGCGAAAACCTAGTAGCGTACGATATAGTCGGTGGCGTGAGAGAGATGTGCTACGATGACTTACCTAATAGAGCGGCCCGAGGGTTCTACCTCTAGCTACCTCTAGTGCCGAACTCCAACATATATATTTGTTGAGAAAACCTCGGACAAGAGATCGAACCCGCGGCCCGCGGACACAGCCCCGGTTCATATCCGCGAGGCGGGGCAAGCAGAGGGCGTGGGCGAGAGCGACTCGACGCCACCCATGCTCGAGAACTTCCCGCATCCTGGCAAGTCCTCAAAACATGACACATTTCCTCACCTGCAAACTAATGTCTCATGCATCAAGTTCTGGCAGCGCGGGAAGTCAACGTGCCCCAGTGTGCGAAATGGTGAAAGAAACGCCAATTCCACGGGCGCTAAATGCATCATCCTGGTGCCATACCGTATCCGACCAGCGGAAACCTTGATATCCCCGCCGTGAAGAAGACCGCTCCAAGAACAGATGCCCGTAAAGCCTTCTGGGACGAGCAGTGGGCGCCTGCCTGACGCGATGCGTCGAACGCGTTCATGTATACGGCACGGGCCATTCGATATCGAAGTTTCAAATGTCCCGCTCATAAGGCTGTACCATTTCGAATTATTCGAACGTCACGTGCCACAATCCGTCCAACAGTTCGAAATATCTGGAGTTAGTCACGCATCACAAGCTCATAGTTCGAAATCGCTATATGGGCGCTTAACGGCATGCGCATTCGTTTCGTATGCCCAGAGTATTTTCGGCGTTCTGGGTGTGTTCTGTGCTAACCCGTGGCATTGCTGAGTGCTCTGTTTCTCTAATGAAGGTGCACCCAGCGTGTTAAAGACCGTCCGGTTCGAATATTTCAGGGTGGGGGCCGGCCCCCGGTTCGAATCCACCTGGCGTACTACTTGGGCTGTCACACACCAAGGCCCGGTTTGAATAATTCGAAATGGTACAGTAATTCAAAACCGGGGCCCTGTGGTTTCGCCGTCCCAACAGCACGCAGAGACTAGCTAGAGAAGTACTAGGATAGCCTGTAATCTCGCCTGAGTCGGACTGACGGCGGGGCGCGCGGGCCGGCAACATTGGAGCCTTGCTACCCTCAGCTGAAGGGGTCCACTGTCTCGACCATATCCTTGACCTCTGCCCTCCACCACTCTTTTCGATACATCCCATCCCTATCCACGACACTTTTGCTTCAGTTTCCGGCCGCAACATTTCTATCGATAGAACACGTCACCGCAATCCCGGCGCCCATAATTCATGAAGCGGGCGAATCTTCACTCAAGCACACCCTCCCCGCAAAGTGTGCCATACAATAACTTTCCTGGAGTGCTGGAACTTGAGTAGCGCATACAGTGAGTCCTACGATCTTGCATACTCTGGCCATTATCCAACCCCGTCTGCAGCTCTGTTTACTGTCATCGAGCAACATGCACCGCCCACATTTGATTTCTCGCCTAAGACATCGTCCGACACCGCCGGGGTGGAAATCACCCGCCCGAACGAGCGGTGGACACATCCTTTGGACAGCGCGGAGTCTGGGGAAGAGTGTGATATATAAAGCCACTATCGCTCGATCCAGGTGCGCCATCGCGCCCGCCCATCTTATCCCCTCATCACCATGGAAGGCGAGTGCGAGTTCAATGTCCTCGGTGTCGAGAAGACGTGCAAGACGTGGTACAAGGTCTTTGGCGACCTCAAGTGCGGCAAGACGCCCCTCGTCGTCCTTCACGGTGGCCCCGGCGTCGCTCACAACTACGTGCTCTCTATCGCCGACCTCGTCCAGACACACGGCATCCCCGTCGTCATGTACGACCAGCTCGGGTGTGGCAAATCCACGCACCTCCAGGAGAAGAACGGCGACACCGGCTTCTGGACCGAGCAGCTTTTCGTGGACGAACTGCACAATCTCCTCGATCACCTCGCGATCCACGACAGTTACGACATCCTCGGACAATCGTGGGGTGGGATGCTTGGGTCGCGCTTCGCGACGCAGCGGCCGAAGGGGCTGAGGAGGCTCATCCTCGCCAACTCTCTTGCGAGCATGGCTTTGTGGGTCGAGGCTGCGAACAAGCTTCGCTTGGGTCTTCCTGCGGACGTTCAGGTGCGCATACTGTGCTCCCTGGGGTTGTGCGGGAGCTCATGCTGACGTTCTGACAGGAAACGCTCACGAAGCACGAGAAGGACGGGACGACGGACTCGAAGGAGTACCACGATGCTATGGACGTCTTCTACGCCAAGCATGTCTGCCGCGTCAACCCTATGCCGGAGGATGTCGTAGCAAGCTTTGCGCTTCTTGAGCAGGACCCGACGGTTTACTACACGATGTGCGCACACACCCACTTCGCGTCCCTCGACCCGAATATGCGTTCTGACATTGACCGCTCTGCCAGGAACGGCCCGTCCGAGTTCCACATCACCGGCTCGCTCAAGACGTGGTCGATCATCCCCGAACTGCCCAAGATCAACGTCCCGACGTTGATTCTCAACGGCCTTTACGACGAGGCCCAAGACAGCGTCGTGCAGCCCTTCTTCCAGCATATCCCTTCGAAAGTGTGGTGGTTCACGTTCGCCAACTCGAGCCACATGCCGCATTACGAGGAGCGGGAGTTGTACATGCAGCGCGTTGGGGACTTCTTGTCGATGGATATGTGAAGAGAGCGCGAAGATGAATGTAATGCTGCCAGATAACAAGCATATGGATTGTTGCACGCCCCGTCTTCTGTTGGCAGTCATCGAGTCTTGACCTGGACGGCCCCTGAGGACAATTCGGCACTCCTTTCTGGTGTTGAGGCGCGTGGAACCGGCTTCCCTAATCTCCACTGTCGCTGTGAACAACCGCCCCCCCCTCCCCCACACACACTCTGGATCTCGCCTAGTCCTGGATAGGACGGCAGAGGACTCGAAAGGTGTACCAGAAAGCGGTCTCCTTGGCCAACTGAGCACCGTTCACCCATGTGATGGACCCGGTGCCCTGCATTGTATATCCGACCGCCTCGTACATCTTCACGGCCGCCTGGGCGTGGAAACGGGGGCGTCAGCGCAGCACGTCAGTCGATAAATTGGCACGCACCCCGCCGGCCATGGTCTCGAGCTCGGCAGGTCGGAATCTTCTCCTTGCGAGCCCGCGCAAGTGACGCCCATGACAAGGACGTACCCCGGCCTCGACGGCCTCGAGCAGCGCCTTGCCCGCGCCCTTCTTGTGGCAGGACCGCTTGATACCGATCAGCTGCAGGTCCCATGCGCCGAGCTTCACGCCCCCATCGAGCACGGACTCGACGAACGCGCCGTACTCCGCGAGGAACTGCGCGCACAGAGCGTCAGCCCGCCGCGCTCGCCAGCTCCGGTCCCGGACGCCAGCAGCGGGCGAGGACCTGCGCACTCATCCGCGTACAGCACCACCAAGGAGACCGCTCGCAAGCCCCTCGCGGACCTCCGCGCTCCTCCGCAAGGAGGTAAGTAGACGCGAGGCTAGGACTAAAATCTACATCTTCAAATAATGAGAGTAAGGATATAAAGATAGATTGGAGCTTACAGTGATACCAACATGTGCTTGTCTGCTTCGCAGTGGAAGAAGAGCGGAGGGGACCACTTCCAAGAGCTTGTGCGCATACACCGCGACTTAACGGGACCAAGGACCAGTAGCCCACAACGTGGCGTAGACGAAGCAGTGGAGAACAAAATGCAAACCGGAAACTTCTGCCACGCAACTTCACTATGTATGTGTGCAAAGCGCCGGAATGTCTGCTGCGTTGGAATTGTCGTCGAAGTTGCACTCACGGCGGATTTGAAGCTGGAGCGCACAAGTTCTGTTCACGAAAGAGTCTATTAATAACGTCTCTTCCATAGGCGTCTGCCGACCCGAAACCGTCCGAGACCCCCGAACCCCGTCCAACCCGTCCGGAACCTGTACGTTTTCACTGGGACTCATCGTCCGCCACAAACCACACGAACAAGGGGGTCGACAAAAATGGTCTGGACAGCGCGGAGCTTGGGAGACGAGTGATGTATAAAGCCACCATCGCTCGATCTCGTGCCAACGCGCCTGCGCAACTTTTCCCCTCATCACCATGGAAGGCGAGTGCGAGTTCAATGTCCCCGGTGTCGATAAGACGTGCAAGACGTGGTACAAGGTTTTTGGTGACCTCAAGTGTGGCAAGACGCCCCTCGTCGTCCTCCACGGCGGTCCAGGCGTCCCCCACAACTACGTGCTCTCTATCGCCGACCTCGTCCAGACACACGGCATCCCCGTCATCGTGTACGACCAGCTCGGGTGCGGCAAATCCACGCACCTTCGGGAGAAGAACGGTGACACCGACTTCTGGACCGAGCAGCTCTTCGTGGACGAACTACACCATCTCCTCGATCACCTCGCGATCCACGACAACTACGACATCCTCGGGCACTCGTGGGGTGGGATGCTGGGGTCGCGCTTCGCGACGCAGCGGCCTAAGGGGCTGAGGAGGCTCATCCTCGCCAACTCTCTTGCGAGCATGCCTTTGTGGGTCGAGGCTGCGAACAAGCTCCGCTTGGATCTTCCTGCGGACGTTCAGGTGCGCGCACTGCGCCAGCTGGAGAGCTCGTGCTGACGTTCCGACAGGAAACACTCACGAAACACGAGAAGGAAGGGACGACAGACTCGAAGGAGTACCACGATGCTATGGACGTCTTCTACGCCAAGCATGTCTGCCGCGTCATCCCCATGCCGGAGGATGTCGCAGCAAGCTTTGCGCTTCTTGAGCAGGACCCGACGGTTTACCACACGATGTGCGTACACACCCACCTCATGGCCCTCCACCCGAGTATGAGCTCTGACGAGTGACATCGTCCGCTCTGCCAGGTGCGGCCCGTCTGAGTTCCACATCATCGGCTCGCTCAAGACGTGGTCGATCATCCCCGAACTGCCCAATATCAACGTCCCGACGTTGGTTCTCAACGGCCATTACGACGAGGCACAAGACAGCGTCGTCCAGCCCTTCTTCCAGCATATCCCTTCGAATGTGCGGTGGTTCACGTTCGCAAACTCGAGCCATGTGCCGCATCATGAGGAGCGGGAGTTGTACATGCAGCGCGTTGGGGACTTCTTGTCGATGGATATGTGAAGAGAGCGCGAAGATGAATGTAATGCTGCCAGATACCAAGCTTGTGTACTATGGACTGGACGGTCCTCGAGGGAAACTCGGCAGTGCTCTCCACCGGGGTTGAAGCGCATGAAAGTGGTTTCCCTAATCTCGATGATCAGTTTGAACTGTTACTTCTCAGGGCCATGGGTGGGTAAATCGCTCTTCGGAGTGACGATTGGTACTGAGTCAGCGTGATGGACAGTGAGTGCAATGGTGTTACATAAAGAGCCATCATCCCAAGTGATCCGCAACAACATGCGGGATCGGTATATCATACAAATCTAGCACTCCATGGAGCCTCTTCATCAGGCGAGCATTCCAACTTGCTCCGCCACGACAAACACTGTGACCGCACTCGACCTCCAGTCGTGCGTTGTTCGTGGGCGTCGCCCCGGCCCCAGTTTCGATTGAGGCGGGGTCCCCCAACCCCGAGAGCCTGCGCGAACCAGCGTGCGTTGAAACCGACCATATTCGTCTCCGCGTTCACGGACTGGCCGACCTGTGCCGCGAACGTCGCCGGTTTCAGGTTGGTCTGTGTAGACGATGCGGATAAGGACCTTGGGAATAGTGCCCAGATCTGACTCGTCTCACCGAGTCCTAGATAGGACGGGAGAAGACCCGAAGGAGGGTCCGAAGACGTGCCAGAAAGGGGCCACGTATCTTGCAAAAGATGATGACCAGAGGTGGCGCCCATGCGTTCGTCAAGTCGGGGGCAAGGGTTGGTAGAGATGCGAGGTGCAGCAGTGAGAAAAAACAGGGGGGCGAGAAGGGCCGGAAAGTAGATCTTTCAGAGGTTCGGCGACATACAAGATCACCACATAGTATGTGAGTGGGCTGTCGAAGAAACACTTCTCGGACGTCTTCCGAGGGTGCAGATGTGCTGAAATCTGAGAGAACGGAAGTCGCCTGATCGGATAATCCGGGCCCCAAGCCAGAGGGCGTACGAGGACAGCAGCAGAATCACTCAAGTTGGCGTCGAGTAAGGGGCAAACTTCGGGCAGGTCCATGGCCGCAAAAAGGTCGTGGTCGAGCTGGAGCCACTTCGAGGTGTGCTGCGAAATCGCCATTTCCCGAGCCCAGTTCCGAGATCGCGAGCACCCTAGGCATGTGAGGACACTCACGAGTGAAGGCAGATCGAAACCGAGTGGTAGAGATAGGCCAGCATTGCATGAGACGCTTCCTTGAAACATATTAAATCAGCCCGAGTAGTCGCTACTACTGCCATAGAAGGCCCACCACAGCATCCGCCCAGCGATCCCAGAATATTCAATGAGCTCTTGTTCGTTTGAGTCGAATCAAGAGTTTGAGCTGACCACGGTGGCGTCGAGCAGTGGGTGAGCACCTCTGAAGTTGGGATCGTCGTAGTTTTATAGAGCCTTGATTCTAGACCTCTGGGCTCACAGAAAGCTTGCCGGGAGACGTGATGGAAGAGCAGAAGCAAGGCTTGATGTGGTCGAAATCCAGAGGGACGGCGGGCGCTGAGCCGAGAGTGCACATGGTTTTGGCGCCTACCGCCCCTCTTGTCCCCCTACTGCCAACATCTCAAGCAGCCGGTGGAAGTCCTCGGCTTATCGAGCTCGAATAGTTCGCATCGTCATATGGGACTACACGGTCAGTGCTTAATTCTTCTTTTAAACGGCTGGCTTATTTGGTTCTTCGGTCAATTCCTCTGTACTAGTACCACGGCTCTGTTCCAGCGCGGTGACTTCAAAGTGACCGTCCTTCTCAAGTATTGTGTTTGGGCTCCCCGTCCACGCGGCATGCATTAGATTAAGCCGTTTGCCAAGCACCGCAGCTGACATCGTTACGACTGCAGTCATCATGTCAGCTGTGTATAGCTTCCACTTCGCTGCGACATATCCGACTGCGCGAGACTGCGCGCGGGCTGTGCTTTATAGCATCCGACCTAACTTAGTTGCGAGCCGATCCCAGTCGGCAAAATGGGCGGCTGTGTGGGTGCCTCAGTCGCGAGGTGAGTGGGTGGGATTAAAAGCGTGACGACCTGCTGAGCGCCGTTGGGCGAGCGTAGCGTTCCTCGTCTACTCAATAATGGGGATTATTCGCCGTCGCGCCTCATGTCGCGCGTGGGCGGTGAGCAGGGAACACAGTTGCACCGAGAAATAAATGATGGCGCTACATCGACCCGTCGATTTCGATGGCACACGCAGCGCCGCTCTGCTGCGTGCTGTGCTTCTCTACAGAGCTGGTTGCGCGCATTCCTACGCCCGCAGCGTTCCCTTGGCTGTCCTCGAATCGCTGCCGTCACGATTCCACTGGTGGCTGAATCTGGGCCGACTTAAAAGCTCGTGAGTTTGCTCTTTCATCCTCCAGCCCCCCTCCCCTTCCTTCTGAGGCTCATCACCTTCTTCCAACACTTCTTTTCCGATCCTCAAGTCCCGCATCTTTTCATACAGTCATGAGCGATCTCGACAGCAAGTCGCGTCACTTACCCTTCGACAGTTCATGTGCTAACGATACGTACCATTTGCAGACGCTACCCTGCCCATAGAGTACGACTCTCATGGCCACCTGATATCTCCCTTCTACGGGTACTGGCCAACACAATATGTGTGCTTCATTTATGTTGCCCTCTTCGGCCTGGCGACTCGTGCGTCTTCACTTCTATATTTCCCCGGGCGCCGCGTTGACTGTCCAGCAGTTCTTCACTTGGGACAGGCGATCCGATACCGGACGTGGTGGCTTCTCCCCACCGCAGTGCTTGCCGGTGTCGGAGAAACCATCGGCTGGGGCGGACGTCTGTGGTCAAGTTACCAGCCCCTCGTCCAAAACCCCTTCCTGATCCAGTGCGTGGCTCCCTTCCTCTTCTTCAAGATTTCCGTATCTGACGGGCTCTCTTACCCGCAGGATTGTTTGCACCATTGTGTCCGCGACTCCTCTGGTCGGCGCGCTCTTCATCTCGTTCGGCCGGCTCGTCGTCCCCGCCGGAGAGCAATACAGCCGGCTCAGCCCCCGTCTTTGTAAGCTCCTGTTCCTGTTGACAGATTGCAATCGTGTTTGCTGATCGATGGTTTCCGACAGACGGACGTATCTTCCTGACAGTCGTGAGTACACCCAACTGCTCCCGGCTACGTGATGTCGCAGGCTAACCTCGTGTTCCCACGCAGGACTTCATCGCGCTTGTCGTCCAATCTGCCGGTGGCGGGCTCGCAGCTACCGCTGAGTCGGCGTCTGGCAGCAAGTTGGTGAGTCCGACCGTTGCGCCTACGCCGAGCCTTTTTTTGACTCGTGTGCGCAGGGTTCCAACATCATGCTTGCCGGCATTGTCTTCCAGCTCAGTAAGCGTCCGTTTTTGCTCGGTGGTATGAGATCCAGGGTCACTTACAGATTCCGTACAGTCTTCCTCGTCATGTTCGCCGTCCTCGCGATGGAGTACTTCTGGCGCCTCTGGAAGGACGTCCCGATCCGCCCCGCGCGGCTGCAGACTACCAGCTCGGACAGCACTCAGTACGAGTCCTCGCCTCAGGGCCCCATGGAGAAGCCGCTCAAGCAGCTCGCCGAGGCCATCTGCCTCATGACCATCCTCCTTCTCATCCGGTGAGTTTCATGTGCGCGCCTCGCTCGAATTGTTGACTCATACGACACCGGCAGTGCTGTCTACCGGACCATCGAGCTCGCAGATGGCTGGGACGGCAAGGTCATCCAGACGGAAATCTACTTCGGTGGGTCTCTTCCTTGCGCCCTGCCGCTGCCCGCAGACAGGAACTGACGAGGGCTGCGCTAGACATCTTCGACGGCGCGATGATCACGCTCGCGATGTACACGCTCAGCCTGGCCCACCCCGGCCGTCTGCTTCGAGACGCCGCGAGACTCCGCGCGTGGGGAAAGATCCCGCCGGGTTTCAAGCAGGAGTCTTCCAGCGTCGTATAGATTAGAATTTCGTCTGCTTCACATGCCCTGTCTGTCTCATTTCCTTTTCACCTCTTTCATCACGGACTTTTTGACATAGGCACGATCCTCTTGCCCCACGACATCATGTATATTGGCACGGACATCGCCTCCCACTGGGATAATGTTAATGTTTGAATCGTAATAATCCGGTACATCCGTCCGCTACAGGTGCATTCTCCAGCTGCCGAGCAATTTCAACATTCGACATTCAATGGACGGGTACTGCACTCCGACACCACTGACCCTCAATACCACACACTACCCTCCATCAGTCGTCTCCCCGTCCTGACCACTTGCGCATTCACCACCTCCCCCGCCTCGTCAAACTCGGCGCCCACGTCAACCACCCCTCCCGGATGACAAATTCTAACCAACCCGCCCCCGTCGCCCCCCACCACCCCCCTCCGCTCGCGCGCCCGCCGCACGATCTCCGCCGCGAGGGTCCCCGGCACGCCCGCAGCGACGCCCAAGCAGAGCCCGACCGTCATCGGCACCGCCTTGTGCACGACGCCCATCGAGAACGCGTGCACGCCGACGTCGACCCCCCGCGCGAGCTCCTCGTCCGTGGGCTCGCGGAGCACCGCGATCTTCGGCTGTGCGCGTGCGAGCGGGTCGAGCCCCATCGCACGCGCGCCGGCCTGCCGGACGCGCTCGACGGCAGTCGCGACGTCTGGGCGCGTGAGATGCGCCGACGTCGCCAGCGCCGCAGCCTCCTCGTCGCCGCGGCCGAGGCCGATGCCGAGCGCGCGTGCGAGGTCGGGCGCGGCGACGAAGACCGTCGGGTTCGTCGCGTCGACGAGCGAGGCGGAGAGGCCGGGGGCCGAGTGGAGCGGCAGGATGAGCGCGTCGCGCGGGCGGCCGGAGGGCAGCAGCTTTCCTGTTCGTGCGCCGCCGGGGCGCACGAACTTGAGGAGGATCTGCGACGCCTTGCCGGGGACGCCCGCGGTCTCGGCCTCGGGGCGTGCGAGGTCCGCGACGGCGGTGGTGCCGGGGAGCACGGGGAAGGTGGTCTCGATGAGCTTGTTAGTGTTGGTGTTGAGGCAGCGCACGGTGGCGGAGTCGCCTGCGAGGCGGGGCGCGCAGAGCGCGTGGTCGAGGGCGAAGACGCCGACCATGCTCGAGAGGTTGCCGCAGTTGCCGGAGAGGTCGAGCGCGCCGTCGTCGATGCCGACCTGGACGAAGGTGTACTCGACGTCGTAGTCGGCCGCGGGGGACGTTGGGGGCCCGACGACGACGACTTTGGAGAGCGACGAGACACCGCCGCCCATGCCGTTCAGCTGACGACGATAAATGTCGTCAGGAGAGCCCATGATGCCTTGGAAGATGGGAGTCCACGCCGCTGGATCTTCTGGAACATCCTCCCGTTTCAAAAAGATACCCTTTGAGGTTCCACCTCGAAGGAACGTCGCAGGAAGAGTCCCGGCGAGGTGCGACTGAAAGCGCCTGGCGTATGCGATCGGTGTCGCAGTTCTGGGCGTACATCGTGGCAGGACCGACGCGAGCATCCTGGTGAAGCGTGCGCTTTTATGTCAGTCATTTCAGTAGCCGCCAAAGTGAGACTCACCTGCTGGTCCAAACCCCAAGATGGTGGTCTGAGTCAACCCGCGCTGCGTGGGGATCGGTGGCAATGTGTGGCGGGTTGCCGGACCGGGCCCCCGCCGCGACACTCAGCATGTGGGTGACCGGTGACCGGTGGCCTTTAACCAGCCCCAACTGATATCGTTACATCTTGGGGTAGAGACAGTCGGCACGGTTTTACTGTCGTCATAAAACTGATGTCTTGTGCTACCTGCGTTATCCCCAGGTGTCAGGTCAGTGGCAAGTCAACGTTCTTCAAACGTGGATCGCAGCGTCTGATTGTCTGAATCTGAGCCTGCTTGAACACATGGTGTTACTGGATGAGCATTGCTGGAGCGCGCATACGAGGAGTCACTACTAATGATGTAAGTGCAATAGATTGGTTTAGATTTTACAGACATTCGTGTGTCCACAAGTACGTCATATCATGTCCGAAACGCTCTGAGCCAAAGAGCCCACGATCAAAGCCATTCAACAGTCTGAACAACGAGGTGAGCAAGAAACAGGGCACTTCGATACTGAAATACTCACAGCCGGGGGCTTCGAAGAAATGTCGTATGTAACACGGTTGATACCAGCGACCTCGTTGGTGATCCTCGAGGAGATCTGACGAAGTACTTCGGCGGGGAAGACGAACCTTCGAATGGAGAGTAAGAATAACGAAAGGCAAAGACATGTGAAGCCCACCAATCAGCAGTCATGAAGTCTTCCGACTGAACAGCGCGAAGGGCGATGACCTTGACGTACATTCGTGAGCATAACTACATTATAGTGGGCGTAGACAACTCGCCTGTTCGTACGTCCGCGCATCGCCCATGACACCCACAGCCTTCACGGGTAGCAATACAGCAAAGGCCTGGCTGATCTGGTCGTAGAGATTCGCTTTGCGTATTTCGTCGATGTAGATCTTGTCGGCCTGCTGAAGGATCTTGACCTGATCGCGGTTCACCGGACCAAGGATGCGAATGGCAAGACCAGGACCAGGGAAAGGATGGCGCTGGACAAGGTGGTTGGGGATAGAGAGGAGACGACCGAGAGCCCGAACCTCATCTGTGGCACGTGAGCACACGTAAGTAGGAGGAGGAAAACACATACCCTTGAACAGCTCGCGCAGAGGCTCGATGAGCTTGAGCTTCATGTCCTTGAGCAGACCGCCGACGTTATGGTGAGTCTTGATCGTTGCGCTCGGGCCCTTGAAGCTGATGCTCTCAATAACGTCGGGGTATAGCGTGCCTTGTAGTAGCCACTCGATCTTGCCCTTGGACTCGGCTTCCTTCTCTGCAGCAGCCTCCAGCTTAGCGGCCTCCTCCTCGAACACGTTGATGAAAGTGTTGCCAATGATCTTCCGCTTCTTCTCAGGGTCTTCGACACCCTCCAGACGAGAGAGAAAGAGGTCCGACGCGTCGACGACAGTCAGGTTCACGCCAAGGTCCTTGTTAAGCATCTCGTGTACTTGCTTCGCTTCATCCATGCGAAGCACACCGTTATCGACCATGATGGCGTGGAAGCTGCGAATATGTCAGAGTTTGGACCGAATGTGCAGCCGTAAAGCGCACCGATCACCAATGGCCTCATGCATGAGCTTTGCTGCGACAGAGCTGTCCACACCACCACTGACAGCGCCGATCACACGACCCTTCGGACCGCAAATCTCCCGGATACGCGCAATCTCCTTGCCAATGAACTCTTCCTGCAGAACGATTCAGAACGAGGCAGGAGAGCAGACAAAGGGTACGCCCCGCGTACCATCGTCCAGTGTTGTTCGCTACCACAGATGTCCACCACGAACTTGCTGATGACCTCCCGACCGCGTTTGGAGTGGGTGACCTCGGGGTGGAACTGGATGCCGTAGAACGGCTTGCTATTGTGTGCGATCGCAGCGAAGGGAGCGGTCTTTGTGTGACCAATGACATGGAACTCGGGAGGAATGACGGAGAGTTGGTCTCCGTGCGACATCCAGACCTTCACCCAATTTGAGGAGGATGCCCCCCAAGTACAGAGTAGAGGAGGCGAACTCACCTGAAGCTCTTCTCCCAGACCATCGAACAGCGCGTCAGGGCGCGCGTTCTCTCCTCCAATCTTCGTTATCTGGACCTGCGCGAACCCGTATTCACGGTGATCGCACTTCGCCACTTTGCCACCCATATTCCACGCCATCTCCTACTTCCTGACTGTCAGATACATATCACGGACTGGTATAAAACATTTGCGCACCTGGAGACCGTAGCAGATGCCCATGACCGGGACTCCGAGTTCGAATACGGCAGTATCGACGTGAGGGGCATCCTTGTCGTAGACGGAGTAAGGGGAACCAGAGAGTATGATGCCTAAGGAATAGCGTGAGCATATGTGGGTTGCTAACCATACGCATGTTCTTACCCTTCGGCTTGAAGTGGAGATCTTTGATATTTTGTGTGCAGGGCATGAGCTCCGCGTAGACGTTCAGTTCACGACATCTTCTGGTGATGAGATGGCTGTACTGTAGATGAGCTTTAGCCGGGTTGACTAGGGTGGCACTCGATGCACACCTGAGAGCCAAAGTCAAGGATGAGGATGGTGTCAAACTGGTCGTGGATCTCTGCCATGGTGGAGTGTTGCAAGAGAGGAGAGGAGAGGAGAGCCTGATCGCGTACACGCTCGCGATCGGCAGTGCGACAAATTGCAGATTAGATAGGCGCCGATTCGTTCCGGGATTTTCGGAGTCACAGCCGATACAGTCCCAAACCAAGACAATGTTGAGAGTAAAGACAGTGGTAATACAAATGATGTGCTGCGTCACTACATGCACTCGCCGATATCTGCGTATAGCTACTGGGCGATGTATGCGCCGCGACCACGTCCTCTGAATACGCCCCTGGGAGCACCGAAGCCACGTCCCCGGAAACCGCCAGGATTGGTGCCGCGAGGAGCAAACCCGCGCGACACACCAGAGCCGCGGGGAGGTACGTTTCCATTCGCGTGAGCCTGTCCCTGAGCTGGAACAGGAGGAGTGTCGGCCGTATGCCCATTGGTGTGCCCATTCGCGGCGCCACGCGTCGGCGGACCGCCACGTCCACGGTTGGGGTTCGTCATAATTTGAACAGGGCCGCCGTTACCAGGGCCATTGCGGTGTTGCCTGCTAAAACGGTTAGCTACGTGTGATCAAGACGAGAATAAGTATGCATACGTCGTGACGGCGGGACGGAAACCAGCTGCAGGCTGCATTCCTGGAGCAGGTTGGACAGAAGGATGCGGGCCAAAACGAGGATTGAACGGCTGCTGTGGCTTCTGCGCGGTGGGGTTTTGGGGATTGGTAGACGCAACAAACTGCGGGGTCGTGAGGTTGAGACATGTCCAGAACTCCACCGTCGATCCACGGTATTGCGAGCATCTAATAGTATAAGCTGAGCATGGGCTTGTTCAGATAGTGATGTGCCACAGTACCTGTCGCCCAGTGTTGAACCGGCCATGAACGCGGCATCCCACACCACGTCCATTGATTTGGCGTTCAGCCCAACGACAACTCCCTTAAACGACAGCGGTACGCCTCCGGAGTCGTTGACCATCGTCACACGATCGCCCAAAGCAAACGCCTGGTTTTGAAGACGGTAGACAGCGTGAGATGGTTTAAGGACAGCTTGGCGCGGGATGCTCTTGACGATCGCCTTCTTGAAGCTGCTCGAGGCCTTGCTTGCTGTCAGACTGTCGGTGATCTGTTCAATCTCTTTGACGGTCACCTATTGAGCGTAGTATTTTGAGCGCGTCTAGAACCCCTCACGGCACAGTACGGCGTACCTTCGGAAGTTGGTCACAGAATAAGGAAACCTGTTCGAAGTCGCGAACACCCTTCGTGCCCAGCCAGGCTTTGGCCTCCTTAACCTTGGCATCGGGGTTCTCCACGTTCTTGAAGATTTCGGAGGCCTTGGCCATCGCTGCAGCAAACGTCAGAGAACGTTGATGGTTATTCAAAATAGGCGTACCGTCGCCATTCCGGTCCAACACACGGAACACCTCAGGATACGTGACCTTTCGCAGACGTTAGCATCTTGAACGCGAGGGCATTGCACACCACACCCACCTTGTACTCGTGAAGCAGCTGGATGGTCTTGTCACTAAACTCCCAGAAACGGTCGTTCTTGCGCGAGTACTCAACGACCTTGAGCGCCTTCGCCTCGAACTTCACGCTGAGACCGAGATTGTTCTTCTGCCCATCTGAGGTAATGACCATGAAGCTCGCAGTGATCTTGGAGAGCGCCTTGTTGGATATACCAAGCATCTCGCCGACCTTGTATGAAGGGAAGTACCGGTTCTGTTCACGACTTCCCACGATGTCCCTGAACTTCATCTTCTCCTCCTTTTCCGACGGATAGAACTGTCGAGCGAAGGATGATGACTAGAGACCATCAACTGCTAAAAGTTGAACACTGACCGCCAAGATCACGGACAGCGTGTCATCAGTAGTGGCAGAGACTTGGGCGGCCACACCGAACGCGTGCTCGCCCAAGAAGAACACTTTGCTACCGTCAGGGAATTCCTCGCGGAGTGGAGGCGGCGCTTTCTCTATATACCGCGGGTCCTCCGAGCTGACTCCCGAAACGGCCATCTGGACGGCTTGCTCTACCTCCTTCTCGGGTCCTTCGTAGTCTTTGACAAACGCGCCAGTGTCCAAACGCTTCAGCCCTGTTTATACCATGATTACCTCGCCAGTCGACCAGAAGCAGAGAGCCCACCTTTGAGAGGGCGAACATGGAGAAGCACGTCAACAGTGCCGGTAATGACGCCACAGCGCTTCGAGTAGTATGTCTCGATCTTCTCCGACTTGGACTTCCACAGCCCCAAGCCCTGCTGGCTGTGCGGGTTCGAGATGACCCTCTCCGGCTTGCCCGGTATGACGGAGATCTTCTCGTACTTGAACAGGTTGTCCGAGACGGCGGTGACGAGGCCCTCCTGCAGGAACGGCCAGTTGACGAACGTCCGCTGTCCGATTATTTCGTGCGCGATGTCCTCGGACTTCCGGTGCTCGTACGTGTTCTCGATGTGTACGACCATGGACTTGTTCCGGCTCTCGGAGCCGTGCACGTTGACGCCGTGGTGACCGAGCGCGGCTGTGTGCGGGAGGGTCTGGAGGGATGGGAAGCCAGCGAGAGCTTGTGCGCCGAGGAAGACGCCATCGCAGAGACCCTTGACGAGGTGGAGGCCGTTGAGCGTGGGCAGGTCGAAGGGCTCCATCGTGCACTGGCAGCGGTGCAGCGTGGGGAAGAAGCCAGGAAGCGACGACGGGTACACGGTCGGCTCGCCAGGGTTGTATGTGAACTTGGTACTCGTTCCGAACGCATTGCGCCTCCTCTCGTCTTCTGTCAGACGGCCTTCCCGCGCTAGAATATCACCGTCAACTATGTCTGTGCGAGCCGCGAAGGCTATGCATGTGGCTCACATCCCATTGCCTTCAATAGTCGCTGCTCTTCGATGAACGGAATCTTGACGATAGCTTCCCAGTCCTGCTTCTTACCGTTGAGATCCTGTTCGAACTCGGTGGGATAGAAATCCAGGATTGGGGACGAAGGGTCGTACATCAGCTCCTGTGTGAAACGTTGAGCGGATCGCAGATAAGTCAAGAGTACAAGTGACAGACCCTGTAGGCGGGAGGGATGAGTTCTTTGCTCGCTTCTGGGAGTACGCCCATGAGCTGTTCAAACGGCCGGAAAGGCTTGCCAAATTTGAAATTAAAGGTCATCTTGTCGACGCCCTTGAGATCTATGGCACCCAAAGTGTCAGGGTAGGGACTGGTGGAGGAAGGCACCACTGACCTGAGATGCGCGGAGCGTAGTGATAGTTGTAGAACCAACTCCACGATGCAACACCGCTGTAGTAGTAGTGCATCACCCACTGTAGGCCTTCCACATATCGATAGATGAGATCCCCCATCTCCTTCGGATCGTCATACGAAAATTCCAGCTTCCCCTGCAAGACGGTGTTGGCTCATCCAATACATCTACCCAAGACGTGAAGACTCACCTTGTAGTATCCCCTCTTCCACTCGTCCATCTTGTCCCTGATCGACAGCTCGTACCGAGCGTCGAAGTCCCCATCCTTGTCATCCTCCGCCACCTTGGCCTTCGCGTACTTGTTGAGAACGCGATCCACGGCTTCCCTGGCCTCTTCGTCATCATCGTCCTCCCATTCTCCTTCATCCCCTTCTCCTTCGTCCTTGACCGCCCCATTCCCGTTCTCCGGCAATGGCTCCTCCAGCTCTCCGGGGAAACGCCATGTTACGAGATTCCTGTCCTCCGCGTCGTACTCATCCCACGCGACCGACAGGTGTAGCTCATCCGCCAGCCGGGCAATAAACTCCCTGTCTCGTGCAGGGAAGTCGTTGACCATCCTCAAAGGCCCCGCCGTTGACAGCTTCCTTCGCTCCAACACGAACGCCTTCACCTGATCGAATATTCTGCGCTGCGCCGACGTCAAGACTGGGAGGTGGACAGTCAAGACACGCTGCAATGATATAAGATCCCGCCGAGCCACGCACCAAGTTTGTTCCGCTTCCTCGCAATGTCCATCTCCTTCACGTGCTTCGCTTGCTTCCCCTTGTACCAGTTGAGATCCGCGAACTCCTTCTCAAACACCTCGCGCTCCCACTCCGCCATCTCGTCCAGAATGACCTGCAGCCTCTTCGTGTTGATCGTGCCATCCTCGTTAATGTATCCGTCTGGGAGAACGATTCAGTACTCCAGTTCCAAGGGACGCGCAGAAAGGGACGCACCTAGGCCAGGCAATGCCTTCTTATACACGTCGAACAGCTTCTCGAGACCGTTCTCGTGGATGTGTAGGTCGGGCAGGTTGGGTAGGAAGTCGTTGCCCACGAAGACCGCGAGCAGGATGAAGTCGTCTATCACATGCTCTAAGCTGTATGGGAATGGGAGCATGGGCTCGATATCGCGGAACTCCAAGTCGAGGTACTCTCGCATTAGTGCAAGGTGTAGTAGATAGAAGTTGATACTCTCAAGGCTACAATCATGGACATCAAAACCAACGCAAGAATGCCTGGGGCATGCACGCACCTCTTGCTGCCCTTGTGCTTCGAGGCAGGACCAAACTTCACCTCCTCTCGCAAGAGGCAGAAGTGGGGGTCGTGGCTCAGCAGACCCAGCATGATGAGGTCGGCATCCAGGCCGTACAAACAGTGTCGCACGTTTGGGTTGTACTCCGGCTGCGCCCTCGATAGTCGGATGTACTCCATAATCTTGTGTTCGCCTTCTCCCGGGACGTCGTGCCCTGACAACACGACGGTAACGCCCCGCCAGTTCGCATCCTCCGTGATCTTCTTATTCACGAAATACTTCAATTGCGCCGATAGCCGTGCCATAAACTCCGTGCCTAGCAAGGGAAGCGTGGCCATCTTGTAAGGCCCACCACTCGCAAGAAATTAAAACCATGAATGAGAACTCACCAGGAGTGATACAGTTGCTGTCGAATGCCTTTGTGTCCGGGAGCTTCTCCCCTTTCCTCTCCGCCTTTTCCTTGACCTCCCGCGCTTCCTTTGCTGTCCTGAACCGACGGCTCCGCTGTTGGTTCATCTTTGCTCGAGGTGCAACACCGTCAATTGCCATGAAGAACAGCTTCTTCGGTTTGATCTTGCCGAACAAGTGGTCGACATAGGCAAATATAGCGGTGAAGATCTGCTCCTCGGACATTCGAAAGTGGGCGTCCTCATCATTGGGGTGCGAACCTGAACGTCGAGCGAATGAGCGTTGGTTATGATAGATGAGACGGGTCGCCTGCTTACAGTTGTGGATGATGCCATTGAAGTCGACGTAGAGGTTGTCTTGTGACAGGAGTTAGCGAGAAGGTCGCGCGTATACAGGACGAGTACATACCGAACTCCGGAATCTTGTTCTCCTGGATGAGTTGCGAGGTCAGGGGGTAACGTTCACTGTGCCAGTGTATCAGAAACGTGATTCCAGACAGCGGAGGAGAGTTCTCACGAGATGTATCTGAAGAACTGATGGGCAGTCAGTAGGGATGCGGGGGACGACCGAAGCCTGAAGCCTGCTAACCTTCGGAATACCTGTCAAGTTTCGTTAGCGTAGCTCCGGTGAGGCACTCAAATGCTCACCCATGATGCAAGCCCAATTCCAATGTTGTACAGCCTTCGAGGGAGCGTCGACTGTCCCGCAGACCGAGACTTGTGGGGGATGGTGATGTTCAGTGCCGAAGCCGTGAGGTATCAGCGTCAAACGTCCGCGTGCCTCAACCCAATTCGAGCGCGCGCCGAGTACAATCATGCAGGCGTGCCCACTGCCATACTACTTAGATCTCTCTTTCGTTACCGCGGCCCTCTAATATCGATGAGAATACGTCCACGATGTGTTACATTAATACATGATACGAAACAGGACAAAATTTTAGTGAAATTCAAACGGAAGTTCCGCACGCAAGGATTATATCTCCCGAGGGTGACAACATTCCACGTAGTATGTAGAAACGGCGTACGGTATAGTTCCGAGTACAAATGGCGCAATATCACAAAGGAAGATGTCACGGTAGCCATCTCTGAACAACCTGAAGCAACTGGTCGTCAACTCCGTCTTCACGCCAAAAGTGAGAAGCACCGGCGACTTTGACTATCTTCAGCTCTGGGGAGGCGCTCTGCTCTCCCGATTCGCGTCTGGCGTCCTCGTTGGCTTGCCGTAGCGTATTTGACCATGTGTCGTACGCGGTAACCGAGGTGAAATCATCTTGGTCGCCGTAAACGACAAGAGTGTTCGACCCAGCGTTACTGACAAGGCTGCGCAACGCGGCGTCATACCGCCCACCGCGGAAGGCGGTGAGCCAACTGCGAGGTCCCAAAGGATACGAAAGCAGAAGATGGGAAGTCCGGATCACGCCGGATATTGGGGACTCCAGAGATGCTATGAGAGAGCCATAGGAATACCCCTTCGATTCCTTGTCAATACATCACTCCTGCTTCTTCCGAGGAAGGACACTCACGACAATAACGAGAGATGAGAGCTGTGGTGCTGCAGCGCAAGCCCATTGAACAAGCTTGTTGAGATCGTCTGCTTCACCGCCGCCAGTAAAAGAGGCGCGACCCGTGGATTTCCCCACACCTCGCGAGTTGTACCTCAGTACGGTGTACCGAGCGTGGAGAAGAGGTTCAGCGAGCAATTGAAGGACGCTGGCAGATCCGATCAGTGCGAACTCTCACCCCGTCATTACCAACTCACGGATCATCCATCCGGCCACCCAGCCAGGACCATGGGTGTAAGCATATTGCAAGCTTAGTTGTGTGTGATAGATTTGTGACATCATCCGCCGGTCCAGTAATGCCGTATTCGAGGGTAATCCCCGATGAGAGCTGAACAGTCGAGTGCTGAGCACGCGGTCTCCCCGCTGGCATAATGTGCCGACTGTGCTGTTATGTCTGAAGGTCGAGTAGATAAATGCAAGTACTTCGAGCCTGGCAGATGCTGGTGGTCAGAGATTGAGACGGTTGAGCGCCAGACACAGATTAGATTGAGCGCCTGGCCATCCAGAATTTTGACTGCAGCCCCGTTTCTCTTCTTGGACTTGGTACCACCACATCTGCCCCCTCATCCCCAGCAATCCACAAATTCGGGTTTCCTGCAAGCCTAGCTTCATGACATCTCACGGAGACCCCAACTTTCCATCAGACCTCGATATTCACCCTCTTCTCGACGCATCAGCCAGCTCAGACTCTCGATTCGATTCATGTGCTCAACGAGAGGCTATCGAGTCTTACGGGATCGCTGGACGGATCTGGTATGGCGTCCATACGTCCACGTTTATCTATGATGGCCATTCACCGATTCGTTCCAGGGAAGCGTCTCATGCAATGCTTGCCTATCTCGACTCGTCTTCCCAACCCCAACTCGAGTTCGATCCCCCTGCATTCACTCATGAGTGTCCTCGCACGCCTGTGCTCGCGATAGAGCTCGGCTCTGGAAATGGTTTTCTCGCAACACACCTCTCCAAGTGGCTCCAGCCCGACTACGATCTTCTTGTAGCCACGGACCTGCCCGAAGTGTGCCCCCTACTCGACGCCAACTTGAGTGGTTCTGCTGCCGTCCTCGTACGCCCTCTGGCTTGGGGATCATCCGATCAGGCGACTTCCGTCCTCTCAGATCTCAGCACGTTTGCATCCTCGGAAGACGGCCGAGAGGTGCTGCCTCGACAGCCCACTCACATACTATGTAGTGACCTTGTATGTCGCCGAACCTCCCAACTATGCTGCTGTCACCGATCCTCCGACAGATCTACTTTCCGGCCCTTCTCGCACCCCTGTTACGCTCACTGCTCCACCTCACATCCATACCAACTCCTGCCCCCGACTTGACCGACTCACGGTCACCACCTCTGGTCATCATCTCTTACAAGATACGTAGTTTGGCCAAGGAAACCCCTTTCTGGCATGCCTTCGGACTCTTCTTCGAGTTCTCCCCCGTCTTATCTAGGACTCGGCGAAACGACCAGGGGAGTAGTAGTCAAGAACAAGTCGAAGAATCATGGGTCAAGTTCTCGCCAGGAGACGACCTAGACGAGACGTTCGTTTTCATAGCCAAACGAAAACGAGAGTCATTACTATGGAAAATCCCCGAAGAGGACTCCGCGCTCCTCGCAGGTGTGGGCGCGGATGGAACGAGCTCCCCGAAATCGGACGATCAATTTGAACAGTTGCTTCTGATGGGCATGGACGTATAAACTGTGAGTTATCCCGTTGGTGTTACGATCGACCCTGGTCTCACCCATGAAGCGCACAAAGGTCACAGTGTCCATTAAATAACGGCCGCCCAGATCTGTAGCCTCGTACGAGAAAATTCGAGTAGATCAAGTGCATCATAAGCGCTCCACAGATTCTCCCTCATCCTAGCCATCAAGCGACCAACGCGACACCCGCCATAACCATCGCGGATGCGCACTCACCGGTGGGCGCCCCCGGGCGGGGGGCCAGGCGAGATGTAGTCCGAGACCGCGGGGGTGCTGTTCGTGAGCGGCGACCCGGCGCCGGACGCGAGCGCAGCGGTGTCGCTGCTGAGTTGGACTTGCGCGACGAGGTGCCGGACCTGGGCCAGTGAGCGGTTTTGGGGCGTCGGGGCGTCGGGGTCGAACATGATGAGCACGAATCTCTGGCCGGTGAGGCTGGCGTCCGAGGACGTCAACGCGTACTGGGGGCGCATGGTCGTCTCTGGGTACGTTCAACGGGATTGCTATTGATGAGCCCCGTTTTCACAGGAGACGGTGGTGGGGTTCTGCTCACGGTTCACAGAGATTGGCAACCCCGGACTGATCACAATGGACTGGTTCGAGGTCGAGTCTGTGTAGGTGACGTCGAGGAGGGCCTTCGGAGTGAAGTCCGCGATATCTGACGGCTTTGGGTTGAGTCGCATGAAGAAGATTGAAGCACGGAAACTCACCGTCGGGGATGATAGACACGTTCTTGAGAGCGTTCTCAACGTCCGTTGGCGTCAACGCACTCACAGACGAAGCAAAGAAGAAGGCAGCGGCAGCGGCAGACGCGCGCATTGTTACGACTCCGGGCTAAAAGATTCCAAGGTAGTGATGAAGACGGGGCAAGGAACAAGAGGGCCTTTCGAAGGGTAGAAAGACGGGACGAAGGAGAAGGTGAGTTCCTGCTCTTGTCGAGGAGGTATTGTGTCTTATATATGGTTCGAACTTGGCTGCGGTGTAGATATTTGGCGGCGCAGGTCTCTTGTCCTGTTCAGATCACAACATTCTCCCAGCTTGGTAAGGATAACTTCGCCCCAGAGCCGATCTGATATCCGCCAAGGACATCAAGCGGCATCCGTGGATGACCGTATACGCGCATGTCCATGCATTTCGCTCACGACTAGATTGGTGAGACGGAATGCCGAAAGGAACGCATCTCAGGCTGATGCGGCCACTTCAGTCCATCAACGGGGATGTCCGGCAGCGAATGCCCGTTAAAAATCGTCTCCACATCTTTCACGTTAATTTCAAAGCTGTGGACTCATGTCAAGCTACGACGACAAAAGCATCGGGAATCGGTAGGGCATCCAGCTGGACACTTCGCCGCGCAACGCCGGTACACGGGTCATCTGCAACGTCAATGTGCCAGGTCTCGAGACGATCTGACCACCAGTCAGTTGGGATATATCGGAAAACGCGCCTCCGAGAGTGTCGATATGTAACACCAGTTTCTTGCGTAGACCGCGCGGGCCGCCAACTCTGGCACGGCGCCAGTTGTTTCAAGTTACGTTCACCTGTCGATGATCCGCCACGGCATTAAACACGACTTTTTTTTCGCCCTGGTCACCCCGCATACAGCTGCTGCATATCGGTCCCTGCGCGAAGACCCATCACCAAGCGACCATTCCGAGGCTCACCACGACAGCCACCACCGTCGCCGCAACCGAACTCCCAACCCCACCCCGTCCCGCCGCGCCTGTGACACTATTCGTTGGCGATGCCCCGGCCCCAGTCGCAGTCGAGTTTGACTCGTCCGGCGTAGCATCGGGCGTGTTCGGGCCCGACAGGAAGAAGTTGCTCACGACGGGGTCCCCGAGCCCCAGAGCCTCCGCGAACGCGCGCGCGTCGAACTTGAAGATGGACGACGACGCGTTCACGAACCGACCGACTTGCGATGCGAACGACGCCGGTTCGTGGTACAGCACCACCGTGTACCTGGAGCGTAAGGTCAGTGACCATTGCTTTTCCTTTCAACGCCGGGACGCGAGCGTCGTAGGTGGAATTACCGGTGGGCATCCCCGGGAGGGGGCTGGGGGTTGATGTACTCCGAGACCGCGGGAGTGTTGTTCGTGAGCACCAAGCCTGTCGCGGACGCGAGTGCGGTGGTGTCGTTGCCGAGCTGCACCTGTGCGATCATGTGCCGGACTTGCGCCAGCGACCGGTTCGCCGGCGTTGGGACGTCGGGGTCGAACATGATCAGCACGTAGTTCTGACCCCCGAGGGGGGTGTTCTGGGACGTCACTGCGTATTGCGGGCGAACGACCGTTTCTGTTCAGATTCAACCATGAGATGACTTCTTTGGGGGGGGGATACGGTCGAACAGTAACTCACGGTTCACAGAGATAGCCTTGCCGGGGTTGATCGAGATGGACTTGTTTGTGGCCGGGTCTATGTATATAATGTCGAGAAGGCCCTGGGGAGTGAAGTCGGAAATGTCTGCCAGATGGCTTCAGTTTCTTGTGAGTTTCCGCAGAAATCTCTGGAACTCACATTCAGGGATGATGGACGCATTCTTGAGAGCATTTTCGACATCGGAAGGGGTCAAGGCAGCCCAGACGGACGAGACGAAAAGGAGAGCAGCGGCACCGACACAACGGGTACGCATCATCTTAGGCTGATAGGCTGCTAGAAGTGGCCTGCAAGCGAGGTCGAAGAAGGTCGCTTAAGGGGGAACGGGGTTAAGCAGGCCAGATGGAAGGAAAGTGAGTGTGTATGCTCACCGCTGGCGTTTTGGCTTATAAACACCACGTAGATCGGGCTGCGATGCAAGCCGGTCGGTCAGCCTCGCCTTGTCCACTGAGTGTGCTAGCCTCCGTGAGCCGCCTTCCCCCTGAAATCGATAGTATTTCCAACACGCCTCTTGGAAATCAACAAGCCTGAGTTGAAGCTTGTAGACATGGTGATGCGAATCCTCGCGGCGGCGTGGCAGGTTTGAAGTTGGGTCGCTCAGGAGGCTCCAGGAGCATAGGAATAGCGAAGTAAGACGGCACATTGACGAGACATATCTGTGATACAGGTCCAGAAGAGCGAGACAGACTCAGCGTGAAGACGAGATGAAGGTACGCGTAGATCTGCGTAGATGCGCGCAGAGCAGGGCTGTCTTATCATTACTGGTGAACCGAGACGCTTGTACCGGTCCGTCCGATCCGAACATTAGCGCCTTCGTTCCCTTTCAACGTTTCAACCTTGGGCGCCAGTGTCGGTATAACTGCCTCTGCCAATGTGTGCGTGCTGAGGCGGGATGCGATCCGCTGCGTCAACACTCCGTCTTTGGCAAAATCCATCTCGACATATCTGGGAGCTTCACTTATATTGCATTCGGCAATGTTTGCAACACTAAATGACAGTGAGATCTCAGCCAAGAACTGCGCGTACGTACCAGACCTTAGTAGAAGTCCCATAAGGTCGCGAAAGCTAATCTATAAACAGTCTCCCGCATCCCAGGAAGCGCTGAATGCATGATCTCGGCTACAAAAAATCCTGCTCATCCGGAACAAGAGTGAGTGGCCGAGCCCACATGGGCCAGAGTTCCAACGTTCAAGGTGCGCCATTCTCGCGGAATGCTCACCAATCGCGCAACGCATATATGTCTAATGGCGCTCTCTTATCCCCAGCCACGACAGTTTCGCGTCATCAAGCGCCGCCCGGCATACCAAACTTCTCTCCTTCCCATCACGCAATACACCCCTTCTCTCGCGGCACTGATAGTTATCTGCCCCCAACCCTCCTCTCACCCCGCACAAAATGGTTAAGCCCCCACGTTTCGGCCCCCACTGGACATCCCCAGGACAATCATAGACATGGCGCGTCCTCACACTAGGATCACGTGGTGGGATTGTCGCAATGCCGTCTTCCACGCACGCAAGCCTTCGCAAGGGGCGGATGGCTCCCGATATGTGACCGGCCCAATATCGCACGCATATAAAGGATCTAGACTTCCCGTGGCTATCCTAGTCGCACCCATCCCAATGGCCCCCGTCGCAACCGAGACCAACGGCACAACCACCACCAACGGCGTCAGCAAGGCGCCCGTCAAGGCTAACGTCCTCTTCAACCCCTTTTACTCCCCAGATACCACCGGTGACGTCAACGACACCGACTACAAGTACGCGAAGTACAAGGTTCGTCATGATCAGCCCTGGCTTGTCGCCACCCGCGACGCTTTTGATGTTGATCGGTGGATGCACGCCCCCTAATGAACGCCGACCCACCAACGCCATGGTCCGACTGTGCGGTCCTGCTGTAAACAGCCGCGATTCCCGGATGTCCACTGGGAGCCCCTCGACGGCAACCTGCCGGTGACCGACCGCGCGCAGTTTGCGGACCCCGAGAAAAAGGCGCTGTTCGCCGCGGCGAGCAAGATCCAGCACCTCACGCCCGCGATCGGCACGGAGCTGTCCGGAATCGACCTCAGGCAGCTCACCAACGCACAGAAGGACGAGCTGTGCGTGTCCCATCTCCTTCCTTGTCGTTCACCCGACGTATCTGCCAACGATCGCTCACGTCTGGCGTGACTGCAGGGCCCTCCTGGTTGCTGAGCGCGGAGTCGTCTGTAAGCACCCTCCCACGTCGATCCTGCGCGTCGCGAAAGAGCACTGACGGATTGCCGCGTCGGCGTCACCAGTCTTCCGCGACCAGGAGATCACCATCGAAGAGCAGCTCGAACTCGCCCGCCACTTCGGCCCCCTCCACAAGCACGCCACGACGCCCGTCCCGCGCCAGCCCGGCCTCGAGGAGGTCCACAGTGCGTGCCTTCCCCTCCGCGGTCTCCTGTCCGCGTTCCCTTGCGACGGGAGCAGTAGCCCTCAGCTGACGTGCTTCCCGCCCGCAGTCGTGTACAACGACGGCACGCGCCGGCCGGACCCCAGCGCGTTCTCCAAGATCGAGCTCTGGCACTCGGACGTCTCGTACGAGCTCCAGCCGCCGAGCACGACCTCGCTCAAGCTCATCACCGGCCCGCCCTACGGCGGCGACACGCTCTGGAGCTCCGGGTGCGTCGCAGCTATTTTCTCGCGTCGCCGCTCCCGTGCTGACCGAATGACTGCGTGGGTATCGCGCCCGGATTCCACAGCTACGCGCTCTACTCGTCGTTCAGCCCCGGGTTCCAAAAGTACCTCGAGGGCCTTACCGCCGTGCACAGCGCGGTCGCGCAGGCCGACGGGGCGCGCGCCGCGGGCCTTACCGTGCGCCGCGAGCCGGTCGAAAGCGTACACCCCGTCGTGCGGGTCCACCCCGTGACGGGCTACAAGTCGATCTACGTCAACCCGGGTGCGCAACTTTCCGTGCTCCCGCCAGGGTTGTATGCTGACGCCGGATCCGCTCTCTTCGTTCTATGCAGGCTTCACTCGCCGTATCGTCGGCCTGCCAAAGGCTGAGAGCGACGCCATCCTGCAGCTGCTCTTCTCACAGATTGCGTGGGTGCCTATTTCCTCATTCAATGTTTGCTGCGGCGCTCACGTTATGGACCTTACTCGTCGCGCTGCGCGGGCTTCCACTTCCATTGATCTCCTCGATGGCGCGACAGGGACAACCCTGACTTCCAGGTCCGCTTCCACTGGGAGGTGAACTCGATCGCGTTCTGGGACAACAGGGTGAGTCCCTGCAGCCCGCCCCGGCATCTCCGCATCTCCACGTCGCCACCGCCGCGGGGTCCTCAGGGTATGCGCCTTCGTGCGCGCCACGAGGACGTCGCGAGCGTCCCCGGCATCTCGTCCTCGGGGCGCACTCTATCTCCACCTCATTTCACCTTCACCCCGCGCTCGAGCCCGCGTCCTTGTTCTTCTTACTCTTCCTCTGCGCACGCGCGCGCTGGGACGCTGCGCCTTCCGTGCCGGCGCCCGTGCGTCCCAAGTCCACGTTCCCCTCTTCCCTGCACCGCGCCGCACCCCAGCTGCCGGCGTCGAGGGACCCCTATCCTCCCATCCTCCCCGTGCACCGCCATTCCTCGGATCTCGTCCTCACCTCAATCTCGCGCCCCCGCGTTTGCCCACACGCACGCCGCCCGCCGTGCCCCCACATCTCATCTCATCTGCGCACCCCTCGCTCCACCGCGGCGCGGCGCATCGCATCGCCAAATCTCGCCCTTCTCTTTGCCCACACCTCCGCCCCCCTCTCGTGACCGAGCTGACGCCGACCCTTCCCCCCCAAAAAAATATCACAGATCGTGACGCACTCGGCGACGTTCGACTTCTTCCCGCACGTCCGCCACGCGCTCCGCGCGACCCCGCACGGCGAGCGCCCGACGGCCGTCGCCGACTACGAGGCCGCAACGGGCAAGGCCGCGCGGCTGCGGGACGAGTGGGCGCGTCTCGGCGTCGCCCCCGGCGAGCCAGAGCCGTCCGCCGCGGCTGCCGGCCGGCCGGTCCGCGGGTACAACGACTGAAATGCCTGCAGCTGGCTGCTGAGTCCCGCCCCCAGGGGCTGGGCTCTGCGCGGACGCGCGGGCTCGGAGCTTGGGTTCGGACGGCTGGGCGTCCGGCGGCCGCAGAGTGGGGAACTCGAAGCTGCGGAGGGCGGGAGCCGGGGCACGGGAACCTCTGGTCGCGCGCGCTCGTTGGGCGCGCAAGGGTGTATTAACTTATGTCGCGCGTGCGGAGCAGTGTGTAGCATGAAAGCCGGGTTTTGGTCTCTCAGGACGCCGAGGCAGGGTTCCTCCGTGGTCGCGCGCGCGCCGTCAGCATTGAATCCATGTATGTACCCATGCAACGCTGTACTTGTACGAATGGAAACACCAGTGCAATGTCGCCGGCAGCGCTTGTGAACGAATGGATCCGGATTCCTGGATTCCTCGCCGACGCTCTCACTCGGCGGTCCAAACGTTCAGCGGTGGAGCTACCGCCCAGATCGGAGCCGGCACTCGACCGGGCTGGAGGTGGCACTGGCACGCGCCCGCGCCCGCGCTCGACGTCGGAGGCGCGGGCAGCGGGCAGCGGGCGCAGAGCGGATCGCCCGCCACGCGCCGCCACTATCATGATCCGTGGCGTGGCGGCGCGTGGCGCGATGCCCCGGCCGCACCCAACGATCGCGTGTCGTCCGAATCCCGATGCGGCGATTGCCCCTGCCCCGCCCGCCGATTGGCTGCCCCCGAGTCCCCGACGGGACGCGCCGCGCGATCGATCCGCCGCGCTGGCTGCCGCGGCGCCCGATTGCGCCTCCCCCGTGGCCGTTCGACACGCGCTCGCGCTCCTGCGCCCCCCCCCGCGTCCAGCTGTGCGCGCGCGCGAGAGCGCGGACTCCGAGCTTCGAGCTACGGCTTCAGCGCGCACTCTCGCCGCGAGGGCCTGCCTGCCTCCGTCGCCTCGTCTTCCGCGCGATCGTCGCCGATACGGTACGATGCGACACGATACGATGCGATACGACGATACGACGCGATGCGCGCAGACCCCGGCGTGGGCACGCGCGCCGCCGATCGCACCGTGCGCGCGCGCCGCCCACGAGGCGAGCCAGGGCCTGGAACGCGTGCGGGCCCGCGCGCACGCGTCCGAGCCCGACGGGCGTACATACGTGCACATAGTACGCCTCCCGGGCGGTGCTGCGCGCGGTGCCGATCTGCAACCTCGCCCGAGATTGCGGATCGTGCTCTTTCTCGCGCGCGGTCGGCTTCGGCTGTGCGTGTGTGAGGCCTCGAGGTGTGGGTGGACGACGAAAGCGAGGCGCGAAGCACGTGTCTATTGAATCATACAACCTGGCGGGGGGCGCGGTTCAGGCTAGAGTAGGTGGGGGACGCCCGCCAGAGGCGTGTCTGCTGCAAGGGGGATTATACACAGCAAGAGTAACGGGTACAGGTAGGCGAGCAGTACATATCGAATGCGCTTCAATATAAAGCTGTAACGAGGAAGAGGCAAAAGAGATGACGGGGCACCGGCTATGCCAACGTGCAAACGGACACGGGGGACAACAGAAGCTAATTTCATCAACAGCAAGTCCCGTCGACGCCGCCGCTCACTGCGGCGACGCCCGTGCGTGCGACGGAGGGTGCGACAGCCGCGCGTAGTCCCCGTTGTTGTATCCGCCCCGATCTGAAGGTGAGGGTGACAGCCACGGAGGCGGCGGAACGGGCGCCCCCACCGCGCTGTGCGGTGCAGACGGGGGGCCGTGAGGGGGAGGCATCATCTGGTGCACCGACGCCGACGACCCAGGTGGCGCGACGGGCATCAGCTGGTACGAGCCCGGGTGCGGAGGAGGTGGGCCACCGTGCATCGACGGGGGCTTCTGCTGCTCGTACGACGACTGCGGCGGTGGAGCCTGATGCGGCGGGGGCGGGAGCGAACCGTGGTTCTGCGACTGAGACGGCTCGCCATGGCCACCGTCACTGCTGTTGCCACCTGCGCCTCGTGCGGACGCCGTGGACGCGCGCAGCGTCTGGAGGTCGATAGGGGGAGCCTTCCCGTTCGCGTCCAGAGTCTTGTCGCGTTTTCGCATCAGCTTCGCATAGTCTGCGAGCGAGAAGACGTAAGAGGGGCAGAAAAGGCAAGGCGTTGCTGCGACGACTCACGCAGTCCACACGCGTTGCACAAGGTCCGAGCACCGTCCGGTCCACGCCGCCACTCTGGCGTCTCACGGATGTTGCACGAGTGACACTTGCCCGGCGGGGTTGCACGCTGGGGAGAAAAGTCAGCCTGTCTTGTCCACAGCGACTGCGGAATATACATACGCTTCGTTTGCGGTACTTGTTCTTCTGATGCACACCTGCTGCTCCGCCAGTGCTTGACTGCCTTTTGTTGCGGATGATCTGCATGTCTTGTTCGGCAGTAGACTGCGCCTGGTCGCCAAGCTGTCATTGAGCCCGATGCGTCTACAAAGAGCAGGTATCGCGCTCACCTCGTAATTGTTCACCGGCGACGGCTCGCCTTCCCTGCCCATATCTTCCCAGGGGCGCTTCGGGGGCCGATGCTCATCAGCGGGATTCGCCGCCACGGGATAGGCATCTCTGCGGGCGACGTCTTCGCCAGCATCCATCCGTCGCAGCTGTTCAATCAAGCGAACGACCTCATTCGCCCGGTGATTCATGTCTTGAATCTCCTGTTCCGGCGGCGCGTAGGACGGACTGGCGGCTGTTCTATCTGTCAGCAGCGGTTGCGTTCCCCTGAATCAAACGAATTACCATAGCGGTTCGCGAACATCATCAACGTCTGACAATGTTGAAGGATCTGCGGGCGGTGTTTCAGGACGACGTTAATTCAGAGAAGCCGAACCACAAACCTCATGCACGATGCCCTGGCGAGCGTTCGCCCGCTCGGCATCCCGCGGACTTGGAGTCAGGGGAGCCGGAGGGGGCGCCAGCGCAGTCGCGCGACTTGCGTAACCGTTGAACTGCTGGTGCTGGGGCGGTGGAGGTGGTGGGGCATGCCCAGGGGGCGGGTGCTGCTGCCAGTGCTCCACCGGCTGATGCGGCGGAGGGTAAGGACTGGGCGGAGGCTGAGGCTGCGCTTGGGCCTGATGGTGGGCTGGTTGATGAGGAGGGTGCGACGACTGATGAGAAGAGGGGTGCGACGGCTGATGAGGAGGGGGGTGTGACGACTGATGAGGAGGGGGGTGTGACGACTGATGAGGAGGGGGATGTGACGACTGGTGAGGAGGGGGGTGTGAGGATTGGTGAGTGGGCTGGTGAGAGGATTGGTGAGAAGGCTGGTGAGGAGGCTGGTGGGAAGGCTGGTGAGAAGGTGTGTGGGCAGGAGGATGTGGTGTAGAGTGCGCCGGCGCATGAGATGGCCCACTCTGCGGCGGAGGTTGGTGGTGGGCGGGTGGATGAGAGGGCGGTGGGGCTTGTTGATGCGGCTGTGGCGGGGGCGGAGGGTAGTGCCTCTGCACCATCTGCGGGGGTGGGTACGGCGCATATGTGGGGGGTTGTTGCGGAGGGTAGTGGGAGGGAGGCGGGTGCTGCAGGTGCTCCTGCGGTGGTGGTGCCGACGGCGGGGGCGCCTGGTGATGATACCCCGGAGGCGGAGCCTGCTGCTGTGGAGGGTACGTATATCCAGGCTATGAGGAAAATACCATTTCGAGGAGAAGAGCGCATCGACGACAGATGAGAATCGCAAACAGTTAGCGCCATCATGCTTTGACGCTCTTCACGGGAGAACTTATGCTTACGTGAGGGGGCTGCCTTGGGGAGGCGCTGACAGGCTGCTGGGGGCGGGACCTCTTGTCGGCAGGGTTCTCGGAGCGCGTCCCCGCCCCTACGCCGGGGTGAGGTGGCACGCTCGGGGGCGGTTGAGGCGGGGGTGGGCCCGAAGGCGCGTAAGACGCGTCAGACTTTGGGTGAGGCGCGTAGTGGGACTTGGGAGGCGCTTCGTGGGGCGGTGGCATGGGAGAATGCTGTGGGTGGGGGGGATGCTGGGGATGAGAGGGATGTTGCTGCGCGTGCGACGGGGCGTGCTGGGGGGGAGGCTGTTGCGCCGAGGGCGCAGGAGGACGGTTCCATGGGTCGTGCCTGGGTTGAGCGTGTTCGCCGCGTCTTTGTGAGCTGGATGTACCTTGGCCTTCGGGGCCTGGCGGGGGGAAGTTGAGGTCCTTGATGGACGGCAGGCGAACGCCAGGGTCTGAGGGGACAGGCGGAAGAGTGTGGTGGGGGTAGGGATAGGAGGGCGGGTGGGAGGACATGGGGGCGGCGAAGGAGGGGAGGAGAACGAGCTTGAGTATATCTCCTGTATCTCCCGATTCGTCCGGATCTGGTCGACAATCGGAGCCCGCCGAAAAGGGCAGGCGCGCGGTGGCGATCGAGGCGGACGGGGAGAGTTCAGAGGACGCAGGAGACGCAGGAGAGGGGGCGGCGGAGAGAGCAGCAGGCGTTTGGGCGCAGCGAGAGCAGAGCGGACGAGCGAGGCGGACGGGACGGGGAATCGAAGAGGGGGAAGGAGGAGGATGGAAACAAGGAGGAGGGCCGGCCGGCTAACTAGATCACCAAACCAATCTGAGCGGAGTCTGAATCTGCGCCGGGGAAATAACGTGTGGAATTTCGCAGAACAGCCGCCGAGGCGCGAGTCTGCCCCCCGCTCGCGCCGACCCGCCCCGCGCACCTGCCGCGGCCGTCGAGGGTGGTTGGAGGACGGTGCGTGGACGGGCGAGAGGGCTGAGGGCGGCAGCGTCGAGGAGGAGTGGCGATGGCGGACGAGATCCTCATCACCAATCTCGAGAACCGGAGCGGCCGGGAATCTGTCGTGCCCGATACAAGATCCCCTGGGGACGCCCCCGTACGTAACCGTCACCCACCGCGGCGAGACGGGCGAATCGCGCGAGCAGACAGTGCCATCGACAACGTCTCCCTTCACGGTCAGCTGGAGCGGCTGTGAGCGCGCGTCGGTCGAGAGCACAGGCCGGGACGTCGTTGGAAGACGGACGAGGCACAGAGGCGGGGCAGGGCCCCGGAGGAGAGGGCGCACCGGCGCACCGGCCGTGGAGGGCGGCGAATCGCGGGGCAGCTGGTCCCTGGACGCCGGTGCCTGATGCGGTTGGCACCAGTCAAGCTGACTAATAGCACGCAATCTTGATTCGGCAGATCACCCTCTCGTTCGGGTCTCGCCTCCACCCCGTCATCCGTCGCCTGGATCGCCCTCCGCCAGGCATGTCTGTGGGGGATACAGCAAGCAGAACAGGTCACCGTCGCGGACCACGGGGACCACGGGGGCAGGGCGGGGCGCACGCGGGTCGCCAACGGTGTCCTCGTGTGTTTTACGACAAGACCCTGGGGCGACTACGGCCAGGGAGCCTAAGCCTCATCCGGCACGCTATGATCTTGCCCGAAACAGCGCGGCCGCGCATCTGCCTGAGCCTCACCCGATCGCCCACCGTCCCTCGCGGACCGCGCACATGACCCCGCGACTTGCCGCCTGCCCGTCAGCCCGCGCTCGCCCTGGGTGCGCGCCGGGCAGGCGACCTCGGGCAGCGGCTCTGGAGAGAGCGGGGCGCGGGCGACGAACCTCAGTGGAGAGCACGGGCGGGGGCGTCGCGCTGGCACGGAGCGCGGATCGGGGAGTGGCGTGCAGATTGCCTTGCGAGAAGGATGGACACGTGCGGCCGAGCTTCGCGGCGTGTCCGCCACAAGCCCCATCGCCGGGCCCCCTCCGCCATTTCGCGTGCATGGGCGGCCGCCGCGTTCCGTCCACGCGCGCTCTCCGACGCTCCTCCTCCTCCTCCCGCGAGCGCGTTACGTAACGAGGCTCGTCCCGCCGCGGCTCCAGTTTCGACGTCCAGAAGCCTCCGCCCGTCGCCAGTGGCCACCCGCGTCCCGTCCCTGTCTTCTCCGCCCGCCTCCCCACCGACCCTCGCCTCCGCTTCTGTCCTCCGCTTCCCACCGCACCAGCCTGCCCAAGCTCGGTGCCCACGCCGAGGCTCCAGAGCCAAGGCCCGCTCGAGGCCTCCCGCCGTTTCCAGCGAGAACCGTCGCCCGCCCTGGCCACCCCGTCCGCCGCTCTCCTGGCGCACACGCGCGCAGAAAATTGGGCGGCGAGACCGTGATCGCAACCCGCACGCGCCCTGCCCACGGGGGCGGTGACCGACCCGACGCCCAGGGCCCCGCGCCGTTGGCGAGTCGACCCCGAACAAAAAGAGCTCCCGCCTGCCGCTTCGCCTACGCGATTGCCGCAGATTCGCCTCCGACCTGGCGGTGCGTGCGTCAGACGGAGGGACAAGCGCGGACGCGGGATGCTCATTGTCCGCGCTCTCAGGTGCTCGACGGCGGACGCGTTGACCGAGGCCGCGACGACGACGACGACGCGTTGCGACCTCACCTCTGCCGTGCGGGCTGAGGCGAGTCCATCACAAATGTCGTCCGTGCTCGTTCGCTAACTCCCGCTCGGCAGCGTCGCCCCGACGCGTGCGGATTGTCGAGCGGAGCAAAGCTCTTCGCCTGGCCACCCTCGCAATCTTCCCATAATGAAACCGACCCAGGAGTCAGAGTTATTCCACGGACTGGCCCCGCCAATCGGTGTCACCGTGTTCCCCATCGCATCTGCCGTTCGGGATGCCCGACGACAACGCCCCAACCGACCAACAAACCCGCGACAAAAGCCAATCTGCGACGCACGTCAGCCCGCTGCGATCCGCCAGCGAACAAATGAACGCCAGCGCCGCCACGCGCGCACCGTGCGTGTCGCCCCGCCGTCACCGATTGGCTTCCACCGCGTCCGCTCCCGAGCCTCGAGTGCCTGGCGAATCTGATTGTTGATTCCGGCAGTTGATTGTGCACGGGCGGGGGCTCGCGTGGCGAGCCCACGCCTCGGTCGAGCGCGCTCGCGGAGGACCTCCACCCATGACTCGTGAGCGTTGAGGAAGGCAGCTGCGGCGACGGCGCGTGGGCTATCGCGCTCGCCGCGTGGTGGGGCACACCGCACGAAGCGCGTGCGCCACGATGGGGCCGCAGGGCCTCGTGGCTACCCACCTCGTCTCTTCCCTCGGGAGCTATCGTGTCTTCAGGGCGAAGACGACCTGCGGACGACACGGCTTCCAGGTCAATGCGGTCCGTCTTGCTGCTTGCCGTGACCGCCGCACTCACCGGCCGACAATCCAACAGATCTGCCCGCGGGCTTGTCAGAGCGTCTCATCAATCCACGGCATCGTTACAAGCTCGCACTCAATCGGGAGAATTGGGCTGCCTTTTGCCTGCGCGGTGGCACCGTCTTCCTTTTCCCGCAGATGGCTCGTAAGCCCTTTTTTGTTGTCCCCGCCCACACGCCCATTGTTCATACCGTTTCGGGTGAACGTTCCTGTCCATAACGGTTCCGGCACCGCGACGCTTCTGCGGATGCTGATCTTGATCCCAGACGCGCCCCAGCCAGCCTTGGCACCGCCTACACCCTGAAGGCCTGAACACCGCACCTCCATCTCTCGCCTCATCCCCGGCCGCAACACGCCGCAAACGGCAATGCCGAGAGGCGAACACCGTTTCAAGTGCCTGCCGTCCATCGGTGCGTCCCGCCCACCTCGCTCTTCGAAGCTCTCTCCTTCTCTCCTCTCCTTCTCATGACATGAAAAACTTCCGCCGCGCCCCACCGGCCGGCTCACGCACTTCTCGCCCCACCACACTGCACCGCACCGCCCGGCGCAGGCGCAGGAAGTTTGAAAACGAGCGTCGCGGGAGGCGGCGTGCCGCGCGCGGTCGCCATTAATAAATAGCGGGCGACAGAGGGGGTGGCCAAGCACTGGCCGGCGGACGCGTGGCGGGGCCCCCCCTCCCCCGCGCCGCGCCGCAACGGCGTGGGCCGTGCGCGGGGGTCGGCCTAGGTCCGTCCGCCGGGATGTTTAGGCAGTGGGAAGGACGGAGCACTTCCGGGCCTGCGTGCAAACGGCGCGCGCGGGCTTGCGGGGGTGGTCTGTATTTGCCAGGCCGCGTCGTTCCTGCGCCGTCCACTTGGTGCGCGGACAGGCTCCAGCCGCGCCCTCGGGGATGTGCGCAGCCGTGCCCTGGATGCCGTATACATAGCGGCGAACACATGCGCGCAAGGAAATAACGGCGCGCGGTTGTTTTTTGAGGCTGAATACACGAGGTCGGTCGAACGCGAACGCGACGTTATCTCGGCGGAGGGATACACCCAGCCCCTGTTCTAGGCCTGCTTGCTCTCGGGCTCTGACCCGAAAAAACGTTTGCGAGGACGATGCCGTATGTGCAGTATGATGCGTCGCGGCCTCGGATCGGAGGGGGAAACGTTTGCGAGGTCGCCTGCGGCCACAGCCCCGGTATTCTTCAACACTGGCAGGCGCACGACCTATCCATTCCCACGACGATATGTTGACATGGAACCGTCGGTGTTGGCATAGAAGAAGAGACTTGGCCGTCGGCACCATTGAATAGGTGATGTAGACGAGACATACTTGCAACTGTACGTACTACGCTCGCCTCGAGATTGGCGAGGATGTGCGGACCTGGGAAGAAGGGGTTTGTGCCTCGGTGTTGGCTCCGTGGTTGGTGACGGTGGTATCGTTGTTGCCCGACCTCCTGGTTAGGGCAGGTAGGAATGAAAAATAGCATGAACGGACCATGGGATAGGACCCCCGAAAGCGCCTATAGTAGGCCCGCCGCTAGACGCCCACTTTTTCGACTTTCATGTCCGGACAATTTGGGGGTCGGTGTCCGGACAAACCGGCGACCATCCGGGCGCGGGTCCCCACCGTGTCCGGACTTTCGGCGGTCATATAGGCATGTAAGGACGCTTGTATTCGTGCAAAAACCGTGTTTTCTGAGCATACATGTACTCTTTCATGCTGACTCTCTTCAAAAAAGGACGCATTACTCCTCCATCGCATCGTTGACGTTGTCGACGGCGTGTTGGCCCTTTAGATATGGTGTTTTCACTGTTACCTATGAGACTGGATGCAGTGTCTCCCTTCCAGCGCACTTGTCGCTCACTGCCAGTGCCCGCTCCACAGTCTATACCCTGCTCACACTACGTGGTAGTACTTGGCCAGGATCTGGCTTCGCAACGACTTGTGACCGGCCGATCTTGAGTCGTCCTGTGTGTCGGCGATCAAGCTTCGTGTGTGCACTCCATGTGCCTCTTGCCAGTTGACGAGATGCTTGAGCTCGAGTTGTGTTGCCTTCAAGACTGGAAGAGAGAGGGAAGGGAAGGGGGCTGGACTAGAGTGGACTGAGATCTTGTCGCGACGAGTGCAACGTCGGAAGAGGGGCAGTGGCCACAATGTTCTCCTCCTCCGCGTCCTCCGCATTGCCCACCTCCTCCGGCTCGTCCGCCTCCGCGTCGTCCACTTCTGCGCGTGTCGCCCACCTCTACACTGTCCACCGCATCGCCTGCCTCTGCCCGCCTCGCTCGCCTCGCTCGCCTCGTCCTCGCCCTCCTCCGCAGATATCGCCCGCATCCGCATCGCCCTCCTCCGCCCGCGCTGCCCTCCTCTGCCCGTCATCCTCCTCTGCCCGTGCTGCTCCCCTCCACATGCCGAGTCCGCGCGCGTTGCCCACCTCCTCCGTGTGCGTCGCCCGCATCCGCGCTGCCCTCCTTCGCCTCCGCCTCCTCCTCCCGCGAGCACTCGGCGTCACTCTCTTCTGTGTTGCCCTTCTCCGCGCGTGTCGCCCCTCCGCGTCGCCTACCTGCGCAGTGCGCGTCACCCGCCTGCGCATCGTCCGCCTCCTCCGCCAGCGTATCACCCACCCCGTCGCCCTCTCTCTGCGTCGCCCTCCTCTGCGTCACCCTCCTTCACTTCCGCGTTGTCGCGGGGCCACGGCGAGCTACTGTGGCCCCATTCTTACTTGCTAGCACTCCTTTGTAATAGCTTAATGACAAATACATTTTAATCACTAACCATGTACAAAAAGTGTGGTCTGGAACAAAGAGGGAGGTGAGCTCACTGTCGGAGACGGTGAGCTCGGGCGGCAGGGCCCGAGGCGCCGGTTTTCGGACATGTCGGGGCAGCGTCGCGCCCGTGTGGCCGGCCCGCGGCGGGCAGCGGCGACGTAGCTACGTATGTAGTCCATCCCATAAAAAGTCGATTAAAGCGAGCATTAATTGGAATTGTAGGATTGTTATTTGGATCATCAATGTCTGGATAGATTATCTACAACGAATGGTAGTGCCCTCTGCCAGCCTCCGGAGTCCGGACCCTCCCGAAGCATGTCCGGATTCCCGACAGTCCCCGAAGCCGCCCTCGGCCCATGTCCGGAAAATCGGCGGCCAGGTCGTCAAGAAAGGCCCTTCCGGTGTCCGGATCACGCCTAGTCCTAGGGCCAAAAATCGTCGATCCGTGTCCGGATGACCGGCGGGCCTACTATAGGCGCTTTCGGGGGTCCTCATGGGATTCGATCTTCCATTTCCCGGCCCGGCCGCATCCGGGCCCGACAACGCCGCCTTTGTCTCTTCCGATTGCGTTCAGCAACCAATATACGTCGCGCATGGAGTAAGATACGCCAAAACATGTTGAAAGACGTGGCACTTCACTACATCGAGAGTCTCTCTGACAGAATCGCCATCCACCTCGTCTCGCTCGCCCCTTGAACATCAAAACACCTTAGTAGCGGTGGTCGTCGTCGTCGTCGTCGTCGTCGTCGTCGTCGTCGTCGTCGTCGTCGTCGCGTCGTACATAGCCCCGATACTGTCCTCGAGCCCGTGCAGGTCGTACCTCCGTCCTGCCGCTCCTCCGGGTGATAACCGCCGCCGCTGCCGCCGCCGCCGCCGCCGTGCTCGTACTCGCGTGATTCGTTCGGAGCACCGGCTTCGTAGTAGTGGGGTGGGTCGTGCGAATCTTCATCATCTTCGAGCCTCTCGCTTGACTCGGTCCTCAGGCCTCAAGGCCTCAGGCATCGCCGCGTACTCGCTCGAAAACTCGCTAGGTTCAAGGTACTCGAGCTTGGTTGCTGGGCTCTGTTGTCATCCCAGGCTCGACCGTAGTTTACTCCCTTCGTACACACGTAGCGTACCGCCTACCATAGGGCTCGGCTCCGACAGGTGTAAAGTAACGGGAACGCCACAACACAAACAACATGTACTCCGTGATCGCGCGGTTGAGGGGGGTGTATCGTGCGTATCCATCCCCGGAGTTATAGTACCGTGACTGGTCGGTGTTCTGATAGTAGTAGCTACCATCCCTACGCGCCAAGGACGCCAATGAGCGACTGAACGCGAGAGGGCTAGAGCAAGAAACGTACCTATTGCTGTAATGATATCCGGTGTTGCCATCTTCATCGACACGGGTGTCCCATCTGTTACCCTGTCCGTGTGACGGCCAAATCAGCTTCGTCCAAAGGGCGACACAGTGCATATTCGTACCTCAGAGTTCGTGCCATGGCCGGTGATCGCGGCGTCTTTGTAGCGCGACATGTTGGTGGCGGAAGGCTTGAGGCAGCGCACCATCCGCCTGTCTTCTTATATCACCACCGGCTTTACGTGCCCTTCGACCAAACCTTGTTAATAATCGTCTGGCACCAACCGCGTGCGACGTGTGCTGCGGCATTGAGCTGACCCATGCGAGAAGACCTTGGGCGCCAGAAGACGTGTGCTAACGCGTCCACAGATAACGCGTGAGGCCTGGTGCCCACTGCGGCTACTATGGGATACAGCACGCGCATATGTGACACATAGGGATTGAAAGGATGTAATAATAATAACAACTATGGGATACAGCAGGCGGTTAGGCTCGATCATCCAGCCGTTTTCGTCGTCCCTCCTCAACGGCTGGCCAATGATCGAGCCTTGTGCAGTCCAAGACAGATCCGGAGTCGCTGTACGGTCCGTCGACGAGCCGGGTTCGGAGAGAACTGGCTTACATCTCACCGTGAAAGATGGCCACTTGCAATATACCATCGAGTGCAGCAGTTAGCGGCGTTCCAAAACATTCATTATCGCACCAGACCCCATCGGGTGTCAAGACTTCCCCGCTGAGTACAGATACATATGTTCCCGAAGATTACTACTTCTTCGAGCCGTAGTACTGCTTGGTGGAACCGTCCGAAGACTTGTACTGAGCGTAGCCATCCCCGCTGTTGTAGTACCGAGAACCATCGGTGTTCCGGTAGTAGTAGCTACCGTCCCTGCAACAAAGGCGGATCAGACATCGACGCGGAATGGAGCGCGACCGGCGCGAGTGTCAGTACATACTGGTTGGAGTAGTGATAGCCGGAACCGCCAGTGTTGCTGTCGACACGGGTGTCCCAGTTGTTCCCCTATACGCATCGTGGACGCGTGAGCGAATTGAGGATGTCTGGGAAGCAAAGTGTGGCACACGCACCTGAGTGTTGGTGCCGTGGTTGGTGACGGTGTCGTTGTTGCGAGGCATGGTGATGAGAGTGTGAGTGAGTGTTGGGAGAGATAGGAGTAAAGGAATGGGGCATGCCGACCTGTAGCTGAGCCTCTTTATACCGCCCCCTTTACCGCAGCACACGGCCCGACCTGACCTCCGCCGCTGCCCCAACGATCTCGTCGTCGTCCGATCAAGGTGCTAGAAACATCGCCGCGTGTCTACCGCAGTGGAGTGTGACCGAAAGCGTGTCAAGTGGTCTCGTGTATAGCACGCTGACAGATGTAAAGGTGTCAGCCTCTGTCAGGGGTGGCATGGTCGCCTCGCGATCGACGCGTCCCGGTAGATCATGATGAGATCCACCGCGTCAACAGTAACAAACAGCGCGTCTGTGGCTGGGTTTGGCGCCTGTTGGGCTGCGAGGATGAGAGCTTGAGACGCGCAACGACAGCCGGAGCCTGTACCCACAGGCTGTCTCAGCTCCACTTCATCGAGTCCCATCCGTGTCTCTGGATCTTCACTCGCACACATCAGCGTTGGAATGGAGTTAATCTTGGAAGCGTCTCCCTACGCCCAGCGACGAATCAATGTGCTATCGCGATCGGGACGGAAAACGGAGGCCCGTAAAGGGGTCAGATGACGCCATTCCCCTGGCCAATGCGCGTGGTGCATGGGGGGCGAAGAGAGACGGTAACCCGAGATGCCCTCGCGCGCTACGACGCAGGTGAGTGTATGCACATATCGCTCCAGACTATCATCGGCAGCCCGGCACGACCAATTGTATCCCAGGCGTGTCGTATAAAGCGTTGTGGCACCGCGCCCCGAGCTTTCGCCTTTTGCTCCCTCACCTCCCTCTCATCCGCACTCACCAGTCGGCCCAGAGCCATTTGCGATGTCTCAACCCGAGTACTTGCCGTACGAAACCAAGGGCATGCCGTTCAGGCTGCTCGGGAATAGTGGTCTCCGTGTCCCAATATTTTCTCTTGGCGGATGTGAGTTCTTCTCGATCTTGGGTTTCTTTACTTCGGTGTTAAGATGGCGCAACCGCAAGGGGTGACGATTGGTGGGTCCGTGAAAGGCGACCTAGTCAAGGTGTGTAGTTTTAAACATGTCGATCGACATCGAGGAACTCAAGCAGCGCTCTCTAGGACATCATGAAGACTGCCTGGGACAACGGCATCAACATGTTTGACTGCGCAGAGTCGTACGCCGGCGGACAGTCCGAGATAGAGATGTGAGTCCATCGAGCACTTCATCTGCTCAGCATTGTCAATGCCATCCAGGGGGCGCGTGATCAAGGAGCTGAACCTGCGCCGGTCCGACTTTATCATCACTACCAAGATCTTCTGGGGAACCCGTCGCGGTCCCAACGACATGGGTCTCTCTCGCAAGCAGTGAGTTAGTCGCGATGGCTATGAGTATATTTTCCAGATGACGTATGCGCTCTCAGCATCATCGAGGGAACGAAGGAATCGCTGGCGCGCCTCCAGCTCGATTACGTCGATGTCGTTTTCGCCCACCGCGCAGACCACACGGGTGAGCATATTTGTCTTGTACACAACCGAAACACCGATACGATCAACTTTACTAGTGCCGATGGAAGAAGTCGTTCGTGCATTCAACTGGGTCGTTGACAAGGGTTACGTGAGTGCCCCGCTTGGCCCCCGTAGACAATGTCTCAGCCCGCCCGCGTAGGCTCTGTACTGGGCCACTTCCGAATGGTCGTCGCAGGAGATCGAAGAGGCGCACCGTATGTCCACGTCCTTTGGACTCGTCTACTCGTCTATTGCGCTAATACAAGCTCAGATATCGCGACACGACTTAACCTCATTGGACCCATTGCCGAGCAGTGCTCCCACAGGCACGTATCATGCATTCTTTGCCTCCTCAAGTTTTAGTTGGTGACATCTTGTTCAGCATGCTCCACCGTGAGCGCCCGGAGCGGGAATATGCGTATGTCGGCTTATTTGTCGCAGCGCTCAACCACTAACCCTATAGGATTGCATACACAAGCCCTCTGTACCGCAAGTACCATCTCGGCACTACCGTCTTCTCTGCCCTTGCGCAAGGAATTCTCACCGGGAAGGTATGTCTTCCTATATTTTCTCCACAACCCAGATGCTCAGACTCAACTTGATTGTTAGTACAACGACGGTATCCCACAGGGCTCTCGTCTGGATATAGAGCAGGAGGAGCAATTCAAGGAAAAAGCGAAGTGGCTACAGTCTGCCGAAGGGCAGAAGCAGATTGAAACGGTCAGGAAGTTGACCGCCTTTGCCGAGAGCGGTGCGAACCTTTTCCGACGATGAGCTCAAACGTCGTTGCTGATGAATCTACTCCACACTTAGAGCTCAAGTGCAAGGTCTCCCACCTGGCGCTCGCGTGGATCGCAGCCAACCCCCACACTTCCACTGTGATCCTTGGCGCATCGAAGCCCGAACAAGTCCTCGACAACCTCGAGGCTCTCAAGGTCATTCCTCGGTTGACGCCCGAAGTCCTCGAGAAGATCGAGAAGATCCTCGACAACAAGCCTGCGGCTTGGGTACGTTGTCGACATCTACCTGCCCCCACCGAATATCCAGTTCGTTGACCGACTATCATGTAGCCCATCTACGGTCGCCCGGCCCTGGACCCTATTCAGAAGTGGCGTGAGATCTGAATGGCAGCGATCGATAGATGTAGTAAGTGTGTTCACATTCGATTTTCCTGCCCTCTCCACTGACGCGTGGGCTCGATAGGATGTTTGAACTGAATGTACTTTTTCCTGGTTGCTCCCATGCACTCCGGCACCGGTCTGGGGATCTCCGACCCCGGCGTCGTTATCTCTTGTCTTATCTGCGCCCTCGACGTTACGAGCTAACGACCACGCTGCGCTGGGTTCGATGCGTCTTCTCACACTCCGCGATAGTTGACACGCAGCACATGCAGCAATCAGGTCCGGTTGCAGTGGAACTCTCGCATTTACGGCACTCGGTTCCGCCGCCCCCTCGTCATCACACCGTGGTCCGCGGAAATGCTCTTATATCCACTTCTAACCCGGATGTCAATTCTGAGGGGACGGCATCGGTGACGGCATTTTGCGCATGTAGTCTACACTCAAAGTTCAAGGATACTGACTTCGCCGCAACCCTGGACGTTGGCCATGTTCATCACGGACGAAGTACACCCCATGCCCGGGCTTTGTGCCCATAGTGTCGGCCTTTCGATCGTCACTCCCCGCCGTCGGGCCATTCTTGAACTGCGCCACATTGCGATAAGTATTTGTGTCGACCTCACCTCATGCGCAATCAATCACATGTGAACTCACTCACGTGTCCATCGTCATGCGTCCCTTCGGTGCGTCGCAAGCTGACTCCCAAGTACTACCACAGCTACGCGCCGGTCGCCCAGCAGTTGAACTCCCTTGGCAGCCCACCGCTGCGTCACGGCCTCAGAATACGCATATCTCTGATACGCTTCTCTTGCGCGCGCGCGCGCGCACGCTAGCCCTCCGGCCCCAGGGATAACGATCACAGGTGGGCACTACAGATTCAGGCGCCTCCCAATGCTCACCATGGCAGACTCCAGGAATCCAGAGCCGCATGGGCGACGCCAGGCACCCACGTGCACGCTGTACCGCCGCCGCCCGGCGTGGGGATCATCCCGACGGAGGGATCGCCCCGCGGGCCATCAATGCATTAGTACCAGGCACTGTGATACTTTGTACGTACGGATTCAGTACTTACGAGCTATGCATTTATAATATTTAATTGACGGGAGGTGGATCACTGGAAGGGACGAGCTTCGACCTGGAACCCCAGCGTTTGCCGTTTGGGGCGGGGCGAGCCCAGAGGTTCGACTTATACATCAGGAACACGAGTGCCGGCGCGCTCTGTGTTGGAACTCCGGAGGATGCGAGAGGACATCATGACGTCACGCTCCGAATATCCGGGGTGCTAGAGGTGTATCTTCGGAGCGCGGTGCAGGTGCTGCGCCAGCACTCCTCGAACTTCACAGCCAAGGGCAACGGTACGTGCGCCCTAAGACCCGCACGAGCGCAACCGGTTCATTGACCGCAATCGCCCCGGCTCCACTTCAGCATGTGCGCGCGAGGACAGTTGCCCGCGGCCCGCCGCGCACTGTCACCGGTCACCATTGGCCTTGACGTCTGTCGGTGTCATTAGCAGAACAGAGCTCGTGTCAGAGGTCAGCGCAGGCGAATTCGACGTCGTACATCCGGGCACCACCCGGAGAGAACTCACTGCGACCAATCGCTGCCCCGTTCACTGAACGTCTCGAGACATGCGCTGCGCTGTTGCCCGCCTGGGATCTGGGGTCCCGCTCGGAGGCAGTAACTTCAGCGCGGGGTGGGAAGCCAGCGCGGTGATCACGACGGACGCGGCGAGACATGCCCATTCCCGGCTCACTCCAATGCTTATGCTTTTTCTCTCGGGGCAGATTCGCTCGCAAGCTTTCAATTGATACACTTCACTCCCCACCCGTTTGAACACGGCCCCGAAAGCGTGAGGAGGCGCCGCCGACGTTCCGCCTCGTGCGTGGGATCCCGCCTGCGCCGACGGAACCGCGTCTGAGACCGGGCGGTGGTGGCGTCCCGAGGCTCTCGCGCGCAGCGCCACCGCGAGAGAGCGTTGTGCCGGGCAACCACCGCAGCCGATGGCCAACGCTAGCAGCGGCGCGGCGCGGCCGCGCGAGTGCGCGGGTCGGACAGCGGCTCGAGGTTGGCGAGGAAGGGAAGTGCGACAGGTAGATGCGCGGGCTGATGCCGTCTTGAGGCCTTGTGGACTTGAGCGTCGGGCGCGCGCGAACCTCGAGGCCAGGGTGGGTGCGCGCGACGGGACCCACGGGCGCGCGAGCGCGGTCGCTGGATGCGGGCCATAATGAGGCGGGCGCACGGGGCCGTCGGGCGTGCACGAGATCTGTTTTCGCGCGGCTGCGGACCGCGGTGGACCTTTGAGGATAGCGGAGCGCGGGTGTAAACACATGGTCCGGGGGGCGTGACCTGGGGCGGAGAGGGAGGTCGTGATAGAGGACGCTTACCAGATAAGGCAGGCGGATTGGGCACGCTCTTGCCCAACACAATAAGACGTTGGCGCCCTGGCAGACCTTGTCTCCAGCGAGCCCGTCGTCCTCTCTTGCCTTCCTACTACCACCACCGCGACACCCACCTCGACCACACACCCGCGCCGCCCACGACACTCCGGACGAGGAGCCCGTCGAGACAACCATCATCACCTCGGCGCCGAGCGTGTGGACCCAAGAAGCCTTAGGCCTATCGCGGAAGCTGAAGCCAGCTTGTCCCCGCACCCGAGCGTGCGGTCACAGTGCGCGTCGCGCAACCCCCACCTGCAAATTTAGCGTTCGGACTAGAGCCCTTCCGAGCGACGCATCTCCCGCCACATGGCGGCAACTGGCCTGATAGCTGATTATGTCGTGCGTCCCTCCCCGCCCGCTCCTTTCCCCCGCACCCCCACTCACCCACCATGTCTCACCAGGGAGGCCCCGGCACTGGCTCGCTCGGTGGCCCGCCTTCGGGCCACGTACGTTTCCCTCCCTCTGCCCCCCGCACATCCCGCGCTGACTGTATGCGCCACAGAACTACAAGAGGGCAGTTTACCGCCCGTCACCGAAAGAGTTCACCGTAGATGTCCTCCCGCCGACCAAGATGGGTGAGCACGCACGCGACTCTCCCACGCGTCATTCCACTCACTTCGCGCGCAGGCAGCGGCTTTTGCTTCGGCATGCGCATATGCCCCATCTTCACTGAAGAAACAGACGTCCGCTCGACGCGCTCGGGCAGCTCCCACAGCGAGTACGAAGTTTGGCGCCGGTGGGAGGACTGCCTCTGGTTCCAGGAGATCCTCGAGTCCGAGTACGCGCTCATGGCCCGCCAGAAGCGCACACGGCTGCAGGCTGGAAAGGGCGTGAAGAAGAACGGTGTCTACGTCCACTCGGACCAGGCTGCGTCTTTCGACTCTCTCCCCCCTGGTCCAGACGCGAACACCATCGCCAAAGATATCCATGAACACATCCCCCGCCTCACCAAGAAGGGCACCCTCTTCCGACCCAGCCAGGCGACTATCGACCAGCGCGGACGCGAGTTCAAGGAGCTCATAGAGGCGATGTGGAGGGACGACATCCCGAGCCTCATCCAGGAGCTGCGCGAGACCCGTCTGGTCCGCGACTTCTTTGGATACTGGCGGCGCGACCTCGACCACGACAGGAAACGCCAGTCCGCGACCGGAAGGGACCGGACCAGTGCTCGTCATTCCGTCGCCAGCAGCGCATTCTCCATGTATTTCTCCGCCTCGAACATCTCCCTCCAGCTCCCTACCCCTTACGCCGATCTTCCTCCGTCTCCCGCCCTCCCAAATCCCCAATCACCGCTCTCTCAAGAGTTCCGCCGCAACTCCGTGCAGAGGGACGAAAGCCGGCGCCGCTCTTCCGGAGCCCCACCTTCGAACTACGCAACGTCGGACTCTTCGGCCTCTACGGTCAGCGTCGCGAGTCTCGCCCGCGACGCGCCCGGATCCCCGCAAGACATGACGTTCTACGTCTCGACCCGTGGGTCGCTCGCTCTCAGCGTCGCCCACGATGAAGACCTCGACGCCCGTGCGGAATACATCAACGCCCCACTATCGGCGCCCGCGCGTGTGCAACCGCCCCACCCATGGGCGCGGGACTCCGACCGCCCATACTCCTCCTCAGACGACGAGATCTACCCGCCCGATACGGGCAAGCCCCGGGTGGACCCCCTTGGCCCTGTCCCCGGCGAATTCCACCCCGGCCTGGAGGCGCTCCCCGAAGACGGCGAGTTCGAGCAGGAGCTCAACGTCCCCCTCACTGTATCCCCGCACGATGTCATTGAGGAGGTGCCTTGCACGCCTGTCCCCCGTCGATCACGCAACAACTCGTGCCCAGACAAGTCGAACCGGCAGTGCCTCATCTTCCCGCAAGACGATCCGCGGAGCGCACAGCCCGGCGCCCGCTTCACGGCCCGCGCTGAGCCGCAGATGGACACGCGCACGTACTCGAACACGTCCTCGTCGTCGACCTCCGGGCGGTCGTCGCACGCCGCGTTCTCCAGCTTCGCCGGCGACTCGCGCCGCTCGTCGTGGCGGACGTCGATGATGTCCGAGACGAGCGGCGCGCCGTCGTTCGCGACGAGCTTCGCGAACGGCTCGTGTGCCAACTTTGAACGCGGGCCGTCGCGGCTCTCGTTCGCCACCAGCTTCGCCGGCAGCTCGTGCGCGGAGTTCGAGGGCGAGCGTGCCGGTCGGGATCCGCGCATGTCTGTGATGTCGATGGCGACGACGACGACAACGAGCGACGGGCGGGCGACGGCTCTCGGCCACCGCCATCGAGGCTCGATGGCGACCCTCAGCTCGTTCCTCTCCGACCTCTCGATCGACTCGAATGCCTTCAACCGGGGACTCACGCCGTCGCCGTCGAACGGGACCCTCCGTCGGTCGCTGTCGGCCGGAAGCCGGCGTCCAGCGAGCAGCATCATGGCCACGCTGGACCGGCAGGAGGACTGGTACGAGCAGCAAGAAGACCTCCTGGACGCGTACTTCTACGGTAAGCCTTCTTCACGTCCATATCCCTCCCGCAACCCCTGGTCGCATGATCCCTCCGCACTCCCCCCATCCCATTTATCTGTGCCCTGAACTGCTGCTGACTAACTCCCCACCTTCGCACTTCCTCCGATCCCACAGACCCGGGTATGCACGCCAACCAAGGCCAGGCCCTCGCACGCACCCCGTCCCCACGAGCCCGAGACCCCACGCTCCAACCGCTCCCCTTCCACAAGGAAGTCTCCTCCCCTGACCGCTACCCAAAGCCGTTCCGGGACCGCCCCCCAGGCCAGTTTCACCTCCCGTGGACGCCCCCGACGACGCCCGGCCAGAACACCCGCGCGCTCCCGTCCGCGTCCCCCACGTCCCCCGCTCCGGAGGGGAGCGTGACGCTCAAGGCAGTCCTGCACGAGAGCATCGTGCTCCTCCGCGTCGCGCGCGGGGCGCCGCTCGCGGACGTGCGCCAGCGCCTGCGCGACAAATTCGCGGCGCAGGAGGGCGTGACGCTCGCGCCGACGTTCGTCGTCGGCTGGGCGCCGGCGCCGGCGCCCGGGGCCGCGTCGCTGCGGGGCCGCCCGCGCTCGAACTCGGCGAGCAGCGTGGGCGCGCTGCCCCCGCACGCGCTCCGGTACGTGTACTCGGACGCGGAGTGGGCGGTGGCGGTCGCGGCGTGCCAAGGGGGCAAGATGACGATCCGACTGTTCAACGCGCAGCCGCTGTGAGCGGCGTGCGGGTGGTGGATGTTTGTATGATTTTTTCCGCCGGGTTTCCGGGGCTCGAGTCTCGTTTCGCCTTCGCCCTTGGGATCTCGTCTGTTCCCTTTCCTCCTCACGACTTTTGGTTGACCCCCACGAACTCTCACGACGCCCTCCGCATATCTGCATCTCACCCTACACTTATTTATCCCGCCTCTCTCCATCCATCCTGTCTCCCTACTTCTGCCTCTCCGTTTCGAATCCGAATGTTGTACGCCCTTCACCTCATGGATCTCGTGTACTTGTACGTCCGCTTCCCAGCGCGTGTACCCCTACCCTACCCCCTGCTGCCTGCTACTACTACTACTGCCGTCGTCGTCGCTACCGTCTCGCTCCGTTCGCGTTTCCCCCACCCGTTCGTTCGTTCACCACTCGTTCCCCCGTGCACTCGCACCGTTGGGGCGCCACACTCCTTGTTCACTCCGTTATCTCTCGCGTCCTCTCGCTGTTCGTCGTTCGTTCTCGGTCTTCGTTTCCTTTCGCGTCTTTTCATCGCCTCTTCGTTCGTCTTCTAATTAGGCATGCGTTCCCAAAAGTACAGCGTTATAGTCTTAGAGCGCACGGAGTCGGGTAGCACGAGAATCAAACATATTAACAATCCTTGCCACCGTTTGCGAACATCGACCGCCGAGCGACGGCGACGAGATCGCAGAGATGACCTTCCCTTGAGCCCGAGCAGTTTCTCCATTGTGGATTATAAGAGCCCTCAAAAAGCGCCCGCTATGTCCGACTAATGATAAACAAGTGCCCATCTCTCCAGAATGAAGTTAACGTCCTTGGTCCAGTCTATGCACTACAAACACATAGTACTGATTCTTCGATACTTCAGGGCCCTGGCGAGTAGGACTGCCGGGTAAAGGTCCGTCGCACAATACCACACCCGCCTACAATGGATGACCCCAGGTTGACTGTGCTGTGAAAGGCGAAGTCACGCAGTCCCGATCGCGGACCTTCGAATCACCAACAGACTGGGTTCAGAAAGTAAGACTCAGTACACACTGTTCTGGCCCGCCTCCCTCCACCTCCTTGCGCTCTGGCCCTCAACCCGCGACCGACTGCGCCTGCAGCGGCGGCGGCGGCGCTGCCCTCGGCGCTGCGGGCGCGCCCACCGGCAACGGCGTCCTCGTCCAGTCCGGCAAGATGTGTTTCGCCGGCGACCCCCGCGCCCCCGCGCCCTGCCGCCGCCGCGGGGACACGGGCGTCGTCGGCCCCTGCGGCCCCTGCGAGGCCGCGTCGACCATCGGCACGTCCCCGTCCCCATCTTCGTCCGCGTCGCCCTCCCCGTCCCCATCGCGCCCCGCCTCGGCCTCGTCCCACCGCTCGCGCGCGACCTCCGCGCCGCCGGTCTTCAGCGCGCCCGCGAGCGAGCCGCCGATCCAGGCGAGCGCCGTGGGCGTGAACGCGGGCGCGCGCCCCGCGTTCGTCGCCGCGGGCACGCTCGCGGGTGGCGGCGGCGCGGGGTCGTTCACGATTGCGAAGAAGGGGAGGAGCGGGCGGAGGGGCGCGTAGCGGTCGTACGCGCCTGGGGCGGGACGGCCGCGGGGGGTGGACGGCGCGGTGGGGGAGGGGGGCGCGGAGACGGCGCGGGTGAGCTCGGCCTGGAGCCGGGGGATGAAGCCGGGGAGCATGGGCGTGCCGCCAATGACGAGGATCGAGGACGCGAGGGTCTTGCGGAGGTCAACGGGGGCCTGTGTGGAAGAGGATTGTGAGGAAAATGCCGAGGTGGCGGGCATGATGTGAAGAGCAGCGCACTTTGAGTAGGCAGTCAAGAATGACCTCCGCGACACTACTCTCGTCGACGTCGCCACCCTCGAAAAGCACCTCCGCCGCGCGTTCGCGGACCCACCCGGGCACGATCAGCGTGCCCCGCCCCGTGCCCGTCTGCTGCGCTGGTGGGGGGTCGACGCGGAGATGGATGTCCGTTGCGGTAGAGTGCCGCCCGTACATGCGCGCGAGAGCCTGGATGTGGCTCTCGCCTGCGCGCCCGCGCCCGCCGTCGAGCCCGGGCAGCTGCGAGTGCGACACGACGGAGAACTCGGAGCTTGCGGCGTGCCTACTCGAGAAGTTGCTGTCCCGGTCGATGTCCGCACTCACGCGCGAGAACTCGCTCTCCGACAGCGCCGGGTCGCTTGGGGGAAGGTCGATCTCGCTGGAGCCGTCTCCAGGACCGGGCGACATTGTACCTGCACCTTCGGCGGGCTCGAGCGGGTCGCCAACGAAGCATATCCGGGTCTTTATGTCGTCGATAACGCGTTCGGTGAGGACGTCTTCGGGCACGCGGGTCGAGCGTGTTGCAGCGGGGATGTTCATTGCTGCGCTCAAGGATGTTGCTGGTGGGATGTAGGTGCCGAACATGAGGAGCAGAGCTTTGAGATGTGAGGATAGGCGTTCTCCCGCGAGAGGGGTAGTGCGGAGGTGAGGGTAGAGGGGGCGGCAGGAGAATATCTGTGAAAGTCAGATCGACTGAGGGCGGCGTGCGACGACTTCGGAGTACTTACAGGGAGAACGGTGGATTCTAGGTGACCGCAGTCAAGAACGAGTCCTGTGACACGTCCAGACGCCAGTAAAGCAAGGAGATGGCTTGATGCGAAGGAGATGGAGGGCACCTGTATGCGCTCAGATGATAGTGTACTGAGTGCGCATGATATGCTCACCTGCAAGTTGTTGAACAGGATTCGGGCCATGATTTCTTTGAGGTGAAGTGGGAGCAACGGATGCTCAACCAAGATCACTTTTCGTGACTTGGGGTCTGTGAGGAGAGAACTTCAATGCATGTGAGGGGTACAGTTTGCAAAGGGGATTGTGGACGCACTTGTGGAAGACGGAGCGGAGACATCCTTCAAGCTTGGCCTCGAGTATACGATCCTCCTCCTCCCTCTCTGCAGTCTTGAGAGCGCGGTTCAAAGTCCAAAGCGCGTGTCCGCTCTCACCCCCAGCGCAGAAGACGTCTCGGGGCTTGCCTTCACCACTGAAGCCGACCTTCCAAACACGCGAGCCTGGGTCAAGTATGATCCTGTCCTCCGTGCCGTAGAGGGAGTGACGCCTTGTTGTTTGATAATGAGGTGACGATTGGACGACGTGCGAATGTGCAACGCGAGTTGTTTGTGGGGTGGTCGTTGTGGGCAATAAAGAGGTGTCCCTCCGGGGCGTGGCAGGGTTGACGGACATGATGCAGAGCCAGTCAGACGCGATGAGTTTCCTAGCAGAAATGTGGACACAATGTGCAAAGGATGTGCCAGGACATTCAGCAGGCAGGTAGTGGCGGCGGGGAGCGAGGATATTTGGCGCCTCCGACGAGCATATGCTTTCCCGACGGTTTCCCGATCGAGCAATGTCGGGACTGATGCGCTTGCCAAGCTGGTGATGCACCGCGTCTGTGCAAGCGTCCACGGGATGATACCTGCGGGCGGCGATGTATGAAGCGGTGTACTTGCTGGACGGACACGTCCTGAACCCGAGTCTTTCTCTCCTCTGCTCGTTACGCGACACGACCACGAACCCCACAACCAACCTCAGAGACGGCCGTGTTGCGCCGCTGCGACCTGGCGACCACAAGTCGTGCGCCAGAGCTTGGTTAACTGTTTCCCCCCTCCCTTCTTCCCCTCCTCTTTCCGTGCTCGATGCTTGTCCGACGTCGTTCGCTCTTTGTTCTGCTTTTCGCGATCGCGACTGTGACCCTAGTTGGCTGGACCATCAAAGCCAGGTGCGCACCTTCCCAATCCTTCGCCGCCAGCCATTGACATGCGCGCTCGGCTCGTTCGCCAACCTCAATCATCCTCCGCCCACTCGCAGCCAGCAGATCCGCAACTTCCTCTCCTACTCTACCCGCCCGCTATGGGACTCCCCGGCCGGTCCCCATCACGTCATCCCGCACTTCTACGCTGAAGGCGTCCCCGTCGATGCCCACCTCTGCGCCCTGCACGGCTGGGACGTCCGCGACGAGAACGACCTCCCCGAGGTCTGGGACGCCGTGCTCTTCTCCTCCGAGCTAGACCTTTTCGAGATCCGCCTCCACGAGCTCGACTCCGTCGTCGACAAGTTCTTCGTCGTCGAGGCCGACCGTACTTTCACCGGCATCCCCAAGAACCTCACCTTCGCCGCCCACGCCGACCGCTTCTCTCCCTTCATCCGCCGCATCGTCCACTCCGTCTTCTCTGGCGCACACGTGCTCGCCCCGGGCGAGAGCCCGTTCGAGAACGAGATCGCCCAGCGGCGGCACATGGACGCCCTCCTCCACCAGCACCGCGACGCGCAGCCAAACAAGGTCCCCCCGCTCGTCATCTTCTCGGACGTGGACGAGATCCCGTCCGCGCACACGATCAGGCTCCTCCGCCGCTGCAAGGCTCCGAACCCGATCCACCTCCAGATGCGCGAGTACCTCTACTCCTGGGAGTGGCCCGCCGGCGAGGGCAGCTGGAGGGCGCAGGTGCACCGGCTCAACTCGCCCAAGGCTGGATACAACCACGGGCAGGTCACGGAGGCGAAGCTGGCGGACTCGGGGTGGCATTGCAGCTTCTGCTTCAGGTATTTGCATGACTTTTCAGACAAGATGATAGGTGCGTTGTCTGCGAATCCTGCGTGGCCCGCTGGTTCCTTATGCCCTCCATGCAGGCTACTCGCATGCAGATCGTGTGACTGACAAGTCGCTCCTGAAACCTGAGAACATCCAGAGGAGGATCTGTGCGGGAGAGGACATCTTTGGAATGCTACCCGAGGCGTACCGCGTACGTTTCCAGTCCCACTCGTTACTGGACTCGCGTCGCTCAACCTTGATGTTCCAGTGGAAAGACATGCTTGCCCTTTTAGACAAGGACCCGCAAGCGTCTGCGGTGCACGTCCCGCGATATCTGTTGGAGCAGAGCGAGGCGTACAAGTTCCTCTTGCCCGGAGGGTGTATGAGGGAACCCTGAAGGTGCGCATCTGTCCTACGATCTCAGTCGTCTGTCTGCTCACCTGCGTCACAGAGATATCTTGTAATACCCTGGAGGGTTGTAGCAACACTGGCGGACTATGTAATGACACAGAGTGTCTGGAGCGCGAAGTATTACACCTATCCCAAACACTCATTAATCCCTGCACGACCTCCCAGTGTCGATTAACCGAGCGTCCGGCGTCCGGCGACTAACCCTCTCCCTCGGGTCTCTTCGGGTCTTCTCCCGCTCCGCGTCTCGCTTCCATCATCCTGTCCTGCACAACATTGCGCAGCGAACAGGGCACAGCACCTCGCCTCCGTGCGTCGCACGAGCCCCCCTGCTCCCCCTTGGGCCTTCCGCCGAGCCGCACTAGAAGCCACACGCGCAGCCGAGCCCTTTGGCGAGAGGGACGCGCCCGCCGCGGCAAGACGCGTTGAAACGCGCCGGGAGCAACGCCCGTCCGGCGGAGGTCGCTAGCACGAGGCCGACGTCAACAATCTCGCCCCGACGCCCTGGGGCCTCTCGGTTATGCCGCGAAATGGCCCCCGATCCCCCGGCTCGCGTCATCAATCCTCAGACCTCTCGACGGACGCGCTATCGCCGTTGCCTCGGACCTGACGAGGATTGACTCTCAGAGGCTTAGTCGATGCGTGCTGCTCCGTGGGACGATGCTCGGAAGCTCCCCTCGTCGGTCGGCGGGGCGCATCGAACGGAACCAGCTCTGACCAGGCCAGGCCGGCGACAGACAATGGGCAGGTCAGGGCCGGAGCGAGAGTCGGACTCAACGGCGTTAGACGGCGCGACTCTCTCTCTCTCGATGCGGATGAAACGACGCGGCGGCGGCGACGACCTACACTTCTGCCACGCGAGACAAAGAACAAGGCCGGGGCCCTGAGGAGCTAGCACGGAGGGGAGACGGGGCGGGGCCGCGCTGCAGGCACGCGAGCGAGGGCGTCGCCGCGGGAAGGGCAGGCATGGCGCCGCGGGATCGACCGAGCGAGAATGAAACGAAAATGGAACGCTTTAGCGAGCGGATCGCAGACCACGACAGCCGACATGATGCTCCTTGGGCCTGTTTCACAAAAAACCCATACAGGGGTTCGAGCCCACCGACTCGACGCGCGCGAACGTCGCTTCTGGAGACGGGCGCGAAGGGCTCGCTACTCTGCAATCGCGGGTATGTAAGCGTCGCAACTGTCGAAAGTGCCCGACTCGAGAGCTCGAGAAGCACCACTGTCACAGGCACATACCCGCACGCGCGGAGGCGGAGGAGGGTCTCCGAGCACCGATGGAGTACAAACCTAGAACGGCCGCGACGAGCACTGACAATGACGAATGGACGACGGATATATCCTACAGGCCGACAACGTACGACTCGGTACAGCGCGAACCAAGCAGCCGCCCCTGCCCCTGCCCGAACTCCCAGGCCCAGGTCCCAAACCACAACACAACCTCGGCCCTGCGCTCACCGGGCGGAGCTGAGGCTCTCGAGTCCGAACGTGACGTCGCTCCCGCGGTCGAGCTCGTTGAACGGATCACGCATGCTGCCGGTCTTCGCGCGCCAGAGTTGCGTGTAGAGCGTCCGGAGCTTCTGCAGCTCCGCATCGAGTGCGGCCGTCTTCGCGGCGAGCGCCATGAAGGTCGTGTGCTGCGCCTCGAGCGTCGACACAATGGCTGCACGAATGTGAGCGGGCGGAGCAGGACAAGACAAAGGCGGAACGAGACGCACCCTGGGGTGTGTGCTGGGGCTGGGACGCGGCCGAGGAGAGCTTGCGCTCGATTTGCTACATGCGCCGCACGCGGTGAACAAAAGGCGTGCAGAGAGAGAGCGTGCAGACATTACCTCGATCGTGGCTTTGTACCACCGCAACCGCTCGCGCATCTGCTCCGTGACGCGGTGGAAGAACTCGAGGGGGAAGTGCGCGTACGTCTTGAGGTACTGCCCGTTCTGTTGTGGGTTCCTGAAGCCGTCCACGATGCGCGTCGCGGCGATCATATCCTGCACCGTTTGGTCGACCCGCTGCTTCAGGTCTTTTGTATGCTGTACGTCGGACCGCAGGAGGGAGGTGGCGCCACTGAGGTCCTGTAGGGCGATGAGCAGGAGGATTCGGCGGGAAAAGCGGATGACGTACCTTCTGCACAACACGGATGCCCTCCTGACCCTTTACCGCCTCGTCCCCGAGTTTCCGCTGCTTCAGGTCCTTGCATATTTGCACGCGCCCCTGGATGAACGAACTGCAGAGGTATCAGGGATGCCCTCGGAGACGCCAGTGGAAGGAAACACACTCAATCTCCTCCAGCATTTTCTTCGACTGGTCCGGTAGGTCATTGAACTTCGTTGACCTCGTGAATTGTGGCGCGGCCGTGCTTTGCGCCCTGTACGTCCCGTCTCAACGATCAGCGGTCCTCACTCCGGGGTCATGATGCAAGCTTACAGACAATTGTCTGTACAGCAGCACCAAGCACCTCCAAATACATGATACACAGAAAGCGAGCCACTCACAGTTGTTGCGTCGAGTTCCCCCACATCTGAGCCGCACCGCCGGGAGCCGTCGACCCAAACAGATTCTTGCCTGCGCCCGCCCCTACGCCCGCGCCCGCGTTCGTCTGCGCCTGCTGTCCGCCAAATGCCCCCAGGTTCAACGTGCTCTGCTGTCCGCCAAACGCCCCCAAGTTCAGCGTGCTCTGCTGCCCGGGCTGCGCATTCGACGAGGTCCCAAACGCTGAAGGGAACGCGGTCGTGCTCGCGCCAAAGAGCGCGTTCGCTGGTTTTGCCGGCTGCCCGAACGGATTCGCCCCCGTCTGACCCTGCTGCTGCTGCTGCTGCCCAGCGGGCTGTCCGAATATGTTCGTCGACTGCTGCTGTTGTTGCTGCTGAGGCTGTCCGAAGGCCCCGGCGGGGTTCCCGAAGAGCGTCGAGCCCTGCGCCGGCTGCTGGGTGTTCGACCCGAGCGTGGAGCCAAAGAAGCTGCCGGTGGTGTTCGCTGTTTGGTTTTGAGCAGGTTGGCCGAATGCGCCAAAGGCGGAAGTGCCGGCGGGCTGTTGCTGCTGCTGTTGCTGCTGTTGTTGTGGCTGCTGCTGCTGTTGGGGCTGCGTACTGCCAAACAACGCACCGGATGGTTGTGGGGTAGAGGAGCCAAAGAGAGAGCCAGCGGGCTTCTGACCACCAAACAGCGGGCTGGGGCGATGGAGTTGAGAAGCAGGCGCATGACCGGAGGCTGAGGGACGTACTTGGAAGGATTGGGATTGAACGCCATCCTAAAACACCCTCTGCGCTACACTCGCAACAAAAGCCTTGACACTAGTGCTATATCAAACGCTTCCGAAGAGCACTGCGAGCGAAAGGAACAGAAGCAGAAACAGAGGAGAGGGAGAGGACGGGTGGCGGCAAAGATGCGACTGGAGAACAACGCGGCAACTTCAGCGCAGACGCGCTCGCGCGTGGTTATCACGTGGCCTTCCCGACGGGCGTTTGAAAACTCAGTAAAGCACTTCCGAGGCATCCTTGCAGTTCACCTTCACGTTTCCCAAATCCTCGCTCTTCTGTTGCTGCATCTGGCCTGTTCAAGTTTCTTTGAGAAAACTTCGATGCTGTATGCATTTCCATGACGTCCACAGACAGTCAGAAATCATGACTGCAATGGTTGTCGTTCAATTTTTTTTCCAAGGCAAGTGTTTAGCGTGCAACGTCGGTCCCATCTTTGTTTCTACGGCGTCAGGTATGTTTTTAGACATGCCACTCAGACGGTATGCAATAATAGTCACATTCTGTCACCAAAGACGTCGCCCGGTATGTCGTTTTGCACCATCTGAGTGAGCACTTCTCCCGCGAGCATAATATTATATACCGCTGACTCGGTGAGCACAGCCGGCATCTTGCCTATGTCTGAGGATTGCCGGGATGAGTGTTTGACGCGCTCTCCATGGTCTGCGAATTGTTTCGCCGCAGGCAGACTTGCCCGGGCCAGACCTGGGCCCACAGGCAGGCCGATCCCGCCTCCCCGACCGTCCCCGCCCGTTGACGGCTTCTATAATCGGCCACGCGAGACGCGGTGTGTAATTGGAAGGCCGGAGCAGTATGCAGGCATTAATCAGCGTAGCCTCAGTGGACCCACAATGGACCCATAAAGTTTTTGGAAGGCGAGTGATCGAAGTGACTCCACTGACTTTAGCCAATGTCTCGTGAAACAGGGATTTTCTCTTGGCAGCAGCGCCACATCCTCGGTTTTCAGCTTTGTTCTCTTGCTTCGTGGTTCAAACCTCAAAGTACTGTGCACCTCCTGACGATGCTCGTACTACAGCGCCCGGCCCGACTCTCCGTCTCTGCGCCTCCATCGGCCGCCAGATATCGTCAAATTGCGTCATGCCCCCGCATCAACCTCCGCGACGGTACACTTCGCACTACGCGCAGTCCTACACTATCACCGCCGATGAGCCCCATATTCGTTTGTTGATATCCGTAGGTCTTATCTACTTCTAGCGTTGTTGAGGGGACTAGTTTTTCTTTGCCTTCGGCTATGTTGAACTTCCCAGAAGACGTGATGCGTAGGCGCTTTTCCTGGCATCGGCGGCGGCGGCGTTTGTGCCCGCTCCAACGAACGCACTTACGCATTTGGACCCAGGTTAGTTTGAGATCCAGAAGGCGGCTGATCCAGTCACTTCCGTGCTATGTTCGACAGCCCGAAAAGCAAGGAGCGCCTGTTGTGCTCTGCTCCTTACGAGGCGGAAACGAGCAGTGATCCATGCAACGGAGCAGTGGCGCTATTAGCCTCACTCTTCAACGACAATTGTCCACAGACGAGCCCCATGAACCCGGCGGGTTTGTCCCCAGAAGTCAGGATGCATATGCGCTATTTCCGACGGGGTCTTTGACACCGTCCCTGACTGTTCACGAGGGGAGGAGGAGATGCAAAGCGGAACCTCCTCTGCACCACCACAAAGCATTCGGATGCACGATGCCCGGCTACGACGCGCAGGGCTGTCCTCCGTGATGTCTCGCGGACGCCAACGAAGCTCAAGGCCGTAGGCTCGTGTGTCAGAAAAGAAGTCCTCGTTCCGAGATACGCTGTCAGTTTCAAACCCCTCGCCCCGAACAGCCATGCCGTGACAGACGCTCCTCCCACAGACGCCTGTGTGGTCTGTCCAGTTTCTCGGACGCCCCGTCAAGACGACCCAGCTGCTCGTATTCGCGCGCGAGCTGGGAAGCCCAGACCGCCGCAGATTTGGCTCCGACATCCGGTGCGCCGCGCGACAGCGCACTCTCGGATGCACTTTCATACTGAACAACGCCGACGGCGCCACTTGCCCCGGGGTTCGCGCGTGTGCCGCGCCGAGCAAGCCTGCAGCCCCACCTCGCGCCCTCGCGTGTTCAAACGGGTGACCGTAGACACGGGGGCTGCACGAGATGCACGGCCCGCGCTCGACCCTGCGCAGCTGAGCCTTTGGCCCTTGGCTCGATGCAGTCGCGTCCGTGATGCGTCCACGGCGCGGACCGCCGCGGACGCCGCGAGCGTTGGCTGGGCCAGGCCTCGTGGGTTTAGAGTGAGGCGAGAAAGCGATGCAGCGCGAGGCACAAGCGTAACGGCGCACGAGCAAGGCCGCCGTCCCGCAGCCTTGGCCAGACTGCGGACGTCGGACTCATGCCGGCGGTTGTATTTGGTGCAGTCGCGCGTGGTGGGACCGGATGGCCCGGGGCGCGCCTCCCGACGCCTGTACGCCGCGCCAGCCGCAGGGCACACCTGCTGGTTTACAGCTACACCTTCTTGGCGGGCTGATCACCGCCGAGGGGCGCGGGGTGCGGCCAGTCACTAGGACGCCGTGGACGCGCTGGTTGCCGCGGGGTGTCGACTGTGGAAGCTTTGTGGCTTCTGGCTGCGGGGCGGGTAACGACGGCCCAGATTTGGCAGCGTCGCGAAGACATCTGCTCTCTATTGAACGCCCTCAGATCCGTTCTTCCGAGTTAAATCAAACTACCTGGCGCTAGAAAACCACTGACCCGTCCAATGTAGTACTTTGGGAGGACGTCCACGCAACGTCCATCACACACGAGGGATCGGGGTGGCACAGAAACAAGGGTGAAGGAACGGTCGCCCTCATCCGTCTCACTTGCCAGCACGCCTCGCATATGTCGCGCGACGCGCGTATGTGAGGGTGGTAAGGAGAAGCGCTGGTGAGGCGCTCGCTGGCAAGGCTGAACGGTAACCGCGATCAGTCGCACACTTTCTCGAACTTACAAAGTCTAAAATGTTCTTGACCACGCACCGCGCGGGTCAGTCGTTCTGCAACCTCCGCCGTCCGCCGTTCTGGTCGCGTACTGTGCGCCTGGCGCGCTAGTGCACCCGACTCTGGAGCCCCGCACCAGACGGGCTTGCCCGAGTTAAGCGCGTCGCGTTCTCCCGTCGTTCTGGATGATGGTGCGACTATGGGCTTGTGAGACGGGGCCGGGGCCCCGTCGTCTGCGCGCGCCAGCCCGCCGTCGGGTAAGTAGAACGGTTCGCGCCCCAGGCTGTCGCTCGTCGCGAGGAACGGGCACCGGGCGCGGCCGCAGAAGGCTGGCTCACCGCACCGCGGCGGGACGCGCGCTGCCCTGCGGACACGAGCCCCGCAGCCGAGGGCGGGTGCGTCACTGCGACATACCCAGCGGGTTCCTGCGTTACCGCACCACGAAACGTCTCCAGCGCGGGCGGGCGAGCGCCCGTGCCAGGCTCATCAGGGCGCAATATCGAGGAGCATCACGTTTCCGCCCGTTAGCCCGAGGAGGACGCAAAGGTAGGCGGGCGATGCGTGGGTCGCTCCGGAGTGGTGCGCGGGGCTGGCCGCGGTGACACAGGCGACGGGGCGACATACGCGGATCCGCGCTCGTTGTCGCGTCTGCCGTCGGGGGTGGATGTTCGAAGGGACTGGTGGCTCGCTGGATGATGGTAGATCTGCGCTGAACCACCCTCGGGCGGGCGGCGAGGCGCGCACGAGGCGGTCAGGGTGACTCGCGGAGTGGAGGCAAAGAGGAAGGTGGGCGGAGCCAGGCTGGGCAGCGGCGGGCGGCCGGATCGGGCAGTAGCGGGGCGCGCCACGAGGAAGCGCACGTGGCGGGGGGTGTCGGCCACGTGCGGGGCAGCAGGGACGGCGAGGACAGCACGGCGGCCTCACGCACGTACGCTCGCGTGGTGCTCGGCAACGACCTTGAACGCCCCGGGGACTCGACTGCGCACGCAGAGGGCTCTCGAGCGTGCTTGCAGTCCGTCGTTTCCGCACGGTGCGCAACCGTTTTGGCGTGCCACGTTGGCTCCCGCGAGCATCGCAGCTGGATGGCTCGCTCCGACGCCCATCTCCTTCTAATCTCGAGTCAAATACTCAAAGGCGCTTTCCCTATTCCGGCGCAGCCCCCGCCCTCGAACCTTTCTTCCGCCGTTTCATCCTCACGACCACATCACGTCTGCGGTCGTCGTCAGTTCTCGCCAGCCCTGCCCCTCCCGCGACAGACCCGCGATTCTACCGTCGCCCTCGCCCAGACAATGAACATCTTCTGTCCTCCCGGCTCCCGCGGCACCGGCCACTGAACCTCTGTTGTCAATCCCTACATGCGTTTACGCACCCGTCATTCAGGCTCCGCTTGAGGGCCGCCGCACTGCCCGCCTCCTGGTGACGCTCTCCGGGCACCTCCCGCGGCCAGCTCACGCCTCCCGATCTGGCGGTGTCCGGCCCAGGCCGTGATATCGTACCTCTTCGCCTCGCTGAGCCCGCGCGTGTCCTCACCGCCCTGCGCTTGCCCTCGCCTCCGTCATCACCCAAACCGACAGTCCCGCGCCGCGACCCGTACCGCTGCACCCCCGCTCAGGCTCGAACCGGCCAAGTGCGATGCTTCCAGCCCAGAGGCGATGAGGTCACTCGCGTCTGCCCGCGCCCTGCGCCGGGTGCCAGCCCTGCCCGCGTAGACGGCGAGCCGCCCGGCTACCCGCGCACGCGAGCTTCGCGCTGGTCGCGGCCCGGGGACTCTCCGTCGTCATTGGGCCTCGCGTCCGTTCGGATATCCATGACGCTGAAACGCGTTCCGGCCCTCGTCCATGCCCAGTGCTTGGGTCTCGAGGGTGGTCGACCCGGACCCTGGTCCAAAGGCGCCCCAGTGCCCGATCGTCAGATCCCACTTTGCGCGGAAGCCTAGCGCGAATATTGTAATGATGGACCACCCTCGATATAAAGCGTCACTCGCCCGAACCAGTCCTCCATCCCCAGCACACCGCGACCACTCCCCCGCACGCCTCCTCTTTGTGTCCTTTGTCGGCTTGAGGCCTTATCCTACCCAGCCTCTTCAGTATTAATACGTGCCCTAGCGGTTTCCTCTTTACCCCACCCCCTCCCTCACCACACACTTCTCCGCAATGGACCACAGCGTGCGTCACACACACTTTCATTCACACTTTTGGGCATTTCACTAACCTCCACCGCGCTTTGGGTGCAGTACCAGCAGTTCTCCCTCAACGGTCGCAATGACGACTCCGACGGGGAGAACTATACTCCCCGTACCCCGCGCCGCACGCCGATGGCGTGTACCTTCTGCCGTGGTGCGTCTCCCTTGCGGCGGAGCCTGCCCGGACGAGCTGACCTCGTTTCGTCTTCGCGCATCTTCAGGCCGTAAGCTCAAGTGCGATGGACGTCCCATCTGCGCGAACTGCAACCGCCGCGGGCTCGCATGCGCTTACGTTCCTGTGTACGTCCGCGCCGTTCGGGATTCGCACATTTGAGATCGCGAACTTACCTGTCTCCACCTGCACAGCGCGGCGCAGAAGTGAACGATCCACAATGATCGACGCTCGCGGAACCAACTGGCCGTCTCCCCTCGACTGGTCCCACGCAGCGCATCCTAAGCACCACCGACTTCGGCCCGCCTCGCAGCCCTACGCGAGAGGCGCGAGCCGACTCACTTCAGTCTTTGTTCCCCCAGCGCCGGCGCGCTCTCCGTTATCGACCTCTCTGCCTCTCTCTGCCTCTCCTCGCACATCTGTTGTCACCACCCTCTCGTTCCTGCTTTTCTGAACTCCCGACCTTCCGGACCCGGACGCCCCCAGCGCGCCTGGCCCTCTGTAGCTGTAGAATGTCTCTAGATCCGCTCCCCCCTTCACCTTACGCGCCCCCGTCTAATCCGCTCCTCCTTGCTGTGCCGTCCCGCCACGCACCACTATCCTAGCTTTTGTGCATGCACGCTATCCACGCGCCCCCGTCTAATCGCCCGCTCCGCGCAGCCTAGTTACATATTCTATGTCCATACACTACACGAACCGCAATCGACCTCCGTCGCCTCCTACCTGCCCCGTGCGCGTGCGACGTCCCGGTCTGACTCCCTGCGGCCCTCTGCCCCCGCGCTCCGCCTGGTTCACTCACCGCGTGCGGAGTCGAGCCCAGACCTCACCCCCCCTGCTAGTCGTTTCATACCCGAGCGATCCCGCGACCCTCTCCGCCCTCGGGACGGCCGACGCACCCGCTCGGGCGTCTTCCAACCCCCAGCGCAGACCAGTGACGGAGTCTGAGATCCGTGAGCGTGTCGAGCCCTCAGCCCTCAGCGCTTCAGCCCTCGAAAGTTGAAAGTCGAGTCCGAGGACCACAGACGGGCGCGCCAAGCCGGCGCCCTGGAGCGTCGCGCGCGGATCCCAGCATCGGCGCAACGCCGCACGGCGCACGCCATCTCGCGGGCACATTGTCGTGGGAGCGGCGAGGGGTCCGCGCCGGACTCCGGGCGCACCAATCGAAGGAAGAGACGGAGAGAGGACTCAAGTCTCAGGACTCAGGCCTCAGGAGGGAAGACGGCGATCGCGCACAAAATGAGTGCGCGCGGGGCGCCACGTGCCGTGATGCGCCGCGATCCTGGTGCTGAGGTCTGAGGTCTGAGGTCCAAGGTCCAAGGCCTGAGGCCTGAGGTTTTCGTGACGCTTGGGGCGATTCGAGGGCGGGGGTGAGTCCTGAGCGGGCGCGCCCCGCTTGATTCCTGCCCTCTCCAGTCTCACCCCCGCCCTTGCAAGGCACTCAAGACGGCATGGGCGCGCACGGATGGTTGTGCTCGAGCCTTCCCAACCCGGCTCACAATGGCTCGCGTCCGCGAGCCGTGCGCGACCGGAGCCCGCGCGCGGCGACGGCGACAGGACTCGCGTGCGGTACCGCCGTCGCCCGATTCGGCTGAGCGGTCTGCGCCGCGTACGCACCGCGACGCGCGCCGGCGCCGGGGTCGTCGGGGTCGCGCGGCGTGACGCGTCCAGCTTGAGCGTGAAGCAAGTTCACGGCGGCCTCCCAAGGCGGCGGCCGCGATCCGGCCCGCGGGAAGCGGCGCGAAAGCGCGTCGCGGTCCGCCAGGCGCGTCCTGTGTCCCTGGGGGGTGCGTCGCCCGTGGAGCGACCGGTCCCAGGGCTTCCGAGGCACTCTTCTGCACCGTAAAACCGTCTGGCTGATGGCGGCGCGACCGGAGTGGCACGAGCCGGTTCCGCTACTTCGTATGCTGGAGTCTGTGGCGATGGCCGTCTGGGTGCGTCCGGCGAAGTCCGCACGCGGTGATGACCCCCCCACCTGCGACGCGGCGCCGACACCGGAGTTTGGCGGTGGCATATGGAGGGCGCGAGCAACATCTGAATCGCTGCAGCCCGACATGGACGGCACACAAAGCCCTGAGCTAGAGTAAGTATGTACTTGCGGATCCATCCACAGCCCTCGGACTCGCCCCTCCACCCCCGGGATCCCGTGGACCCACAGCACGCCCGCTCACTGGAATCCGTGGTGCATGAGGAACCTGTTTCACGCACAACGAACCGTGATTAACCTGCCTCCGAACCCGCCCCGGGGCGCCCGCCTGTCACCGTGGCGGTGTGGCGGCGCGTCGCGCTCCCCGCCGCGTCCGCGCCCGACTCCGAGCCACAGGCGCGGGCGCGGGCGCGGCGGGTGCGAACGAGCGGACGGACAAAGGAGCGGCGGCGCACCTCTGGTTCCCGTTCTCCAGGAAGCCGATCGTCGTGTTGTAGTCGCCCTCGCCGGTGTGGGCGTACCCCGGCGGCGCGGCGCACGACGAGCGCGGCGGGGGCGTCCCCTGCGCGTTCGCGCTCGCGATCGCCACCGGCTGCACGAGGAGCGGCTCGTCGCCCGTCGCCTGCCCCGCCGCGGGCGCGAACCCGGGCGCCTTGGGCGGGAGCAGCGCGAGCATGTACTGCTCGAGCGGGAGGGCCCGGGTCGAGGAGGGGCGCACGGGCGGGGGGGCGTCGCGGATGCAAAATGCCGTGCATCACGGAGGTGGCACGGGATCCCGGTGGCGTTGTGTTCGTGTGGGTGGGTGGGGACGACCATGGCGGTGGGGTGGAGACAGACGGTGCGCCGGCGAGGGTCATCAGAAAAGCGGTGAAGATGTGCAGTTGGTTGGTGAAGGTAGAGGGGGATCGACCGGGTAAAGAGGAACCGGGGATGGCGAGTGCCGCGTACGGGGTGCAGTTTGACAAAAGCAGAGGCACAGCCAAACGTCAGCGTTCGTTTAATTTGGTTGAAACATGATTAATTCATATGCAAGGACAGAAAGCCAGAACAGGCATTCGAACCAGCAGAGTATATGTTTTGAGTCAGATAAAAATCAAACACTCACCCTTATAGAGAAGCGCGGGAAGACAAATCCCAGCGTTAACGACTTCTTGACCTCCAATTCGCCGTTCAAAACACGGATTCCGGGTTGCGGTGCACCCTCGGTAGAAGGCCAGAAGTATGCGCCGCCCATACGTTCCGAAAAGGAGTTGTTGCTTCGGCCGCTTTCAACCTCGTCCTGTGTAGCGTGCGAGCCAACGAGAAGGAGCCGGGTGAGCTGCACCCGGATCGCTGCAGGCGACGCGAGTAGATCAAGTGCTTGCTCGTCCGTCCCCCGCAGTGTCAGGGAAAGCGGGATAGGAGTCCCAAGCGCATATGAAAACTAAGATCGGATTAGTTGCCGTGTCATATCTAAGAGCAGTAATGAATTCAAAGGGCTCACCGGAGCTCCGACCGCAAGCTGCACCATGGGGCAAAATGACAGGAGATTATTGGTAACTGTGCAGCAAATGTTGAGACAATGACATACGGTGCATTCCAGCTCGACTTTGCGGGTGTCAAATATAGTTCCGGTGAGTGTTACTGAAGGGAACACTTTCCACCCCTCGGGATCGGCTTCTGGGCCGATCACGGGAGTTCCTTCGCTGTATGCAAGCTGGCGCAGAGGCGAAGGTGCGCCTGCGCGAGTCAGCGGTACATAGACGAAGCTTGTCCCAAGCCTACAAAAAGAGGGCAGTCCATCAAACGGCTTACTTTGTTGAGAGACTCGCACCTTACGTCTGATTGACTCTTAACGCTCCGCGCTTGACTGTCACATGGAGTCGGTAGTCCATGTATGCAGGGCTTGCACGCTCCGAGAAGCTAGGTGGGAGAGGATAAATCTGCGTCGGCTGCTTTCCTTTCCCTTTCTCGGGGACATCGGTTTCGGTCGGAAGAGTGATGGAGAACGGGAATTGCTGCTTTGCCGTTGGTTTCGACGAAGCAGTCTTGGCGTTCCACAGCTCATGTACGATCTCCAAGAACCTGATCTCCTCTTGTCCTACCACGGTCAGACCTGCGACCAACTTGGGTGCGAGTTGTTGGCCAAATACGCGGGGAACAAACAACGGTCGATGTGCTCACAGAGACAAGAACGGCTTTGGCGCCGTCGGCCTTGCCGGCATCGAGCTCCACCGTCCCGGAGATGGTGTCCTTGTAGAAGAAAAGGGGTTGCTGCTTACTTGATGTCGAATGACTCTTCACTTTCAGCCGCAACCACGCCCTCCCCTTGGTGTCTTCAAGCTGGTACTCGTGCTCGACCAGATCACGAGTCGGTTGCGACTGCGCAGAGTACCCGGGTGGTTCAGCAGCTTCGTGGGGTGGGGGTGAGGTGGCCGGAATGTGTTCCAGCTGCGAGTCTGCCTTAATGTCCATTGTGGCGGAAGGATGTAAGAGTGATGGAGGAATCGGTTGCGAAGGATGTGGCCGAGAGCCCGAGGTCGTTGATACTAGATAGGCAATTGGGGGCCGGGAAAAGAGAGCAAGGGTGTGGCTAGAACGCTAGACTCGTCCCCACAGTACCGCAGTGGGATGTTCATGGACCTCATCTCTATCTGAAGAGGACGAAAACACAGCTCGATAAGGCGTGAGATAACGCACCGATATTCTGGCTGTAACGCGGCGCTATCGCTTATCAACAATGCGTCTCTAGTTCATGCTCTGCTTATAACGCAGGCTCATGGATAGGTAGTATAAATACACGAAAAAGTGCAAGGGAGAGAGGAGGAGAGGGCACGCAGTTAGCGCTAGGGTCCTACCAGAGATAATCACGTCCATTAGTGCCGAGGTGATTCGGACAATGTGTTCTCTTAGCTCTAACTTTGAACCCTTCCCGAACCTTTGCTTCGTTGGTGGCCAAAAGCTGGTGTTTATTACAACCCTATCAGGCTGCCGTAAACATTGACGAACGCCAATAAGGATGGCGATGGGTAGCATGCCGCGTACATGTGATACTTTTGAATCGAACGTGAGCAACACTGATCCTTAGACGTCGAAGTTACACTGGTGGCATGCAACCAGCGAGCGACTCCGAGTCCGATGGGGATGGCGGAAGACGGTACCAGCCGCATAATTTACGACGTCCGAAGGTAGCGGGACCCGCTTGACCCATGTGAAGAAGGCGGGACAGCATGAAAACCGGCGGTCCGGCTCCGGTGTCTCCTCACTCCCGCCCATGGGGTAAGACGCACTTCCACAACAGCCTCTCTCTCTCTCGCTCTTTCGCTCTTAGCCGTCTTCGTCCTCGCCACCACTTCCTCGCCCTTCCCCGGCTCCTTTCCGTCACTGGTCCATTCAAGATGTCAAAACCTGCTCAACTCACGGCGTTTGGGTACGCTTTGGCAGGGGCTCTGGGCGGATGCTTCAGTAACGCGTGAGTCTCTACAATTCCGCAACGATGCATGTCTGGCATGTTTGGTGTGATGCGGCTACAGGTTAGCACTACGGTCTATGGCGGTCCTGGAGAGAGAGAGAAGCTGTTATGCGTAGCCTAAGGCCTTTGGAAGATTATCTTCTTGCCACAGCCCACACCCCGGCCTGCACTCTGTTTTCAAGCAGAGTCCTCTGCGTTTACCTATGCTGATCTCGGTTCATTCCATCTAGGCTCATTTATCCTCTAGATACGTGAGTACCCCCTATCTCCCTCCCTGCCCTAGCCCCTGACAAGTCCGTGGCCCAGCGTCAAGACGCGCATACAGGCAGCCACAGCAGATGGCACCTCAGCAGACAAGCTGAGCATAGTCGGCGTTCTCTCGCGCATCCTGCGCGAGGACGGCTTCACGGGCTACTATAGAGGCTTCACGGCTACGATGCTCAACACCTTCTCCATGCGTGAGTCCCCCCTCTCCCCGCTCCCTCTCTACGCGCTCCCAGTCTCACCGCATCGACCCGCGGGCAGAGTACGCGTACTTCTTCTTCTACTCGTTCGTCCGCACCTCCTACCTCAAGCGCCTCGCCGCGCGCCGACCTGCGGGGAGCCCGCCCCCCGTGCTCGGCACCGCGGCGGAGCTCGTGTTGGGAGCCCTCGCCGGCGCGCTCGCCCAGATCTTCACCATCCCCGTCTCGGTCATCGCGACGCGCCAGCAGATCGGGCGCTCCTTCGACCGCCCGAAGAGGGTTTCCTCCTCTGCGAAGGGCAAGGGCAAGGCCACCGCCGAGGACGCGGAGGAAGAAGCAGAAGAAGCAGAGGAGCCGTACGACGACTCGTTCCTCGGGGTCGCGCGCGAGATCATCGCGGAGGAAGGCGTGGGCGGCCTCTGGCTCGGGATCCGCCCCGGGCTCGTGCTCACCGTGAACCCGGCGATCACGTACGGGATGTTCGAGCGCGTGAAGAGCCTGACGCTCGCCGCGCGCGGGGTCGCGGACCCGAACGCGAGGATGTCGCCCGGGATGTCGTTCATGGTCGGCGCGCTCTCGAAGGCGCTCGCCACCGTGGTGAGTGTCGCCCTCGTCGTCGCGGTCGGGCGCGCACGCTGACGGGCCGCGCGCGCGCAGGTGACGTACCCGTATATCATGGCGAAGGTGCGCATCCAGGCGCGCACGGCGGACATCGAGGACGCCGAGGTCGCGCACGAGCCCCTGCCGAAGCACAACGCGCCGCACCACAAGAAGCACGCGCACGTCGGCGCGCTGACCGTGCTTGCGCGCGTGTATCGCAAGAAGGGCCTCGTCGGCTGGTACCAGGTCCGTCTGCGCTTCTCTGCACATGACGTGGACAAAGGCTGACACCGCGCGATCCGCAGGGCATGAGCGCGCAGCTGATCAAAGCGGTCATAACGCAGGCACTGCTCTTCATGTCCAAGGACCAGTTCGAGAAGTACGCGCTCGCGATCATGATCATGTTCTACCGCTTGCAGGGCGCGGCGCCATAGTCGCCTTCTCTCCGTGCGGGACCGTCGGAGGACGTCGCACGGGGCTCGCGCGGGTAGCTTTACGGGGACCGTTCGGTGATCATGTACAGCTGTTTCTTCTTAATGCACAGATTGTCCTGCCAAAGACCGCGTGTCCCCGGTGCACGACCGCTTCGTGACCGCGATCCAAGCCTTCCGAGAATGTCGGGCCGGGTCGGGTCGGGTCGGCACGTCAAAGGCGCGAAAGAGTGCGAAATGGGCAATGGGCGAGGTTATCCTCAATCGTCCCTCGGCTTGAAAGCTTGAAGGTTGAAGGTTGAGCGGTGATTATTGTGTCCATTCCGCCAACAGGTCGCAACAGCACAGGAGCGTCTGACTCGTACCCGCTTACGAGGAATATTGCAACAACGGTGCGCGAACCCAAGCCAAGAATAGGCCCCGATGTCCGCCACGGTCCTCCATTCTGCCGCGACAAGCCCAGAGGTCCTGCTGCGCGGACGAGAACGCGTGTGGTGTGAGTCAGAAACCCGTCGTGCCCGACCCAGCCCGCCGGCCGCCGTACGTTCACCCGTGCTTCCTCTGGAGAGTCGTCCCACCCTGAACGTTCGAACGCTGGCCTACGATTGCTTCGACGCTCCGGATGATGCGATTTGCACCGCGATTGCCGCGGACGCGGCATCTGACGCACGAGTAGGGTTCTAGGAACGGGAGCGCGAAGCACCCGCTCGCAGGACCCCCGACATCTCCCTCCCATGTCCAGGCGAATTGGTAGATCGTCGAAAGGTTTCAGGCTCCGAAGGACTGTTGAACGTGCCAGAACGGCCGCCGCGCTACCGTCGGTGCACCGGAGATCGAGGGTAAGAGCTAGCACGCGCCAGGATGGCCGCGTCTTTCGTCGAAGCCTGCACCCGGGGCCCTCGAAAGCATCGCAAACATCCAAAGTGGATGCGAGATGTCGGGGGTCCTGGCTCGAGGTGCAAGTCGGCTCCCACCACGGGCGGTCCGTGGGACTGGGGCGGTCGCGTGCGCGCCGAGGGCGGCTTCGCGAGAGGGGCGCGCGTCACAAGTATGCGCTCGCAGGCTGGTAGCGCGACTGCAAACGGCTAGCGTCCGGCCTGCATTCCGTCTCGCTCGAGGTCAGCAGCGGACGTGGCGCGGGCCCGAGCTTTGGCATCTTGCACACGCAATCTCTCGATCGACCGCCACAAGCTCGCACTCGCCGGGCACGAGGCTAGCAAACGAAGCCGCGCCCCGGCCGCGAGGCAGCCGCGCCGTCGGTGACTGTATGCATTGACTGCACCCCGCGTCTGGTAGGAGACAAGGTTCGGCGGACTGAATGGGGCTGCGCTCGGGCTGGGCCATGTGACGCGCCGACCCCCTCGATCGAGACCTTCCGCCGCGTTGCTGCACACCGCGCTCGAGGCTGAGCTGGGCCCGCGCGGGCTCGCGACGGTTGGGACAGAGAGTGAGAGCGCGCTGGCGGTACGTGGAAGAGAGCAGAAGTTCGACGATCCCTGGCCGCGAACGGAGAATAGGACGCACGAAGGCTAATTCCAACTGATCGCGCGCGGGGCGGAGTGTCGGACGAGCCGCCGTCTGCGTGCGCGCGATCGCGAAGCCACCGTCACGCGGGCTTGGGCCTTGGGCACTTTCGGGGACAGAGAGGGGCGCCATTACACTTGGATGACTGCTTCGGCGGGCCGCGCGGCACGCGAGCTGGGAGCTGGACATCGCGCGGGTCGTGTGCAAGGTAACGGAAGGTAGCTAGTGGAAACCGCGTATCCACAGACTGGTCGCGCGAGTGACGCTTGGCTCGGGTGGCGGAGGCGGAGCGGGCGTAGGCTCCTTCGCGGCCAACGCCGGACGGGAAGTCTGCCCTCTTGGAACAGTGGAGCGCGCAGCATTTGGCGCGGAGCTTGGAACGACCTGCGTTATAAACCCTGCCCCCTCTCCCCGTCCCGATCTCTCTTTCACCTCCCGCACACGCTCGCTCTCTTTCTCGCACACAACCCACACCCGCACACGACCATGTCTGCCAACCGCGACCACGACATCCCCCACTCGCTCCCCATCCCCATCGGTGGAGGCCGCCGCCGCTCCGGCTCCGTTTCAGACTCCTCCTCCGACTCGGCGTCTCTTTCCCCGCCTTCTCCTCTCCAGACCCCCGCATCTGCGACCGGGCCCCTGCCCCGCGTCGCGCCTCTCAGTCCGTCCACCTCCCCCGTGCTCTCCTACTTCCTCGCCCAGTCCCCCAAGTCGCCGCCGTCCACCTTCCCTTTCCGCCGCGGCATGGGCGCCCCCACCGTGTTTGAAGGTGAGCCCCCTCGCGACTCCCCGCGTCGGCAACAGCCGCTCACGTGATTACCCCGCATTCGCCTCGCCTCTCCCCCCCCCGCGCACGCAGGAGAGGACGACGGCTTCGAGGCAGACAAGCCCATCGGCCGCCACGGTCGGCGCGCCAGCGCCGCGGCTTGGCCGGGCCACGACCGCTTCCCTCCTGCGGCCCCTGTCGTCCCCGCGGCGGGCCAGCAGCAGGACCGCGCCGCGGGGCTCCTCCGCAGACTCTCGCTCGGAGGAAGCATTGCCAGGGTACGTCGCCCTGTTGCCCCCTCTGTTTTGCGTCGGGGTGTGCTCATACTGGCTCCACTAGCCTCCCGTCCCTGTTGGCATGGCTGCCCCGCGGCTGGTGGGCCCGCCGGATATCGCGGCGGCGCCGCGCAGCAAGTCGCCCGGCACGACCCCAACCCCGCGCAAGCCCCGCCGCGCGAACACGCTCGCGCCGGGCTCGCCACGGCCCCCGCGCGCGCCGTCGCCCATGGGCGAGCGGATCCTCAAGGGTCACTTTGACGGGTTCAACTAGACCGTGGGTAGCCCCCGCTCCGCCTGCTGCCTGCCTCGGATCTCGCATGCTTCTGCCGCTCCTCGACCACGTCCGGATTTGGCCTACCCGCACGACGCACGATCATTCCAGCTCGCATACCCTAGGACCCACACGCGCTGTACAGTAAGAGCACCCTACACCCGCATTCCCGCACCCCTGCAAAAGACCACGGCTCCAAGCTCCGCACCGTATCGCCGCCGCATTCGTCATTCACGACCTCGGGCCCCCCGGTGCTGTCGCAGACCCTCCCGCTCGCCGTCGGCGGCTTGTCTGCGTGTAAACCCGCCTCCCCTCCACTCTTGCTCCCTTCTCCCTTGTCCGTCGGTTCGGGAGTAGATATCGCCACCCGTGAGGAAGGTGGAGTTCTGCGAGTCTCTGGTTATCTCCGGCGGTCGTCGTTGCCATCCAACTCTCCACTTTCCTGTACCACCGCCGTTTCCCCGCGCTAGGACCGTTGGCGCATTGGCTAGTCTTTTCACCCTTCCTATTGTCTTGGACCCGTCCGCTTTCGTTTCCGTTGTCGTACGGCCCGTCGCCCGCAGTACTCCAAAAGCATGTACCATACGCTGTATCACTACTTTTTGCATAGGTTCTGGAATGTACGCTTTTCGAAGTCTCATCTTCCCCGCGCGATGCCTGCTGTATGAAGTGCCCTCCCAGGCTCCCACGGCGTCCTAGCCTGCGCAATCGACTCCGCACACGCGGTGGGCAAGGTTCAGCCGGACCCTGTCCCGCACATACCCCCACTCGCGCATTCAGTCCTGCGCCCGATACGGCAAAGGCAGATACCGTGCGCGATCGGCCCCGGCCCAATCTGGCAGCGCGTTGGGGCGCGTGGGGAGCTGCAGATAGCGCAGAGGCTCCGAACGGCTGGTACGGCAGGGTTGGGACTTGGCCTCCCCTCGAGCACGCATCGTGCGCGCGCGCGAATGGTACAAAGACGCGATCGTGCACCGGTCCTCCCTCCGCTCGAGGGGGACGGCACGCGACCATATCGTGCTTTCATGAGACCCCCGCTTCTGGCCGCCGCAGAGACGGGAAGTTCGCGCTACGGAAACGTCCACTGCCCTAGGAGGAGGGGAGGAGCGGGCATGCCAGTCCTCGGACGGCGGGTTTGTCGTCGTGAGCTGCATGACGAGCACGCCGCCCGAGAGCGATCAGGGAGCCAGGTGGCCGCCCGCAAACGTCCTAGCTTAGGGCGGGCGGTGGGACGCGGTGGGCATAGGGGACGGGGAGGGGGTCTGCTGACCCGGCCGCGCGCGCGTGTTCAGGCCTCAGGCTCTGTCCGGTCGACATTCGATCCGTGCGGGGGGGGGGGCGCTCCGACCGGCATACATTCGATTTCGATCCACGGGGGGAGGGAGGGAGAGAAGAGGGGGGCGGGCGACAAAGCGGAGAGTGAGCGGCCTGGGCGACGGGATCGACGTGAGGGCAGGCTCCGCTCGTCGTTCGCGAAGATTCGTGGCATTTGTCTCTATCTTTGTTTCGTCTCGTCCCGTGTCTCTCGTGGAGCGGAGGCCCCAGCGCGCGCCGCGGTCTCTTCACGGCGCGGTGGCGGCGAACGCTTCGCGCCTCGCTTCGGCGGCGATGAACTCGTCGCATTCCGTGCGGCTCTTGTCGACGTCGACCATGAAGAGGAAGGCCGTGCTCAGCACCCCGCTGCGCGCCGCACGCTGTGAGAATGTGCTCTCGACGCAGAGGGAGCCGGAGCACTCACAGGGTGAAGAGGAAGACGAACGGGTAGTTGTCGTTGTTCCCCGAGGCGGTGATGATGGCGGACGAGACGAGCGGACCGATGAACGCGGACGTCTTCCCCACCACGGAGAAGAGCGCGAAGAAGAGGAACCTGGTCGTACGACCGAGGTCTCAGCGTCTGATGGAGTGAATGGTGGTATTGACGCACATCTGAGGCAGCGGCGAGACTTCGCTGATCATGGTCTGACTGTACGCGTACCACGGGCAGACCATGAGGCCATAGTATGCCTGATACAGCCTGCGAAGGGGAATGCTGCGTCAGCTCGAGTGGCGTGATCTCTGAGACCTGTGGTACCAGATCTCCCAGACGTGCTTGAACCCGAACTTGTCGGTGTGGATGCCGATCAAGCCCCAGATGGTGAGGACGATGATCCAAAAGACGTTGAAAATGAGCATCTGTGTTGAAGTCAGACTTCAAGCTAAACCAGCAGAGCCAGCTTGGATTCACCGTCTTCGTTCGAATTTGGAAGCGTTTCTGCACAAGCCAGAACAGACTATGTGGAAGATGAGCACCATACTGCAGAAAAACTTGTTATGACGTACTAGATGCCTAGCGCCTGGGTGGTGATTCCGACGATCAGGAGCAGGGTAAGCTGGAGCGTCGAGTAGGACACCACACTGATTGACGTAGGTAAGAACAACAAACTCTAAGCTGGATGGACACGCACCTGTTCTGTAGGGTTCCAATCACCGTGCTGGGATAAGGTAAGCTAGCGTTCGAGGCTCCTCTGCGAGGAAAGCTCACACAGTGGTGTTCAACACGTCTCCCCTGCCACCCAATCCTGATGAGAAGGAGGAAACTGGTGACGTGGCATGGCTCACATTAAAAAGTAGAAGACCAAGTAGAGGAATGTCTGCTTGAGGCGCATACACTCCCGGAAGGCTACCACAGTCTGCTTGAAGCCGATGGTGAGCATAGAGGCTCCGAGAGGGAGCGCGAGACCTGGGCGGCGCTTCTCCAGGAAGAACCAGGGAAGAGCGCAGAGCACTGCGGGGTCGTTAGCATATAGATAGAAGAGGCAGAGGCATCGAGAACATACGCCACACGCCACCAGAGAAAGCAATGAGCACGCTGAATGCCTTCGTGTTGTTTTCCGTGCTTTCATCAGAGTGAAGGCCTTTGAGGATACCGACCATGACGGCCAAAATCAAGATCTCTCCCACTGAGCAGACAGCGAAGGAAACGTTCGAGATCCTGTTGCGCTCCATGGACTCGTAGTGAGCATGCGCTTCGACGCTTTTCTCGCCAGCGGCGACTTCCGCTGCAGATTCCTGGACGTTGGGTAGTTCCCGGGCCAGGCCAGGGAACGCAGCCGTCCAGAAAGTGAGCGCGCACTGAGTCTCTGGTCAGTATGTGCGATACTTGACATACAAGTACTCCAACCTGGTATGTTATCACTGCATGCCCGTGGATTTTGTGAGTAAATGCTTTGCGACCGACGTTACTGAACGACTCACGGCCCAAGATGTATAGCGCAACCCCAGCCTGCCACTGAGAAGGATCTTCTACTCCAAGCCAGGCAAACGACACTGCGACAGCGAAGATGGTGAAGATAATGGTGATATTTGGTCTGAAATTTGAATAGTAGACTCAGTGATGACCCGCTGACTGCGGGAGAGTGAGCATACCGCCAAGTCCCGTAATCTGCCCAAGCTCCAATGATGAGAAGCACTATGGCTTGGAGTGCAAAACTTATGCCATTGGTGAGCAGGACGATGGAATTCACTGAAGATAAGCTGTCAGTATGGACGCTCGAACGTGCGATGCGTATAAGCGTACCGTCGCGGACCTGCCCTAGGTACGGGAGCACACAAGCCCCCGAACCACACGGGGTGGTGAACGGTGGCTGGCTGGGATCGTAGCCAGCGAGGAAGAGGAGGTTCTGGAACTGCGAGGGCCCGAAGTTGAAGCCTGAGAGGCCGTTGTTCCCCTATGTACGCGTTCGATCCCGATCGGTTTCGGACAACGGCGGAGAGGCGACTCACGATGTAGTAGACATAGAAGGCCCAGAGCTCGGTGCGGCTTGTTGTCCACCGAGGTTTCTCCTGTTGTTCAGCCACGGGAAGCGCCGTGTCTTGCGCGACCTTTTTCTCGTCCGCGTCCGACATGGTTCAGGACGACCAGGGCGAGTCTCTATCCGACGTCCACCTCGGCGGTTTGGGGTCCATGCTGTCAAGTGATAAGAAAATCTGGCAGATTTGTGCCGGCATGTCCCCGCGTCAAGACAGCGACAAGTCCCGCGGGAGCGTTAAATTAACGAAATCCCGAGTTCCTCCGGGACGCCGTGCACGACGAGCACCCGCGTCTGCTCACACCTCCCCGACCGTCGTCGGCCACCGTCACTCTCTCCATCCACGCATGCTGCGTGCTCTTCCTGTCTCGAGGGCAGTCGGCGCACCTTCGGGCAGGGCCGCGGTCCGCGTCGTCCGTCGCGTGAGTTCCTCCGTCCTCCCCGTCACCGTTCGCGCCCGAGCCACGTCTGACGAGCCCGCCCCCGCCCCCGCCTCCGTCTGCGCCCGCTGCAGAGGCTCGCGACAGAGACGACCCCCACGCCACCCAAGAAAACGAAAAGCGTCGTCCGCCGGCTTGTATTCTATTCCGCGGCCGGCGTCACCACCTTCTACGTCGGCAGCGCCTTCGTGTCCTTCCAGGTGCCCCAGTACCGCGAAATCTTCGTTGGTCAGGTCCCCTTGGGCTCGTCCGTCGTGCAGTATGCGGAAGACCACGATTGGGACAGCCTCTCCGTGGACGACGTCATCGAGGCGGGCGCGAACGCCTTCGTCCTCTCCAAGGAGTACTTTGACAAGCTAGTGGCTATGGTCAGCGGCGACAAGGCCAAGGACGCGCTCGAGAAGACCAAGGAGAAGGCGTCCAAGGCTATCGAGCAGGGCGAAGCTAAGGCCAAGTCCGCCTTACGGAGCGTCAAGACCACCGTGCAGAAGGCGGAGGCGGAGGTCGCAGACAAGTCCGCCAAGGCCGCGGCCATCGCCCGGCACCAGTCCGTTCAGTTCTCGGAGGGTGTGGAAGACTTGGTGCGCGCTGCAGAAGCCGCGTTGGCGGACAAGGCTGCAGGTGCGAAACCGGATGCCACCACCACTCCCGAACAGCCTGCTGTCGGCGGTCCGGACGCTGTCCCTCCAGTGTCGGAAACTCCTCAGGATCCCAACGTCTACAACCTCCCCCTTCCTGTTGGTTTCGAGCCTCCCCCAGGCTACTCTAGGCCGAAGCCGCCACCGAAGCCGAAGTCCGTCAAATCCGAAACTACCCCTCCTCCACCTGCGCCCGACCCCCTTCCTCTTGTTGCGCCCGCAATCGCTGAGTTCAGCGCGTCCGAACCCGTTATCGCTCAGCTCGCCACGGTCATCGATGACCTCGCGTCCTACCTCAACTCGAACCCGGCCGCAGCGGACAAAGCACGCGACATCCTCGACACAGCCAAGATCGACCTCACCCAGCTTGCGACGCGCATTGAGGATATCAAGGCTGCCGAGGCGAAGAAGCTTGAGGCGTCGCTTGACGAGCAGGCGCGCGAATGCATGCAGTCGCTCATGGACCTCGAGATGCAGGCGCAGGACAAGCTCGACAGCCAAGAAGACAGCTTCCGCAAGTTCTTCGAGGCGGAGCGCGCGAACATGATCACGGAGTACCGTCAGAGGCTCCAGAACGAGCTCCAGACGCAGAGCGAGATCATCAACGAGCGGTACGTCACTTCCTTTGGCCTCGTGCGCATCGTCCTCAATGCGAGACTTCGTGCAGCCTCAACGCGGAGGTCGTCGCCCAGGGCATCGAGCTTCAGCGCCGCTGGATTCGCGAGATCAAGATGCGCGTCGAGCAGGAGCGCGGCGGCCGCCTCGCGAAGCTCGACGAGATCGCAACCAACCTCAAGCGCCTGGAGCGCGTCGCACTCGACAACTCGGCCTACCTGGACGAGAACCTCCGCGTGCACGCGCTCTGGTCCGCCCTGCGCGCCGTCGGCCACGTCCTCGACGCGCCGGAGCGCAAGCCCTTCCGCGAAGAGCTCCGCGTCCTCCGCCACGCGGCCGCGGCACGCGAAGACCCCGTCGTCGCCGCGGCACTCGAGACGTTGGAGGCGTCGGACGTCCCCGACGTCGGCATCGAGCCCCTCGCGGACCTCACGACGTGGTTCACGGCGAGCGTGGCGCCGCACGTGTCGAGTGTTGCGCTCGTCCCGGACCAGAACGCTGGCGTGCTCTCCTACCTGGCGTCGAACCTCTTCTCGTCGTTCCGTTTCCAGCGCCACGGGCTCGTCGAGGGCTCGGACGTGCTCAGTGTGCTCGCCCGCGCGGAGTACTACCTGAACGAGAAGGACCTGGACACGGCTGCCCGCGAACTCAACCAGCTCAAAGGCCCCGCAAAGGTCCTCGTGTCGGATTGGCTCGATGCGGCTCGCAAACGGCTAGAGGTCATCCAGGCATTGCAGGTTGTCGAGACGGAGGCCACATTGGCATCGCTCTTGGTGGTACAGGACTAGATACTACGTAATAATATTTTACTAGACTACACACCGGACGCCGTGCATCTATCCATCCCGAATCGCCCTGATCCTTGCAAGCCACAACAACGGTGAATCAAGATACAGTAGCATAAGCCTCGTCTAACCACGCCCGTTCGTGAAGTGCGCTGGGGACACAGACGGGGGTGGAGACACCATCCCGATCGACGGCTGCGGGCTCATCGTGCCTGGTGGCGGCGACGTCGGCGGAGACGACATCGGACTCACGAACCCGCCCCCCGCGGGGGGCGCTGCCACTGGGCCGGTGCCGAGCATCGCGCACTCGCATATCACCTGCGCGCGGCGGACGACGGTCTGGACGGCGTCGGCCGCGCCCCCGCCTGCGTTCGGCGGCGCGCGCGAGACCTTGACGAGCCCGGGGAAGACGGTGGCGCCGACGCGGTCGGGCTCGCCGCGCTCGGTGCGGTGGCAGCGCTTGACGAGCTCGATCTGGCGCGGGTTCATCGTGCTCGCGACGTCGGGCACGAACGCGCGGTAGAAGGCGTCGACGGTGCCGCCGGAGCTCGAGGGCGCGCCGTGGAGCATGCGCGAGAACTCGTAGGCGGCCTCGAGGACGGCGAAGACGCCGCCCGCGGCGGCGGAGGGGGCCGGCTTTTCCGCGCCCTGGGCCTTCAGGTCGCCGAGGTCGAGCCCGAGGAGGGCGCCGAGGTTGGGCATGTGCTCGGAGAGGAAGAAGCGGGACATGTCGGTCGAGCAGGACTCGACGGCGGCGGTGAACGTCTGCCGGCGCCAGACGGCGGCCACGGTGGGATCGCCTGTGGGGCGCGGTGAGCACGCGCGCGAGGGATGGAGGGCACGAGGAGGGGGGTACGCACGAGAGAAGATGTGCTCGTGTATGCGGGTGAGCTGGATGTTCGCCTCTGGGGAGTCGGTCACGATGAGGCAGTTGACGATGCCCTCGGCAATGGTCTTGGAGACGGCGTGGCGGAGGAGGCTCTGGATCTGGATCCCGGACGCGACGGACGAGTACGGGAGCTCGGGCGGGTCGTCGTCGAAGCAGTCGGTGAGCGCGGCGTGCCGGAGGGTGTTGGGTGGCGCGGGGGGCGCACGGGTGACGTCCGCCGCCCAGCGGTTGATCTGTCTCTCGAGCCCCGAGGCCGCGTTCTGTACACGCGCGCGGAACACACGGGGGAGGGCCGCGCGGGTTGAGGGTCGTGCGGATCGCAGCGGTATGAACGGACGGGGCGCACCTTGATCGAAAAGTCATCGACTGAGTTCCCGCCCAGCTTGCTCACGCCGAGATGGCTGTTCTGGCCGGAGCCCTCGAGGAGCGCGATGCGGTCGCGGAGCTGCGCGACCTGCTTTTCCTGCTCGAGCATCTGCACCCGCTGCTCCTCCACCTTCTCGTGTGCAATACGCTGGACCGCGGGGGGTCAGTGCACAGTCCGGGCCCATCGGAGGACAGAGGGAGCTCACGAAGTTCGTCAGTGCATAGCGGTACTGCTCGCCCGACACGACGTCGTGCTGCCCGGGGTACGCCATCGTCGCAGATCGCTCGTGGGGGACGGGAGGGTGGAGGAGAGGAGAGAGAAGGTCGGTGCTGGACAGGCATGGCAGAGACGGTAAGTAGTCGTCAATTGGGACCGGCTCCTGTCAGTCGCGTCCGTCACAGCCGTGTCTGGCCTACACCGCCCACAGCGTTTCCGACTGATTGACAGACAGCCGTCGCCACCGCACTCACTCTGCGCCCTCGTCTCAGGATCCGGGCTCGCGCTGATCCTCATGTTCTCCGTGTTCAGCGGATTCATGCGTCTCAGCACTATGCAACTGGCAGCGCCGACCAAACTCGGCACGTGTTCATTAATGGCAGGCCCTACGCCTGCCGGCATTGCAGTAACTTTAACTATGTACGTACGTACCCCCAGAGATGTGCTATATATCCAACAATCCAATGTGTGCCCGAGTGAATACGACAATTTGCGATGTCCACGTGTGCAGATTCCCGCAACAGGCGTGCTGTGCGTGCTAGGGAGCGCAGGCCTCCGACACTGCTTGGTGCACCCTCCTGTCCGCACTCGCGCGGCACATGTCCCTGAACACACCACCCGGAGTGCGGAGGAGCTCGTGAGGGGTGTCGAACTCGAGGATGTCGCCTGCGCCGAGGACCATGATGCGGTCGTAGTCCAGGACGGTCTTCAGGCGGTGCGCGATGGTGATGACGATGGCGCCCGCGAACTCTTCTCGGATGGTTCGTTGGATCTAGAACGGTCGCGGCTGTCAGTCGGTGACTTCTGGGAGGATATAGGATCACGTACCTGGTCGTCGAGGTCGGAGTCAATCTGAGAAGTCGCCTCGTCGAGAATGACCACGTTGCTGTGCCGAAGAATGGCTCGGGCCATCGCCACCAGCTGTCGCTCGCCCGCGCTCAGGGAGCCCGTTTGGCTGATGGGCATGTCGAGCCTGACTTGCTCTGTGCTTCCTGAACGGTCCAAGGAGTTGTTCAAGATCGTTTTGAGGTGGCATCGCTCGAGGACGTCCCAGCACTCTTCGTCGGTGTGTTCGTCGAAGGGATCCAGATTGCTGCGGAGGGTCCCGGTGAACAATGATACGTCTTGGCTGATGATGGTCTAGAGGGAAACCGAAATTAGATGGAAGGGAAGGAAGCCGAGAAGTCAACAGACGCATACAAGGCGGCTTCGGAGGTCTTCGAGGCCGATGGTTGTGATGTCGATGCCGTCAACGCTGGGGAGTCAAGTCAGTGTGATGGACATATCGAAGCTTTAGTATAAGCCTACAAGATGTGTCCACCGGCAGGTTCGACTATCCTGAGCAGCGACATAGCCAGAGTAGATTTCCCAGACCCGGTTCGACCAACCTGGAGAAGTCGCATACGTTAACGTGACAGTAAGAAGCCAAGAACCCCAGCTTACCACGCCGATCTTCTCGGTAGGGTTGACACGGAACGACAGCTGCTTCAAGACGTCTGGCAGATGCGGGGCATACCGCACCGTTAGGTCCTCCACCACGAGGTCGCCGTTTGACGTCGGCCACGCTGCAGGCGGTCGCTTGCTTTCGACGACCGCGGCGGCTTCTTGTGGCACATTGAGGTACTCGACGATGCGCTCCACAGAGTTGAAGTCCAACTCCACCTGGGCGAGAACTCTGCAGGAATGCGTCAGCGTCTCCGCACGGCGAATGGTACGCGCTGCATACCTGACCAGAGTCCGCGAAGCGTCTGCGAACATGGCGGCTTGAACGATGACCAGCGCGGCGTATCCCGACGAGACCCCGCTCCACAGCGCGAAAAGCGTCGTCATGAACACGACGACGGACCCAAGACCTATCTCAACGTGAGCGGCAGCCCTGATAACAAAGCCCGAAAGATGAGCCACGCACAGTCATATCGCCAGTTCAGCCACCCCGCAATCAACCACTGTCACAAGAGTCAGCACCGCACCCTCCACACTTGGGACTCAAGCTAGTCGGAAATACGCACGTAGACGTGGTCGAAGGACTGGAAGCGGTCCACGCGCTCGTAGAACCGGTCCTGATACCGGCGCTCCATCCCGAACGCGCGCACGTGCGGCAGGCCGCGGAGGAGCTCGTCAAAGCCGGCGAACGCGGGCGAGAGCGATATGCTCTCGAGCCGGCGGAGGTCGCGAGAGGCGCGGACGTAGCTCGGGGCGAGGCGGACGTAGAGCCAGGCGATGAAGAGCGCGCAGGGCGCGAACGAGGGCACGACGGAGATGATGACGGTGAAGGAGATGACGAAGTTGAGCGTGCCGGAGAGCGCGGAGCGCGCGGAGACGTGCAGCGCGTTGTCGACCGTGTTGATGTCCGCGGTGAAGCGGTTGAGGATGCGGCCGACGGGCGTGGTGTCGAAGAAGCGGGAGGGGGCGCGGACAAGGCGGCGGAGCATCGCGGAGAAGAGCGTGCGCGAGGCTTGGAGGGAGGAGTAGTATCCGAGCGAGATGCTGAAGAGGACGGTGAGTGCGCTGGCGATGGAGATGTACAGGTAGATCATGAGCCAGGGGCGCACGTCCTGGTTGGGCGGCGGAAGTCTGTCCAAAGGGTTGTGGCCTATGATCGAGGTCAAGGGCCCGTCACTGGCGTCGCTCTGTTCGTACGCTTCTCCCCACTTCGCTATGAAGAACTACGACACCGTCACAAATCATGTCCTGATGATCAACAGACATCCACTTACCCGGAAGCTGACTTCGATGAACCGCATGAGAAGCATGAACAGGAACGTGAAGACCCAGAAGAGCACTCCGGCCGCACGGATGTATGTCCAGTATGTGCGCGCGGACACCCGTCCCTCCGCACGTGCCTCATCATCGACGAGCTTGCCCAAGTCGGCGAGCGCAGTCGCGCCGTTTCCGTTCGCCTTCGCCGCCGTCAGGTCGGCCTCGTTCTCCACCTCGGTGTGAGAGGACGCCTCAGTGCCGGTGTCGTCGACCACGTCCTCCGCCTCCACGAACTTGTCCAGTTCACCCTGTTCACGCAGCTCGGCCGTCGAGCCGCTCCGTTTTACTGCCCCTGACTGGAGCTCGACGATGTGCGCGGCCACGGAGACGCAGAGGGTGACATGATGGGTAACCAAAATTATGGTGCGGTCGCGAGCGAGGTCTCCGGACAGCGCCTTCCTCACAAGGTGGTTGGCGGTGTGGAGATCAACTGCGGCGAGCCTAAAAACAATGAGTACGCAGCGAGCAGCACCTCATGACCGACGTACGGATCGTCAAGCAAAATGACCTGCGCACGGACATCAATATTAGGTTCCGCGGTCGATCCGAGGGGAAAAACAAACCTTGGCTTGAGAGTAAAGCGCCCTCGCGAGGGCAATGCGCGCGCGCTGCCCGCCAGAGAGGGTAATACCCTTCTCGCCAATTTCTGTCAGGGGGACGACGGATCAGAACCGTTCTGGGCGTGATTAATAATTCCCAGGGCGACTTCGAACTGACCTGTCATATCCCCGGCGGCGAACATGTCCAGGTCCCGTTGCAGCGCGCACGATTCAATCACGGCCTGATAGCGGCCCTCGTCAAACCCGTACCCCGCCCCAAAGACAATGTTGTCCCGGATTGTCGCATGCTCCAGCCACGGGTTCTGGGCGCAGTACGCGACCTGATGCCCCGCCTTGTTTAGCACAACCTTGCCTGCGAGGCAATGCATTTCTTTTTTTCTTTCACGTGAGCGAGCGGTCGTCACGGGCGGGTAACCGACGCACCTCCCAACAGGGCGACCAACAGCGCACTCTTACCCGACCCTGTCGGGCCGCTGACCAACGAGAGCTTGCCGGGAGGGAAGCGGATGTTGAGAGGGCCGAGCGTGAAGCGGGCAGGCGTGCGGTCGCCAGGTGCGGCGTCCCAGACGAAGGAGGCATCGTCGAAGCCGATTTGGGCGGCGGGCGTCGTTGGGGTTTGAGGGTCTCGTTTGAGGGATGACGCCCAGTCGGGCACCTCGGGCTCGTCCAGGAAGCTCTGGATACGCTGCATACTGATGTACGCTGCAAGGATAATCGTTCAGTCAGTAGCGGGCATGGAGCACAGGGCCGAGATGGCGTACCGTGGAGCAGGGCGAACATCTGTTCTGGCAGTTGGAGCATCGGGGTCTGAAGCTGGTTAAAGAGCGCGATGGCTGTGAACGCTGTGGCGACGGTGAGCTGTTCGCCGGCGATGACTGTGTAGCATACGAACGACGCCAGCGCGGTCGCGGAGGGCATCCAGTGCCAGATGAAGGTGATGATCACGTCGACGATGTTCACCTTGACCCGCCAGCCAAGCTCGTCATCACGAGCCTGCTTGACGCGCTGGCTCCAACGGAGCTCTAGGCGGGAGCAGTCAGAAGGTCGGCCTGAGCATGGGGTTTCAAATGTGACCTACCCCAACCGTAAAATTTGAGGAACCGGATATTTTGGAACAGTTCGTTTACGGCATTCATACGCCTATCGGACGCTCTCCAATTTTCGCGCATGAGCTGTGATCGGGCGGGGTTAGAGAAGCTGCCGGCTGCGGCCCAAGATTAAACAGACGGTCTCACATAGACATCGTATCTGCCTAACGGCAAGTTGAGGAGGTAGACGAGGACGGTGACGCCGACGGCGGTGAACGCACTCCACCCGAGAAGACTGCGGCAAGCTCAGCATGCGCGCGGTGCAAATGGACGAAGGCGAAAAAAACCTGGTTCGCCTCTGGAATGCGTAGACAGCCGTATACCAGATTCCGGGCGGCTGTAACGGCCGAATTTCCGGTCTGGAACGTCTGTCTACGTATTCCCGAGGCGACCTGGGCCGCCATCGATCAGACGGCTCTTCGGATCCAGACTCACCGGTATAGATACACCAGAGCAATGGTGAGACGGACGGGGGCGAGGAAAAAGCCGGCGAATTGCCAGAACCGTCCCGAGACGGCGTACGCGTCGCCCCTGTGGTGATACGCGTGAGCGGAGCGGCACGGACAATGGGGAAGAGAGCATCGTGACGGACTGCATGAGGTTCACGATCTTGCCCAGATCGGCGCTCCCCTCGTCCTCTTCGCTCCCTCCGGGGCCCTGCGCGTGCTTGCCGCTGACGTCTCGCCGCTTGAGCGCCCTGAAAGCAGAGGTCAGCAGCCCGCTCTCGGTGCGCGTGAGAGAAACATGCTTGTAGTGCAAGGCGCAGAACAGCTGCCCCCGTGTGCGCTCGTACGCCCGGCGCGTGAACCAGCCCTTGTTCACGTCGACCTGTGCAAATGAAAGGTTGGCCAAAAACGCGACGAACGCGAAGAAGTAGGCCGTGTTCCTCGCGTTCGGCGACGGATCCGAAAGTGCGGTTAATATGCGCTGGAGTGCATATGGAGGCACGAAACCTGCGTGGAGATTGTGAGGGGGTAAGGGGCGAGCGCGGAGAGGCTATGCGCACCGACGACGGCGCTCCACGACTCGAGCGTGACATCCAGGATTAAGTCGAGGGAGCTCGAGACCAGTAGGTATCGCAGTAGCGAATGAGTAGGGTATCTGGACGGTGCTCGTCAGCAAGGCCTGTATGCGCTCCTCAATGACGACACGCACTCGGAGACGTATCGGAGATATTTGGTGAATATGTTCTTGTGGGTGAAGAACGGGGATAATGTCCAGACGTCTTCTTCATTAACGGTGCGCGAGTTGGATATCTTGAAGAGCGGTTCCACGAACGAAAACGTCGACCAGGTCCACAAGTTGACGCTGTCCTCCGGGACTGAATATTTGTTTGAGGATGGCTAATCCGCGGGTGTTTCATGCGAGGCCGAGAACAGGTTGACTGACAGGGACGTACGTCTGAGGGCTTGGCAACGTTGTCTGCGGGCCATTCCGCGCGAAGGGGGTACGTCCCGGCGACCCACACGAGGAGCCCGGCGAGGCAGAGCTGCCCGCCGCAGAGGACGAGGGCGCCATAGTCGACCGAGTCCCCGAAAAGGTCAAGCGCAACGTCGTGAAGCGCCGCGAGCGCGCACGTCACATAAAAGCCCAGGAGCAAGTACGGGGGCGTCGCCGGCGGCCGGGCGAGCACCCGCGCGAAGGCGTACGTCTGCACGTCGCGGCGCGGGTCAGCGGCGACATTGTTCGAAACGGACTCGCGCGACGCACCCAGGCCAAAAACGCCACTCCCGCCTCCACGCTGCCCTCCAAATCCCCCACCTCCTCCCTATAGACCAAGACGGCAAGCCAGACGATGCTTTGCAGGGCCGAGCCAAGAACGAGGACGCGGGCTTTCCATGGCGCACGGTGGAGAGGACAGGGAACGGGCGCTTCGAGGTCGGCGAGCGTGAAAAAGTCGCGGAACGGGCTGGAGAGCGTGCAGGCGGCGCGGCGGAGGAGGCGGGGGTAGGGGAGACGCGAGAGGACGTCCGCGCCAAGGGTGAGCAGGATGGCGGCGGCAGGGAGGATGGTGGTGAGGACGAGGTCGAGGTGGGGGATTTGCACCTGGTGTCCGCCGGGTGGCTCGGCGTCGGCCACGACGGAGGTCGGCGGACGTCCGTCTGCGAGAGCGGCCCAGGGGGCGTCGGGGACAGCAAACGCGAGCTGGGCGGTGCGCAGGCTCGAGCTCATTGCGTTCGCTGGTGGTCACGGCGCAGGCGACAGAGTGGGGGCTCTTGGGAAGTTGTGCATCGCGTCTAAGCGAGCGAGGAGCGGTATATTTCCCTGTGCGCGCGCTGGGCGGGTCGCACGGGCTCTCAGCGAGGCGACATTAGTGGGCATCAGTGCGCATCCAGGGCTGCGTACGTGCGTCCCCGCAAGACCGTCCAATTGCTCGCCGCAAACGTGCACGCTGCAGCCTGCTCCCACCCATGCGGCACGTCCTCTATTCATGCCTGATGGTATTCCCTTGGACTTAGGTATTCCGTACATAATCAAAGGTTATAGTCAATCACGGCAAGATCGTCCCTCCCGTTTATGGCAATAATCCGAGGTTGGAAAATGAGCCACCGCGTGTGGTCCGTAGCAATCGAGGCTAAAGCACGCCACGAAGAATGTGCGGTCGACGGCATACGCTGGCTTGCACAGAGGAGGATCCAGTATCCAACCTCCGTCGACATCCCGGGCATGCCGCCCTCCGGCCTCAGGCGCGCGCCGCCATCAGAGACCTAGCTCGCTCCGTCCATTGCAACCCGCCCCCGCCTCCGAATGCGACGCAAGCGCAGCGGTAGACGTACGAACCTCTCCGCAGACCGTCTCACCGCGGACGCCCGACACATGGCGTGCTTCGAGCTCGTGAACACGCGTTCTGGGCCGCGCGGCTGACAAACGTACGGTCGAATTCGAGGCCTCCCGCGAGATGAACGCCCATGATTATTGAAAACACTGGCTCAGGAGCAGTACTGGGACGCGGCTACATTAGGGAAACGGTCTCGACGGGCATAGGCTTTGCTTCCCGTCGCAAACGCATCGATCTCTGCTGCTAGTCCTGCCGTATCAGACAGCTGCACAAAGCCCCTCTTGTGCAGCTCGTCGACAACCTGCAAGACCCAAGCACTGCACGCTCCGAATTCGCCGTGGTCTGGGACGACAACTGTGGATGCAGCGTCCCGCAGCTGCTCGACGGTCAGCGGGCCCGCGGAGATGTCATGGATCCTGAGGAGGGAGGACAAAAACATGTCTCCAGATATCTTCTGTATCCTGTGCTGGAATTTCCAGTTATCCGAGATGGCTCGATCGATGCGGATGTGCACGAGGTCCCCGAACTTATTGTCCTTCGGGATGATGAGGGCTAGATGCGGGGCTCGTGCTTGTGTGAAGCCGGCGATATACAGCGAGCCTGGAGTAAAGACGGCCGGTGCCAGAGTAGCATCCATTCTGCAATGAGAAATTATCTATTCTGTGTCGAAGCAAGGGACATCACAGATGAACATACCGGAGAGGCGGGCTGCTGGGAGTTGGAAATCTAGCAGGATCTAGCGCGCCTCCGCAACGCTTCTCCAGACAAGGTTTGAAGCGGAGTTGGACCGCGAAAAGTTGGACGTAGACGCCGAGGCTGGCCTGAGTACTTGGACGTAACTCCCTGTAACTCCTCATCAGCGAGCGGCCGAGCGAGCCGACATAACGATAGCCCTTACGTACTGGCTCTATCTCGAGGAACGTACAAAGGGGCAGCAATACCAGCGCGCATCGACGCAAATGGCAGCCTCCTGAGGGCAAAGGGCTATCAAAGAGACGATGGCTCGGATTCGGAGTGATTCTATGGCACTCCAGCCGTTTCTTCGTCATCTCATCGGCTCGAACGTTCGCGAACATCCTGATGAGTGGCCCACTAAGGTCGCTGGGATTGTTCCTTCTGCGGCACAAGAATACCCTCTTTTGCGCTATATCCAAGGCACTTTTCGGTGCACGTGTAGAATCTCTATAGTACTATGCATATGAACAACCTCTGTGCGATCAAGACTGAGGGCACTACATCCACCACGAGGCCAGGTGGCGTATTCATCCGATCTAGTAGTTGGTGCTTGGAGGTCCCGCACGTGCACCGCTCGTTGCGGTAGTTGTCTGATGGGAATGAATACCACCTCTATGAGCATTGGTGAGAACGACGGTGAGTAAGCACAGGAACGTACGAAGCGAATCCCACACATCCTTTATCACCGTGGCAGTGGCCGAACTCTTTCCGATTTGCGTGATGACTCGGCCGATGGATTGACGCACGGCGTGGTTGAAGTAAGTGGCGTGGTACATATACGAGATCGATCGACGGTTGAGCATGCGATAATAGGATCTGCGGCGAAGATGTCATGCGAGTTTATGTACGGGAGACGTACACGAAGAGGCAAGAAGGCTAATGGCCATGCTCCGGGACCCGGATCTAACGCAGTTTCGATAAGATGCAGCTCTTCCGGTTGACGCTCTCGAAGCGTGGACCGTGCGGAAGGTCGGAGAGGCACAGGGCGAGTGGCAAAGCAGGTCGGCGCGGGAATAGAGGGGGGGCGCACTAACGGAATTAAGATGTCACCGCGGACAGTCCAGTCGGATCTTGGACATGTTCCTTGCGGATGACACGCTGAGCAGATGCTCGGTGGCCGGACCTGGGAGGAAAACTAACAGGGACAGCAACGATGGGTACGACGCACCGAAGGCGGTTGGTTGCAGCACTCCGGAGCCGGCGTGAATCGCATATCATCATGCGGGGTGTGCGGGTGTGCGGTGTGGGGAAGCCACGGAGCTGTTGATACGGGTTGGTCGGTCCTGGGTGCCGAGTGGTCGCCGAGGTGTTGAGAATAGATGCCGTTGTGCGAGGATGGCGGGGAACGTCCACTAATGGTGGGCAGCGGTCAACTCGCCGCTGCCGTAACTGTTTCAAAGGTCAGCTGAGCCGCATGGGGAGGCGCGTAGGGCGTGTATAAGAAGGCGAGGAGGAGGTGTTGTACGCCGCTTTGGACAAGTTAGCGGACAGTCCGGGGAAGGAGGAGCACCGTACCCAGAACGCTCGCTCGGCAGCAGGCGCGCCGATCGCCGCAAGAGCACAACCTCAGTCCCATTCGCCGCTCTTACCTCTGCCGCCACTCTCGGCTAGCTCGCTCTCTTAATTCGCTTCGCTCACCTCGCACGCACTCCCAAGCTTCCTTCTCCCCCCTCCCCACCTGTGTCTTTCTGCACTTTCCCTCCTAGACACTTTCCCCGGCTTTCTTGCAATGGCCCCCGCTCTTGCGCACCCCGCCGGCGTGAACTTCGCCGACGAACACAACCGTCCGGTCAACAGCGACGCAAGCACCTACTACGGCGGCGAAGAGAGGTACAGCCGTGCGAGGACATACAGCGCGGTACGCACCCCCTCTCTCCCCGCGCGTTCTCGCTCGTTCATCCCCGTCGGCTCTGCAGTCCTTTGCCCACGGCTACAACCCCAAGCGTCCCCCCACCTTCCAGGATGCGAATCACCAGCGCGCCCGCCGCATGTCTCACGACGAGAAGAGCTCCGCGCCCCGCCGCTTCCTCATCGACGTCGAGGAGACCATTCGAGTTGTACTCGAGCAGGAAGACACCGATGGCGACTTCCAGATCTCCGTCACGGACGCCGGACCGAAGCTGATGGCTCTTGGCACTGCGACGAGCAACGGCTTCAAGAGCTTCGACATTCGGGTACGTGTTCACTGTCTTCGCATCGTCTTTGTGTTGTGTACCCTTCAAGCCAGCTGCTGTGACGCTTTCGTACACTTGTGTCGTTGCGCTGCGTGCACAACACAAGTGTAGCAGAGCTTCAAGTGAACGGCATCACTGCTGAGATGCTACTCCGGCTCATGCGATAATTGATATGCGCGCGTTTCCTCGTTACGGCAGCCTTCTGACAGAACCTTGGGCTTGGAGTCGTCCGAGGCAAATGGGATGGTGCGATGCCGGTTGGACGATGTTACATTCCTTGCAACGACCGGACTGGCGATCCGAGGTCGCAGAGTTCGCTAACTTCATGGTTTTAGGGCACGTACATGCTGTCTAACCTGCTGCAAGAGCTGGCCCTTGCTCGGGACCATGGTCGCAAGCGGATCGTTCTGGATGAAGCGCGTCTCACGGAGAACCCTGTCGACCGTCTCTCGCGCATGATCAAGAACTCGTTCTGGAACGCGCTCACCCGTCGCATAGATGGCGACGGTCTCGAAATCATCTGTGCCGATCCGAAGAACCGCACGGGGCGCATCAACCCCCGCATTTACGTGCCTCACGGGGAACCTGCTATGGCAGAGTACTACCGCAAGGTCGCGGCGGACAAGCCTCATCTCAACCTCGACGTCCAGGTCCTGCCACCAAAGCCCGATGACCCTATCTTCGTGAAGAGTCTCAACAACAAGCCCGGTCTGCTTGCTCTTGCCATGCAGGAGGTCGCCGATCCTAAAGGCGGGAAGGTGCTCAAGGGAGTCCCGTTTATTGTCCCTGGTGCACGATTCAACGAGGTGCGCGGGTCGCGTTTGGCTTGATGACGTCATATTCACCCTCACCCTCACCTTCAGCTCTACAACTGGGACTCGTACTTCATCTCCCTCGGTCTGCTCGTCGACGGCTACGTGAACATGGCGAAGGGCATGGTCGACCACTTCATCTTTGAGATCAAGCACTACGGCAAGATCCTCAACGGCTCCCGGAGCTACTACCTGTGCCGCACCCAGCCCCCGTTCCTCACGGACATGGCGCTCCAGATCTACAACCAGCTCGATCGCTCCGACATGGACGAAAACCGCGCGTGGCTCAAGCGCGCGATCCAGGCGGCGATCAAGGAGTACCACACCATCTGGGTCGCCGAGCCGCGCATGGACCCGAAAACGGGCCTGTCCCGCTTCCGCCCCGACGGCCTCGGCATCCCGCCGGAGACCGAGGCGACGCACTTCACACACATCCTCGAGCCGTTCGCGGCCAAGCACGGGATCTCGGTGCTCGAGTTCAGCGAGCGCTACAACGATGGGTCGATCAAGGAGCCCAAGCTGGACGAGTACTTCCTCCACGACCGCGCGGTGCGCGAGTCCGGGCACGACACCACCTACCGCTTCGAGAAGCGCTGCGCGAACCTCGGCACCGTCGACCTCCAGGCGCTCCTGTACAAGTACGAGGTCGACATCGGGACCGCGATCCGGGAGGTGTTCGACGACGAGCTCGAGCTCGAGGAGGACTTCGCGCTCACGCCCTTCCCGCCCACCGTCGAGGCGTACGCGGCGACGGACCGCTGGGAGCGCAGCAGGGGCCGCGCGCAGAACAGCGAGGAGTGGTTCCGCCGCGCGGAGTGGCGCAAGGGCGTCATCGACCGGTACTGCTGGAACGAGAGCAAGTCGCTGTACTTCGACTACGACACCGTGCAGGAGAAGCAGAGCCTGTACGAGTCCGTCACCGCGTTCTGGACCCTCTGGGCGGGCTGCGCGAGCGAGGAGCAGTGCTGGAAGCTCATGTGAGTGCTCTGCAGGACGGCGCGGTCGCTGGAGGGTGTCTGACGACTTCTTGGCAGCTCTAACTCGCTCAAGAAGTTCGAGGTTCTGGGTGGTCTCGCCTCCGGTACCGAGGAGTCCCGGGGTAAGATCTCGCTTGATCGCCCTAACCGTCAATGGGACTACCCGTGAGTGCTCTGTCTTATGAAGTATATGCTGGATCTTGAACTGATTGAATGCTTCCGCAGCTATGCATGGTCAGTATTTACCATTTTGGGTTCCTGAGGATGGTCCTGATCGTCCCATCCTAGGCCTCCTCATCAGATTATGACGTGGGTCGGTCTTGAACGGTATGGATACCTCGAGGACGCGCAACGGTTGGCCTACAGGTGGTTGTACATGTGAGTTTACAGAGTGCTGCTACATGACTCTCCACTCATCAATCGGATAGGATGACGACTGCGTTCGTCGACTTCAACGGTGTTGTCCCCGAGAAGTTCGATGCCGTGAAGCTTTCACATCTTGTGGATGCCGAGTACGGCAACCAAGGTGTCGACTTCAAGATGGTGCCTAGGGAAGGCTTTGGATGGATGAACGGTATGCGTCTAACAGCTGAAAACGAGTTTTTATTGATTATATGCGTGCTTTTTAGCTGCCTACCAGGTCGGGTTGACGTATCTATCTACGGGCATGCGTCGCGCTGTGTCTGCGTGCACAAGCCCTGAGGTGTTCTTCGGCAACTACCTCAACCCTCAACAGGTTCAGCAGGCGTACGCCGCTGCCATCAACGATCCGCTCGGTCTTGCCATGGACCAGCTGCGGCTCACCTCTCCCGCTGTGGACCCTATGGCTCAGTCACCGATGGATGTGCCCGAGATGCACTCCGACGCCCCGGGACCTTGGCATTGAGCGAACGATGTCGCTCGATGCCTCATAGAGTCGCCCGCTGGACGATTCACCTAAAATAGCCCAGTGCTAGCAGCACATAATCTGCGCAATGTGAAGTATGACTTGATGCGCCTCTCTTTCGTAATGACACCCTACGTCCCGACTTCTACGCCCTTCCCCGTTGCCGTTCGCTTTCGCTTTCGCTCCGTAGTCACGATAGAACATAGACTGCACTTCGACTCGTTCTGCCTCTTGTACAATAGCAATCCGTAGGAAATTCATCTGCATTGTCGTTCGCCATCGCTGGATCTGTGTGCACCTTCGATGTACTCTCGTCGAGTACATGCCACACGGGCCGAGCAGCCGTTTCAGAGGGATGGCGGACGATGAGGCGTAGGCGCCGCAGCAAATCACTCAGCCACCGACTCCTACTGTCTTCGCCTTCGACTCCGTCGCGCAGCTCTCCCGGACTATGCTCAGCTCGCTCCATGCTGCTCTCGACGGTGACCAGCTGGCTTGCTCCCTTCCTCGCTGCCCCTCTCCATAACTATCTCTCGCCCCCCGCACCCGCACCTACACGAGCCTCGCGGCCGCTGCGCTTCGAGCTGCGACACCTCCACGCCATCTCACCCGACGCGCGCGTCGTCTTCCGTGACGTCCGCCAGGCCGACGTCCGCGCGCTCGGTGTCGCAGACGAGTACGCTCTGCGTCCGCGCAAGGTGAAGACGCACCGGCCACGCTCTGCCGCGGCGTTCGAGCGGGCGCGGGCGCGTTCGGCGCGCCTCCGCGAGAGCGAGGCCGTCGAGTGGGACGAGGACGAGGTGGAGGGCCCGGACGTGGCGGACCGGGAGACGATGCTGCTGCTCGCGAAGATGACGAACAACGCGTACCTCGCGCCGGACGAGCAGGGGTGGTACGACCTGGGGAGCGAGTGGAACGTGGTGGGTGTTTCCCTTTCGAGATTCTTTCTGTGTCTGGGGCTGCTGTTCCCTGTGCTTTCCGGGCGGGGAGGGGGGATGTGGGGAGCGTCGTGCTGATGTGGGGTTTTGTCTTGTCTTGCCAGAGCTATCCGTTCGGATGGGAGCCGGGCGACGACGGCTTCCGTGGGCACGTCTTCGCCACCCCGGACAACTCCACCATCGTGCTCTCCATCAAGGGCACGTCTGCGGCCGTCATCGGTGGCGGCGGCCCGACGTCGAAGAAGGACAAGCTGAACGACAACCTGCTCTTCAGCTGCTGCTGCGCGCGCGTAGACTGGACGTGGACGACCGTGTGCGGGTGCTATCGGGGCGGGTGGAAGTGCGACCAGACCTGCTTGGAGGGCGCGTTGATCGAGGACAGCTTGTTTTATCCTATTGGCACTGTGAGTCGTCTCTCACTCTTTGTATTGGCTGCATCGCGTGGCGGCACTCATCGGTCACCTTGTGCGTTCGTTTGCGCAGAATTTGTACAACAATCTCACATACCTATATCCCGACTCCACCATCTGGATGACGGGACATTCGTTAGGCGGAGCCCTGGCCTCGTTACTTGGAGTGACGTTCGGCGCGCCCACGGTATCCTTTGAATCCCCGGGAGAGAAGATGGCAGCCAGCCGGTTGCATCTCCCTTCACCGGTAAGACTGTCCGCCCCTTCAAGCTCACCGACTCTCACAATCGGTGCATCTAGCCTTCCACCCAGCACATAACGCACCTCTACCACACGGCGGACCCCATCGCGATGGGCACGTGCAACGGCGTCCTTTCGTCATGTGCGCTTGGCGGGTACGCGATGGAGAGCAAGTGTCACCTCGGAAAGTCCATCATCTACGATACCGTCTCGAATCTCTCCTGGGCCGTCGATGTCCGGACACACACCATCGTCAACGTTATAGAGAAACTGCTGGCAGGCCCGTGGCCCCCAGCTGTCGACAAAGGGCGCGAGGTGCCGGAGGCGTTACCAGAGGACGACTGCGTGGTATGTCTGCATGCTGCCTCGTCACTAGGTGCACGCTCTGACGAATCGGTACGCATCTCAGGAATGCTACAGCTGGGACTATGGAGACTATGTCCAGTAGTTTTCAACAATGTAGTTCACAGCACGTTGGGCGGCAGCGCTGTTGCAGCTTAATGATTACGCCCTTTCGATCCGACGAAGCATGCCCTTCAGCTCGCACGAGCGTTGCATGAACACGAGCTCAATGCTAGGAACGCAGGGTGACTGTATATTCATGATATGGTCCAAACGAGAGCTAGGAGGCGTATACGTGCGTATCGCGCAGATGTGATGGCAGATAACAGGGAGCTAATGGAAAACGAAGGAGAGTATACGGGTCTGTAAGCTAGAAGCATGGGTAAGTTCGTAACATCATAAGATTAGATAGTAAGGAGACCAGAGTGACAACGAAAGAGGGGCGACCGCGGAGGATCGTAAAGACCATTATACATTTCCATTGGGACTACGGACGAGAGGCGACGCAACGCACCACGCATCCACCAGCCTCTTTTTGTCCTACCAACCTATTTCCGTTGCGCTATAAGCCGATTCGCAATTTACTCTTCGTCGGGAATATCGGCGACCTCGTCAGGGATATCGATGGTGCTCGTGGGGCGAGCGGGAACCGGGGCGGTCTCGAGGAACTTGACCATATCATCCAAATCGCCGGCAGCCTTGTCGGCGGTGACGGAGCCAGTTACGGTGTCGGATTCGGTGTCGGCATGGGTCTTGGCCTCGCTGTGCGCGGCTTCAAGTTCGGTTTCCGGTTCAACGACGGGGGGTATATCGTCGGAAGCTTCAGCAGCGTCGGCTTCGACCGGGGACGGCTCTTCAACGTCAACAGTAGGCTCCTCGAGTTCAACAGGTTCTTCTTGTGTAGCCGGCTCCTCATGCTGAACGGACTCGGGCTCCTCGACGTCGTCGTGCTCGTCTTGCGCGGGCTCATCATGATGTTCCTCCACATGCTCTTCTTCCAGCATCTCCTCCGGTTCGTCGTGGTGCTCGGCTCCGTCCACAAGCGTACCAGAACTCTCCTGATCGTGTCCATTCGGCTCCTCGTGCTCCGCCTCGTCGTGGTGCTCCTCCACCTGTTCTGCAGCGACGACTGCCGCAGTGGCCGCAGCCGCCGCAGCGGCACCAGCAGCGACCTTCGCCTTCGTCGTCACCGCTTTCGGATCCTTCACCTTCGCGCCCGCAGCCCCCACCCGCGCCTTCGCGGGTGCACTACCACGCGCTCCCCCGGGTGCTGCGCCACGCGTGGCGGGGGCCTTCGGCGGCGTCGAGGACGGCGTTGAGAACGACAGCGTCGGTGCGCGCGCCTTGGACATGCTCGCCGCGGTGGGTTTGCTCAGGCGCTCGAGGGACTCCTTGGTCGCCGTCGCCTTGCGCACTGGGGCTGGGGGAGCGTCCCCGGCCTTCGCGCGCGCGAGAGACGCCGCAGTAGGCGCGAAGAGGCCCGTGGAGACTCGGGGCGGCTTCGGGGACGTGGTGTTCGAGGGCGTCTTCGACCGAATTGACGATGGGGTCTTCGGGCGGGAGTTGGACGGGGTCTTGGGACGCGACGGCGTCGCGGCTGCGCGAGAGGGCGGCCGAGAGCGGGACGGGGTGGCTTTGATGGGCCCTGACGCCCTCGCGGAGGAGACCGAGGTCGTGGACATGCTCGGGTGGAACGATGAAGGCGGAGACTTGGCCGGGGTGCGAACGGGGGTCTTCGAGGTCGTCGTTGGTCTGCTCTCACGCGTCTTGGACGGCGTACCTGGTGTGCGAGCGGGGGTGGGGGCAGGTTTGGCTGTTGTGGGCTTCGACGCTGCGGGTTTCGCCTTCGGAGACGATGGTGTGGAAGTAACCTTCTCTGATACGGGCGATGTAGGAGCTGCGGGTTCCTCTGGTTCCGTAGCCGGTTCCGGCACAGGGACAGGCGCAGGGACGGGTGCAAGGACGGGTGCAGGGATGGGCGCAGGTTCTGCTAGTGGCGGGGGTGGGACAGGCTCGGGAGACTTGGCCTCGAACTCGGGTTTGCTCTCGAACGACGATGCAACGATGGGGCCCCGGGGCTTGGGGGGCCACTCCCGCTTCTCTCTCAGCTCCTCCTTTGCCGCATCTCCGGTACACTGCGACGCGACGCTCGACGAGCGCGGGGGTGTGGGATTGATAGCAGACTGCCGTTTGTTCTGCTGCTCAAAGCGTCCGATGAGGTTGGCGACACTTTGACGTGGACGTTCGTCGGGCAGCGGCCTGTGCGGATAAAGGTCAATCAGGATGCAGATGGCGGGTTGATCAGGTCCGAGCGCAGGCATACATTGGCGGTCTGGAGAATTGGGAATTGGCAAGGACGCGTTGAATGAATGCAGTGAGAACGCTAGTCACCCTCGCCGGCGAGAGAGATGAGAGCAAGCGAAAGTGGAGAGGAACGATGACAGAGGTTGGTGAGCAAGTTGTAGCAAGTTGTGCTCCCAACCTCTCCGGATGCTGGAGACAATGGATCGCTTTCGGAGTTTGAACAGTTTGTTGACACGGATAAAGCTGGACTACTACACTTGATTGAAGCAATAATGACGTGTAACACCGAAGACCATATCGCAGCAAGACCGACACCGAGCTTGGATCATTCCGGAGCACAAAGCACAGGTGTCATGGAGAACTCCACCACATGACGGAGACAGCTCGAGCCCACACGATTCATTCCGCGTCCATGCGAAGGTCGGTTCTCGTGCGAGACGTCCTGGCCAGGCGAGCAGAATGGACTAGCGCAAAGTATGCGATGTCGAGAGAACGAACGGGTACGAAAGGCAATGTATTGATAAACTACAGAAGCGTACATGTAGTTTGTTGGTCCCTCCGCAACCACAAAATCCCCTCTCAGCCCCTTCAGCCTTGTCATGGGCACCAGCCGAGGCGATGCCTCGTCGACAGTCGAGAACCAGTGAAGCGGGGAGAAAATGGTGGCAAAGATGGATCCGGTACGTTTCTCTAGGAGACTGGAACGCGGACGAGGAGAAGGTGAAACCCCAAGCCCGAACTTTGGTGTCTCCAGGGATTTGTTCTTCGGGACGAAAATGCTCGCGGCGGGCTTATATGCTGTTCTCTGCTTATGTAATACATTCCCGCGCACAACGGATGCAGAGCGCTTCTCCCGCGGGCCGGCCCCGCAGCTCCCCGGCGGATTCACGTTCTGTCAGTGATGGTGCGCTTGACTTAACAACTTGATTCTTGACCCCAGCTTTGCCCTACACAACGCGCCCGCTTTCATCTCCTTGCATCCTCTCAAGCGGCCGTCATGTCTGTCTCTTCAAAGCCGATCACTTTGGCTCGCATCGAGGACGCGACGCTAGGAGTCTTCTCCAAACTCCCTCCCTCAGAGACTTTGAGCCATCTTGTCCGGTTCTTGAGCACATGGAGCGGTAGCGAGTGAGTAATTGCAGTTTCGCGTCTCACGACGTGTCGCTGATCCTCCGTAGCAAGTTCTTCATGGTTCGTTCCATCGTGCATCCACAATACTACGCGTCTGACCTGGACCTGTAGCTCGTGCAATACACCGCCAAGTTGATCATACCTTTTCTTGAATGGCGCGCTCGTATCCAACACAAGAATGGCTTCCGGAAGATGCCCGCGAGCCCGTCGGCGGAAAGGCTCGCAAAGCTGGCCAACAACATCAGCGATGCTAGGATGTTCTTCAGGATCTGGGGTGCGTAGTCGTAACGTCACGCACTAGTTGACGGACTAACCACTTCCGACATCGTTACAACCAGGTCTGCTTCCCATCTTCCAATGGCTCATTTCCCTTGAGCGCAATCCTTCACCCACTCGGAAGCTTCGTACCATCGAACGTCTGCAAGGATGGTCTATGCTTGCGTACTATCCCCTTGAGCATCTCTACTACCTCTTGACCCATTCAATCATTCCGGACAAGATCTCCCTGCCCTCGTACACAACATTCGTTCCGTTTATCCGCTCGCAACCCAGCGAGAAGACCATCTCGCTAGACGCCGGCGTACTGGGATTGTACTCGGTGCGCTTTTGGGCGGCATACGTCGTCCTGCAACTGGCGCATCTGCAAGAGGATAATAAGCTGCTGAAGATGCGCGAACGTAGTTTGAGCAAGACCAAGGTACGTGGTGCGCTCTGTGGGTTCGCTGGCTCGTGTTCAACATGGTGCAGAATGGTGGTACCCCTGTCGAAAAAGAAGACATTCGTAAAAGGAGGGAGGCTCTGTGGAATGAGCTTGTCGTCAATATGGCATATCTTCCACAAACGATCCACTGGTGTGTCCCTAATTTTTCCGTGCTTTTCCCGAATTCGATTCTGGCGTCGCGAATTCATTGCGCCCACGCGTGCTGTCACCGTCTCCTCGGTGTATGACGACCCTTCACGCATTTCCGGCATACCTTGCCTGGCATGAGCACACGTGCATCCTTCGTGGCGCTCTTGCCCCCCTTGGACGAGGCTGTACGCATCTGCGCTCTAAAACAAGCGAGGTGGTCTTCTAGAATGTGCTTGATCCGGCTTAGATGCTTGCATTCCCGCCTGGTTCGACGGCCATTATCCGCTTCATGACAGCGAGGCTGTGGCCCTGTGAAAACGGCTTGCACTTGGGCCCTTGCAGGACCCTCTTTTCCTGAAGGCTCCTCGCGAGCCCGGCCAGGTGGCCCGTATCCGCACGCGGATTCCCGACACCCGCACGTCGTGAGTCACCCGAACGTCCGGATACGCATTGTCCCTGCACGCGGAACGCGCATGTGGGTTCCCCCCTGCTCGTTTCCGTCTTCCTTCCTCTGGGCACGGGCCGCACGATGGGAGAAAGCCCGGTGCCACACTTCTTCATGCTGCGGTCGGTGTTCGTTGGAAACGTACGCGGAGCCCCGTTCGAGGGTCGTACCTGATGACGGTGGGCCGTAGTTCGTCCGAGCGCCCTGACGAACATTCGCGGAGGCGGGCGAAATATGACACGAAACCCTGTCTTATATGTCCACCGTTTTCCGCTCTCTTGGTGTTGCGGCTCGCTAATCCCCCTCCTTGCAGGTCGACCGAAAAGGGGATATTCTCGAACCCGGTACGTTTTCACCCTATCGCTTCCCTTCTTCCTTCGCTGCTCCCTGCCCCATATGCGGCTTCGCGTACGGATATTGCGCGATACCCGGACGTCTCGCACGACGCACTATCACCTGTCGCATGGAGCTGACACTGCCCACCTCCCCGCAGATCTGGCTCGACGTATGCGGGTTCGTCGCCGGCGTCGCCTCGTGGAGGAGCGGCTGGGAGGCGACTGCGCTGCCATCTCCGCCGACTTCCGCCCCCGATACCTTGCCTCCACCGATGGAGCCGACCGAGGAGAAGTTGGCACCGTACATCGAGGACCCGCTCAAGGATATCGTCATCGAGGCACCGGGGTTGGACGAGATGTAACGGCAGTGACAGGTCGTGCGTGTTCACATGCCGCCGGGCACCGGCCGTCCTGGGGAAACAATGGCTTCCTGTGTGTGGTTCGAGGCGCTGAGCTCTCATTGTTTCGTAGCTAAGTACTGGCTGCTCTTGGAAAATCTGATTCTGTGGTGGACAACCTGAAGCGCCGATGTGGCTTGGCGGCACGCTCATTGTCTCGGTTGGACGCATTACAGATTGACAAAGAGGAACCCGCCTTTGTGCTGTGCGCCTTCAGCAAGAGCTTTGCATATAAGTATATGAGGCACGCGGCTGATCTGTGAGCTTGTTCCTGAGAGCAGTGTTCAAATAGAATAAGCAGGGGGCTGCGCGCTGCGCGCCCTTCCAAATGGTGCTGACTGGATTACCGAGGGAATCGGCCGACAGAGTATGAATTTCACCCTTGTCGGACCAGACGAAGAGTTTATGTAAATGACTATGCCACGCTCGCCAAAAGTGCACTTCGCCATCCCACCTCGTAGAGGGCACGCTTTGCAGCCAGAGGTGTCGGTTGAAGGGCGGGTCCTTGGATACCTCGGTGACTGACATGATAGTACAAATCCTGCGCCCAAACTCGCCACTTGCGGAGATTCAGGAGGACAAATCGCATGGCAGACCGACTTGAAGCACTGCCGGGGACTCAGCGATCTCGACGTCGGCGAGACGGTTAAACAGCCTGAGGACTCGATGCAGACAAGTATCATTCGCAGCCCCGCGCATCCTCGCCTGCAAGAATACTGGAGAGGACACCTTGCGACCCGCTCCAAGACGGGATGTTTTCAGGGACAAGAACTACAGAGGAAGGCTGCCATTCGACTTTGTGTCCGATTTCACGACCGCAGGGTTTTTTCTTCTTCTTGATTTTTCGTCGGATGTGCCGTTCGCCTCCGGCCACCTGTTCAAGATGGTCGGCGCGTACTGGTACCATTCGAGTCCTCCGGCATTCCCGTCTCCCACTTTTCAACACCATCCCCTCATGAACATGGTCTAATACACGATGCCCGCAGAAGGTTTCTCTCATCCTCGCTGGCCACCTTACCTGGCCGGAAGTAGGTCCCAGGAGAGTCTGCGAAATACCGGGACCCGTCAACGACCCCCACTCCAAGAGCGAGCCATCAGACAAGCACAAGGAAAGCAGCGACGAAATCCGGAGGTAGATTCATGGACTGGAATCTTCCAAGCTATCCGGTCACTACATGTGTAAGATCGTGGGAAAGCCAATTCTCACTTGATGTTACAGTTGTATTTTCCCGGCGTAATAATGTGAGGCGTCAATGAGAGGGAAGTGAAGCTTTTCTACCGTTGAAAACAAGTCGTTCTGGATGTCATCAACGGCGCTTACGTTGCTAGAATAGTAGGAAAGGACTCCCCCTCCACGGTATACTACTGAAAATGAGGAGTATGTCTGCTCGTGCGATGCGAACGAACTCGGTGCTGCGCATGTTGTGGCCACAACTTGCTGCTGAATCTGATCCTGACTCTCCCCGAGCGCTCGAACCCTTTCTGGCTCTTCGCACGGTTCTCAAAACGGCCCACAATAATAAAAAGGCGGTCGCCAAGTATGGTGTAGTACTCACAATATATCTAGAGAACATCCAGGCATGTTGCGGCACTGGAGATGGTCATCGGCCCAGCCAGTGGGTGGGTGCAAGGGAAATGAAATGCGTCTCAAGCCGTTCGAAATTCTGGCGTCGTGTATGTCACGTGCCGCAGCAACGTTGGCGAGCGGCGCCTTCCACATCGCAGCAAATCTTGATTCCTCGGCAACCGCGTCACTCCCTGGCGATTCAACGCCGGCTGCTCTGGACAGTGCTCTGCTCGCAGGCGGGGCGTCGTAGGGCGTCGTGCGAGCTCACGCTGCGCACGGTCCTTGGGCAACCGGCTTGCCTCCGCTGCAAGCCCAATCGTTCCGTAGATCTCCGCGCACCGCCTCACCAATGACCATGGGTTCGGGCCGGCCCGTGCTCCGTCCCCGGAATCAGGCTCCGCACCCTTCCGCACCGTGTCCGCTGCAGTGCGCACTCGCTCTCTCCCCACTCCCGCGCGCAGCAGACTCGCCTCCGCCAGAACGCCGTCTGGAATGGTCGCGCCGCCGACGTACCACCCACACCCACGCAACGGTGGCGCACAGGCGGAGTGTAGAGGTCTCGGAGGTGAGCCCGAACGTTCAAACGTTCATCCTGCGCCGACGCTGTGCCCGATCCTTCGTCACCCAAGTTCGCCGCGCGCGGCGCCCTTTACCTCCCTGTCGCCGCAGGAGGGCGCGGCGCAATCGCCGAGTGGGGCTTTTACACTGCCCTCTTCATGCGTGCGAGCACGGGGTTCGAGAAGAGTCTGCGCAAAGTGGAGGCTGCATTCGAATGGGACGTTCTTAGCTTCGGTAGGTTCCTTCACGGATGGAGCATGTCCGGGGCTCGCTCAGTCACTCACGCCTTTCCACTGCTGACCTGTACCGCCTCAGGTTCCATGTATGCTGCGCATACAGGTCCTTTCACACTCGTGTTGGCAGCAATATGGAGCCAAGTGCACGGGCTCAACGCTCAGCACAGATGTCCGCCCGTTCCGAGCGCCGGAGTACGCGTTTTACCTCTCGGCGAGTGCTAACCACTGCTGCGCACATTCCCTAGTACCACTGCCTCCGCGCCAAGTCCCGTGCGTGCCGCGCGCCGCGATCGTGCGTCCTACACAGTGTCGCGCAGCAACGGTGTCCGCTCTCGCCCTCCTCCCGGTTTCCCCGTGTAAGCAAGACCCACTACGCCGCCCAGGCTCTTCCGGTGCTGCCTGGAAGCACACGTCGAAATCCGACCCAGGTTCCTGGGTATGTTCAGTATCTTCTCCCGAGCCGCGACCCTGCGTAGTATCTGAGGCAATCTCCGGCTCGCCACCCCATGGATAAGTAAGTAAAGTAACAATGCGGCGTTACGGTCAACAGCCGCGCCCCGCCGCACGCAGAGACACATGACACATCCTGGTATGTTCTGGAACGGCAGAGGGCGGTGCGCTGCACAGAATGGTATGAATCGAATCGGATCGTGGTCCCGCTTCCCTGCACAACAGGCGCGTTCCGAGTCGGGTTGAAAATATGCAGAAGGGACCGGTTGGGCGGAAGGCGGTGGGTTGCCCTTACAAGGCCTCGCGACTCATACAGATATGGCGAAGAAGAAGAGGTTTCGCTCCCGCGAGTGTGGAACGCTCATGGTTTGTGGATATCGTGGTACCTGGGGCGTAGTTGGTTCCTTCATCTGGAACGTGGCGAGGGATGTACACGCGCGGCCCGGCCCGATCGGTATATACGTGTTTCGCGCCCTGCAGGCTGCCTAGGATACAAAAACGGTTGCAATCCTAATCCGTCATACCACACCTCCCATAATGGCCCCGAACCTAGTCAGCGCCGTAACGACGGTTCTTCAATGCTGGCCTAGGCGTGCGCCGTGCAGGTTCCGAAACTTCTAGTGGCGCGCGCACGCAGGGCCATGGCGCCCGTGTACGCACGCACACAATCCGCACATCGGCGCGCGGCATTCTGATTTGTGCCCGCGCGCGTGCACTAGTGACTCGTACGCGCCCCTTCCTGCATACTTCCTGCATGGAGATTGCAGGGACCTGCGCCCGCGCCGCGCAGGAGATTCGAGGGCGTTCGGGCATACTTAGTGCCAGGTGCCTAGGGCTGTGCACACAACCTCGCTCCTCCCACCTGTCGGGGCACGCCAAGCGGGAGCGGCGGAGAGAGGGCCTGCGGGCCCTCGCGATCGCGCGTCGCGATCGTCACGCGCGGGGTCGCTCGGCGCGCTCGTGCATCGCGGACCTGATGAAGGAGTTCAGGGCAAGACACCGCCTGTATCCGAATTTCACGGCCGGTGCTATGCGTGGTTGGAAATGGTTTCGGTGGTATGCCGGACCAGCGCGGGTTCTGTGTAGCTTCGAACGACGACGCGGGGAGGGACATTGCGACACAGTGGGTGGCTCGCCCCGTTTGTCAGTGAGTGCAAGGCCGTTGCAACATTTCTCTAAGTTAGTGTCGCCGACTACATACGCTGCGAAAAAAAACCCGAGAATAGGGTGCTGTGACCAACTATGATTACTCGACATCCAAGCCCAGTAGGGTCGCTGCATCAGCCAACGTTTGACCGAGATGGTTCTAAAGCAACTTGAGTGAGCCACGGTCGGCGGTATCGCGGCTACTACACGACAGAAGCGATGCGCCGTGGGCTCCCCCAACACGAGTAGTATTCTGGCCCGCAGCGGGATTCCACGAGTTGGAGATTAACGCTCTCCCCGTCTACATTCAGGCGGAATAGCTTGAACACGGTGGGGCCTCGATTTTGAACGCTATGGCATTTTATGGTTCTCATTACGTGTACGAGAAGCGTCGTTGAAGGTAGGTGGGCCACACACTCGGTGGGCGATGAGATATCCCGATACTGTGGCGCTTCATTCCAACCCATACATCACGGCTGACCTAGGAGAACGCGACCTCACCGAATACAGTGGGCCCATAGTACCGACCAGATTTTTGCACATGGGCTGCGACCAAACCGCAGGCGATGGCGAACCTGGTCATGAGCCGATTCTGGGTATCCAACCTCGTCCTGTGGCGCAAGGTAGCGGATAGAGTCGTGAGATGACAGATTGTCACCTCAGACGCAATCCTAGTACGCCCAAAGGAGCGGGGCAACATGATCGCAAAGACCCACTACACCAGTGAATAGTACTGGGCGATGAGATTTGATCACGCTTCTCGAATGCAAGGATAGAGAAAATCTGCCAGATATTGAAGAAGCTGTAGCCAAAGACTGGTTGACCGGGAAACAATCGGATATGTCTCAACGGTGCGCGAGTAGACAACGAGGTTTGCCGGCTCGTGTACCGTGAGAGCAGGCGTTGGTTGATCTACTTACATCTAGCTAGGACGCGCACCTCCACGAAGGACGACCACCAAAGTTTCGCCGAGAGCTGTGGCGGGCTGCAGGCTGCAGCGGGACGTCGTCGATCGACGAGGGGAGCCCGCCAAGAGCCTGGAGCATCGGAATAGGACGGACGGTGGCCCAAATCGACGAGGCTGACAACACGGAAGGCGGGTAATGCATGGAAAGCGCTCAGCCGGGCGTTCAGGGGCCATTGCGCCGGTCGGTGCATGTATCGGGGCGGCACCGCGCGCAGCGACGGGGGGCTCGGGTAGGGGATGTGCGTCGGAGGGGAGAGCGGGTCGCGGGTCGCAGAGGCCCTCGGGTTCTGATGTGCCCGGAGGAGACGGGACATGGGGGACGGGAGGGGGGAGGCCGTGCCGCCTGGGCATGCTTGGTGGGGCGGGTAAGTGCAAGAAATTGGGCCGCCAAGACGGGCGCCATCTGGGGTTGACTGGACCTAGACGCCGGGGGCTGTGTGTTCCTTCGAGAAGGGAGCTGGTTCGACTACTAATTCGCGAGTCTTTCTTCTGCTCCTCCGCGCATGCATCTCCTCTCCTGCCTTCCCCTCACCTCTCTTCCTCCCGCGCTCCTCTCTTTCCAACGCCGTCTCCTGGCGCCATGAGCAATTCAGACAGTAGGCCCGACATACCGGCCATTGTCACAACCGACCTTTCTTCCACCCCTCACCTCACCGTTACTGCTGGCGACGACGACCGTCACCCCGCCGCCTCGTCCAGCGTGGCCTCCGGCGAGACTCGCTCACCACCGTCCACCTCTCTCCTATCTCCTCTCAACGTCCCTGCCGTCGCCGGGCGCTCCTCCCTCGATGCGCTCTACACCCCAACGCTTGCGCCCGGCTCTCCCTCACCTAGCATCGTGAGTTCCACCGACACCCATGTCCCGCCCTCCCCCACCCTCTCCACGCGGAGCTCCGTGCACTTCGCGCCCCCGACGACGCTCGCGCTCCGCGGCAACCACCCGGACGAGAAGAGCGGCATGGGCTCCCTCCACCTCTTAAGTCCGCACCACGCCTACCACCGCCGCAAGGGCAGCGTCGCCAGCACCGCCGATGGCAGCACCGAGGGCACCGAGCCCGACTCGCACAACATCCACCTCCAGCCGCTCACCCCGCAGCACACCGGCGGCGAGGGCAGCACCATCGCCTCGCCCACGCACACCCACTACGACGGCGCGTCCGTCGCGGGCGACAAGGTCCGCGGCAAGGCCGACCACGGGAAGGGTGCCGAGAACGGCGACGGGGAAGAGCAGGAGGAGGAGGCGCGGCCCGTCCTCGATCTCGCGCAGGACGAGCACATCGACGCGGGCGTGTTCCCCTTCAAGCCGTACAAACTGGCGTCGCTTGTCGACCCGAAGAACCTCGTCCTCCTGAAGGAGATGGGCGGTGCGCGGGGGCTCCTCAAGGGGCTCGGATCGCACGCGACGCGCGGTCTCGGCAAGGAGGCGTTGCGGGTTGCGGAGCCGGACGCGTCTGGCTCACAGGATACGGGGGCCAAGGCGGCGCAGCGTCACGACCGGCAGGACTCCACCGCAAGCGATGTCCCCAAGCTCGTGCTCACCGGCCCAGGCGTTGACCAGTGTGACGGGGTCTCGATCGGCGAAGGCGCATCGGTGCTTGAGTCCGACGATGAGACCGGTCCAACGTACTCTGCCAACCTGGACGAGCGCCGACGAGTCTTCGGCGCGAATGTCCTCCCGACCCGCAAATCCAAATCCCTTTGGGAGCTGATGTGGCTTGCGCTCAAGGACAAAGTCCTGGTATGTATCATGCCTTCGCTGGCGTGGGCGGTGCTCAACATATATGCTTTGACAGGTGTTGCTCTCCATCGCCGCTGTGGTCTCGCTAGCGCTAGGTTTGTTCCAGGACTTCGGTACTCCGAGACCGGACGGCGAACCCCCTGTGGATTGGGTCGAGGGTGTGGCCATCATGGTTGCTATTCTCATCGTCGTATGTGTTCACATGCTTTCACACGTTGGTGCATGGCCTCAACCGCATTTTTATAGGTCATGGTTGGTTCCATCAATGACTGGCAGAAGGAACGGCAGTTCCAAGTTCTTAACGAGAAGAAGGAGGAACGTGGTGTCAAGATTATCCGTGACGGTGTTGAGAAGGTCATCGACATCAAGGAGGTCGTCGTTGGCGATATTGCTCTCGTGGAACCCGGCGAAATTATCCCCTGCGACGGAATCTTCCTCTCTGGTCACAACGTCAAGTGCGACGAGTCCGGTGCCACCGGCGAGTCGGACGCGATCAAGAAAGTCTCGTACGACGACTGCCTGAAAGAGGTGGAAGGATCCGAAGGAGGTGAATTGAAGCACACTGACTGCTTCATGATTTCTGGGAGCAAGGTACTCGAGGGTTACGGCAGTTACGTGGTCATTGCGGTCGGGACCCGTTCCTTCAACGGGCGTATCATGATGGGTGCGTGCTCTGGGCTGCGGTGGCTAATGTGGCAATAGCTGACGTCTTCCATTCCCAAGCTCTCCGCGGCGATACGGACAACACGCCTCTCCAGCTCAAACTGAACAACCTGGCAGAGCTCATTGCCAAGCTGGGCAGCGCCGCTGGTCTCGTCCTCTTCATCTCGCTCATGATCCGCTTCTTCGTCCAACTCGGCACCGGGAATCCCGCGCGCACTCCGAGTCAATGGGGCATTGCGTTCGTCCAGATTCTCATTATCGCAGTCACGTTGATCGTCGTGGCCGTGCCAGAAGGTTCGTGGCCTGACCTGAACCGCGTGTCCTGTGGCGTGCGGCGCGCTGACTGCGCTTCTGTTCTCCAGGCTTGCCGCTTGCGGTGACGCTCGCCCTCGCGTTCGCCACGAAGCGCATGACGAAGGAAAATTTGCTGGTCCGAGTCCTTGGCTCTTGCGAGACGATGGCGAATGCGTCCGTCGTCTGTACGGACAAGACAGGCACCCTTACCCAAAACGTCATGACTGTCGTCGCCGGCTCCATTGGGATCCACTGCAAATTTGTCCGTCACCTCGAGCAGAACCAGGCACGCACCAACGCCGACGAAGAGCCGGGGGTCAAGACCACTGATGCCCAGCGTCACTCGCAAGACTTCTCTATCGACCAGGAGAGCCTGAAGGACACCCTCTCGCCTGCGCTCCAGAAGCTCTTCAACGACGCGGTTGCCATGAATTCCACGGCGTTCGAGGACACCGACCCCGAATCGGGCGAGAAGATCTTCGTGGGAAGCAAGACGGAAACGGCGCTTCTCCAGTTCGCCAAGGAAAACGGATGGGCGGATTACAAGGCGACCCGTGACTCCGCTACCGTTGAACAGATGTTCCCCTTCTCTTCGGATCGCAAGGCTATGGGCGTCGTCGTTCGCATGCCGGATTCCAAGTACCGCGTGTACCTGAAGGGCGCCAGCGAGATCCTCACCCGCCGCTGTACCCGCCACGTTGTCGTCAAGCGCGAGTCCCAGGACACTGAGGTTCAGACCGTTCCGATTGACGATCTCAGCCGCGACAACATCCAACGGACCATCATCTTCTACGCCAACCAGACTCTCCGGACCATCGCCGTCTGCTACCGCGAGTTCGAGCAGTGGCCGCCGCAAGGGGCACACGTGGAGGACGGCGAGGTGAGATTCGGTTTCCGAGTGGACGTTTCGAACCCGCTTACACGTGTTTCCAGGTCGCCTACGACGACGTGTCGTCTGACTTGACGCTCATCGCCATCACCGGTATCGAGGACCCTCTGCGTCCCGGTGTCCGTGAGGCCGTGGCCGATTGCCACAAGGCCGGTGTCACCGTCAAGATGTGCACTGGCGACAACGTTCTCACCGCTCGCTCCATCGCGCTGCAGTGTGGTATATACACCGCGGGCGGCATCATCATGGAGGGTCCCATCTTCCGTCAGCTGGACAAGCAAGATCTTCTAGAGGTCGTGCCCCGCCTCCAGGTCCTCGCACGTTCGTCCCCTGAAGACAAGAAGCTCCTCGTTGACACACTCCGGGAACTCGATGAGATCGTCGGCGTCACCGGCGATGGCACGAACGACGGACCGGCCCTCAAGCACGCCGACGTCGGCTTCTCAATGGGCATAGCTGGCACGGAAGTCGCGAAGGAGGCGTCCGACATCATCCTCATGGACGACAACTTCGCGTCTATAGTTAAAGCCATCATGTGGGGTCGCTGCGTCAACGATGCCGTCCGGAAGTTCCTCCAGTTCCAGATCTCGACGAACATCACCGCTGTGATCATCACCTTCGTGTCTGCTGTCGCGTCCGTCCAGGAGGAGTCCGTTCTCTCGGCGGTGCAGCTGCTCTGGATCAACATCATCATGGACACCTTCGCCGCTCTCGCTCTCGCCACCGACCCCGCCACGCCTGCGCTGCTCGACCGCAAGCCCGACAAGAAGACGGCACCGCTGTTCTCTGTCGACATGTACAAGCAGATCTTCGGCCAGTCGGCGTACCAGACGACCATCACACTCGTCTTCCACTTCTTGGGCAACAAGATCCTCGGTTTCCACCACTCCGACATTTCGTCAGTCCAGAAGAACCAAGACGCGATCGTCCAGACGCTTGCTTTCAACTTCTTCGTGTTCGCCCAGATCTTCAACTCCATTAACTCGAGGCGTCTGGACAACAAGCTCAACATCTTCGCCGGTATCACCAAGAACTATTACTTCATGGGCATTACTCTTCTTGGTGCGCGAGTTTCGTTTCGCTTCTGTTTCCTGCTTTTTGAACCGTTTTTGCAGAAATTGCTGTTCAAATCCTTATTGTTTTCGTCGGTGGAGCCGCTTTCCAGGTCACCCGTATCGGTGGCCGCGAGTGGGGCATCTCCATTGCCCTCGGTTTCGTTTCGATCCCGCTCGGTGCTCTCATCCGCTGCCTGCCCAACGGCCCCATCGAGAGGTTTTTCATCAAGGTGCGGCTCCTGCCAAACCCGGAGGTCATCCCCACTACGCGCAAAGACGCGGAATGGAATTCGGCCATTCAGCTCGTCCGCGACAACCTCTCCACCTTCTCACACGTACGCGGCGGACGCATGCGGTCTTCGTCGTACGTGGGTAAGAGCCGCAATGTGCGCCTCGCGCCCGAGTCTCGCGTTGCTCTGTAAGTGCCTCCCTTATCCCTGTCATCGCGCGTCGTTCCTGACATGGCCTCGATCGCAGCCCCTCAATCATGACCATGGTCCCTTCGCTGATTGCCTCGTCAATCGGCGCTGGATGGGCCCCGCAATCACCTAGCGGCCTGTCGCACCCGGCGAGTTTTGACCCGTCACGGTCGTCGGCGGCCCTCTGGGAAGGAAAGATTCAGATTCATCCAGACACCAAAGCCGATGACCCGGTTATGCATCGGTGGGGGACCGTCGCGAAATCGACTTAGATGCGGAGGCTCGGGGAGCACTCTGTTCGTCAGACTCGGACTTGAGCAGCCATGGACGCGCGCCTCACTTACGATACGACCCACCACGACATACATGTATATCGAGCACCCTTAACGACTTACCCGTATCTCACCGCAGCCCGACGTGTTCTCTTAGATTACATTGGACCCAGGGCCGTTATTTTTTCCCCGGCACTGGCCGTAATGCCCTCCTCATCCCCCTCCCGCAAGCACACATCCCGCCCCCTCACGCTCTTGGTCACCCGCCTGCCACTCACAACGACCTTCGCATGTACACAAACGGTAGATACGCTGCATACGCACTCGCCCCTTTCGCATTCATCGTCAGTCCTTGCATCACCTGAGTTTTGTCGGTCGCTATTCAGTCTCGTTTTCCTCTCGTACATGCCCGTGTCGTATAATGTGCCCGTCCGCCTAGAGCCTCGTGGCACCAAGCTGTAGCCGCGCTACAGGCCCATTCAATGCAAGTGTTTTGAACTGTCTTCGGCGCGCCCGAGCGCGTTCGAACCAGCAACACTCAAGCCAGCGCAACCTTGCATATGCCCCTTCGCTTCTCCCCCGTCCGTGTCGTTTCCGCGCACGCCGGCCGGGAGAACTTCGACGTCCCTGTCGTCGACGGTATGTTCATTCCGCCTCGTCGCCGCCGCTGCAGACGCACACCGTTGATGCATCTCTCCAGGACATGCGTTAAACTTGGCACAAGCGCATACGCCCGAACGCGGTCGCTTTGCGCAGGGGCGTATTTTTGGCGCATTACGCCGAACCACGGCCTGGTGACCGTTCGCGTCGGTACCGCACAACGAGGTCGGGACTGGTCGAGGCATCCGACATTCATCCGCTTGTGTCCGTTGCGTCACGGTCCTTTTCTACGGATCACAAGGACCTAGGTACGCATGCTCTTCAGCGGCCACAACGCTGTTCGACGGCGCGACGCTGACAGCACGATACACTTGCGCTCGACAGAAATCCCCTAGGTCTGCTCGGACTACATACGCCGGCACACGTGTCTCCATCATTCCGTCGAGGATTGCCCGCCGCCTGAGCGCCTGCCTCGGGACCTACGGGATCCCACTACGCCTCGAGGACGCGTGCTCGGGCGTCGCGAAGCCTGCCCGCGGAGCCAGGTGGTGTGGGGAGTGTATAAAACGGACGGGGCCAAGGCTCTTGGCGTTTCGACATTCGGTTAACCATCCCCACCCATCCCTCTCCGTGGCGCTCGCCACAACGACACTCGCGGCCATGAAGCTCACAACGACGTTCGCCACCCTCGCCGCGCTCCTGCCCTTCGCGCTCGGCCAGTCGGCAGAGTGGGGCCAGTGTGGTGGGATCGGCTGGACAGGCCCGACGACCTGCGTCTCCGGCACGGTCTGCACGGTCCTTAACCCCTACTTCTCGCAGTGTCTCCCCGGATCCGTGAGTCCCGCCGCCTGTCGTCTTCCGTCTGTGTGTCGCTGTCGGTGCTCACCTCGACTTTGCCTAGTCGTCGTCCGCGCCCCCAACAACAACCACTAGTAGCTCGAGCCCGACGTCGACCGCGCCCACGTCGACCGCGACGGGCTTGAACAAGCTCGCCCAGGCGGCGGGGAAGAAGTACTTCGGGACCGCGACGGACAACAGCGAGCTGACCAACAAGGCGTACACCGCCATCCTCGACAACAAGTCCGAGTTCGGCCAGCTCACAGCCGCGAACAGCATGAAGTGGGTGCGTGCTTGCCTCCTCTCCGTCCCTGGCCGAGCGAACGAAGCCGGAGGCTGACGGCGCGGACAGGACGCGACGGAGCCGTCGCGGGGCGACTTCACCTTCTCGTCCGGCGACCAGATCGCGAACCTCGCCAAGGCAAACGGGCAGCTCCTCCGCGGGCACAACTGCGTGTGGTACAACCAGCTGCCGAGCTGGGTGTCCAGCGGCGGCTTCTCCGCCGCGCAGCTCACGAGCGTGATCCAGACGCACTGCTCGACGCTGCTCACGCACTACAAGGGCCAGGCGTACGCGTGGGACGTCGTCAACGAGCCCTTCAACGACGACGGCACCTGGCGCTCCGACGTGTTCTACAACACCCTCGGCACGTCCTACGTCCAGATCGCGCTCGAGGCGGCGCGCGCGGCGGACCCGGGCGCGAAGCTGTACATCAACGAGTACAACATCGAGTACACGGGCGCGAAGGCGACCGCGCTCCTCAGCCTCGCCAAGTCGCTGCTCGCCGCGGGCGTGCCGCTCGACGGGATCGGCTTCCAGTGCCACTTCATCGTCGGCCAGGTGCCGACGAGCCTGCAGACGGTCATGCAGCAGTTCACCGCGCTCGGGCTCGAGGTCGCGATCACGGAGCTTGACATCCGGATGACGCTGCCCGCGACGAACGCGCTGCTCGCACAGCAGGAGACGGACTACGAGAACGTCGTGAAGGCGTGCATGAACGTCAAGGGGTGCGTCGGCATCACCGTCTGGGACTTCACGGACGAGGTGAGCGCGCGGGCGGCGGTGGGAGTGGTCGCTTGAGATGCTGACGCGCCGTGGTGCAGTACTCGTGGGTGCCGGGCACGTTCTCCGGTCAGGGCGAGGCGTGCCCTTGGAACCAGGTATGAGTGCTTTAGGTCTTATTTGTGGACCACGCTGACGCCAGTGGTCCTGCAGAACCTGCAGAAGAAGCCTGCGTACAGCGGTATCACGGCGGCGCTCTGAAGTCTCCTGTGGGCATTTGTCTTCGTGGAAAGCAGGGTCAAAAGATAATATGTATCGAACGCCATACCACGTCATGTATTTATTGCCGCTCTTCCGCCATCCGCTTACAGATTGCGACGATTGCGACGCCACGATTCGAAGGCGGAGTTCAGCGAAGCCGCGTCTGCGTCGAAGGTTTGATGGTTCTCGTCATTTAAATGACGTCACATCCATCTGTTACTGTGCTTGGATTCGAGCGTGTGATACCCGCATGCGCGTGCACTCCGGGGATCATCCAATGCGTCTCGCACCATGCCCAGCGAGAAGTTCGAGTTCATGCCTATGGGTATATAGTCATGCATGAGACGGCATGCAGAGGCAAACGCTCATGGCAGCCGATGTCGATGAGCACCAATAAACCGTCTCAATACTCCCGGGAACCACCCCGAATGCCCCTGAGCCTTTCCCGTACATCTTGGACACGTCTCCGGCGAGGACCTTGGGGACCTCCAACGCGGCAAAGTGCCCGCCCTTGTCGTGCACGCCGACGTACACCGTCTTCCCCGTCGACGCCGCCCAGCTGCAAAACCGATGAATGGACTTATAGCACTCCCAGCGGCCCGCGCTGGTGCGGAGCCTATGCGGACGTCACTCGCGATTTCGGGAGGCGGAAGAGCTCGCCGGGGAAGTACGACACCGGATCTGCGCCGGTGGGATCATGGATTTGGCACCGCCGACGGTGCCTCCCTCCGACATCTCAGAGTATTTCCATATTAGAGATCCATCGGAGGACTGGAAGGCGCGCACACACACTATCCAGCAGGCGCCGGGGAAGGTCGGATTCAAAACCACCCAATGCCTCGTACAGTGCGGTTCGAATGTACAAGGGACGGGGCACGAGCGCCTGGCCGAACAGGTGCTTTCTAGCGCGCTAAAGGCTGTCGATCTTGCACGTACGTACTCTGCAGTGCGCACGGCCCGTGTGCCCCCTCAGGATCGCAGGGAACGCTGACGCGCAGGTTTGCTGCATGGATGGGGGACAGTCAAGGCCGCGAAGGACGGTCTATCCGTCGGACAATGTCTAATCATGGGGGAAGAGAAAAGACAAGCGCCCGGGGGGCCGCGCCGCTGAGCCGCCACACCAGGGCAATCCAGAGAGCCCCTCAACGTACAAAAGGGAGTAGAGGGTGGGCCAGAAACGTTGGCAGGAGTGCGATTAAGTGGGAGAGTCTCCCCGGAGAGAGGAAACCGATCAGGTTCACGCGCGAGAACTCCCACATCATTTACACTCCGCTTTAGGAGCAGTGCTAGTAGCGCCCGTCCCTCCCTCTGCGGCGTACGCTGAACTCCACGGATCCCTTGCACGCGCAGGTCGAGCATGCCCCCGTCCTCGAGCGCCGTCTCATTTCCGGTCCATGCCTGCTCTTAAGTTGCAAGGGGGTCGCCGGCGCGTTCGACAGCTTGATTGGCTCCCCCCTGAGGCGCTGGCGGTCAGCGCGTCGTCAGCATTGGGAGAGGATTTGTCATCTGCGGATTACGATGCACGGCGCAGACACGGCCTGCACGACGTATATGAAGTCAGCCAGCATTCCGTCTTCTCCACCACCACTGCTCATCGCCCTCTTCACCCTCCACATCTTCAACCTCGCCACTTTGCTCACCATGTCAGCGCGCCCCATGATTGTTGTTGCGGGTGTCGGCGGCGGTCGCGGTTCGTGTCTATGACGCAATAATGCACGCCGAGAAATGCTGACTTCAGTGCTTTCGCGTCCAGGCACCGGAGGTTCCACTGCGTGAGTCTGCACGCACTGAGCAAGGGCGCACATACTCACAGTTGCGTGCGCAGCCGTCTCTTTGCCAAGTCGGGCTACCGCGTCGCGCTCGTTGCGCGCACCGCAGACTCGCTCAAGAAGGTCGCCGACGAGATCAACGCGTCTGGCGGTGAGGTGCGTGCTGACCCCCTCGCCCACCGCCCCCCTCTGACGTCACCCGTCCGCCCCTCAGGCCGCGCCCTTCCCGGTCCCCGACTACTCGTACAAGGCCGTCACCGGCGTGTTCGACAGCATCCTCTCCCACAAGTGGCCCTCCCCGGGCGCGTCCGAGCTCCGCGTCGCCCTCTGGAACGCGAGCGCGGGCACGTTCAAGAACTTCCTCGACGTCACGGAGGAGGACATCCAGAACTCGGTGAACCTGAACGTCGTCGCGTCCTTCGCGTTCTCGCGCCGCGCCATCCTGGCGTTCAAGGAGAACGCAGTTAACGCCAACGGCGCGCGGGGGACGCTGCTGTTCACAGGCGCGACGGCGGGGATCCGCGGGAACACGTGGACGAGCGCGTTCGCGGCGGGCAAGTTCGGGCTGCGGGCGTTGAGCCACAGCCTGGCGAAGGAGTTCGGGAAGGAGAACATCCACGTCGCGCACGCCATCATTGATGGCGCGATCCAGACCGACCGCGCAGCGCCAGTTGAGGACGGCAAGGTCGAGGGGGACGTGCGGCTGAACCCGGACTCGATCGCGCATACGTACAAGTACCTCGCCGAGCAGGACCGCTCCGTGTGGACTTGGGAGCTTGACTGTAAGTCGCTTTATTCCCGCATCCCACACAGCAAGTCGTTAACAGCGAGTGCCCCCCAGTGCGCCCTGCCCATGAAAAGTGGTGAAGGCCATCATATTGACTGTTGTTCTCTCGCTGTACGATGTTGTACGATGTTGCAGGATGCAAGTAATTCCGGAATTCACTATCATTACACTCGCGCTCGAACAGTATTGTTACCAGTCCCTAATCGCGTTCACCACGTGGTGAGCGGGTTCCATCAGCACTGAGCACACCCTCTCACTCACTCAAGAAAACCACAATCGCTCGCATGGATGGGAGTCTCCTTCCCGAATTCCCGCCAGGCTGTGGCTCAATGCCCGCAGCCCGAACTCGCCGCGCTCGTTCACATATTCCCGCGAACTTGTCGCCACCGTCGCGCTTGTGAACAGCATCGTCCCGCGCGCGCCGTTGGCTTCCAGCGCGTTCTCTTTAAGCGCCAGGGCGCCGCCGCTGCGCGAGAACGCGAACGACGCGACGACGTCCAGGTTCACCGAGTTGTGGATGCCTTCCTCCGTCACTTGCAGGAAGGTCTTGAACGCGCCGGCGCTCGCGCGAGGTCGGAGTTTACCGGGAAACGATGTGACTGTAACAAGCACCTGGTTGCCTCCAGACGCCACACTGCGTGTCCGTTCTCAACCTCCGCAGATTGACCCTGACCAAACACTTCTCGTCAATGGCGCTTTCCCCGGGGCATGTTGCGCTCCGCACCATCTTATACGTTATTCCTAGGAGCATCAGGGCTTATCTGTACTCACGGATTGCCTCCTACTATGCTCGCGGGTGGCGTCCCAACGGGATCACTTCTCCCACCATCTCCTTTCTCCCGTTCAAACTCGTGTTGAAAAGGATAGAAGGAGACAACAGCAACGAAATCGCAGCCTTGCGCCTCGCGAGCAGGCTCCAGGGCATCAACACGCCGACCCTTCTGGACCACGCCTGGAGCACGACCTCCACCTATATCCTCATGAACCACATCGACGGTCAAGACTGCGGGGCCGTATGGGACGATCTCACCCCGCCAGACATGGCACGCATCTCTGCCGAGCTGCGACAGCAGCTCGAAAGCATGCATCGTCAGACCGCGGGCGGCTGCGACCGCATCTGCAACGTCGCCGGTGCGCCCATCAAGGACCCCCGCGTCTCCTGGCTCGAAGACGACCCTCGTCTGTTCGCAACCCCCCTCGAATTCTACGAGCAAGTTTGGCTCGGGCTAGACAAGCCCCAGCTAGCCTCCACCCTCCGTCCCCTCATCCGGCCCGTCATGGAACGTCCGGACGTCCCCATCGTCTTCTACCAAGAGGACCTGCAGCCCAAAAACGTGCTTCTACCGGGAGGGCTGGCGGGCTGGCGTTCGGGGACCGCGGCGGTGTGCATCCTCGATTGGGAGTTTGCAGCGTGGGCGCCGCGTCCGTGGGAGGCACTGAAGGCGACGTGGTTGGTCATGGATCGTGAGGGACCCGACGCGGATCCGTGGTTTGAGATGATGGAGCATGTCTTCCCGGAGTGCATAGACGAAATGGAGGCGGATTGGCTGTGGAGGTGCAAGTCAGGAATAACGCTTGTGTAGAGAAAATGACTGTAGGGCTCGGAAGTTTCGCAATCTAGAGTTATGTTCTGCGACCCCCAGCCTACCGCAGAGTTCTCAAGCTGCCGCACTCGTTTGCCGAGTTGCGAGATATGTTGCGTCTGTTCGTGGTCCCAGCATCCTATATCCTTGACTTCACAGAACGCCACTTCAATGTGCGTGCACGCGCGTGCGAGAATCGTACAAATAGCGATGAGCTCATACGTATGACTCCGAGATTGCAAGATGCAGGTAATTCCAGAATTCACTACCATTACACTCGCGCCCAAACAGTATTGCTACCGGTCCCTAATCGCGTTCACCACTTCTCGTGAGCGGGACGCACTGAGAGGAAAACTGATGAGTATGCGTTGTCTGCATGGATGAAAGCAAGACTGACAGTCAATCTCCCAAGACCAGCTGGAGCGATCCTGCTCGACGAGGTGCTTGTACGTCTAAGTGCGTCGTTGAGCGCGGAAAGTCATCGACGAAACAGCCACTTTTGCGTACCTTTGCGATCGCGTCGGGGTTGAGACGAACGTTCGCTTCCTCCTGGCCCTCCTCGAGGGGCTTGGACCTATCGGTGCTGATTGTTAAAGTAGAGCGCCTCGTACTTCGGGCTTCTCCGGTCGGACTCTGAACCTTATCTACAGACTCGTCCACCGACTCGTTCCTGTAGCTGTAGACACTTCTACCACCATGTATTCTACCCACTTCTTTCATTAATTCTCTCTCTCGACCCGTGACGCTCGCGCTTCAACACTGATTCCTGCCCGAAGCAGTCAGAACCGGACCACTTTCATAACCTTCTGGCACAGTCAACTCACCTCCGTCGATGATCGCGTGCGCGACCTGTCCGCGCGGAGTTCCATCAGCACACCCTCCCGCTCGAGAAAAGCCGCACTCGCTTACGTGGATGTTCTCCTTCCCGAACTCCTTCGCGAGACTGTGGCTCAACGCCCGCAGCCCGAACTTGCCCGCCGCGAACGCGCTCGTCCACGTGTTCCCGCGAATCGCCGCCGTCGCGCCCGTGAACAGCAGCGTCCCGCGCGCCCCGTTCGCGTCCAACGTGTTCTCCTTGAACGCGAGCACGGCGCGGCGCGAGAACGCGAAGGACGCGACGACGTTCAGGTTCACCGAGTTCTGGATGTCCTCCTCCGTCACGTCGAGGAAGTTCTTGAACGCGCCCGCGCTCGCGTTCCAGAGCGCGACGCGGAGCTCAGTCGCGCCCGGGGAGGGCCACGTGTGGGAGAGAATGCTGTCGAAGACGACGAGCACGCCTTTGTACGAGTACTCGGGGATCGGGAACGCGGCCGCCTGCGGAGCCCGCGCAGGGGTGCGTCAGTGGACGACGTCGGCGGAGTCCCAGGGTGTGGAGTACGCACCTCGCCGCCTGCTTGGTTGATCTCGGCCGCGAGTGCGTTGAGCGAGTCGGCGCCGCGGGCGATGAGCGCGACGCGGTAGCCCTCCTTCGCGAAGAGGCGACTGTTGTCGGTGGCGGGTCCGTGGTCAGCATCGTCGCGTGCGCTGGGAAACATGAGAGTGGGGTCTCACGCGGTCGATCCACCAGTGCCTGGATATTGCACGGAAATGTCAGCCTTGGCTCGCTCCTGCAAGGGAACCGAAGAAACTTACCTTTTCCAGCACCAACACCAGCGACAACAATCAGAGGGCGTGCAGACATGTTTGCAAAGAGGATACAGAGGAGGTGAGAGCGATTACAGGACGACCTGAGTGTGGATCTATGTTTGTGTTATCCCCTCCCCCTTATAAGCATATGTGTGCTCCCACAAGGAAACTTCGCAATTGGATATCCTGTGAGATGACGTGCTGGTCAGAGTCTATGGGTGGCTCGTCTGACACATCTTCCCTCAACGTGCTGACCAAGCCCGGGTGCTTCGAGCGATCGCGTGTTCATTACACAGGCCATCGCCCTGCAGGCCGGGGGGAGACACGGAAGTAGCGCGAAACGACCTTCCAGTCGCACCATCGGTGTCATAAACTATGAGTGGATGGCGGAAGATCGCCACAATACATAGGGCGTTACGTTTCTTTATCATGTATCCAGATCAAGTTTCGTGAGAACGACATGAAGCCCGCTCAGAGAAAGCAGCAATGATGCCATCGTGCGCAAGGACCCAAGTTAGAATCCTGCGAGAGTCTGTTGGCGAGCTTGCGTTCGTCCAACAGCAAGGTGTGGCGACCACTCACCTCGTCCTATAAGAATACTTCACACAGCACAATACATAAATCCAATATGCCTTCCTTCGCCCGGGAAAGACACGCTCAGAGCGCCACCCACAAGTTGTAGGTAGGCTCTTCTGCAGATACTGTATAATTTGACCGGGAACGTGATTGGCACTCACGAGTACTGCGCGACGCGTCTGCCGATATCCTTGGTGTTGACCCCAGTCGCCGCGCGCCCAAGCTGACCTTGTCCATGAGCTCCTAGACAATGATACCGACGCACATCTTGATGTCATCGCCACGCTCCCGTAGTCCGTCTGCTGCTGCGCGAGCAGCGCGTCCGTCGCGGGGAGCGTCATCCTAATGTCGAGCTTCGTGATAGCGAACCTCGTGTGGTGAAATGCTCCATGACCGTCTCCAGACTGCTCTCTCCCCAAAATGAAGTGGCACTGGGAGCCAATCTCGTCGAGATGGACGCCGTCTGCGGGAAGCCGCGTCGCGAGGTTGAAGCACGCTCACACTGAGACAGCTCCGTGGCGTCCTGTCCGCGTAGTCAACCTTTTGGGCTTGCAGAAAAGTGGTCCGTACGCACCCACTTCGTGTTGCTCACAGGTGGGATCTGCCAGAGCTTAGGCATATTGCCGAGGATGGCGGCATACGGCCAGCTCTTGATGGGGGGTAGGAGGAACGAACGCACATGAGAATGTCAAAACTAGTACTGATAACGATGGACAGGCGAGGACGAACCGAGAGTCATGGCTAAGTCTTACAGTATCATCATGCTCAAGAGTTTCCCATCGCTTGGTCGCCCGCGCTGGCTCCGCAGAATACAATTAGTGTGGTCAACCGAAGGTGTATGACGGTCGAAACGTACTTGATTCATCGCCCAAGCTCTTGTGCACGCAGGAGCCGGCACTCTCGTCCGTGTGCCGCACGTATAGTACGAGCTGCGAAGACCTCCAACGTAGCAAACAACCTCCAGAGTTCGCATCTACCAGCCTTGCCTGTCCGAGGTCGACATTGAAGTTGTATTTTGGGTGCGCAGACCGCGGGTATTGTCCTCGACTGCCCGCGCTAAGACTCCAAGCTTGCGGTCTTGCATGAGTATCGGACTGGGCGGGTGTGCACCATGCGAGAGAGAACATAGAAGAGCACAGGCATACAGTCAATGGGGCGCGGCTGGAGTGAGGGATGGGAGGAAAGTGGTGGCGTCTCCTCGGAGTATGTGCCCACTCTCGATTGATCGAGATCAGCTGACCGGTGTGGATTCGACTCCGTCTGGCTTTGGCCACCTTCTTCTTCAACTCTTTGAGTCCCGGCCTTGCACTAGAGCTGACAGTCAGCAACACAACGTCGAGAAAGAGAACAGCGCCCAAATGCTATAAGGGACATTGGCCAGTAAGTCTAGTTAGGCTACGGGGAGTACCGCGGCGAGCGCTGACGGCCTCCTCCTATGTAGCACACGGCCGCATCCGCCTCCGTCAGAGTCTACTGGAGCAGGAGCCATGGATGGGCTTTCCCATCGAACAGGCGAGTCACAGCAACGTGATTGGGTTGTTTATCATGAGATGGGCGGGCCGAAACATTCATACTACTGTTACAACAGCTGACACTCGATGTAGGCTGAGCTGTTCGAGCAGTAGACCGACACGATGCATACCACCATCGGCAGGCTGATACCCCTAAAACGCAACCAAATCAAGGTGGGCATTTGGGAACCCATTTTCCTTGACGCGAGGGAGCAGCCAGAAGAACGGCGTCGCGTACGTGACATCCGATACCTTCCCGTCCCCGCTCCCTGTACCTCCGGTGATGAGGCCGCCAATGCGTCCGAGTGCGTCGGCCACGGCAGCACCCGAGTCGCCAGGTGCGGCAAAAGGTCCTCGATCCGCATCATGCGGGAGGATCGCCCACTCCATCGACGTCCGGTGGGTGCCGTTGTCGAAATACTCCCGGACGTAGGAGAAGACACCGTTCGCGCGGCCGGTGGTTACCCCTGTTGCGCTACCGCGCTTGAGGACCGAGAGACAAGGGAGATCATGAAGGTCGAGCAAGTCTGGCTCGCGCATGATTTCCTCCGGGAGTATACCCTCAAGGGGAAAGAGCCGATTGAGGGATGGATACGTGAAATCGAGACCGTCTTTGGTGCAACCTTCCATCCTTCTCATGAAATCAACGGGCTTAATGTTCATCCCTATACAGAATGGTAAATATCGGCGATCTTGCAAAGTAGCAAGGAGCGTTACCGAGGTCGATCACATTTCCGTGGAATGCACCCTTTTCCATCCTGGCCTTATCAACCGCGGCAATGGCGTAGTCTTCGGTGAAGCTCTGCGTGCCTGTACCAGTAGTGATGGGTGGAGAGCAGATGATATGGCCGAAGGCACGGCGTCGAGGTGACCTCCACTCCTTTCGGACTTCTGTGTAAAGTGGCACGTGTGCCTCGATGGCCTCGTTCTTCCCCGCCACGAGTGATGTCTCGCGTTCCAGATCTTCCTGGGAGCACACAGTGGTATCACCCTGCTGGAGGCTCTGCTGCCATTCGTTGATCCTTCCTTGATACATCTCCGCCTCACAGGCGAGCCGGCCGATCTTCTTTTTGATCGATACGAGGAGGTCGGCATGAGCTTTATCGCCAAGGAGAACTACTTTACGACGATCTACACCCGGATCCAGATGACGGGAGTCGTAGGCGACGTTGAGTCCTGTGTCCGGCGGGAAAAGGACATGACGGGCTGTGAGGAGTAGGATGGAGTCGCTGTCGCCGCCTTCAGCAAGATACAGTCCCACGGAACCTTGGCCATGGCTGGCGTCTTCAGCGGCGATGGAGTTCCCGATAAGCGGAGTGAGCTGCGCATGAAAATCGTCGGTGCTCCCTCCGTCAGTGGCGGGTTTGTGGAGGGTCGGGAGGACAAAACGGGTATACGTGGAGTACCGGAACTCGACCTCGACATCCTTGAGGTCGAATTGTTTGAGAAGGTGCAGACAGGCGTCCGCACAAACGCATGCATCATCCTTGGAGAGGGTGTTGGGGAGGACACCGATCCATAGAATGACAGGGCCCACGGACCGGCGGCGTTCAGCTTCCGTGAAACGAACGACGTCGACAGACGACCAAAGAACCTTCTTGGAATCCAAGGTCTGACATATTTTGCCACCCAGGTCCTTCCAGACGACGTTCATCCTGTGTCCGAAAACGGGGCGAAGTCTCCTGGAGTCTCGACCCCAGTCCAAGGAGGATCGTACCCAGGGCGATGTCCCCGAGCGATAGAGAAGCGTGGGGCGGGAACAAAGGCCTGAGTAGTAAGTATCTGCCTCTAATGCGCCCATGGGAGGAAAGTCGGGATCTGGGTCCCACATTGGTCCTCGGAGTGATTCCCTGGCCAAAGTCACACAGGCAGAGATGAACGGCGAAGAGAGCACTGGTAATATGATCAGCTAGCATAGAAAATCTTGAAACAAAGGGGCACGAACTGGTAGACATGAAGTTTGCGGTGAAGATGCCACGGAGGGATGATCGATGAGCAGCAGAACGAGCCAACTTTTTAGATATCGCCCCGGATGAGTCACGTGGACGCTAAGGTGACGCTGGAGGAATTTGATATTCCCAACGAGAGAATCTGGTTTCTGATCTCCATACTGGCTCCAAGGAACAAGTACAACCTTGAGACGAATTTGGTGCTGGCATGAAGGCACATACTCGGAAGTCTTTGTTCACAATATCCAATATGGAAGGTGCAAGAGCACAACTGACTCAATTACAAGGTGAGCAGCACAAACACAACATCAGAAGTGAGACCTAGCCCCATGCGACCAAGCTTCCTACTCAGGGGCGAGCGGATTGAACGGACAGATGAAGATCGTCGAATGAGCGGTCTCTGTTTCAATTGTGCCTTGCGGCAGCGCTGCCACAGCGAGCTACTTATCACATGCGTCACGACTGGTGTGCTTCTGCTCGTGATCATCGCGAGCTTGTACTACGAGTTCTAGCCTGGCACATCGTCCTGCGTCTGCGCGTCGTAGATGGTCGCGTGCGCAGAGGCCAGCGAGAGGGATGCCGTCTGTGGCGCGCCAGGGTGACGAGGACGAGCGCGCCATCGCGGCAGGTTGGGTGGCGGTGGGCGTCCAACGATGGGATGATTCCAGCTGGATGGCGTCTTGTGCAACCCTCTCGTGTTACGTGTACAGGCTACTTGCGAACCAACCCGAGACCAGCGCCCACGTCCTCTGCGAGGCGCCTGCCCCCAGCACAGACCCACCAATGTGGCTCGTATCCGTGGTGATCCCTAAGTTGTGAGTATACTAGGTGCACCCCAAATCAGTCGTTTCTGCTATCATTGTCTCTTCCATATTCCAGACGCCACTCCTTACCGGATGTCACGGCTCAAATGGGTGTGTAGTACTTTATGCGTTGGTGTTCAAATCCGATCGGACCCTTGTTAGAACATGGGCTGGCTTCTCCGCATGTTGCCACAGTGACCTCCAATGATGTGACACCGTTCTGGGCGAATACGGTCGGCATTGAGTCGAGCTTCGGACCGTTTTCAAGTTCTATCGCGTTCATCCCTAAGAGTCGTTGTCTTGTACTCTATCCGTCTTCTCGCGGAGATGATGCGTTGGTTCTAACTACGCCCACGAGTATATAACGAGGGAGTCTTCAATGTTTTACTCCACTTCCCCATCTCTCAAGCTATCGTTCTCAGCTCATCAGACTCAGACATCAAGTCAGTCGCCCCGCTTTCCATCTCATTGGATCAATGAGGCTGACGTTTCATTTCATTTCAGTCGACGTTTTCACATCGTTGTGAAATGTTCTCAAAGTCTAACACTATTGTTAGTGTCTACGAAGACATGTCGTCGGACGAGGCTGTGGGAGATGCCCCGAGCACGCCAACCACTTCGACCGTCGATGAGTCCTCTCTGGATTCCATTTCTGTCGGTGTTTCCTCCCTTGGGTTTGACAGTGGTGGCTCCGGCTCTTCCGAGTCTAGCGGCCGCGTATCCGAGTCCCAATCTCCTACCACCAATTTCCTTACCAAGGACCGAGTCTGCTTGACTCCTGGCTCTACCGCGGAAGAGTCTCTGTACTACAGCGGTCTGCGGTCTCACCCTAGGTTGGTGTATCGTTCTGGAGAAACCCCACGGTTGATTCCCTCTGCTTTTCAACGGAACGATTCGCACCCATGGATGGAAGTTGTGCCGGTATTCGACTATAAGCTCAATCACATCTTGGAGGAGCTCTCGGGAGAAATATGCAGGACCATCGACAAAGCATCCATCTGCTGGTCTTCTATTGACGTTGTCCGTTTCAAAGCCCGGGACCAGCCGAAGCCCGGTCCCGTGGTATTGTGGATTGGGATACATCCCGGTGACTTCGAAACACCCAAGCCCCCTCCGACCCAGGAAGCGGCTCGTGCCTTAGGTGGCTCCCTCATCGAAATTCTCCAGAATAAAGGCATCAAAGACGTGGAGATTGAAATGCGGCTCGCAAAATGCGAAATTTGTGTGGGCACTGGCGTCGGACCTTTCCTAACCCATTCCGACATTGCCGAGTCCGAGTCCTCTGCGTCCCATTTCCTTCATCTCCTTACTCCTACACTGGGTCTTCCTATTGCTGCTGAGAAGACACCTACGGCAGAGGGCACTGGAGGGCTTTATCTAAAGGAAGGGCCAGGCAAAGACGGGAGGACCTTCTTGCTCACGGCTCGCCACGTTTGCTTCAACCCGAAAGCACCGCCTTCAGAACAGATCATTGCGAATCACGAAACCTACAACCTGAATCCCAAAGTCCAACATAATCCTTCCAAGCACAGAATCGTTCTCCTCGGAGAGTCCTCATATCGTGCTACTGTCGACACTATCAAGAATAAGATCAAGGACGACGACAAGAAGATCAAGAAGGCAGCATCGACTATCGGACAAATAGAGGTAAAATTGAAGGAGGGGACAGTTCTTGAAGACACGGCGAAAAAAAACAAAGCGAAACAGAGGGAGGATATGAAGACTGCACAATATTCTTGGGATGCTCATACAAAGGTCTTCGAAGAATTCCTCAAGCGGGAAAATATGAACGAGCGAATCCTCGGTCACGTAATTTACTCTCCTCCATGGGCTTTTGATGTCGATCCTCCGAACCCCGGGTCTATTGGGCATTCTGAAGACTGGGCTATCATCGAAGTTGACATGAAAAAGATGCCAGAAGGAGTTTCAATCGAGGATTTGAACTTCATTGACCTTCGTACGATTTTTTTCTCTTTTAAGAGATGGCACTCGGAACTCATTATGCTGTTTCAGGCAAAAGGGGCCAGACAGAAGAATTCGAGCCTCCGACCGAATCGGATGTTAGCTACGGTATGAGCTCTGGGTACCAAAACGCCAGCTCGTTCCGCTTCCCCAAAGGCGGCTTGTTTCGTATTCGAGGGATAGTGAACAAGGCAACGCTGATGGATCCCCAAACGTTCGTCGACCTCGAAGCGTTGGCCAATCCCGATTCGCTCGAGAGAAATGAGTGGATGCGTTTCCCCGTCCTCAAGAGTGGCAGATCCAGTGGCGTAACTATCGGTCGTGGCAACGGCATCAATTCGATTGTTCGTGAATACGACACTCTCGGGAGACCTGTGAAGACCTCTTTGGAGTGGTGTGTCCTTTCCGTGATCGACAAGCAACCGTTCTCTGAACAGGGCGATTCGGGCTCTATCATTGTTGACCACCGCGGCCAAGTTGCTGGTATGCTCGTGGGAGGCTCTGACGACCGCACTCATAACCGGATGGCTGAAATTGATATCACGTATGCGACACCGTTCTACTGGCTCATGGCAAGGATTCAAAACAAGTTCCCCGACGTTTATATTCCTTGATTCAGTACGACATCAGAGCAGACCTAGACAGGCCTTCCTCGAAGGAGTAGTTGTAGCTTCACATTACTATGTACAGATTTCGGAGTACTTAGTCGTTTGGCTCAGAAGACATTGTGATGACAGTACGAAGGACGATGAGCGTATACAATACGTCTGTGAACGACAGACCACAACATTTGTAACTTGTTCAAGCCAACGCCGCAGCGATGCCGTTGTACGCGGGCTTGATGTTGAAGTTCTGTGAGAGTCACCGAGTCAGTGACGTTCGCGAGATGGCGGGAATGTGGCAAACGCTCACCTCATCCCATGGGCACGCCGCGCCCTGTCCCGAGAACGTGCCTGGCACCCACGAATACTGCACCACAAAAGCACAACGTCAGCTCGACTCGCCCATCCCGCACCTTTGCCCGGCCGGAGGGCCACGCACCTTGTCCGTCCAGTCCCAAACGGTAATCCCGACACACCCCTCGACGTTCATGCACGCCTTCACGACGTTCTCGTAGTCCGTCTCCTGCTGCGCGAGCAGCGCGTCCGTCGCGGGCAGCGTCATCCGGATGTCGAGCTCCGTGATCGCGACCTCGAGCCCGAGCGCGGTGAACTGCTGCATGACCGTCTGCAGGCTCGTGGGCACCTGACCGACGATGAAGTGGCACTGGAGCCCGATCCCGTCGAGCGGCGCGCCTGCGGCGAGCAGGCTCTTGGCGAGCGCGAGCATCGCGTTGGACTTGGCGCCGGTCGACTCGATGTTGTAGTCGTTGATGTACAGCTTCGCGTTCGGGTCCGCCGCGCGCGCCGCCTCGAGCGCGATCTGGACGTAGGAGGTGCCGAGGGTGTTGTAGAACACGTCGGTGCGCCAGGTGCCGTCGTCGTTGAAGGGCTCGTTGACGACGTCCCAGGAGTCTGCCGGGGGAGTCAGTCACCGCGTCTGCAGACGCAAGGAGCCTACGGAGGCCACTCACAGCTGCAGAAAGGGTTTGGTCGGCGGGAGCTCTGGCGTGGGAGGCAAGGCAAACACTCACATGTGTCCCTTGTAGTGTCCCACGACGGTTCCGCAGTGGGTGGTGATCACGTCCGTCAGGTCTGCCGCGGTGAACGTGCCGCCGCTGACCCAGCTCGGCAGTTGGTTGTACCACACGCAGTTGTGGCCGCGGAGCAGCTGCCCGTTGCCTTCCGCGAGGCTCGCGACGACGTCGCCGTTCGTGAACGTGAACGTGCCCCGGCTCGGCTCGGTCGCGTCCTGTCGGTGCTCATCAACTCATGCTCAATGGAGAAAGGTGATGAAGAAAGACGATGAAACGGGAACGTCGGCACGCACCCACTTCATGCTGTTCCCAGGAGTGATCTGCCCGAACTCGCTCGTCTCGCTCAGGATGGCAACGTACGCCGTGTCGGTCAGCTCTGGGTTGTCAGTCGCGCTCCCGAAGTACTTCTTCCCCGCCGCCTGGGCGAGCTTGTTCAAGCCGGTCGCGGTCGACGCGGGCGCAGTCGACGTCGGGGTCGAGCCACCAGTGGTTGTTGTCGGGGGCGTGGACGACGCCTGGGCAGAAGCGAGATGAGCATTGTCAGCTACGCACAGACAGAAGACGACAGGCGGAGGCACTCACGGATCCGGGGAGACACTGCGAGTAGTAGGGGTTGAGGACGGTGCAGACCGTACCGGAGACGCAGGTCGTCGCACCGCTCCAGCCGATCCCACCGCACTGGCCCCACTCCGCCGCCTGGCCGAGCACGACGGGGAGGAGCACAGCAAGGGTGGCGAACGTGGTGGAGAGCTTTGTCATCGTCGAGGTCTTCGCGGTGTTGGAATGTCGAGGTCGCCGGACGTCGAAGGGGTCCTCTCTGCGAAGAGTGAGAATTTATACTGACGCGGAGCCGAAGCCTGCCAGGTGTGACGACACGGATCATCATCGCAAATATACGCCCCTCGTAGAACGCGAGTTACGCGTCGAGGAGGGTGGGACATGCGGACGCGTCCCATGCCCTCACCTGGCGACCGTTGCCTGTTCGCGAGGTCCGCGAGCCGCGCTGGTAAACAGCCAGGTGATTGATCGCGCGCAGCTCAAGCGACCCAAAGAACATCGCGAACGGGCATATGTCGGCGGGCCCGGCAGAACTGGAGCGCCGGGACTTGCTCGGTGCGGGCGAGGCAAACTTGGAGGACTCGAAGCGTGTTGCGCCCGGTCATCTGCACGGCGTAAAATAAGCGCAGAGGTGACGTAGAAGTAGAGCGCATACAGGAATAGCGACGAGCGCGCATGGCGTGGTAGGCAGCACTCGACATGGGGAAAAGGGATCCGGGCAGAGGAGACTGAGGAGGAGCAAGCTCACGTACGCACATCACATTGACAAGATCATGGAAGGACACCGCTGCTCCGAATAATGCCTGTCCAGCTCTTCATGATATACCGCCCATACTGCCCTATGTCGTCCGCCGCCGAGTCGACCTTTTGAGTCATGCTGAGAGCATCGTCCAGGAACTTGTACGCGGTGTTGGGTGAAGTGAGCTGATGCAACTCTGTGGGCTGAAATATGAGAGAGAGCAGTGGAGCAAAGTGTAGATAGACGCACCTGCTGCGCCGTATGCCACAGCGACAGTCGCGCGTCGTCGGAACCATGCAGGCTATTCACGCCGCTTAGTGAACGTTCCAGCGAGGAAGAGTGGAGACTTACGCCGACAGAAGTGTCCCGCACGAGATAACACGCATCGTCTGCCACTTGAGACACGTGCTTAAGCCCAGGGATGGGGTCCAGAGGAGGGAGGCCATATGTCGGAGAAGCCAGAAGGGCGAACGCCTGAGGCGGGAGCAAACCCTCAAAATACAGCTCCTCCAGAACGCAGACACACAACCACTGACCTCCGGAAGAAGCGGCAGAACCTCCTCATTGACCCGCAACCTCTTCTCCAACACAGCTCGCATCGACGGTGGGGGTGCGCCCGGGGTCGCGTCCGCCAGCAGGCTCTTCCTCGTCTCCACACGCGCATGCTCGAGCCAGCCTCCAATCAATGTTCGTCGCGCGTCGTCCCCTTCCCCAAAGAGAGCGGTGATTGCGGCTTCGGTGAGGGGCTTCTCGTGCGGGGTTGGTAGACGTAGAGCGGACTGCGCGAGGGCTTCGCGCGTGAAGCCATACGACTTTACGAGGGGAACGGCGAGCTGAAGAAGCTGTGTTCTGAGGCATTGAGCTCGATTTAGACAACCCGGGCACATATTAGATACAGACTCACCGCAAAGCCATCGTCAGACAAGTCAACTGAGGTCCAAGGATTGGGTGAGGATGAGGGAAGACGGGCCGCAGCGGTCAGAGCGCGTTTACGCGCGCATCACGTGCGATCCGAGATCTGAATTTTGCTTTGCTTTGCCGTCTGGAAAGCGCGACCTCTCTCCGACTCTTGCGGACCCCCTTCTCATGACCAGCCTCATATCTTCGGTCGCTTGGTACGCTGTCTCATATCTCTGCTTCTCTTTGACTTACTCGAACCGATCATTCAGGGTGCGCCGAGGAGTCACAGTACGACACCCTACAAAGTATGTCCTCGATGATCAAGAGCTAGAACGCGTGAGCGCGCTCGCACGGATAGAGCTCGAAGATGCGCGCGCAGAGCTGGAGAAGGCGCACGCGGCAGCGCAGTCCATGGGGAAAGGCGCGGAGGGGGTTGAAGCGGACGATCTGGATGAAGACGACGAGAACGCCTGGGTCGAGTGAGTCGCGCATAGTCCTTCTCTTGCCGCGCGAGGGTTTTGAGTGTACGAGTTTGAAGTGAAGATGAGGATGCGATGGTCCAAGACGTCCCTATGGACGAAGACGGCGCCTCAAAACCTAAGGGATCGAGTTCCAAAGGCGACGATCTCGCGCAGTATAATCTCGACGATTACGACGAAGATGAAGCTATGCCAGGTGCGTTGAATATATCCGTGCATGCGGTCTTGACGAGCCAGGCTGATAGCGGGGTTCTTTAGGAATGGGTCCCTTCAGTAACATTAAAGGCCTCACCTTCTATCGAAATAACGACGAAGACCCATACATCACACTAAAAGAAGACGATGAAGAACAAGAGCGGGAAGAGCTCGAGATCCTCCCCACAGACAACCTCCTCGTGGTCGCCAAAACCGAAGACGAGATCTCTCAGCTCGAGATCTACGTCTACGACGAGAACGAAGAGAACCTGTACGCCCACCACGACCTCATGCTCCCCTCCTTCCCCCTGTGCCTCGAATGGCTCGACTTCGCCGCCGCCTCCTCCTCCACTCGCTCCTCCTCCTCCGCAGACCCTTTCCAACAGTTTGGCAACTTCATCGCCGTCGGCACGCTCGAGCCCGAGATCGAGATCTGGTCGCTCGACACCGTCGAGGCCATGTACCCCGACTGCGTCCTCGGCCGCCCCGACAAGACCGCCGCGCACGTCCCAACGCCGCTGGGGACGGGCAAGAAGAAGCGCAAGAAGACCAAAGCGCGGCCCGCGAGCGCCGCGCACCACGTCGACGCCGTTCTCAGCCTCTCCTGGAACCGCACGCACCGGAACCTGCTCGCGAGCGCGAGCGCGGACCGCACCGTCAAGCTCTGGGACCTCAACCGCAGCCCGACCGGCGAGGGCGAGGGCGCGGGCGCGCTGCGGAGCTTCGACGTCCACAAGGACAAGGTGCAGGCCGTGCAGTGGAACCCGGCGGAGCCGACCGTGCTCCTCACCGGCAGCTACGACCGCACCGTGCGCACGTTCGACTCGCGCGCGCCGGAGGCGGGGGTCGGCGCCGTCGTCGGCGCGGACGTCGAGGCGCTCCGCTGGGACCCTTGGGAGCCGCACGGGTTCTACGTGAGTCGCGGTCTCTCCCTCTGCTCGCGTGTGTCTCGGGTGTGCTGACCGCGCCGGACGGTAGGTTTCGCTCGAGAACGGCCTCGTGCTCAACTTCGACGCCCGCGCGCTCCCCTCCGACCTCGACGCCCCGTCGCCCGCGCGGTTCACCGTCTCGGCGCACGACGGTGCGGTGTCCGCGCTCGACGTGAACCCGCACGTCCGCGGCGTGCTCGCGACGGGCGGCACGGACAAGGTCGTCAAGGTCTGGAACATCGCCGACGACCCGGACACGGGGAAGCGCGGCGTCAGCCTCGTCACCTCGCGCGATCTCGGCGTGGTAAGTTCTCCTTGCTTCTGTCTCCGTGCTGGTCTGGACTCCAGCCCTTCTTCTTTTCGCAGGGCAAGGTGTTCTCGACTTCGTGGTCTCCCGACGAGCCTCTCACTCTTGCCGCGGCGGGCTCGAAAGCTCGGGTGCAAGTGTGGGATGTTGGCGCAAACGCGGGCGCGCGCAAGGTGCTTGGTGCCAAGCTCGCAGAAGCGGGCCGCAACGTCAAGGAGAAGCAAAATGGCGGCGTGATCGGCGTCGCCAGCGATGACGAGGATAGCAGTGGGGACGAGGACGACGAGTGATCTGAGCACATGCTCACCCCTTGTACTTTTTTGCCCGACGTTAATCTCAGACTGAGATAGTCGCACACATGTTTTGGACGTCAGTGAGACGCACGACGGACTGGCGTGCTACACCGATGCACTAGGCTACAATTTGATTGAGGATACGCGCAAGCATACAGCACAACGCAGGGTGATACATGACTCTACATGAACTCGTCGTCGCCGAAGTCGTCCAGTACCTCGTTGTACAAGGTGGTGTCCATCCTGCAAAGAACATTAGTGCGGGCGGGCCTTGCGTTGGGAAATGAAGGCACATACTTGCCTGACGGCTTCGCAGCCGCGAGGGCAGGTTTGGTGGTGGCCTTGGGCTTCTTCTTGCCGCTTGCTTTGTCGCGCTGCTCCTTCTGCTTCTCGTTTGCAAGCGTAGTGAGGCCGCTCGCAACCTTGCGGACTTCTATGTCCCGGAGCGGCTCTGCGAGCGCGCGGGTATGGTGCTCAAGGAAAGTGGCGTACAACGGCTTAGACTGATGCCGTTTGATCACGTATTCGATGACCATGTCCGAGAACTGGATGAAATCCTCCTTCGTCCGTGGTTGTGCGGAGATGAGCGAGTCGAGCTCCTTGGACGATGTGCCTGCGTTCGCAGGATGTCAACGGAATACTCTCATCGCCTCCTCCCAGCAGCAGCAGCAGCAGCAGCATTCCCCTTCCGCCCTCTGCCCATTCCTGCAACAATCCCATACATCCGACTCGAGATTTTGCGACTCACCTCCGAGCGCCGTCGCACCAAACAGGTCCGCGGCGTTATTCAAGTCCGCAGCGAGCTCGCGCTCCTTGTCACGTCGCGCCTTCTCGCGCGGGTCGAGCACCGCGTCCTCGTCGTATTCGGCGGCGTCGGCGGCCTGCTGCGCCTTGAGCGCCTCCTTCTCCGCGAGCTTCTGCTTGAGCGTGCCCTTCTTCTTGGGCGGGGCGGCGGTGACCGCCGGGCGGGGCTTCTCGTCCTCTTCCTCGTCCGAGGACGCCTCCCAGTCGCTCTGTGCGGGATCGCGCGTATCGCGGGCGGGCGCGGCGGGCGGCGGGTGAGCGACGGCGGGCGAGCACGCGCGGGGGCGGGACACGTACGACCGGACCGTCGTCCTCTTCGTCCTCCCCGTCCCACTTGCTCTTCACCGGCTTCTTCGGGATCGGGGCGGAGGAGGCGGCCTTGGGCGCATCGTCGTCGGACGCTTCTGCACTCCTTGCACTGGTGAGGGGTCGGCTCGGCGTGGGATCAAGGAGGGGTGCGTACCCCAGTCAGACATGGCGGCGGCGGCGGCGGCGGTAGGGGGGGGAGTGGGTATTGGCGGGAGCGGTGGTGATGTCGAGAGAGAACGGTGCAGATTGCTCGAGCTCCCGACACCGTCGCCTAGATTTGCGCGCAGCGGCAATCTCCGAAAGCACTAGTAGGCGCTTCAGGCGTGGTCGTGACTGTCAACTGAGCCAACTGCACCTGCTTCCACTTCCTAGACCCTACGTATGTTCACACTGGCAGTCTCCACGACTGAAGGCACAAGTGTTTGGATTATCCGTGGATCCAGCTATGGCGTACAACCGGCGTCGAATATCCGATGCGGCGTTCGTCCTGGACGACTCAGTGCTTGGACTGAGGACTCCCCCACGGAGCTTCACGGTGACTGCCGTCCTAAGAAATCTTCTTCATGAGACACTCGGGAGATCTCTGTTGGTGAGTATGTATATGTCACGACTTTTCACCTCATGTGCCTCATGCACTTCCAGTGTACCAGTCTTCTTCATAGCCAACTATGCTCCCCGGTATGGCGCAAGACAGCCACCAAATATATGGCAATCTCAAGCTTGTGGAGCAATGCACTTAGGGGGTCGCGCGAGTGCCGGCGGCGGGTTCCCCTGGCTCAGAAGGTACACGAGGGTGGTCCGAGAGCACGTCAAGCAGCTGGTGAGGAGACGAGAGATCCGTGTCCGGCAGAGTGCGGGGGTCGGCTCAACTGGAGTTTGAAGACTCAGCACCTCGGATCGGGTTGAGCCTTCGCGCGCATATGCCGGTCTTCTCGCGCGTGCGCATGGCGTTTTCCCCGCATGCGCCGGTCTCTTCGGAAATTATACGCCTGGCGAGTCGGAGTGGTTGCACGGGCGGGATTCAAAATCGTCGCAGGTGGGCAGAGGGCGCCTGTCGAGGGCGCCGCTGTCGTTGATTTGTACAGTTGATCTGGCCCGAGTGGCTTTGGTCGGAGCGTCCCCGCTCGCGCTTCCAGCAGCTTGATAACCACTTCGCTTCCTTTCATCGCCGATTTTCCGGTAGTACCGATCTCGGTAATGGTTCGTCAGCATCCTGTTTGTCTACAATAGGGCTCTCGAATCAGAACAGCGAGCATCTGAGAGCTCTCGAGATGACCTCCATATTCCTCACCGGCGCAACTGGTACGTCCTCCCTGGAGCTACCCAGAATTTTTCTAACCAACATTTCTATTAGGCTACATCGGCGGAGCCGTGTTAGCCCGTCTTCTCACACATCCTAGGGCCGCAAGCTTCGATATCACTGCTCTGGTACGCAGCGAGGCAAAGGGAGCGCTTTTGCAGAAAAAGTTCGGGGTGAAGACACTTGTCGGCGCTCTGGACAATGTCGATGAGATCACCGCTGCTTCCGAGGCATCGAACGTTGTCATTCACACTGTAAGCTCTAGACTCCGTTACACGTCTTCTAATGGTGACTGAAAGTCTGCGCTAGGCGAATTGTGACCACCTGCCGTCCGCGCAGGCAATTCTGGCGGGCATGAAAGCTCGCTACACCAAGACCGGCGAAGTCCCCGTGCTTATACACACTGTGCGTCTTGACGCATTGACACACGCACAAGCCTGTAGCTGACTGTCATCAAACGGTGCTCAGTCCGGCACTGGGATGCTCGTCGACGACGCCAGGGGCGCCTTCCTCTCAGAAACCATCTACGATGACATGGACCTCGAGTCAGTCAAGTCTATCTCGCCCTCCGCCTTCCACCGCAACGTCGACGTCCCAATCGTCGAGGCCGACGTCGCCGGATACGTCCGCGCGTACATCGTCTCCCCGAGCGCCATCTACGGGGTCGCCAAGCACGCGCTCGTCGACGCCGGGATCGCGAACCGGTTCAGCCTCACCATTCCGATCCAGGCTCGGATCGCCATCAAGCGCGGGCACCCGGTCGTCGTCGGCGAGGGAAAGGGCGCGTGGCCCGTGGTGCACATCGACGACAGTGAGCGTGTCTCTGTTTCCCCGTTGGTGAGCGCGACTGACGGTCCGGGCTCTCCCCTCCGCAGCCGCCGAGTTCTACATCCAGCTCTTCGACGCCGTCCTCGGCGGCGGCCGCGAAACCGTCGGCCACGGCGCAGAGGGCCTGTACTTCCTCGAGAACGGCGAGCTGACGTGGGGCGCCATGGCGCACTCGATTGGACAGGCGATGGCGGCGAGCGGCTTCGTCTCTGGGCCCGCGCTCGCGCCCAAGCCGCTCACCACTCCGGAGCAGCTGGTCGAGTTGTTTGGAAACGAGATTGTGGGCTGGATATTCGGCTCGAACGCGCGGTGCAAGGCGAACCGGGCACGCGCTCAGGTGGGGTGGAAGCCGAAGTACGGGGTGGAGGGCTTCGATGCGAGCACCGTGGAAGACATCCAGGGCTTGCTCCAGGAGGAGAAGAAATAGTGAGGGGGTTCAATACAAATGACAAGAACACTATATCTTTTCCAACGGTACTTGTCAGCAGCGACGACATTGAGCGCTCTTAATGGTCCGACGTCAGTCACGAGCGTCCTTTCGCAGCCGAGTGTCGCTCTGAATATAAAACGCCTCTCACGCCAGCGACGCTCAGTTCCTACGCCCCAACGATGACGTCCACCAAGATAGCAGAGGAAACGCCGTTCGAAATCGCCGTCCCGGACGCGGACATCGAGCTCCTGAAGAAGAAACTCGAGCTCGCGCGCTTCCCGGACGAACTCGAGGGCGCAGACTGGTCGTACGGTGCCCCGCTCGCAGACATCAAGCGTCTCGTCAGCCACTGGAAGGATGGCTTTGACTGGCGCAAGCACGAGGCGAAGATCAACGAGCTCCCCATGTTCACGCGCGACATCGACGTCGACGCATTCGGCACGCTCAACATCCACTACGTTCACCAGCAGAGCGACGTCAAGAACGCGATCCCCCTCCTCTTCGTCCACGGCTGTGAGTGTCGCGCGCGCAAGAGATGACCCACGGCGTTGACGTCAGCGTTCCCGCCTTCAGGGCCGGGCCACTTCCTCGAGGTCGAGAAGATGCTCCCTATGCTGACGGCGGCGTCGCCCGACCACCCGAGCTTCCACGTCGTCGCGCCCAGTCTCCCTGGGTACGGGTTCTCGGAGGGTGCGCATAAGCCAGGATTCAAGGCGCCACAATATGCGGAGGCATGCCATCCAGCATCCATGCGCATGCATTGAAGTTGATTGCTGCCCCCTATAGCTCTTCAACAAACTCATGGTCGCGCTGGGATATAATGAGTACGGTCAGTGTCACGCCTTCTACAGGCGGAGCCCGCGCCCGATGCTGACAGTCTCCCAACGCATTCAGTTTACCAAGGTGGTGACTGGGGAGGCATCCTCGGGAAGGCAATCGTCCCCACCCTCGGACCCAAGCACATCAAAGCCTGGCACACGAACATGCCAATGTACGGGGCGATCCCTTCCATCGTCATCCCATCCTTTTCGCTGACGATCCTACTGTCGGACAGTATGAACCCTCCCACACTGTTGCGCAACCCTCTCCTGTTCCTTCAGATGCTCCTCACGCCGTTCAACAAGACGATACGCGAAGGGTTCGAGTACACACAGCGATTCGTGAACCTCGGCTCTGGGTACTCGAAGATGCACATGACGAAGCCGCAGACGATCGGCTACAGCCTCGCGGACTCGCCCGTCGGGCTGCTCGCGTGGATCTACGAAAAGCTCGTCGCGTGGACGGACGAGTACCCCTGGACGGATGACGAGGGTGCGCTGTGCTCGCGCCTGCAGTCTGCAATGGATCCGAAGCTGACCGTGTGCCCCCTTCCAGTCCTCCGATGGATCTCCATCTACTACTTTTCCCGTGCCGGGCCTGCGGCCTCCGTGCGGATCTACTATGAGATGTCGGAGGGAGGCACCGCTACCCTCGGCCTCGGACACCTCTCACCAGCGACGGTCCCCACCGGGGTGTCGTACTTCCCCGGGGAGCTCATCCGCCTCCCAAAATCGTTAGTGATCAGTTCCTGCGTCGCCTTCTCCGGCGGTTTTGCTCACTGGTTCGCAGCTGGGCAGCGTTGATGGGGAAGACGGTGTACGTGGGCGAGCACGACAAGGGTGGGCACTTTGCCGCGTTCGAGGTCCCCGAGGTCCTCGCCGGAGACATGTTCAAGATGTACGGAAAAGGTGGAGGTGCATTCGGGGTCGTTCCCGGGAAGAGTGGGTATGATTGAGAGGGTGTGTTGATATTCGGCTGCAGCTGCCGCCATGGGTGTTTACCTCCGCATGCCGTCTCGTGAATGAACTTGGCCTACTTGCTTGGAAAGCTCCGATATCCATTGCCATTCCCGATGGGCATCCGCATGCGACTATCGTACAATAAGCAACATGCTCATATCCAAGCACAGCGACAGAGGGAGATAATGTCACATAAATCAAACCTTCGACGCAATCGCGGCCTTGACCAGGTCCGCCACCTTCTCCCCAATCGCAAACGCCGGGGCCGCCTGGCGAAGGGAGGGAAAACGCATCAGACAGACCGCACGGAGACCACTCGCTCACGCCCACCCCCGCCCAGCACTCACCGTGTGTCCGCTCACGATCGCGGGGAACGCCGACGCGTCCGCGACGCGCAGGTTCGGGATCCCGTGCACGCGCAGGTACGGGTCGAGCACGCCCCCGTCCGCGAGCGGCGCCATCCGCGCCGAGCTCGTCGGGTGGTAGATCGTCTCGCACTTGCGCCGGATCGTGTCCTCGAGCGCCGCGCCGGAGAGCTCCGCGAAGCCGTGGTCGAGGTCCGGGTGCGCCGCGCCCGCGGGGTCCGCCATCGCGGCGAACGGCGCGGTGCGGAAGATGCGCTTGAGGAGGTCGACGGCGCGGACGAGCATCGCCATGTCGTTCTCCGTCGACAGGTACCGGGGGTCGATCAGCGGCGCGTCCCGGGGGTTGTTGGAGCGCAGGCGGATCGTGCCCGTGCTCGTTGGTCTGCGGTGGAAAGACGTCTCAGCGCATTGTCTCAGTAGCAGGAGCAAGTAGGCGTACCGCAGCAAGATTGCGTGCAGTGCAAAGTAGTGCAAGGACTCCATCTTGACCATGCCGTGTTTAAGGTACCCAGCGGGTGTGCAAAACAGCTCGATGTCCGGAGCACCTGGTCCAGACGAGACGTCTTCTATCTCGCTTGGTGGGAACTTGTCCGGCGGGAATAGACTGGGATCTGTGGCACGAACGAACGCAATCGCTTCCGCCATCTACGAGCATGGTAAGTAGGACAGCAAGATGTGACGTTCGTAATGACGCACCTGTCCCGTCAACATGCCCTTCCTCAAGAGACTGTATTTGAAAAGTTCCTTGACAAGCTTGAGTTTGTGCTGCGGCTTGTCTCCAAACATTCCGATGATGCTGGAACCGGTCTTGTCCAGGAAGTTGAAGTCCACGACCGGATGGTCTATGAGGTTCGACCCCACGCCGGGGAGATCAGCGACAACAGGGATGTCGTGAAACGTGAGGTGATCTGCCGGGCCAACTCCTGAAAGCATCATGATCTACTTGCATATGTAAGCAAGTGGAACTGCATCAGAGGTGGCGGGCTCGTTTACCTGGGGTGTGTGTACAGCACCAGCGCTGTATAATCAGACTTGTCAACAGCTACTTTCCAAGCAAACAGATAGCTACGTACCAAAGGATAACTTCCTTCTTCGCCCTCACCTGGAAGATGTCGCCCTTCCACCGCGAAAACTCAGCACCAACAGCACGAGGAACAGATCCCGTTGTTTCAAAGAGCACTCGCGTGACGTGAGCCTCAGTGATGACGGTTAAATTGGGCCGTGCAAGCACTTCTGGAGTGAAGTATGCGAACTCCGACGTCGACCTCCTTCCGCGAGGAGTTATATACGTCACTAAGGAAATCGTTGTCAGTGTAAATGGTGGCCGCATTTTGCCATCGCTACTGACTGGACTGAAGATGGCGTAAGTCAGCAAATTACGGAGCGCATGCGCCACACGTGAAGCTCACTTTGGAAACCCCCATGGAGCCTGCGGACGTGTTGAGATCTGGGACAAGTGGGATGCCTATCTCCTCGCACGATTGTATGAACCTCGGAGTGGTAGGAGAAGTGTAACTGTGCAGCCCAGCTACACAAGCGGCATTAGCAAACGCAAACGGCGCATGGGGGCGTGCGGGACATACTTTGAACAGGACCCGTGGTTCCTCGGAGGGTCAAATCTACATCGGGGTACAGGGCGTTGGGTTGATATCCCTCAAACTTCTTCAAGTAACTGGATAGTAGCGCTCCGAGTCAGTATACGCACGCGCGGATAAGAGCTACCGGTCTCACTGGTCGAAGTTCCTGTATGCCCACTGGTCCGCGCCTTCCTGGCCCTTCTGCAGGCGTGCCCACTCGTCATAATCTTCAGGCGCGCAGGTGTGGAAGCTGATCGTGTGCGTTAAGAATGTGCTGAGACTCGCGAACAATTCGGCGGGCTCACATGGCGGCGTTTATGCACGAGCCTGCGCACCGCACAAACATATGAGCTCGAAGGTGTATGCACCAGGGAAGCACTTACATCCACCAAGCAGCTTAGCTGTTGCGCGCGCGCGAGATCCTGTAAACATGCGACGCGTGCCGAGAAGCAACAAACGCACCTCGAGGCCAGTACCTCAGCCCGCCATCGGTGTCAGGCTGTGGAACCGTGAACATTTTCCACTCGTGACGCGTGTGCATGAGGCGCGAATAGGACAGTGGAATGGTGGCGAAGGGGTTCTTCAGCGAGCTGCGTGCGCGCGCGATGAGGACGTGCATTGTCTCATGCTCGAACGCGCCCACGCACCTTTGACCGGCCTCAAGGAGACAAACACGGATGGACGGGTCCTCGGACAGCCTCGCGGCGACGACGACGCCCGCCGTGCCTAAGGTGCGAGTGAGCACAGGGTCGGACCCTGCGTCTGGACGGCGGACGCACCTCCACCCACAACGACGACGTCGTACTCATCAAAGTCGTACTCCTCGCCCTTCGCGCGCATCCTGCGAGCTTTGCCGTGAGGTTGACCGAACGGCATGCTTCTCCTCTTGCGGTACCAGAAGTGTGCGACGATGAGGACGAGCCCGAGGAGCGCAAGCCGGTGCCGGGGCGCGCGGTCAAGCAGAGCAGACCAGAGCGGCATTGCACAGAACGATTGGGCAGAGGAAGAGGCGGGAGTTATATGGGGGTGCGGGGAGTCGGACTCGAACGTAGGAGAGGTCCGTTTGTAACGCCACCTGACGACGGGCCGGGGCAGGTGGCCGGGTTAACCGGTATGTAAGGGCCTGGCGTAGGGTATTCCCGCGAGCGCGAAGGGCGACAGAGGGCAACGTGAGAGTGGTGGCCAAGGCCCAAAGGTCCAGGAGTCGCGCCTATCGACTTCTTGTGTATATTGCTCACATCACGCGACACACCAGAGCCGCCTCGACTTGCCCTGCGGGGCTGGGCATCCACTACGCCATGTTCGTCCTTGAAACCTGGTGACAACACCGTTTACTAAATCAGAAAGTACTCGAACCAGCTCGGGTATGTTCACTGAACCGGTCGCGGATTGAGTGAGTTCAGTGTCATAAGTATGCAGTGCAAATTCCCTGCTCCGCGAGCCGATGTGTGATCTTTCCTCCTCCTCAATACATTTAAGTACATGGAAACTTCGCCGCATCTCGTCTTGCATACATGATACAGTTCATCGTGTCTTGAGCTTAGGCATCATGAATCCCGAGAATCTTGTTCATCAGCTGCTCCTCGCGCTCCTTGGCCTTCACCCTCTGCTCCTGGATCCTCTCCATCCCGCTCCGGATGCTCCTCATGTGCACCTCGAGCGGGATCTTGTCCCCCGTCAGGTCCGGCGCGGCCACCCGCTCCCGCAAATCCTCCATCTCCTCCGTCATCGCCAGCACCGTCTGCGACGCCGCCGCGATGTGCGCCGCCGCGCGCCGGCGGTACTCCCCCAGGTTGCGCAGCAGCTCGAAGTTGGAGTCGAACGAGCGCAGCCGGCGCCGGTTCACGCCCAGGAACGTCCACAGCTCGGAGAGCACCTCGTCCTTCGCCTTGCCGAGCGCGACGTTCTCGTGCGCGCACAGCTCGTGCAGCGTCACGAGGTGCGCGTCCAGCGCGTCGAGGTCCGCCGTCGCGCGCGTGAGCTCGAGCACGAGCTTCGCCATCTCCGACGCGTGCACGTCGAGCGACATCCGGAACGCGTCGAGCGCGGCTTCACGCGACGTCGGGGTCGCGCTGCCGAACGGCCAGATGACGGCGAGCACGCCGTCGGCGGGCTTGGCGCCTTCGATGGTGTGCAGGGCGTGGTCGTTGATCGACATGATCCTATGCGTGGGGCGATCAGGATAGATAAAGTTAGCACGCGGGGGGAGGAAGAGCGGGGATGAGCGGACACACGTGTCGACGGCGCCGTTGATTTTCGCGGTGACTCTTTGGAGGCCGCGCCCGGTCTTCTTCGCGTCCTCGACAAAGCTGTAGAGCGACTGCGAGAGCAAGTCGCGACTGTTCAGGTCGCTGACCTTGACGAGCGTTATGAGGTCCTTCGTCGCCATCTCCGCCTTCTTGATCTCGAGACTGAGCGCCGAACCTCCGACGGAGCTGCCCAGCAGCTGCTCGAAGTTGGAACTCTGGATATCGACGAGCCGAGGGTAGTCGACCCATTTCACTTTCTGGTCGTCGGGGTTGCCGAGCTGGTTGGCGAAGTAGCACATCCGCGTGCTAGAGATGAACGGGATCCAACATACAGGCGCGGCAATAGTACGGAATGTGGCTGACAGCATCGTCAGTATGATGCCAACGAGCCACAAGAAGAGGAAGAAGCCGAGTGGTCGACGGAGGAGAGACAGCGCATGGGAGATGATGGAGAAGATGTAGGAAAAGGAGGACACAGCGCCGAGCTTCAAAGCGTCCTCCACGTCTTCGCGATCGATGAGCGGCTGCTTGCGGGGCTTGGCGGTGCGGCGCGCCGGTGTCGATTGAGCCACGAATACCGTAGTCTTCCCAGGACGACGTCTCGGGGTGCCCGCTCTTGGTGAAGGAGGGGCGGCGCTCAGAACGGAGCTCGATCGAGAACCAGTGCCCCTCCGAGCCGGCTTTGTTTCGGGAATGTCTTCCCACTCATCGTCCTCGGAGTGGGCATCCGCAATGGATGGAGCCTGAGGATACCCAGCAGCAAGTGAGCAGAAATGTCTAGTCCAATGCAGCATAAGTACTCACCTTGTTGCCAATAGACATCCTTCTCAAGGCACACAATACACGGAAAGAGTGGTCAGACCAAGTTGAGCTCGGCAACGGGATGAGAAAGGGCAGGGGTGGGGGTGATGCGAGCGCAGTCCCAATGTGAGTTATTAAGGTATGTAGCACTGAGATCGCGTGTTCAGCGTGTGGGGTAGGCACGGTGGCGGTGTGGAAACAAGGTGTTTTGTGCGCGTCTGGGACTCCTCGAGATCAAATAAGGTAGACCCAGCACAGACTCGACGACGTCACATGACCTCCCCGTGTCACACTTGGGCCAGTTTGGCGGGGGAAAGACGCTTAAAATCGAATAACAACTCGAGGATTCATCCTACAACCAAAGTGCTTTATACATTGTCTGCTACAATGAGTGCTGTAGAATATTTATAGAACGGATTTTGGCTAACGGCCACAGCAGTAGAGTTATAAGCCAAGATGTATGCTCTGCACGCAATTTCGGTCATCTAAGCGAGGTCCGGCTATCTCGCGCCCAGTTGCAAGCACACGCTTGCAGGCTGCCTGTGCAAGTCAACGCATCGCGCACCGCAGCCCATACGGCGCGGTTTTTGCTTGCGCACACTGCAAGCATCACGATGTCCCGTGTGCTGCGACGTACCGCGGGCGGTGTCACAATGTCTACGCACATTGACCTCCACCGCGCGCACCATCATTTCTACTACAGCGCGTGATGCCGTGTCCTGTTCACACGGGGATTCAACTCCATAGCTTCATTACTATGGTGCTGCACTATTTCTCTGCAGTCTTACAAGCGCCCGAGCGGTGTACTTAGTCGACAATGCCCCGCGACCGCGAGACCATCGCAACAATAAGGGTACGTCGCAGCGCGCGCGGCATCGCGATGCTCGCGGTGTGCGCAAGCAGACGTCGTGCCGTAGGGGGCACGGTGGTGCGTGAGCGCGCTACTTATGCGCTGACCAAACTACTTGGTCCGCACCAATTGAGTGAGCGCAACATCACTACCTGTACACACATATGCTCTGGTACACTGTTTAGGGCCTGGATTTCATCTGGAAAGGCGGTCAGCGACGTCCTCTCAGTCGAGTCCCGCAAGCGCCAAGCATATGTGCGCCGATAAGTAGACTAATTCGTCACGAGCACGTGATCCGTCACAGGAATCACACGTCGTCGACTCTGTGCTGGGTCTACCTTACCACATACCTTTTCAACCACAACGCTTAGCCGGCACAGAAGGTTATACAGCGATAAAAGCACATAGCATCATTTCACACTACGATAACAGATGACGATGGAGGGGACATGAGGAAAGCATGCGCATATAGTGTCAAGAACGTCAATCGTCGCGGTCGTCAAGGAGTCCGTCCATCCACACAAGAGTGTCTATCTATCTCCGCACCCGTTGCTCGGAGACCTGTGAACCAGGCCGATCAGTTGAACATCGGCGTCACCTTCCGACTCTGCTCCCCCGACTGCCGTCCAGACGGCAGAGCGGGGTACGCCGGGTACCCCGCGAACCCGGGCGCGGGCGCGGTCCGCTGCTTCGTCGGCGTTGTTGGGGTGTTCTGTGTCGCTGCCGCGGGGATGACGGGAGGCGTGGGACGGCGCACGCCCGCAGGGGGCTGGCCGAGCATGCGCGAGAGCGTCCAGGGGATGTCGACCCCAGAGAGACCGGCTGCGTGCATGTAGCGTGCGAGCTCAAGGTGAAGGGTGGGGTAGTACGTCGTCGACGCCTTGCGCGCGACCTGGGGAGGGGTTCACATTAGAATTAGACGAACAGCGGGGTGCGCGACGCGACGCACCGAGATAATGCGCTCGATCCCGGACTGGAGCATGTCCTGGTGGAAGCGGAACGCTGAGTTCTCGTGCTCTTTCGGCAAGTTCAGCGCCTGAGTGCACACCGCGATGGCGTTGATGAACTTGAAGTGCATCGTCTGGCGGTCAGGTTAGCGCATGTCTCGGGAGCACGGGTGTTGCCTTACCATGTAGCACATCGCCTCATACTCGACGCCTCCAGTCATGCCACCAGGTGCTCGAGGCTTCTCCACCTTCGCCTCGTCAGTTTCATTTAGCTCCCAGATGGTGTTGCTGGGGTGGCAGAACACCCAGAAGTAGTCCCGGCAAATGTCGGAAAGTTCTTGGAGGTACGTCTTGTAGATGCGAGGCCGACGGAGGTCCTCAATGAATGCGTGAGGCTCGAGGGGTGTCCCAGGAGCCTCACTCGGGGGTGGCGCAGGGGTGAGTAGAAGACTCTTGACAAATGCGAAAACGGTGGAGTGTGGGTGTGGGAGAACCACGAGGTTGCCTGTTGATCTCATACCCTCGGAGAGCTCCCAAGGGACAGAGCGAGACCGCGAGCGGGAGTGTCCTGGCGCTGGGCTGCCGACTGACGGGAGGGAGGACGGGGGATATAGATCGAAGAGGAAGAGGAGCAGCTCGACTATGAGTTGCCTGGTGGGAACATCGCCCGGCTTCTTGTCGGAGTACAAGAGTGAAACGAGCTTGTCGAATGGCTGTGGACATGCTAGCCGCAGGGCATTGCAACCGACTGCCGATGTAGAGAGCGCCTTGACGCATCGCAGAAGTTCATACAGCATCTGATCATCGTGCTGTTCTTCCCTGTATCTTGGGTCAGAAATCGTCAAACGTCAGACTCAAAGGACGTACCGCCACTCGACTTCAAGAATCTCGTTAAGACGGGTAAGCAGCGCGTCGTAGCCGCCATTCTGAACAAAGTCGTCGGTCCAGCTGAATACACCGTTAGAAAACTCAAACACAGTTCGGCGAAAGCGATACTCACCTTGCCGACTCGTTCCTCAAAAGAAGCCTGAGCTTCTTCACTACCTCCACGTCCATCGCAGTACTCGACTGCCCAAGAAGCATGCTCACATACTTCTCGGGCGCAGGGGTGCTACCGGCCTTCTTCTTGTCCTTGGTGACTTTCAGGGGGGCGACGGGAGCTGCCCTGGAGTCCAGAGGTTGTCCTCGGACATCCATGGACATACCACGCAAGTGGCCGGTTCCGAAGGAGGATTGAGAACGGCCGGGGAGGTCGTAGGATTCCAAGCCGGACTTTAGTGGGCGAGGTGACGAGAGAACAGACTCGCTGCTTTGCGCTCGTCGCAGAGAGCGAGGCGTCAGGGGAGCGGCGGCGGGCGCAGGCTTCAGGGCGAGGACCTGAGAGGATTTGAGGAACGCCATCTTCACAGATGCGTCCATGGTCGCCAACTTCGGGCGAAGTGTGTCTGGTATCTGGAGGTCATCCTGCGACAGAGCATGAGTTAGTACGATGCGTCATGAGCACGATCACAGTGTGCCGAACGCGCACTAAGTCCGGGGATTAGAACGGATTAAGTGAGGCAGCGGCAAGGATTGCACCATATGCATATCACCCAACACCGACGATGCATATGCATGGGGAAAATCTGAGAAGAGGAACTAGAGTGTACTCACGAGCAGTCGGTCGAAGTCCTGGTTGGACAAGGGAGCCTGTATCTCCGGCTGTCCCTTGCTCTTCATCTTCTTGTGCTTTGTCGTCTTCGGTTTCGCGTTAAGGTCGTAAGAAGAGCCGTTGTTCGCAAAGTAGTTTTCCTTGCCGTTGGGTTCGGAGTCGGTTGAGTCAACAGGGGACGTGAGCATCTGAAACTCAGTGGTGGAGGAAGGCGCCCGTCGGGAAGGGAGGATGCTTTTGAACATGATGGTATCGCCGAGAACGGATCGAGCGCCGTGGAGAAAGGAGAGGAGGGAGGGGAGGACAAAGGAGAATGTTGGAGGAGGACTCGGACAAGACAAGAGAGCTGGAGCCAGCAAGCTGACGCCCGAAGTCGAACATGAACCGAAGGCGCGTGGCGTGAACGCGTGTGGTCACGTGCCCGTGTCCCACCAATTCCTGGACCACATCGCTCGCTGCGCAGTCCTAGCAGTAGCACATTTTTGGTGGACGCAACTACCAAAACCAACCAAGATAGAACCATGGTGACAAGAGTATATGCTTTCCGAGGGTGTCAAACGAGCAATTACCCTCAGGCTGAAGCTAAAGATCACCGCGTCTGAGTCGGTTCGGGAATGATCTTCAACCAGTGGCCCGACCACCGAAAATATCCTTTTTCACCAATGTCTGCACCGAAACTCGGTGAGGCCATGGATAGCTAGCTAGCTTCCCAGCTTGTGAAACTCTGTTGTTATACGACCTAGCTAGGCACCAGGGGTTGTTCGCTTCGCTCGCAAAGCCCCAAGAAAGTACTGTACATCCCACGCACGAAGTGTTCCATATTTCCTCTAACTAACCTTGCTTAATGGATGGCTTCCGTATCGTGTGGTTAGCTTTCTTCCGTCTGGTCCAGATGGCAGAGGGGGGACAACGACCAGATATATATGCCGGTAGGAGACGGCCCGCATTGACCAGGCACAGTACCGATCAGCACTACCTATGTATTGGCGGACTTTGTGGCACAGCAGGATAGTTGATTAATTGATTGGCCGAGAGCGCTGCCTCCTCCCCGGGCAAGGGTCGACGAGCAACTGCGCCTCCAGAACTCACCAAGGCTAGTAGAGGATAGGCTGTGCGCGCTGCGCAGGGGCCTGCGGGAGCATGGGGCATGTGCTCGGCGCAGAGAGAGGCGAGGACGAAAGGGGCAGGTGAGTGCAAGCCGAGCTCGGTTCTGTGCAGTGGGAGGATGCGCCCGGGACTGTGATGGGCAATGTGAGTTAGGCGTCGGCGATGCGTGCTAGGCGACTACGTATGTAGCATATACATGCGGCGGCGTACCGCGGCGTGGAGCCAGCATTCTCAGTCTTCTGAGCTTGACCTCGTCGCCCGCACCCACCTGCCCTGCTCTCGACCCCGCCCCCACAATCCCCTCCCAACCCTCTCCCGGACGTCCAGCGGCAGCTCGCCGTGCGCGGACACCATTTCCCCTGACTTGGACGCCGGATCAAACAGCGCACGCACTGGCTGCCAGGCCCTCAACAGCAGCTGACGTCGGTGGCCCCGCCGCGCCGTCCGTCACGTTCGCATTCCTCCACCGCGCGTCCACCCCGCCCCCGTCCGCCGCCGCCGAGTCCACCAACCCAACGAGCCCGACAAGCCCCACCAGCCCCGGCGGACAGGGAGCAGCCGCACGCGCCCGCCGCAGGCTGCCCGTGCTCGGTCTCCTCGCGCGCGGCCATCGCCGCCGATCCACCACTCTCGACAACCCCACTCGCCCCTTTGGCCCCCTCGCCCCCTCCCCGCGCGCGCAAGCCCCGCCCGCCTCGCAACCACAACGGCCCGAACCCCCTCCCGAGCCCCTAGCCCCGTCCGACTCCCCGATGCCAGTCGCGGGCCCGCCGGCCAACCAGAGCACGGGCGCGCCCGTCCCGCCTGCCGGAACTAGCTCCCGCACCGGTCCCGTCTCCACCAACACCCCCCGCCCGCTACCACCGCCCTCCGCCCCTGCCCTCTCCTCCCCCGCCCCCACCTCGTACGTCCGCGCAACCCCCACCCACCCGTCCACCACCGCCGCCACCAGCCAATCTCAGCCCCCATCGCGCCCGCTCGAGCGCACGGCCGCTGCTCCACCCCCAAATTTCTTCACGGGCTCCCAAGGCTCGCACCCCATCCCCCCGCACGGGCACGGGCCCGGCCCTGAGGTCGCGCTGGCGAGCACTAAGGCCGGTTTGAAGGCGTGGTGGAACCACTTCACGTTCGTCCAACGTGCGAAGAAGGAGGCGGATGAGAAGTATAAGGGGCACGCCACGGACAGCGGCAGTGCTGGGCGCGAGCACACCGTCTTCGGGAAACCCCTCAAGGAGAGCCTCAAGGCCGCGTCCGTGCAGATCTCGACCGCAAATTCGAACGGGGAGCTCTATGTGTGGGGATACATCCCTGTCGTGGTCGCGAAGTGGTGCGTCTTCTCCGCGTTCTCCCTCTCGCTGGAGGATGGGGTGCTGATGGAGAGAGGTGCAGTGGACTGCATCTGAAGGAAAGCGGTGCGTGTGTTGTTTCGATTTGGATCGTGAGTGGCATCCTGATGCCCTCACAGCGACAGAGGTGGAAGGAACGTTCCGCGTAAATGGGTCAAATAAACGAATGCGGGATCTACAGGCTATCTTTGAGCATCCTCCACGAGTGCGTGTTGTCATCTTTCCCCTACTCTCACCTCTCCTGAGCACCGCTACCGGTGCTTGCAGTACGGGAAGAACGTGGACTGGAAGAAGGAGCAGTTCACGACGCACGATGTCGCCAGTGTCTTCCGACGATACCTCACACAAATGCCCGTACGTGCTCTTGACGACTATGTGTTTCTGTTGTGCTCATCTGCTCCAGGAATCCGTGATACCCCATGACATGTACCATCTAGTGAGTGCCCACAATTCTCACCACCATAACTACTTTCTAACCGATCATAGTTCCGTGATGCGTTAGGTGAGCCTAATAGCTTATCACTCCGCATAATGCACTCACCGGGGGCGATGTTTAATAGCGAAGCAGCCCCGCAATGAGGATGAGGTCATCGCAACGTACAAACGCCTCATCCGCTCCATGCCTCGTGCGAACCAATATCTCCTGCTTTATGTTCTGGACCTTCTCTCTGTATTCGCACGAAAGTCGGACAAGAACCTGATGACGGCGAAGAGTACGTTGTGTTACCCTCTCCTATGCGCCCCGCCTGCACAAGTTGGCCAAAAATCCTGAAACAACTTCCACTTTGCTCAGATCTGGCGGTCATCTTCCGACCGGCTCTTATTGCACACCCGTCACATGAGCTCTCACCACAAGAGCACCAGCTGAGCCAAGATGTACTTGAATTCCTGATCAAGAACCAGGATTGGTTTATGCTCGACATCCCTCCGCCACCAACAATGAGGCCCTCGGACAGTGCCGTGACAGTACCGATGACGGAACCCTCGTCAGACCTGATGACGAGCTCAGACGAGGAGTCGGGTGGATGGAAGTTGATCAGCAGAGATGTGCCCAAAGTCGGAAGGCGGCGAACCACAGCCGGTCAGTGCCTTCATTTCAGCCGAAGATAGCGGTGACGGCTAACCATGGTGCAATTTCCTCCTGTGCATTACAGAGAAATATGCCCACGGACACCAAGAGGATGACGGAAACCTGTCGCCCGTTGTTGAATCACCGCCATCGCGGTCAAATTCAGTGGTGACAGTCACGCGAAGCCGGACGCTGCCATCCAGCAAGTCGCGGATAGGGGACGAGGAACGGCACGCGAAATTGGTCAAGAAGCAGAAACGGGCATCGGTTCAGCCTGGGCGGACGAACAGTAGCGGGACAACAAACAACGGCTAGTGAAGCCATTCCCGTGGTCGCTCTCTAGATGCTGTTTGTCTCTCTTCGTGTATCATGCTCAGCTCTCTAGTATGCTCATCTTCACCCCGCCCATCTACCGCTCGTATCTCGTCTGTGTTGGTATACCACGTTCGCTGCACACATTCTACCTCCGCTTTCGCCGTTGCTACCTACTCCCCATTGCTCGCTCATATTTACTGGTCCCCTCGGAAGCGGTAGGCCTACGCTCCGTGTCTCGCACAGGGCACCGCCCGCGCCGGATGTCTGTCACGATGTTGTTATGATATATGTTGTTGCGCTAGTCTATACGTCCTCACGCCCTCCTCCGGACAATTCATCTGTCTCCCTGCTCCTTGTCCATGGACCCCAGTGTCGAGGGACTCCACCGTGTCTTCCCCCTCCTCCCTGTGCTCCGACTTCGAGATCTCTGCCATCCGGCTCCGGCACGTCTCCCGTTTGGCATTACCTTGGGCACGGACGCTTGCTGTGCATATAGTACTCGTGCATCGTGATTGGTCGCTAGCGTATAATTGGTCCAGTCGCTTTTCATCCTCGCTGCCCAGTGTTTGGAAGCATGTTCTGTACTGCGGCTCTGCATTCTTGGGAACGACGCACGACACGTCCCTCAGGGTTTTGTTGAGAACATTGACCGCTAAGATTGCCGGAGCTATATATGTCTTGCGAGGGTCCGTCCCGGACTGCGGTCAATGCTAGACATCGGAGGCGCATTTGGTATTGGTGGGGCCTGCCGACGGGGACAGGTGCCGTGGGTTTAACGGGAGAATTAAGTGTCAGCAGAGGAGGGACGAAGGGTTGGACTGCACGAGTCGCTGGCAGGAGAACATGCGAAGAAACGAAAACGTGAACATGATGGAAAAGAGCCTCGTATGTGGAAGGTCTGCCCAGGGGAGACTAGGAAAAGAGACCAAACCGCGCACAGGGATCACCATATCAACCTATGTTTGGCTTCTCCCAAGGGCGGCCGTCGCGAGCGTGCCTTGACGGGCCTGTGCCCACTGCCGATCGGAGGCCCGTGGTGGTTTGTCTTGGATCCGAGGCGCGCGTCGTGCTGCGCAGCGCCGAGCGGCATCTGGGCACGCTTCGTCACGACGTCCGTCATGGCCAGTCCATGGCAGTCTGCAGACGGACATCGCGCCCGGCAGCGAGGAGGGAGGACGCATCCCGGGGCCTGCGCCGGGCGTGTGCGGACGTGTGCGGAAACGCGCCGTATATGAGCAGGTGCGTGCGGGAGGCCAGGCCACCGCCACGCGCTACCACGGGCAGCAGAGAGCTCCCCGCGTCTGGGGGCGAAACGCGGCTTGTCGCTCTCCTCCACCTGCGCTCCGTCTCCGTGCTCGCGCCTGCTTTCTGACGACAGCCACGAAGGGCCTGTTTGCCCGTAACTAACGATTGACGACCACGCGCTGCACGTCCGCCGAACGCCACTTACACCCTCGTCCTCCACCCGTACCGCCCCAAGCTAGGCCCCGCCAGACCGAGAGAGGCCGAGCGAGTGACGAGCAGGCGAAGCGAGCCAAGCGAGCCGAACCAACCCTCGATTAGAATATCCATGTCCTGGAGCCGTGAAGGGAGCTCGGCCGGCCACTCCGGCGGGGGCGGAGGGGGCAACTATACCTACCTGCCCGTCAGTCCGTTTCCTCTCCTCCCCCCGGCCGTTGCTCACCGTCCCTCCTTGCCCGCCCACGCGCCTCCCGCCACCGCTTCTATTCATATACCTCCGCCGCGCGCAGCCCCCCCACCTCCTCTCCTCCTTCGACGACCCATACCACCCCACCGTCTCGCCCCGCGCGTCCGTCCACTCCTTCACCCGCCCCGACTCTTCCGCAGGCTCCTTCGTCCGTGTCGACCACGCCGACGCCATGCCCCTCAACACGAGCGCCCCCGCCCGCTACACCAACGTCGACGCGCCCTACACCTCTGGCTCCACCTGGCTCGAGAAGGAGCAGCGCGGCAACCGTCGCTCCAAGTTCATCGTGAGTCCATTCCCTCTGCGCACCGCGGCCCCGAAGTGCACCGCAAGCCCCGCCACCCCCCACACCCGCCTCGTCGCGGCGTGCCCTCGCCGCACTCGCGTCTGGCCCCCTTAGTGCGACGGTGCCGCTCACACGCGGCCTGCCCTCTCCTCTTCCCCGCAGGTCATCGGCTCGCTCCTCGCGCTCGTCATCATCGGCGTCGGCGTCGGCGTGGGGGTCTCGCTCACGAAGAAGCACAGCTCGTCCGGCAGCAGCGGCTCCTCGTCGAGCGTCGTCAACCAGACCGACTCGAGCGACCCGAGCACGTTTGTCAAGGATGACCGGCTCAAGCAGTCCTTCTGGGGCATCGCGTACACCCCCACCAACTCCCTCTACCCTGATTGCGGCAACAGCCTCTGTAAGTCCCTTTTATTCTTCATGTCGTGTTTCCGTGCGGGCGTTGGTAGGGGGCTGCATGGGTTTCGATCGGACTCGATGTCCCGTCCGTGTGTCGCGCGAAGGCTGCGCAGCATCTGGGCGAGTCCCGGGGTACAGAAGGCACGCCCTAGTCCCTCTGGTTCTCTCAGCAGTGCGGATTCGGTGGTGTGACCAGACGCCCGCCGAACATGACGTCCCAGTAGTTTACTCGAGCTTGTCTGACGTCTCCACTCTATTGCCCACAGCGGACATCATCACTGACATCCAGGTGTGTATGGTCTCGCAGAAGAGATGCTGTCTCGGCTAAATTGTTCACATCCGTGCGCAGCTTATGTCGCAGCTCACTACTGTAAGTACTCACTGCCTCCGTTGCTCGCACGCAATCTTAAACCCTCCACAGCGCCTCCGCTTGTACGGCGCGGATTGCAATCAGTCGGCCCTGGTGGTGCGTACTAAGCTTCAGTAGGTGTCAAAGTATCTAAATGTGCGGTGCATTCCAATAGCTTGAGGCGATCAAGCAGACAAAGGTGAACATGACTGTGTGGCTCGGAAACTACCCAGACGCTACGGACCCAGCACCATACGTGCGCCAACGTGACGCTATCATCGACGCCATCCAGACCTACGGCACGGACCACATCTCTGGTATCACCGTCGGCAACGAGTTCATCCTCAACTACCTCGGCTCCAACGGTGGCACGTCCGCGAACGACGCCGTCGGCAATGCTGGCGCCGACCTCCTCATCGCCAACATCACCGACACTCGTAGCGCTGTTGCGGCCCTAGGCGTCTCGATCCCTATCGGAAACTCGGACGCGGGCAGCTATATCAACAACAAAGTGCTGGCCGAGGTCGACTACGGGATGGCGAACATCCACGCCTGGTTCGCGGACATCGGCCCCGCGGCCGGCGCGGGTTGGGTGTGGGACTTCTTCCAGGAGACGAACATCGCGCAGGCCAAGGCGCTGTCGAACAACCCGACGATGTACGTCGCCGAGACGGGCTGGCCGTCGGCCGGTAACGACACCGCGACGTCGAACAATGGCGCGGCGGACGCGTCGGCGGCCAACCTCCAGGTGTTCATGGATAACTACGTCTGTCAGGCAAACACCAACGGCACCGGCTACTTCTTCTTCGAGGTATGGAACGGATGTGTGCATCTGCTAGTGGAGAGCCGGCTGACGGATCGGTTTCGCAGTTCAAGGACGAGGAGTGGAAGGACAAGCAGTACGGTGGTGTTGAGGGCCACTGGGGTCTTTTCTACTCGAAGTAAGCCACACGTTATTACGTGTTCCACTGGCCACTGACTGTTCTTTGTCCAGCAAAACGTTGAAGGATATCACCATTCCTTCCTGCTCATAAAATCCGTCTCGACCTCGTTCCCCAGCGACACCCCTCACGCACTGTCTGATTGCCTCACCCCAGCCGAACCGCTTTGCTGTTGCGCTCGGACGCTCCTCTTTATGACCCTGCACGTTACTTCTTGACCACTATTGCTCATTTCTTGGACTCGCCCCCTCTCCCCCCTTCTCCACCGCAGCCTCTCGCGTTCTCCACCCTCGGCTCCCCACCCAGACAACGGACCGTTCCCATCCCCGCGCGGGATGTATGTAGCTATTAACCTCCGCACATAATGGACGCTCCCTCGCACCAGTGCCCGCACTCGTTTCCCGGATCCCCCCGCACACACGCACACCATGCACCCCCGCCTACATACACCCTAGCCGCTTCGACGGACCCCCTTCGTCACACTCTACCCACGCACGCAGATACGGACCCATACCACCCTCGCGTCCATCTGGTCACTCCTCCGCATCTCGTCTCGCTGCCGTGTCTCGTTTACGCCCACACCCTCACCTTCCCCCCTCTACACGTGTCCTCGCACGCGAACGCTGCGAGCACCGCCCCCGAAGCGGATCTGTACTACGTACTCGAACGGTGGTATAAGGCCCGTGGTCGACGGGGCTGTGTAATCTCATGTCGTTGTGCCGTGTCTTCGGGAGATCCAGTGGTTCGCAATGCATGACACTTTAGTACACTGTCCACGCTGTGAGATAGCAAAAGGCACTGGCTGATACAATGCCGTTGGTCTGTTCAAGAGAGCATCTGATCAGTGCTGGTCGCACTTGAACGTTTGAACGCCCTCGGCGAAGTAGTTTTCGCTCAGACAGCATGAGATAGTCTGGTGGAGAGTGCGTATATTTTATTGGTCTACGCGGTGCAGGGAATCTGTTAACGAGAGTGCCTAGTACTGCCTCAGTACGGGGAGATAAGTACAGAGCTACATAGTACAGCAACTAATCACTAGTAGTACACCAAAGATGGGGGTGATCAGACATACAAAGCCTATTGCGAAATAAGTAGCAGAGAGATAAAAAAAGTTAACGAAAGGACGCTGCCAAACGAACGCGCAGCTGTGTTGGGACCTCTCGACCCTACTGGAAGCCGTCCTCGGTCTCGTACCCCTCGTCTCGCCGCCCCTTCCCGCCGGGGCCGTGGCCACCGACGTACGTCGCCTTCCACGCCGTCGCGCTCGGGGCCACCGGCTCCGCCTTGCGCGCCCCGGTGCTCGAGGCCTGCGCGCCGCGCCTCGTCGCGCTGCGCTGCTTGCGGCCGTAGTCGCCGTACTCGCGCTCGTCGCGGTCCTCGAGCTCAGCGCTGCCGTGGTCCGGGCTCGGGTTCGCGACGCGCAGCATCTTCGAGCCGCGCGAGCCGCCGCGTTGGCCGGCCCGTCGATGCCGCTCGTCGCTGCCGCTGTCCCCGCGCTGCGCCCACTCGCGTTCGCGTTCGCGCTCCCTCTCCCTCTCCCTTTCCCTCTCGCGCTCCCTTTCCCTTTCGCGCGCCCGCTCACGCTCCTTGTCCCTCGCCCGCTCCCTCTCGCGTTCCTTCGCCCGCTCCCGCTCCCGTTCGCGCCGTGCGTCCTGCTCCCGTTGCGCCTGCAGCTCGCGCGCGCGCTTGTCCTGGACGCTCGACGCCCAGCTCCCGTCGCTCCCGCTGTTCGACTCGTACCCGAGCTCGGGCTCGAACTCGGCCGGGTCCGCGCCGTCCGCCACCGCGACCGTCGCCGTGCGCGCCGCGAGCGCGACGGCGAGGTCCCGCCGCTTCTCGCGCTTCGTGTCCATGCGCGCAAGGTCTCGCCGTCGCGCGTCCTGCCACCCCTCCTCGTCATCCTCGTACGCGGGGGGCTCGCGCTGCGCCTCGGCGGGCTGCGCGGGCGGAGAGGCGAGGCGCACGGTCTGGGGCGCGGAGTGGGGCGCGCTGGCGCCGGAGTAGGCGTGGCGGAGGACGTCGCGGATGGGCGCGTGCGAGCGCGTGGTCATCATCCGGTGGGCGTGGGTGCACTCGTACCTGCGAGGAAAAAAGGGACGAAAGTTAGCATCAGGAGGCACAGAAGAGGGGGGACGTGGAAGCACGAATCGAAGCGGTGCGGTGCACAGCGGACAGATGGTAGATGAGAGTTGGGAGTGATAGAAGGTGGAGGGGGTGGAGGGCAGGCACAACAATGTCGAAACTTACCCTGGGCCGAGCACAATTTCGCCGCCGAGCTGGGCGGAGTTGCCGCCGCACTCCCAGATGGGCATCCGCACGCGGATCGCGTTCTTGACGATCATCGCGAGCCCGCTGACGGCGCCGTGGCGGACGTAGTCGCCCTTCTCGTGGTCTGTTCCCGGGTCGTTCGTGCGGAGCGTCATCCCGAGCGCGGCGTACAGCCGCAGAGAGGGGTCGGTGTACACCTGCACGGGCGTGCGGAAGATGTCTGCGCAGAGGAAATGAAGTCAGGACGGTTTGATACACCACCCAACACGGTACTCCGCACTCACTTCGGTAGGCCCGAATCATCCCATGCGAACCGTTTCCGATGATGATACAGTTCATGTTCATCCCCTTTAGGTCGTTGAGGTTCACGGTCCTCGCGATCGAGTACATGTAGTCCTGGTCGTTCGCGCACCTGTCACCGAGCATCAGCCTGGGCTCCGCGCGGCATCACGAAGCGAGGCGCACCAGAAATGGCGGATGAAGATCACGATCGTTTTCTGGTCCTTGAAAAGATCCCCGAACTGGATGCGCACACCGTTCTGCGCGATGACCGTGAGCGCGGCCGCCTGTTGCACCTGCTCGCGCGTCGGCAGTGCGCGCTCGTCGAAGGTCGACGGCGCCTCCTTGAGGGCCTCCTTGTCGCTCTTCGCGTTCTGCTCGTAGTGCCGTCGGGACGCTGCGGTACGCATCGTGTGGGAGCCCTTGTGAGCTGCACCAGTGATGGAGTCCTTGTGCGCGAACGCGGTGGCGGTGGTCGCGATGCTGTGGTCAGCGCTGCTGACGGTCTTGGGCGGGGGTGAGAGGGTGGCGGCTCGGAGCGGGTACTCGAAGGTTGTGGAGGGGGTAGCGGGGAGTGGTAGAGGCGTGGACTCGACTGAGGTCGGAGGGTATGTGTGCGCCCGCAGCGGAGACGGGGATGTAGAGGGCTGGGGGGAGGCGGGGAGACGAGGAGGCGGGATGCGCTCGACGCTGCTGCCCGGGCTGCGTCTCGGAATATGAGGGCTCGGACTGCTACTGTATGCGATCGCTCCCACGTGCGGCCCTTCGCGCACCGTGCCACGCTCGTCACCTGGTGTGGACGGGCGAGGTGAGCCATCAGCTTCGACGGATGGAGACGGGGCGGGCAAGTTGCGAACGACTGTGTGCGAGTGGTTGTGCACCGCGAACGCTGAGGGCGGCGGCGGCGACGGCGGGCTCTCTCGCTCTCGCAGATCTCGCATAGGCGCAAGGGGCTCGATCTGTGCGGACTGGATCGTGGGCTGGGCGAGCCGGTTCGTGGCTGGGTGTTGCTGCATGATCGGCGCTTGAACCGGCATCGGCCCAGATATCGGACCCAGTGGCCGACGAGGCTGGGGCGACGTCGCGCGGGAGGTCACAATGGGTGGATGTTGCGGCGAATGAGAGCGCAAGATCACCGGGGGTTGAGGAGAGTGAGAACGCAGAGGCCCTGGCACGTGATGAATAGGAGGTACAGACTGTGCCGCGGCACGAACCACCACCGGGTGCAACGGTGCCAGAGGCTGAGGAGACTGTGTTCTAAACGCATCGTTAGTCTGTTGTTGGAGTTGCCGGTCCTGTGGCTCGAACTCCTGCTGCTGAGGCAGGAGAGGGAGCTCGGTCCTCGGAGGCGTCCGCTGCTGCTGCTGCTGCTGCTGCTGGAACGGCTGGGCCAACGCGGGCGATTGAGGCCTGAACGGCAACTGCGTATGCGGGTGCGCGATGGCCTGCACCGCTGCATGCTGCCCGACCGCCTGGGCTTGCCGGCGTGGAGGCTGTCGAATAGCGTTGAACCCCGTATTCGTCGGCGGCGGTTTGGTCCACCCCGCGCGGTCTCTCGCAGAGAGCGCACCGGCAGGTGTGGCGGCCTGCGCCGTTTGCGCTTGAGGTGCCGGCAGCGGCGCTTGCGCGTCGAGCGGCGGAGGTCCCGCCGAGATCCCAAGTCCAGCTCGTGGGGACGACGCGCGAGGCGGGGGTGGGGGTGCGGGGGTGGGCGCAGGCGGGAGTGGCCGGACTTGGGCGACGGGCAGGTACGCTGCAGCGGGCATCGCCGGCTCCGATCGATCGTCCGAAGATCGACGCTCAGTGCGCGGACGGGGCGGCTCGTCGACTCCGTGCTCGCGTTCGTGGCGCGGGCTTCGCGGACGCGTAACGGCGATTGCAGGCAGGGTGGAGTAATGTCGCTCAGCATTGCGTACGGGCTCGCGCTCGCGTTCGAGGTTGTCGTCCAGGCGTGCACCGCTATCGTCTTCAATGACGTGTGCCAAATTTGCGCGCGGGTGCTGGTGCTGGTGCATTGACGGTAGTGGCGGCGGGGATGGCGCTAGCGGTGGCTGTGGGAGGGGAGTCGGGAAGTCCGAGTCCATGCGACGCGGAGGCGAGAGCGGGAGCGGGGCAGGGGTGAGAGGTTCAGGGCCGTCGAGTTCGGGCTCGTGGGGAGGGGGAGGGGGCAACGGTGAAGGACCGCGACGTTGCGGAGCAGGCGGGGATGGCGCACGACGCGGGGCGATATCCGCGCGAGGAGGAACGGGTGCGGAGATGACGTACGTATGCAGTACAGGGTTCTGAGTCGCATGGATGGGGGTCGGGGAGACGAAGGGAGCCGTGGTGGGCACAGAGGACGTGACGAAGGAGGCGGAGGATGTCGGCCGTGTGAGGAGAGAGTTGGCCAGGAGCGGGGGCGACGGGTCGTGCAGGTCGTATCGTTGCTGCTGCTGCTGCTGCTGCTGTTCGTGTCGGGGCGGTGCGTCGAAGCGAGAACCTCGCAGAAGGACGATGTCGTCCATGTCCGCGTCTTCGGGCGCAGCGCGGACCCCGCTGATGGCTGGGCGCGAGAAGCCCACCTGTGACGCCTCTTGGGATGAGAAATGAGCATCTTGGCCGGTGAGAGGCGCGAGAATGATTTGTGTGTCCCGCGTGTTCCGCCGAGATTCATATTCGGTGGTCTGCGAAGGCGCAGGGACAGGAACCCTCGATCCTCTCGAGTCCTCTCTGGGCGGCATAGAAGGGCGGGTCTCCTTCCTGATAGGCGGTTGAGATATCTCCTTCGGAGGCAGCGGCGCCAGCGCTTCCACGACAGTTTGTGGTCGGACCGGCGGCTGAGGAGGAGGAGGTGGAAGAGGGGTCGGTGGGAGCAGCTCGTGCTGGGGATACGTCATGCGCGAGGACATGGGGCCTCTGGCCTCGTCACCTTCAGGGTACGCCACGAGCGTGCTTGCCATGCTCACGTTCTCGATGGGGAGGAGGGGTGACGAGGAGGGACCGAAGCTCACGTTGGGGAGGGGGGTTACACCCAGACTGACATGGCTCAAACTCTTTCTATGCGACATCCGCTTCCTCTTGTGATCCGCGGCGGGATCAATGCCAGCAGCGGCGTGTAGGACCTCGGGCACAGAGCTGTCCCGCGTGAAGGCCGCGGCACTGGCGGGCGGTGGTGCGGTCTGACGGATGTCATGGGAGAACGAGGATGAAGCAGAGATGGAGGCATCGCGGGCGGGCGCGGGCAGCGTCTGCGGACGCGTGCGCGGGGAGGGATCGGAACTCTTGCGCCCCCGCACGAGCACGGTTGATCTACGCAGCCGTTCCGTGATGCTGCCCTTGCGAGCTCGCACGCCCGCGCCGCCGCGCCGCCGCGAACTCGAGCTGCTGTACTCGAGCTCGCGAGTGACATCCTGTGCTTGGTCTTGCTCCGGCTCGGAGTCCATAGAAAGGGGCGACTCGACCAGCGTAGGCTGAGAACGAATGCCTGGGACTGGATGGACAGTAGAGCTTGGTTCGGGCGTACCGAGTAACGCGGGGAAGTCGGCTGTGCGGATCTGGGAAACCTCACGCTCGATGAGCCCTCCCGCAGACCCTGATATGGAATGACCACCAACGTTGTCCATCGACTTGGGGTGCTTGGGAGGTGGAGGCGGAAGCTCGGAGAGAGCAATGCTGGGGGAAAGAGACTCGGAACGCGCACGGCCACTCGCGCTGCTCAGAGTCAATGTGTCGTCGGGCGTCATGGGTGGTGTGGAAGGCCCAGTGTGAACTGACCCCTGAATGTGAGAGTGGCTGTGAGGGTCGATGGTGGATGAGGCGTGGTGGTGGTCGACCTGGCCGTATACATGCCCATGAGACTGACGGTCATCATAGACGTACTGGTTGGGCGATGACAGGAGCGCCTGTTCCGTCTGGTGAGCATCTATTGAACTCTCCTGAGCGGCGGGGAACTCCGGCTCTTGGACTGGTGGAGGGACCTGAGGCAACGGCGAGGGAGCGTAAGATAGAGTTTGGGACCGACGGCGACGGGGGTACTGCCATTCCGCAAGCTTCTGGGAGGCTTGATCGCGGTCGTGATGTCGCTGATTGGGGGGTGACGGAGAAGTGTGTTCGGCCTCGGAAAAATAGGATCTGGAGTCCCTCGTTGGACGCGTCCGGGCACGTGGGGGACGGGGAGGACGTAGGTTGTCGGAGTGGTAGCCGTCACGGAACTGGTCGAGCGCTTCTATGCTGCGAGACGCGTGCATTGTGCTGCGGGGAAGACGCGGAAGTTCCGAAGTGTACTGGGTGTACCGGTCGTATTCATTGTTGATAGATGGAGAAGGGGCAAGTGAGGAATATGAGCCGTTGAGGTTGAGGCGAGCTTGGGCATGGGCGGAATGGGCGCGCTCGCGAAGGGTCTGAAGAGAGACGAACGGATCGGAAGGATCAGGGTGTGGGTATTTCGGAGAGTAGGGAAACGCTGGCGGAGGCTTGCGCTTGACTCTAGGGGGCAACCGAAGGTCTTGGGCGTAAGCCATGGCGTCCAGCGCTGTCTGACCGGCTGTAGGGAGCGAAAAGAGGTGTCGAGAGCGAAAGCGGCGGGCGAGTGGGCATCGTCGACCCTATATGCGAATGGCGCCAGCGCGTGTGGGCGGCGAGGAAGAAAATGAAGGGGGGCTGGGGCTTGAGAACACGCTCGGATTGGCGGTGTGCAACGCTGTCTCCGCATTTTGCAGGCGGAGAGTGCTTCTTGTGAAGGGACCGCCGCGTGGCCAACGGACTGCACCGGTGATGTCGTCTCGACTCTGTCTCGTGGGTGGAGCGTCTTGCGTCTCATGGTCCGTGGGAAGTGCCATGCTCGCAGCCTGAAGCCTGTGGTTGTTGTCTTGAAGCTTGATGCTTGGAGCCGGTTGCGTTGCTCTGTATAGATGGGCGCCGGTCCAAAGGGGAGAGGAAGCTGTTACGTGGAAAAAGCCCTCGAAGCTCGGACGGCACAAGGAGACGGACATGACTAGGAAAAATGACCACTGGATCCAGGCTATTTCCCGCAAGGAAAGGGTCCCGGGGTTTGGCTAGTGGCGGTGAACGAATCATGGGAAACAGATAGCAACCCCGCACTGTGTTGGATGTGAACCTTTATCTGGCAACCATAGAAGACGCCAGTGAATGCGATCTCAACAGTGGTCAGGAAATCTGCGGATGATACGGTCAGCGAAAACGCATACGCAGAACGCGTGGATTTCAAGCACCGCTTTATATACTCCTCCGCATGCTGACAATCCGTGCCAGACTTCAGTAAGTACATGGATGGCAGGATGATTGAAAGAGGCACGTGTGCTCGTCCACTACGGTGCTCCGTCACCCCGGAGCGACCGCGGCGCACGCACGGGAGTGCCAAATTGAGACAACGGGCTGGCAGCAGCGCACATCTTGTCTGGGCAGCAGGTCCCTCCAAATACGTTATCCAGGGGGCTTGTGCGGACGGAGATGGGAGAGCGAGTCAAAGAGGGCAAACAGACGGCCCGCCAACGGACGCACGCGGTGACGTGCGGCAAGCGCCCCCAGACGGAGCGGGACTTGCGCGCCGTCACCCGTGTGCTCTTGCTCTCCGACCACGATGTCCTCGCCCTCCAAGCCATTCGACATCCCCAGCCCGCGCCGTGGTCAGCTCGTCCACCCCAATGCCACCCCTCCGGTCGCTGGCACCCCGAACTTTGGCACTGGTCTCTCAGCCTCTCCCAGTCCACGCTTCCTCCGTGCACAGTACACCGGCACGCCTCCTCTGCCCAACATCCCTCCCAGGTCCGGTGCTACACCGATAGGAACTCCCAGCTCTACTGCACCCTTCCTTCCCGGTCCCTCCGCCGAGGCCTCTTCCTCCAACCCAGCCTTCCTCCTCCGTCCAGGGTCCGGTACTCCCGGAAGCGATGCAAATCCATTCGATGACTTGACCGACGAGGAGAAGGCAAGGATTCTTCGCCGCCACCTCGTCTCTCGCGACCAGCGCCAGAACAACAGGCCAGTCACCCCTGACATTCCTCCCTCGGCTTCCTCCCAACATGGATCACAGTCGGGCAACCTCTCCCATCGCTCATCGGCATCTCACATCCGGCTACAGCGAGAAGACACAGAGCCCTTCCCAGTACCCTATGATGCTCATGGTGCAGACATAACGTACGTCCTTCTCCAGCGCGCACTGCTCTTGTCCGGCGATATCGCTCGTTACTACCTCTCGGCCCCGCTGACCTATCTTTGTCTTCAGCCACAGCATCTATAAGTGGCAAGCTGACAAGCGCAGGCAAGCAGCCCGTCCTCGCTCTGCTTCATTCGCTGGCTCGACAAATACGCAACCCCTTCACCCTGCCTTGGAACATATACACGAGCCCGGAGGGTTCCGTCGCACTTATGTGGCGCTCAATGACCCTGAACGCGCCTCTAACGGCCCAATGGCCCGCAACTTCATAGAGTTTTTGTACATCTTCGGCCACTTCGTAAGTTCATCCGCCCATCCGTCCACGCGCTTTATATGTATCCTTCGATATAGGCAGGTGAAGATCTTGAGGAGATTGACGAAGAAGACGAAGCAGACCTTGTGGACGAGGAGGCTCTGCCGAACGAAAGCTCTCCGTTCTTGCAGGGAGGCACATATGGAACACACGCCACACCGTCATACGGGGGCCGAGATTCGTCGAACGCTAACAAGACTTCTGAGCGTTCCCCTCTGCTTGAACGCTCCAGCGCAAACCGATCTCGTTCAAGGCGGCGCGCTGCAAGCGTCGGGCCGCATGGTGATGCCACCGTGACCGATGCCGTCCTCATGGTACGTTCCGTCTCATGGCACATAACGAGCCCCGTCTCATCCCCAATCCATAGCTTTTGAAAGCCTTCGTTGGTACTGGGATCCTCTTCTTGGGCAAAGCGTAAGTGCAGTCACATAATCTACGGATTCTATCCCTGACTTCATACTCCCAGTTTCTTCAACGGTGGCATACTTTTTTCCAGTGCTGTCTTGACGTTCATTGCTCTGGTGTCATTACATTCATTTTTGTTGCTCGTTAAAACGAAGTTTGTCGTGTCAGGCAGTTTTGGCGGTGAGTATATCATCTCCCCTCGGTAGCCATTAGAGCTCACTACTAGGGTGACAGATATCGGCGGAGCTTTGTACGGGCCTTGGATGCGCTACGCCATCTTGGCTTCCATCACGATCTCTCAGCTCGGTTTCGTCTCGGCCTACATAATCTTCGTCTCTGAGAACCTCCAGTCATTCGTTTTGGCTATCACCAACTGTGCAAAGCTCCTCGGCATACAGTATTTCATCTTGCTCCAGATGATCATTTTCCTGCCGCTTGCGCTCATCCGCAATCTCGCAAAGCTTAGCACCACGGCACTGATCGCCGACGTCTTCATCCTGGCTGGACTCATCTACATCTTCGGAAGCGAAGCTAAGATCATAGCCCACAACGGCATCGCACATGTCGAGCTTTTCAACCCGAAAGACTGGCCACTCTTGATTGGGTATGTAGCTGGGTCGCTGTTCTGTGGGCGTCTAGGCTTACGATCTGAACAGAACCGCCGTTTTCTCCTTCGAGGGGATTGGTCTGGTGCGAACATTCTGATATAATATCATTCCCGCGCTCATTGTGTGGTTTTAGGTCATCCCTGTCACAGACGCTATGAGGGAACCCCGCAAGTTCCCCGCCGTGTTGACCGGGGTAATGCTCTTCCTGATGGGTGAGTATCATATTACTTCAGATGGCCGCTCAAACTGAGGTTTGGCCAGTTCTCTTCTGTGGCGGCGGCGTGATGTCGTACCTCACGTTTGGCGCGGATGTTCAGACCGTTGTTATCGTCAACCTCGACACCACCAGTCGGTTCACGCAAGTGGTACGTTTGTCGCGCATTTCCCATTTCCCCATCAAAGGCTGAGACTGATTTGAATATTTTACTCCACAGGTCCAGTTCTTCTATTCCCTCGCTATCTTGCTCTCCGTACCTCTCCAGCTCTTCCCGGCTGTGCGCATCATGGAGAACGGCCTCTTTGAGCGTAGCGGCAAGGGCAACGTCTTCGTCAAGTGGCAGAAGAACATCTTCCGGTTCTTCGTCGTCGCCTTCTGCGCTGTGCTCTCCTACTTCGGCGCTGCGGACCTAGACAAGTTCGTCTCGTTCATCGGCAGCTTCGCCTGGTGAGTTGCTCTCCCTCGTTCTCTCTCTGGCGGCACACCCTGATGGCGCCTACCACGCAGTGTGCCGCTGTGCTACGTCTACCCTGCGATGCTGCACTACAAGGCCTGCGCCCGCACGCGTAAGGAGAAGCTCGCGGATATCGCCCTCATGGTCTTCGGGATGATCGCAGCCGCATACACCACCATCCAGACCGTTCGCGTACGTCTCTCGACCGTCCTCTTCCCCTTTCCCCATGCTGACTTGCACTGCAGCTGATGAGCGCGCCCGCCTCGGCCGCGCCCCCTGTCCTGGGCCAGTGCGGCCAGTCCCCCGAGGAGCCCTTCCGCGGTCTGTTGTAATCCCCAGGCGTCCTAATCTCGTTTACACGCAATGCACCCATGCAAATCTATCTATCCAAGCATCCCGCATCTACAGCATATAAATGGCTTGCTTGCAATCTGGCATTCGGATCGCATCCCCAAGCAGTAGTCACCCGTGTGGTGGTCCCCTCGTTCTTCTTACCTTGCGTTTCACGAATACAACCATACACCCCTGCCACACGATACCGTCCCACCACCGCATGTACCTTACTGTTCTGGATGCTCGTGCCACATCCTTCCTAGTCGAATATAATAATGGCCGAACTTTGACGTGGTCCTCCTCGTCGATAGTCGACACGAGGCACTTGTGCCAATGACTGACAGATCGATGCTTAGAAAGGCGATTCAACGCCGGCGGACCTCATTGGGCTGAGGTTGGGTTTTGCATGCGGAACCGCCCGTCGGAAGCATAGGAAGTAGAGAAGCCCAGGCACACTTCACGAAATGAAAACATGTGTATAAAGCGACGGGGCGCCGACCTTTTCCTGCGCAGCGGGAGCACAAGGTCGCCGCACGGCAAGCACAGTCCGACATGAATGCGTAACGTCCTCCGTGAACCCTGCCCGTGCACACATGATGTCGGTCCTCGGAGTTGGGGCGTTCGGCTCCGTGTGACGGAGATGGTCAAGACAAGGTACTGTCCCATTTCGACCAAAAGTTCATGTCACGCGTCACGGAGGGGCGTGAACATTTGCTCCAACTATCGCAAACGATTTCTTTTGCCCATTTGAAGATCGAAATTTTGGTCACGCCGAAAATCGATGAACTTTTGGTCGAAATGGGACAGTATGTACAATATACATCATCATATCATGGACGTAAGACATGCATACAAGCGCGAGACACCGAGCCAACAACCCAAGCACGCGACCATCCTCCGGACTGGGGCGCGGCCACGCGCACGCACCAAAGACATGCCGCTTCAAAGAGGCCTCCCAAACCGCGTCTGAGCCGGCAAGCGAGTGAGACACGGCTCCGGGGGGGCGATGTGCGTCCGCGGAGTTCTCGTGTCGCGTGCGGGATGCATGCGGCTCGGGTTTAGGGCCCACGACGACGCGGATCCTCTGCGGGGGTGGTGTGCGCGCGGCGTTGCCGGCTAAAATCTTGGCGCGTGATGCATTCGCGCAGGCACTCTGACGACTGAGATCTGAGATTGCGTCGCTGCGTCCGCAGCGAGAAATAGAGGGTCTAGTGCAAGGAGTAAAATGCGTCAACGCCGAGCACTCGCGCCGTCCACCTTTCGGCGCGGACACTCACCCCGATCCAACACGACACCAGCACGTACTAGTACAGGTCCGAGTCCGACACCCACAGCCTCACCCGCCTCGGCGCGCGTCCGCCTCGACCTCGCAGATCTCTTGCACGCCCTCGCGGAAGAACACGACGTTGTACTCGAGCAGCCCGCGCCGGGCGTCGAACACCGGCGTCGGGATCAGCGCGAGCAGCGCGAGCTTGGGCGTGATGAGGTGGTACGTGAGCGTCGTGCCCCCGCTCGCGCTCGGGGAGAGCGCCGCCGCCGCGCACGGGTAGAAGCGGGGCTGCGCGTGCGCCGCCGACGGGCCGTTCGCGGGCGTGTGGCCGTTGCCGTTCGGGCTCGATGCGGACGCGGACGCGGTGGGGGAGAGGGACGGTGGGAGCGCGGTAGCCGAGCATTCGACGGAGATCGAGCCGGCGAGGGCGGTCGTGGCTGGGGGAGGTGCAGTGGGAAGAAGTTGTCGCGTAGCACCGCGTGGGGAGGTGTGTGTTGAGAGCGCGGGGGATGCGGGGGAGACGACTGGCGATGCGAAGACGCTTGCCGAGCGGGGTACGGGTTGAGGCGAGGCGGGGGCTGAGGCGGCTGGGGAATGGGCTGGGGGCTGTGGAACGGCCCGCATTCGTGGGGCGCTGACTGAGACTGATCTAGCAATTATGGAAGTCAACGGGGCGACCTAGGCAAGAGGAGGAGGAGGAGAATCACTTGTATAGCGGCCCGAAGGTGTTCAGAGTCCGCAGATAGTCGCTACACAAGTTGTGTGTTGGTGGGTCAACTGGTGAGGCATCAGTGGCGACATATAGCCGCGATGCAATGTCGAAGAGAAACGATTTGGTTGCTTGTGAGCGCTACAAGATGTCGATTATTAATCTGAGCACATGGAGTCGTCATCGCAGGCGCACTCACAGCACAAAAGACATTGAGCAAATCTTCAAGGTAAGGTAGTGAATCCACTAGCTTATGTAGTGTTCGCGAGAAAGCGTCATGGAGGGAATGGTCGTATATTGACGTGAGCTGAAAGTTGATCGGGATGGTCTCGTACTCTGCGCTGACGTAGCCGAGGTCAGAGAGGACGCGTGACTGGATATGCCGGAAATTCTCTTCACAGTTCGAAGGGGGAAAAGTTCAGCTGACTTTCAAGGTGGATGATGGGACTAACACTAACCGAACTTGTACTCGTCACTAAGAACATCCGCCTTGTGAACGAAAACCTCCAGGTTGATATTGGGGTGTGCCTTGTAGGCGGCGACCACAAAGTCCACGAGCCTCTGAATTGGCTGCTGGTACAGATCCTGGAAGGAAAAAAGGACGTTGGCGATGTTTACATGTTAGGCCAGAGATATCTGAGTGCGCAGTGGGACCAAACGAAATGAAAAACTGCCAGCACCCACGCGGGGTGCAGGGCCGCCACTTGCAAGAGCCACGATCGACCATGGGGAAAATGTGGGATAAAGAGGAAGCGGGCTTGGAGGGTAAAAAGCGAGGGCGAAGGGCTTACCTGGATGTCAATGACGAAGATCATGGTCGAAAATTGGCCAATGGGGGTGCCGAGGGCTTCGAGAGTGATATCTCCGGGGCAGTCCCATATTTCGAGGGGAATGACAGTACTGAGGAAGCGGCAGGGGTCGTCAAGCTCACGGGACGGAGGAGCGCAAGGGAGCACGGAGGGACGCACTCGAAGTGGTGTTTGGTGATCTGGGTGGTAGTCTCGAGGAAGAGTGTTTCTCTGGGAGCGAGGTCGTCGAATAGTACCTGCTGGATGGACGTCTTTCCGCTCCTGCGCAGGGATGAGCGCAGAGGATTATCCGAACACGGAGCAACGCACCTGCGCATGCCAAGCAGCAGGATTTTGGTCCTCATCCCGTCCTCCGGCTTCGCAACGTTGCGCACGCCGTTCGCGGCTCTCGCGCCGGCCATGGCGAACCGAGGGTGACGAGAAGGGCGAGGTGGGATGCGCGAGTCCCGACGATGGAGAACTCCGAGGGCAAGAGACCGATCACGGGCCCAGTCCAGATCCGCTGCTCGTCTCTGCCACGGCCCGCAACGCGTTTTCCTCCAGCTTCCTCTGCGCTCACCGTTCTTCTTCTCCCCCTCTTCCTCCTCCCGCCCCCTCCCCCTCCCTCGCCATGAAGTTCGGCCGCAAGATCAGTGTCGGTTCTCCTCTCCCCCTTTCCCCCAGCGGCTCTTCTCACATCCCTCCAGAACGACCTCTACAACGAATGGCGCCCGTTTTACATTGACTACAATCTTCTCAAGCGCGAGCTCAAGGTCCGCTTCCCTGGCACACGACCCAGAACGCTCCAGCACGCTCATCCTCCCATTCTCTTTAGGCTCGGACCACTTCGCGCAATTGGAATGACGAGGATGAGCGCGAGTTTACCCGCATGCTCGAGCGCGAGCTTGACAAAATCCACAACTTCCAGAAGACGAAGGTGCGTACCCGACACACCGTCTCTGCACGCGTCCCACCCACCCTCAGCCTTGACGGCCGTTGCGCAGACCTTTGAGCTCTCGCGCCGGATAAACGACGCGGAGAAGGCCGTCAAGCGCCTCGTCTCCTCCATGGACGGTGCTGCTGGCGCTGGGCACCACCATCAGGAGTCCTCGTCTGCGACGCTCGACCACGAGGCTCAGCAGCGTCGCGAGGAGGTCACTCAAGATGCGGGTTCGGACGATGACATGAGCGACGATGACGACGACGACGACCTGTCCGTCGATGCCCTGGAGGACCAATTCATGCTGCTCGAGGAGGAGGTCGCCACTCTCGTGGCTGACGTGCATGACCTTGCGCTGTATACGAAGCTCAATATCACCGGGTTCATGAAAATTCTGAAGGTACGCTGATCCACACTCTGAGTTTGCGACGCTACGGCTGATATGCCTGTGTTCGCACCCTCCCCATACGCGTAGAAACACGATGTGCGTACCGTCTCCCTGCTCCTAGTTGCACGTTGCCAACCAACGCGGTGCAGAAACAAACGAATCGCCCTCTGAAACCGACGTTCATCCAAGACTACCTGGAGAAGCGTCCTTTCTACAAGTACAACTGGGACAGCCTGATCGTCAAGCTCTCGAAGCTCTACGACCTCGTCCGCACGCGGGGGCACCCCGTTCAGGGCGACTCGAGCGCGGGCGGGAACCAGAGCGCGTTTGTCCGGCAGACGACCAAGTACTGGGTGCGTCCATGACGTCACCCTCTAGGCTCGATCATTGAGCCGGTATCTCCGCAGGTGCATCCAGACAACCTCGTCCATCTCAAACTTTCCATCCTCAGACACCTCCCCGTCCTTGGTCAGTCCGCCTGACTCACCGCCTCGTGCCCCCGCTCACCTGTCCAGTCTAGTGTTCAACGCCGAAAAGGAGTTCGAGCCCAAGGATGCCGCCATCACTTCCATCTACTTCGACAACGAGGATCTCGAGCTCTACCTCGGTCGTCTCGAGAAGACGGAGGGTGCGGAGGCCGTTCGTCTGCGATGGTACGGCGACATGGACCAGAAGACGATCTTCGTCGAGCGCAAGACGCATCGCGAAGACTGGACGGGCGAGAAGTCTGTCAAGGCCCGCTTCCCGATCAAGGAACACCTCGTCAACGCCTTCCTCCGCGGCGAGTACACCATGGACGAAGAGTTCCAGGAGCTTGTTAAGAAGGGCAAAAAGTCGCAGCAGGAGGTCGACAGCATGATCCAGCTCGCAAACGAGGTCCAGTACGCGGTCCTCACCAAGAAGCTCGGCCCCGTCATGCGCACGTTCTACAACCGTACCGCGTTCCAGCTCCCTGGCGACGCGCGCGTCCGTATATCCCTCGACACCGAGCTCACAATGACCCGCGAGGACAACTGGGACGGCAAGATACGTGCCGGCGACAACTGGCGGCGGATGGACATCGGGATCGACCACCCGTTTGACCAGCTGCCCCCAGAGGACAAGGAACTGTTCAAGTACGGCGTGCTCGAGGTCAAGTTGCAGACGCAATTCGGTCAGGAGCCTCCGGAGTGGGTCACCGACCTTGTCTCGTCACATCTCGTTGAAGCCGTACCGAAGGTACAGTACGACTCGCCTCTCTGCGGCAGGATGTTCTGACGAGCTCGCTATAGTTCAGCAAGTTCATCCACGGATGCGCTACTCTACTGCCACATCGTGTCGATCTTGTGCCCTTTTGGCTTCCTCAGAGTAAGCTTCTCAATAATCTTACTCCTTCGTACTGCGCCCTGAAACACACCTTCACATAGTGGAAGTGGATATCTTGAAGCCCGACTCTGGTGTGGTCACCATCGAGCGCCCTCTCCATGTCTCTTCATCGAAAGGCACTTCCTCCGGTTCACATACCGGCACGTCTGGGGTGACAACACCTGAGCGCATGGCCTACACGGAGCCTATTTCCGAGGGCGAAGACGATGAAGATATGGACTTGGCTCCCGCTCGCGACGAAGACAAGCGCACAGGTCTCTCAGGCACTGACGTTGCGGCCGCGGTGGCGATTCGTGAACGGAACCTCAAGGAACGAGCGCAGGCGCGGGCAGCCGAGGATGAGGACGGGGAGAGTCTGCTCCAGGGTGCCACCAAAGGCATCCAGTCGACGCTCGAAATCACAGCGCAGGCACGCTCGATGTCGATCGACCCTCTCGCGCCATCTCAGGCGTTCGACGAGACGCTGCGGGATCGCCTCCGGGCGGACGCCCGCGCGACAGAAGGCGACGCGGACGACGAGGACGAGGACGAGGCGGACGATGAAGAAGCGACGCGTGCACAACAGGCGCGGGAGCGCGCGGAGGGTTCGTCCTCGCGCACGAACGGCGACGACAGGCTGCTCGAGCGGCGGTTCACCGCGCCGTCGGGCAAGCTCATCGCGGTCCCGGTGCGGATCGAGCCGAAGGTGTACTTCGCCGCTGAGCGGACGTTCTTCGTAAGTTCTCCGGCCTTGCGCATATCCCGACTCGCTCGCTCACCCCGATCCGCGCGCAGAAATGGCTGCACTTCGGGATCTACATCGGCACGATCGCGACCACGCTCCTGAACTTCATCGCGCCCACCGACAGCGCTGGGATGCTCTCCGCGTACTTGTTCACCGCGCTCGCGCTCGCGACGATCGCCTACTCGGCCGCGATCTTCATCTTCCGCTCGTACAGCATTCGCCACCGCCGCGCGGAGGGTCTATACTACGACCGTTTCGGACCGACGGTGCTCAGCGTAGCCCTCGTCGGTGCGTTGGGCACGAACATCGTGCTGAGGCTGCGAGAGCTATAGTTGACCTCGTGATTTGAGAGGGACTGCTTCAGCACGCCAGCATTGCCCGAGAGTCGGGGATGCCGGTCGTTCGGCCACACCTCCGCGGTGTGTACGGGTTGGGCTCGCTCTCGCACAGAGCCCGTCAGGGTCAGCGCATTGTACGAGTGCTGGCACTTGCGAGGGCGCATGGGGGGGATGGGGCAGGGATGTCCCAGGGGATTTAGCACTTGAGCCCTGGCGATGTGTGGTTAGCTCACGGCTATGTACGCATATCACCTTATGTACTTACTTTTCAATGCTATGCGCTCTTTTTCGCATTTCCGGCCGGAATCTCCGGTCAGCGACTCGGACCTGACAAAGGTGCTTAGCTTAGCATACAAAACACTGAATAAATACCTGACGTGCCTTGCAAACGTCAACGCGATCACTCAACGGCATCCCGCCGCCCCCGCATCTTGCAACTTGTTCTCGGCCGCCATGTCCCAATCCTCACCCTGCCTGCTCATCTCCAGGGTCCCCGAAGAAGTGCTCGTGGGCATCTGTCTCGAGTGCGAGCCCTGCGATGTCTTCGCGCTCGGCAAGGTGCGTCTCCCTCCCCCGCGCCCGCACATACGTGCCCGCGCTCACCCACCCGGCGTCTTCCAGGCCTGCTCCTTCCTCCACCGCATCCTCTCCCGCAACGTCTACGTCCAGTACAAGCTCGAGCTCGCCCTCGCCGGCATGCTCGACCAGCCCCTCCCGCCCTGCGCCTTCGCCCCCTGCGCGCCCGCCTTCCGGCCGTCCACGCTCGGCACCGCCGCCAAGCTCCACCTCCTCCGCCTCCACCGCGCCCGCGCCCACAGCGGCCGCTTCGCCCCCGCCACGCCCGTCGCCGTCGCGCGCGGCCCGCACGTCGCGCGCTGGGACGCGTACCCCGCGTTCGGCGGCGCGCTCGCCGCCGTCGTCGTCCGCCCCGACCACGCGGACGCGCTCGTCGTCGCGCCGCCGCTGCCGCCGATGCTCGCGTTCGGCCCGGACGGGTCGATCATCGTCGCCGGGACTAGAGCGGGGGCCGGGGCGAGGGCGTGTGCGAGCGAGAGCGCGGACGGGACGTCGGGGCGCGGTGTCGTGAGCTGGACGGTGCCGCTCGACGCCGTCCCGATGGGCTCTGCGCGGCCGTGCGTCATCGCGACGGACATTACCCAGAACCTACTCGTGTTCGTGCAGACTATCGAGGACGGCGCAGGGCAGTCAGAGTGCGTGTTTGGATCCCGATTCTTCGCCTGTGTGCCTCTGACGTCGTGTAGGAACGCGGACGCAATAGCGTACATTCGCTGCCTCGACCGCGCGGAGGCGACCCACCCTCGCACCTTGTGCCCCGCGATCCGCATCGCGCCGCAAGATCAAACCGCAGGTAACACTGGTACGCCGCCTTTCTGGCCGCGACGACGCAGGGTGAACAAGGACATTCAGATCCACGGCCTGCTCATCGCCTGGAGCATCGCGAGCGACAACCACACCTCGCTCTCCGAGCGTGTCACGTTCGAGATCTGGAACTGGGCCACGGGCGCCCTCGTGTGGGTGAGTGCCCGCCGCGCGCGTCCGCATTGCATATCCCGGTCACCGCTGACAGGAACACCTCCGTCCCTCGTCCGGTATCGTATTTCCCGACGAAGCGGCAATTCCACGGGCTCGGCTTTTCGTCCACGCTCCTCGACTGCAGCACCGTCCTCGTCTCCTCCTTCCTCTGGGACGACGAAATGCGTGTGTATCGCTTCCAGCACCCGCCGGACTCCGAAGCGGACCCCGAGCCCGGCGGTCTCGCGCCCGGGGAGCACATCGCCCTCAAGCTGCCCCCGCACGCGCACTGCGCGACGATCCAGCAGTCCAGCATCCCCGCCCCGCCCCCCTGCGCGCCGTTCTGGCCGGACCCCGCCCGGCGCATCCTCGCGCTGCACCTCACCCAGGCCGCCTGGCGGCCCGCCACGCTCCTGCTCCCCGCCGCGGTCCTCTGCGCGCTCGTCCGCCGCGGCGCCGCGGCGGTGCCCTGGGACGCGTGGGGCGCGCGCGGCTCCGTCGTGCTCGCGTCGTGCGAGCGCGGGATCGTGCGCCGGTACGACTGGACGTTCCCGAGGTGCTACCCGTTCGGCGCGCGCGTGTTCGCGGCGACGCCGGGGCCCCCGGGGGCGGGGTGACGGAGATCGACTTGAACCCGGTGCACGAGACGAGGAAGCCGCAGTGGGCGCTCGGGACCCTGTCTCTCGTCGCGCCGTGGTCGCGGTTGTGCGTGGACGAGGCGGGCGGGGGTGGGGGCAAGGCTGACGAGAGGGAAAAGGAGAAGGCGGAGCCTCCGGGGTGGGAGATACGCAACGCGGACACGGCACCCCCGCACTCGGTGCACCACACGGAGCATGGGCTGCCGTTTCCGCGGCGTGCGCTCAACGCCGTCCTCTCGTCTCCGGAAGGTTATCTTGCTGTGGTGAGCGCTCTGGGCTTTAGGGTGCGCGGTCTCGCAAAGTGCTGATCGTTTTGCGTAGGAAATGGGGACAGTATGTGGCGAGGTCGCTAGCGTCGGTATCTTCTCCTACTCTGCGTGTCTATGACCACAAACACCTGAAGGGGCCCCAAACCGACCAGCTGTTTTTGGCGTCGGACCTTTGGCTCGCGACGTAAGCGCCACTCCTGCTCTCGGCATGATGACGACGCCGACCACAGACAGTATTGCGTTGGATGTTCAGCATAAAGTGGCATAAAACTGTCTCTGGAAGACTGGCTGAGGGCTCCCTTTGTCGATCACGCGACCGCCTATCGGCTCGCTCACTTTGGCAACTTTACCGGCAAAAATCAAGCCTGGTCTCAAACGATCGAACGCTTAGACTTCGATCGTTCATGACTTCATCCTCGGGAACTTGCGGGTTGCGCGACCATGGACGTTCTAACGTATACCCTCACTGCACGCGTTATTATCTCACTTATTCATCGGCACTGGCGCACGCTACAGTAGTCACGGCGTCTGCTCAGTGCAAGACCACCGGTGCTGCGAACTCCGCAGCCACTAGCCACATTCTCCTCGATGCTCGCTTCAAACGTTCGTCGACATCAGACTCATCGCTCCAACGAACGACCGGTTTGGAACGACTGCGCCCGGCGCCTCGGTGACGCACACGATCACCGTCACTTCCCGCCGCCCGGGCGCCCGACGACTCGACGAGTGCCTCCCGGGCAGCCAGTCATGCCATCTCCCTGTAGCCTGTGGAGGCTGACCTAGACGTCGCCTTGACGAGCTCACGGAGAACGTGCCCCGTGGAGGGGCTGCGTTTGTCGTGCACCGTGCTCGTGTCCGGAGAACACACGGGAAGAGGGGTACCATCGTATGGACCTCGGACGCGTGGTACCGGTCTCAGCCGCTAGGCCACGCGGAACAGCACCGTTTCGGCGACGCGCCGCTCCCCCCACGCTGCACAGGACGGCGAGTCGTGCACGAGCACGGTGCAGCGCGCACACAGCGCGTCGGCGACGTCGGTCTGATCCACCTAGATTGCATGCGCGCTCCGCCTGGGCTCCGAGCCCCACAAAACCTCGCAGTCTCGGCTCGTAGTACGTAGTTGTATGAGGCAACGCGCGACACCACCCCTCTCGAAAGACGGCACTGTAGATACGCGTACGGCCTCCCGTTGCCTGGTGAGAATCAGGAGCGCCAAGCAATCAGGACTGTTGTCACGAAGAGGAGCGCACACCTAGCCGACCACTGCTTGTTCCTCCGCCGCCGGGTCCGCGCTGGTCCCGGAAAGCGGGGCACCGCGCCGCGCTCACGGACCGAGCCCGAGTGCACTTGTGGGGGCACTGGCGTAATCGCGGCACATACGCACGTCGCATGACACAAGACGCTGGTATCGATTCATTTCGAGTGAGAGTCGTTCTCGTTTATGCTTCTGCGTTTCTGCGCGTGCGCGAGTGCGCATGCCTGTACGTACATACGTGTATATACATCGGACTCCGACTAGCAAGTATTGTATGGTGTGTGCACTGCGCACGAGGGGGCGAGCTAGTAAGCTACGCGTGGATGCGTACGTGCTTGCAAGACTATGTACATGTCGCCAAATAATTAGTGGTAGCAAGATGAGTCGGAGAACCGAACGCCAAGGAGAGGTGGAAACGAAATCAAACAGGACAGAGGTCCGGGAAAATGAAGAAAAGGACATGCAAGGGAGGGGACGGCTCTGGCGATACGCAAGTCCTTGAAAGTTGTCGGTGTGGTGCGAAATGTACGGTGGTATGCTAGGACGTGTCCGAGTCGTGGATGCAGAACGAGCGGACGTGCCTCGAGGGACACAGGGGGTGCGTGCGCGACGGAACGACAATATGCGAAGAGGCGGTAGCCAGGCGATGCGAGGACAGTTCACGATAGCAGGAAAGATATAGAAGCTGATTGCAACAAAGTGGGGAACGGGTGCGGGTGACCAGCTGGGACGGGTTCCAGGGACGGGAGGGAGCTAGCAGGTAAAGAACGATGCTGCGCAGCGGCGAACGCGGGAAAGTATGGGGAGAAGGCAGATCTAGACGATATCGGTTGCAGGCTGCAAAATGCAGGCGTTGTCGGCGTGGACCAGTGCGAGGGAATAAACCGACAGCTTGTATTAGATAACGACGAGGAAATAGACAGTAATCATGTGCGCACAACCATGAGTCCGGTTCAATGAGCCATGAACAAACTGTTCGGCGTGCAGTCCAACCCCGTCGACTTGTGTACTAGAAACGCGGTATTCTCTGTCGGAGGGTATACCATGACCGTGCCTGCGTCCGTGGTCAATCCGCAAGTCTACGCATGCAGAAACGAGCTTCGGCCGACGACCAACCAGAGCTCCGCCTGGTCGGTCTACGTCGGACCCCGGCGCAGTTGAACATCGCCTCCCATCACAACCTTCCAATCCACCCTTGGCTTCCGAGCACCTGTGCAAGGCCAGCCATCCGCAGCCCGCTCCTCTAACGCCGCCATCGCCACGTGCGACTCAGCATCTAATACCCGGGACCAGGCTGGTATGCCTGTTGTGGTCCGGGAGACATGCGACCTGCTTGAGGACCCGGGGCAGAGTACAGGGAGGCCTGGGGTCCTGGACTTGCCGTGCGCAAGTTGTTTCCACCGAGAGCCTGCTGGGGACCGGGGCTGACGCGTCCGTCGGTGGGGTAACCGTACGCCATCTGGGGACCAGGAGAGCGCGCGCGCATCTGGCTCATGGGAATCGACTCGGGGGGCGGGGCGGCGGCAGCGCCGTAGGGTTCGTTGTCGTAGTAGACTTGGCTCGGATCGTCGCGATACGGCATGTTGGGGTTCATGTGCGGGAGCGGCGGGACCGCGTAGGGATCACGGCCAGCGGCGAAGAGCTCAACCGAGGAGCCGCCCATGGTCGACGGCGCAACGCTGCCGGCGCGCGAGTCGGGGCGCTGGATGGCGAGGTTGAGCTGGGACGAGGTCTCGAAGCCGGCACCGCCGGTGCGGTTGGTGGCGAGCGGGGGCTGGGGGCCGTCGCCGTGGGCGTTGAGCTCGGGCCATTTGATGGCCTCGTCTGGGGAGGTGTATCAGCATTGTGTGCGACGCTGGCGGGCAGCCCGGGCGCGGACGCTCGGCTAAGAAGCAAACCCCGGGCTAGGGTCCGGGGATGGCATCTTGGCGACCGCGTGAGACACCTCCGCCTCCGCCCCGCCTTCGCCAACGCGAGTGACGGAGGGAGACGGCTCCCGGGCATCGCCAGAGGCTGCGGACGAGGAAAAGACTCACTGTCGAAGTCGTCGTCGGTGAACCGTTTCCGCGTGAACTTCCAGACCACGAAGGCGATCAGGCCGATGAGCGCGATGCCTCCGGACACCGACAGACCAACGATGGTGGACGTGCTGAGACCGCTCGTATCCTTGGGCTTGTTGGTATTCGACGGAGCACTGTCCGGAGCCGAGGAAGTGGCTTGCGACGTGTTTACGACGGTGATCGTCACGACAGAGCCGTCCGAGTTCGTCGATTGCGTCAACACTGTGGTCTCCTGCTGGGCAGGATTCGTCGTGGTGGGAGGGGTGATAGTGGCGGAGGTCGGCGGCGGCGCGGCGGACGTAGTGCCAGTGGTGGTAGAAGTCTGCAAGGTGGACGTAGGGGTAGTGGAGGCAGAAGTCTGCGTGGTGGTCGTAGTGCCAGTGGTTGCTGTGTCCGTGGTGGTCGCGGTCCCAGTGCCAGTGGTTGTTGTGTCCGTGCCGGTCCCAGTCGTGGTCCCAGTGGTTGTCGTGTCCGTCTGGTCACCAAGGCCCAAAAAGGCTCGGGGAACGGGTGATATGTGGGGGAGGGCAACGTCGAAACGGGGAGCAGCGGCGGTCGACCCGGCGAGAAGGAAGGCGTTAACGGAAAGGAGGACAAGGCATCTTGCCAATGAGCGCGAGGTCACCATGCCTGCAAAATTGGGGGGCGAGGAAAGGATGAGGAGACGTGAGGAAATTATGGCACCAGCCGGCGGCGATAGTTCGGTAATGAAGGGGCTTCGTGAGGGTCGCAGGCGACAGCGGGGGAGGACGGATGGGAGGTGGATGGAGAGGGAGAGGAAGAGGTGAAGGTCGATGCGGAAGACGTTGAGGGAGCGGAGCGAAACAACCTGGAGCGCAAGGCGGTGAGCCGGCTCACATCACGTGCAGCTGCCACGGCGACTGAATCCCGATTCCCATTCCGACCCGGCGCCTCTCACCGCCCCGCGGCTCACTTGGGTGCATCACAATATCTTGATCGTACAACGTTCCCCATTACACGTCCACATCTACGCTGTGCGGTGCTAGGCGGTACTATGCAATGTCTGGTCTCCTTCAATCCAGCGTCCGACGCCCGAGCAACATCGTAATCTCTCGCCTCTCCTCCAGCCATGACGGAAAGCTCACCTCCCCCGTCTTCGACTCTCGGATCTCGATGAGGTAGTTGGCGAACACAATCAATGTCCCGTATCGGTAGCTGCAGGCATCCGCCACCGTCACCCGCGCAGGTCAGCAATCAGCCGGTCCAGAATCAGCCAAGACGCCTCACAGGTAGTTCACGCCAATGTCCATCAGCTTGCGTTGCTTCGCGCTTCCCTTCTCGCTCGCCTGCATCTTGAGTTTGTAGCTGAGCACATCCCCATACTTCAGACATGTGACCATATGCTCTTGTCTCCAGCACGTACTCGTATATCGCTTTGCGCAGGTTCTGTACGTCTTGCATCTGGTCGATCGCCCGGTCCGTAAGGCGCTTCGCCAGCTTGCCGTGAGACATCACGCTGACGAGCTGTAAGATGACCTTATACTCCCCTGTAACACGATCAGCCCTCGCCGCTCGGCTCTGTGGCCTGTCATCCCATCGAGCGACCGAATCACGCACCTTGCAAGTACGCCTCCTCCTCGGACGGGCCGTCGATCGAGTCGTACTGGTCTAGCGAGTGCGCGTTCCGCTCCTCGTCCTCCTGGTAGCTCATCTCCGCCTCGTGCTTCCAGTTCATCGTCGTCGCGATCAGGCACGCCGTCACCATCCCGCTCGTCGTCCTCCCGCGGCCCATCTGGCAGTTGAAGACGAAATCGACTGCGCGCCCGCTCTGGAGCCCTGAGCGCACGCGCGTCAGCATCTGCGACAGTGCCCCGGGGAGTGGTGCCTGTTCGTCCGTCTGCGCCTCCCAGTCAGATGGGCCGAAATTCTATAGGAACGGGCACTCACCACAGCCACACGGGCGTAATCAACCTGTAGCATTGCGGCAGTATCAGTACGCCAGCCTCTGCATGTGACCCGAAGTAAGGGCTCCTGACCTTGTACCCTTCTTCGACCATCAAGTTGTAGACGTCGCGAGGCGTCATGATGTCCTTCTCCTCCACCTGCTCCCAGATGGGGATGATTGAGAACACCCCAGGACGTTCCTCAACCTCATCGTGCAGGAGGATGCGGCCTGAGCCCGCGCGGACCTCTCGAATGACATCACGTTTGAAATTCTCCTCCATCGACTCCACGACGGCCGTGGTGACTCCGGTGGCCCTGGTAATGCCCATTAAGCGAATCGAAATTCGAGAAATCTAACATACTTACTCGACATTTTCCAATGGCTTGTCTGTTAAGCGGAGGACATGGGGGCGACCAGCAACGTAAATGACCGGTTCCTGTGAAACAAATCGGTTGGAAGGAAGTCCTAAATTTGATTTCGTAGCGGCCCTACTTCTCGCAAGGAGGTCCAGTACACCATGTGGTCCCCATCTGGATGGGCGTTCACCCTTTGAAGAGCTCGGCGCAGGCTGTAATGTGCTGTAAATTCCAAACAAGATAACTTCAGTGGGTGGTACTCACCCGTCTACAGTTGGCATCCCACTGTTAAATGACGTGTCAAGGAATTCATTCAACGTGGGATTCTTTCGCACGCGGCCACATACCTCCCGCACACCCATTTGTTGTCGGTACCCGTGATGAAGTCCAGGTGGTCGAAGCTGTCTGCCGTAGGGGACTGAAGAGGAGTCGCGACAAGCCGGAGCGCCAGCGGCACCCGTCGGAAATTTGGTGCACCCTCGATACGCCTATTCGCATCCACCGTCAGAACGTGCTCTAGGCCTCATGAGGTTGGACGAACGCACTCTGGAAGGCTCATTTTCTGCAAGTTTGAGAAGAAGTCGCTCTTGAGGATCGTCGACGCCGACAGGATGCTCCCCGACCGGTTCGCGACAATGCTGCGCACTTCGTCCGGCAATGGCACGCCCCCCGCAACGTCCATCCGCTCGAGCGGCTTGAGTGTGCTCAGGTTCTCCGTGAGGAGCTCCTTCTCGAACGTCTTGATCACTGCCTCGGCCTCCCGTCAGCCTCCCACTCAACCGGTTAGTATGAGAGAAAGCAAAATGAGTGCGCACCCGGCCGGTTTTTGACGAACGACTCGAACGACTCGTGGGTTTGCATCGTGTCCGGCTCGGTGCTCTGCAGGTACGCCTGGAAGATGATGAGCTCGAAGTACCGCCGGAGGTTCTGCAGGCCGCGGTGCGAGTACAGCCGGCGCTGCCGCTCGTCGGCCTCCTGCTCCGCGCGCGTGCGCGCCTCCTCGATCGCGTCGCGCAGGTTAAGCACCTCCGCGCACTGGTCGATCGCGTCGTCGACCGCCTGTTTCACCATCGGGCCCTTGCGAATCACGCGCAGGAGGTCTGTGCGCCCAGAAAGACGGCGCGATATGCAAATCGGCGGTCAGCAGCGGGTAGAAGGTGAAACGGTATGCGAGCGTACTGTTGATGATCTGGTACGAGTGCCGCGTGGCACGATGCGGGGTAAAGTCAGCGATAGTGGCGATAGACGTGGCGGTCATTGTGCGCTGCAGCGGGCCAGGCGTGGTCGGGTCTCGGAGTGTCGTGGCGTTCGCAAGCCATTGCTGAATGAGTAAGAGGATGACCTGTCAAAGGTTCGCAGATTTAGCTTGATCTACAAAGACAGCGAGACCGGGCACAGCTTAGTGTCAATGACTGAAGCACTGACCGATGTCAATGTGCTCCGGCCACGGCCGAGCTGACAATTTATGACAACCGGAGCACCACTGGCATTGCTCCGAATCATCACTTCGATGAGCTCGCTCAGATCGGTGAAATCTGGAGGACGCTCGGCGGTAATAGGAATACGAGCGTATCCGAGCTCGAGGTGCTCGGCAGCGTGCCTGCGGTCAGCCATCACATCCTTGAGGACCATGATGTTGTTACTGTCAACTTCCTCCCATATCGGAACGACAGACCCGTCGGGTGTCTCTGTATGCAGAAGCAACCTGTTGGACAGACGATTGTCAATGTCATGTTACAAGAAAAAGTGGTTGGCATACCTGCCACCGAAAGTCTGAACTTCATTGACAACATCATCACGGAGACGCTCTTCTAGCACTTCCAGACGAGATGAAGAGATCCCTCCGTAGTCTGCGCGTCGGAAATACGATCAGTCCGGCCATCCGCAGGTGGATTGTGGGAATGCACTTACCCTTCATGTTTCGCAGCGAGAAACGCTCCCTGCGCAGACAGTATGGGGCGCCATTCACGTATACAATCGGCTCCTCGCGTAACGTAATCCACATGATCCGAGTAGCTTCGGGGTGATTGGCATGCACCCTCCGCACAACCTCGTCAATGGCCTCCAGGGTTGGCTGGCCAAGTGCATAGATGCTGGTCCCGGGTATGTTGCGGAAATTGATGGCTCCGCGCACGCCGTCTGAAACGTGAGATTGGCGACTGAACCATTGGTCGGACTTGAGTAGGGTCCTGGACGCGTGGACTATGTCAGCTCAGTCGAATGATCAATTTGAGGGGTCACCTACCCTTCTCTGAGGATAATTCCGCTCCGATTCTGAAAGAAACCCATGAACCTCGGCTTCAACCGTGTACAAATAACTTGTATTCACCCTCACGACATGATCGGAGTACTCGTCTCCAAGGATCTGACCACCTGCAATAGCGACGTTGTTTTCCTGACCGGGCAAGAGAGCACGGCGGTCGCCGCCCGTTCTTGAAAGCGTCGAGAGGTCGTTGATAGGCGTGAAAACGCTAAGCTTGGAGCCGTGTGCTCGCCGGAGGAATGATACTTGGCTTAATTAAGGAGTCAAAAACGTGACAAAGCTTGTGAGTGGAGTTTTACTGACTTCCAGATCTCGGTCCTCGCCTTCAACCAATCTGCAAAGCTTTGGCCGAAGTCGTCTTGCATCTCGACGTAGTTGGCAAAGGCGATCATGAAGAAGCTGGAGGAAGCAAATGAGCCAATGACACACATATCGGGGACTTACACACGTACTACTTCTCAAGCGATTTAACGGCTCTGCTGAGGAAGTTCTCCCGCTCAGTGTCATCCACGTTGGTAGTGAGCGAATAACGAATCCGGTTCAAAAAGATATCCTCGCGAAGGTTGACGACGTGATCACCTGACGGTTTGTTGGTAACAACATAGGTCAGAAAAATGACGCTACGCACAGACGTCGATAATGCTATCGACGAGCTTCTTTGCCTTGGTGCCGTGCTCGAGGACTCCGAGCAGACTCAGAATGATGCCGTAGTTACCCATGTGTGCCTTCTGTAAGCTGTCCAAGAGTGAGGGCTGAGTGAGGAGCAGCTCGATAGCTCCTTGAGAGTTCTTCCCGTCAAGTTCTATGATGAAAGAGTCAGAAATCTTCAGCATCACCTCAATTCTGTCACAGCCCTTACGTTGCTGAAGGATGTGGGTAATGCGGAGGAGAGAGCGGTTCATGTCTTGCTGAGCATTGGCTTGTTCAAGAGCTTGCAATATCTTAGCGTTTGTGGGCGGTGACATCCCCGAAGGCTAGACTCTACAATCGGTGCAAGGCCATCGGTGAGACGAGGTCAAAACGTACTGTATTTATCCCAGATACTGGCCTCGATGAACTTCGTGGGGCGTATGGATCTTCCAGTCCGCGATCAATGAATTGCTTCCTGCGTACTATGCAGGCAGCTACCATGGCGAAGGTAGTACGGACCGCGCCCATACCACAGTTGAAAACCAGAGCGGTCTCAAGAGGGTCGGCCTGCTTGATAACACGAAGGTAGGCGTCCAGATAGTTGTTCTGCGAAGAGTTTAGCCAAAGTTATAATACGTCGGATGAACAAAGTGCTTGCCTCGATCTGACGCTCGGGAGAGATGGGAATTCTGTAGCATGGTTCCACTATGAGATGGGTTTCATGGAAACCACATCACCACGACATACCGATGGTACTGCAAATCATGTGTTGAGTGTATGCGTGTCACAAGGAGCGAATAGACATACCTCGACGTTCCAGCCCTCTTTCTTCATGTACTCCATGAGCTCGCGCTGTGTTCGAACATTGTTCTGGTCAACGGCAGTCCATGTCGGGAGGATGGCACCCTCGCCAGTGTCCGAAGCTGCATAACCTGTCAACTAGCGACGAATGTGCGCGACGAGACGCTCTCACCGACTTCGTTGTGCGTGAGCACAAGTCCGCCGAATCTGCTTACCGTTCTGATCAGCGTCCCTTCGAAGGAGCGAGACAAGACTTACTTGGCAGATTCCGCGAGAATGTCATTTTTCAGTCGCCTTTCGATGTCTTCTAGGTTTTCAGCGCGGTCCGACAATCTTAGCGATTGTCGCGGTTCTGACGCGTCGCGAAGGACAAACGGCCGTCCTGATATGTACACTGAGGCGGGTCAGGATGAGCACACGACCTTCGAACGCGTCAGTGACTTGACGCTGTGTCGACGCACCTATGGGCTCTTCACGAGTGCAGAACCACACAACGTGCGTTGGATTGGGGAGGTTCGGTCGACAGCGCAGCACCGACAGGATCGCACGCAGGCCCTGCGTGCGCGGCTGCGCGACACCATAGACGTTCAAACTGCCTTGCCTCGGTGCGCGGAAGTTGGGGGCGCCGTGCACGTTGATATCAAGATCCAGGGCGCGGCCTGTCCCCCGCACGTGCGCTCAGCACGCACTCCGCACACGAGCACTTCGATGAAAGCACACCTGAGGGATAGTGGTCCGTCTTGAGGATCACTCCGCGCGAGAGCACGCTGCCCTGGCGCGTCTTCACGATAGAGGGGCCCGACCGCTGCAGTTGCGGCATGATGTCGAGCGTGGGCGAGGGTGCGGGCGGGTCCACGAGGTCTGCGCCCTCGTTCCCGGGCACCGAGCTACTTAGCAGCCTTCGGCGCAGATCATCGTCGCCGACCGTAGGGCGACGCAGCGCGGCCGTGTGGGCCTCGGGAGCACTGTGCGGCGGGGCTGAAATGGGGCGGACGTTCATCGCCATGCGGGGGGATCGACGAGCAGCACGGACGAACAGGGCGACGAGTGGGCGAGAGGAGGGGGTAAAGGGAGAGCAAGAGAAGCGACGGCTTGCATGCTGGAAAGAGCGGCGCCGATTGTATGGCCCAGATGAGTGGTCCGGAGCGCGGGCGACGCGCACTGCGTCACCGCGCGTCCAATCGCGCGGCGCGTGTCCTACGCGTGTCTCTCGCGCGTCATGATCGGATTCTGCGTACGCTTCACTGTACTGGCAGGCCGGGCTCTCACCCATGCGCACGTTGCGCGTCGGGTCGAAGGGATGGAGATGCGTGCGTCAAGATGCAGAGATTCAGTCACAGTGATAGAAATACAGCTGAGGTGGACTACTGCTACGTCGCGTCTGCTGGAGTCTGTCCATAATGCAAGCCCATGGATACATACAGAGAACCCGTCGCAGAAAAGTGTCATGGAAAAGCTCATGCCCAGCTGTCGATGAGCGAGTCGCGCATCTCCCCGATGACCGCGGCGGAGTTTTGGCCCTGAAGCTCTGAAGGTTCGGGGCGTCAATCTCGGGGGATTTGGCTGAGGGACGTAAAGATACGCACTGAACGCAGCCTCGATGACGCTAATCTCTGTCGCCGTCGTATCCAAACCCGTAAACGCACACCAATCATTCACCACGAGGCCCGCGCCCAGCACGTCGGATCCGCGGTTGACGGTTCCAGCCTGTACGGGACGGTCACGTTATCAGCAGAGGCGTCACGGGAAGAAGTCTGAGGCAGCGTACCACGAGCGGAACTTGAAGAAGGGAACTCAGTTCATCTTGATCTTGTATGCTCGTCTTTGGATGGACGATACCGCCCTGATTCGAGATCACGGCGTAGCTTCCGACGAGCACATTGTCGGCGATCGTTTGTCGGAAAACCTCAACCTTGAGGACATCGGCGATGATCTCTTCCGTCTCCCGGTCGATATCGGGGTGGACGAGAGCAACGTAGTCATTGCACGCAATGACGTTGCCGAGTGCCGATAGCCTCTCCTCTACGCGCTGGATCGCGACGGCGTCAGGGAGTGAGTTCCGGAGGTGCTGAAGCTCCTGGTCGGTGGTGGTGGACGGCACTAGCAGCCCGTGGCGGTTTCCTAAGGGGAAAGTGAGGATGAAGGGGCAACGACAACGAAGCAAAGGCTGGAGACGCACCCGCTGTTAGTCGCCCGATAATCCGCGTGCCCCCGATACTCGTGTGCACGATCGGAACGACATCTCCAAGTTCGCTCTCGAACGCGGAATAGAAGTTTGTGCTGCCCTGAATCGCACAGAGGCAGTAGGTGTTTGTAAGCTTGGAGAAGACTCCGATATCGCTGCTGTTTTCGAACTGGATGCCTGCGATCCGAAGTTTTTAGGTGAGCGGTGGCTGATGAGCGCTCCGAAGACAAGACGCACGGGTCGCCATGGTAGGTGGGGGATTTCTTCGTGAACGGTCTTGAGAAAGGGTGTGGAGGCGGGGAGGTGAAGAGGGGGAGGTGAAGGGAGTGGCAGACGAGTGGTGAGAGGGTGGCTTACCTTGAGCGAAAAGTGAGCAACGGTTATATCTCTCCGGCCCGCGCGGGAGAGAGTGATTTGGCGCTAGAACAAGTCAACCTCGGACCCGCGAGGGAGTGCCACCAGCGAGCCCTTCCTCTTCCATCCCCGGCTCCGACGCAACACTCACTGCCCTTGACTCTCCGGCCGCCGTGCTGCTTCCTGGATACGAAAATTGCGACGACGCTGCGCTGACTCGATATGAGATTGCTCCGACACCACAGGCTCCCCGGTGCATTCCTTCCACACGGACGTGTGGCACCGAGGACGACCGCAACATACTGGCGGATGCAATCTACGAGTGCGACATTAGGGCACACAGAATTGTCTTCTGTTTCTGCAGGGGCAGCCACGGTGCTTGAAAAGCAGCTGGTGGAACGAATAAAGGTATGTTGTTCGTCATGTCATTTCCTCACGTACCCATCCTCCCTCCATTTGAACCCCGGTTTCATCGGATAAATGGAGTGCTCGTATCGCATAACGTCTGTAACCACCTCCCATCATGCATCATGGACTATATTCGCTCGCCCGTTCACGTTTTTTGAACCTGGGCGACACTATTCTACCATCTGTATGCATGTCCACTTCGCGCAATGCCATACTTTATCATATTCCTTGAGTTTGAGTGGGATGGCTTCATCGTTATCACGTCAAGGTGTACTAAAAGGTGGTTGAGACGACAGGTCCCATAACCTTCGCCGACTACATGCACACGTGCCTCTCACACCCGCAACTTGGGTACTACATGAACCCTGCACATCACGTCATTGGTTCAAAGGGGGACTTCATCACTAGTCCCGAAATCAGTCAAGTATTTGGCGAAGCGAGCTGAATTCCTTCACTGAGGGCAACATATCACTGATCATGGGACAGCTCCTGGCAGTATGGCTATTGTCGCAATGGTTGACTTCGGGAATGTCAAGAGAAGTCCGACTCGTGGAACTCGGTCCTGGTCGCGGAACGCTCATGCACGATGTACTACGAGTGAGTAGTTACCCCTTGCTACGAAATCGCATGTCCTAACGGTCGCACTTGTAGGTATTCTCACAATTCCCGCAGGCACGGAATGCAGTCAAAGACGTCCACCTTGTTGAGACGAGTCGGGCGATGCGCACCAAGCAAGAGTCGAAACTGACCAATATCACTCAGAAAAACGGATGGCGGCTGCATTGGCATGACGAGCTAATCGAGATCAAGCCCGATGCCAATAAATTCACACTTCTAGTCGCGCACGAGTTTTTCGACGCCCTCCCCTTTCGTTTGTTCCAGGTAAGTGGCCGGCTTATTGAGGTATATAAGCACTCACGCTCTATGTAACAGAAAAGCGAGCGTGATTGGCGCGAGGTGCTCATCGATGTAGGCCCTGACCCCTCGGAGCCCGTCATTTTGAGACCAGGTGACAACACCAGCAAGCCCACGTTGGATTTCTCTCCATTGACTCAGCAACCGCGGTTACGCCAAGTCGTATCGCATCCATTGCTCGAAGCTTCTGTATTGTGCAACTCTTCGACACGCTTTCCCAAATTACCGATTGGGTCGCGGATAGAAGTTTCACCTGCGTCTTTCAGCGTCGCACGTAGAATCGGAGAGCTCCTGCACGTAAACGGTCTTAATAGCGCTTGGGACAGTACTGCTGGAAGTGCACTCATCGTCGACTACGGCGATGACAAGGTTTACGGGAATTCCTTCCGTGTGAGTGGTTCGCGCGTTCACTGCCTCTTACTTTCTCCGTGCTTCCGCCGTGTCCTCGATTGCACCCCGTGTCTTCTGTTCCCCCAGTGAGGTCGGCTAGACTTTATCTCTTGCACACCAGGGGGACCATTTGTCAAGAGAGCTGTTAAACTTTGAGAAGGATTCTTCCAACAACATGTTCAATAGAAATATGGACTCCACGGCTTGTCGTTGCTGGATTGTGACACGTCATGATCAGCTAACTGACTTAACCTTGACGTTCTCGGGGCTTGTAGGCATTCAGAAATCATAAGCTCGCCGACGTCTTCCATCGCCCGGGTGAATGCGACTTGACCGTTAACGTCGACTTTGCGTATCTCAGAGAGGCCACCGAAGATCTCGGTACGTCTCTACCTTTTTTCCTCTCGGACGACCCGGTCCAGCATGGTGGCCTCCGTCATCTGACACACATCGACTTCTCCGGGACCCTTTGCCCACCCCTCCCTATCTTCGCGCGTCACGCATACTGAACTCCAACGTTCTTCTCCGTCCAGTGTCATCGCACGGCCCAATCACGCAATCGGCTTTCCTCGAGCGCATGGGTATCAAGCAGCGCGTCGCCGCCCTCGCGGCATCCACGCAAGACGACAAACGCCGGAACGACATCGAGAATGCCGCGAAGCGGCTCGTCGACCCGACGGGCATGGGCACCCAGTACAAGGTCATGGCTCTCACCGGGAAGCCGCTCGGGCGCATGGACGACGCAGAGCGGTGGCCGTTCCTCGACCTCGACCCCCCTGCGGCCTCGTCTGCGGCGGCGGCGGCGGCAAGCCAACCGCGCGGCGGAGGCGCAAGTGCGGCGACGGTGCGGCTGTAGAGCACGCTTGTCTTAGCTACATTGGTCGGCCCACCCGGCGTGCCCCCACTGCGCAATCTGACCTCGTCTCCGCTCTCTTGGTCCCACCTGCCCCCGTCCGCCCGCCCTCCGGCTCGCGGGCGAAGCACAGACGGAGCCGAGTCTTCGCAGGTCGTCGGGCCACTCACGCCCGCCCGGTATACCGTGGTCGGCCTCAAACCCTGCAAGGGTGATTGGTCGCAATCGAGAGGGCCCGAGTCGAATTCCATCTACGTGAACGCCGTGGCCAGGCGCGAAGCCCACCTCCTCCCCTGAAGGCTGAGCACCGAGCGGCGAGCGCAGCGCACACGAGCGCACGCTGGCGCTGCGCGTGCAGCCGCACGGCAATCGCACTGTGGGTCCGCGCCACAGGGCTGCGGGGTAGTGTGGGACGGAGCGCCCTTTACGCTTGCCCCTCGCCTTCTGGCCCGAGTGGGCCCAGGGTCTCTAAGCTTCTGGCCGCGCCGCTCGGACGAGCGGCCGTCTTCGTCTCCCGGGCGTCGTGGGCCGCTCGCAGTCGGATATCGCGCGCCGCACCCCTGGGCCCGTGGCGCCGGTGCATGCTCAAGTCCGGCCCAGGGCGTAGGCCCTCGTGGGGCCACCACAAAACACCGCACCAAATGTGGCGAGCCGCCTAACACTAGCGCGGCACCGGGCACCTATAAAGAACGCGTGGAGGCCCGCTCGAGATTAGCCTTCCGCTACCCTTCTTTGACCGACAGTTTCCAGCGCAATGGGGCTCCAGCAGGTCCAGAACGGCAACACAAGCATGAACTTGAAGACGATCCTCGTCATCGGTGCCACGGGTGCGCAGGGAATGGCCGTCGTCGACAAACTGCTTGCGCCGTGCGAGGACGGTCGACCGTCGCCGTACGCAGTGAGGGCGTTCACGCGAGACACCGGGAGCAAGCGTGCCAAGGAACTCGCTCAGCGCGGGGTTCAGTGCGTTGAAGGCGAGTGACTGAATATCTTGTTTCTGGGACTATCAGGTGTCTGATTCCGACCACGTTTGATATAGGGTCTTTCGACAATTTACCAAGCGTCGAGTGCGCGCTGCGAGACGTCTACGGCATGTGGGTCAACACGGACGGCTTCACGGTGGGCGAGGAGAAGGAGACCTGGGCCGGCATCCGCATATTTGAGCTGGCTAGGAAGGCGAAGTGCGTCAAGCATTATGTCTGGAGCAACCTAGATTATGCCTACCGGGTGAGCCTCACTGTTTTTGCTACCTATCCTGCCGGTGACCTCACCTCCCTCCCAGGCGGGAAATTACGACGAACAATACCGCTGCCAGCACTACGACGGAAAGGCACGGGTTGCGGACTGGATGCGCTCACAGCCCTCGGGCACGACACCAGACGACATGGCATGGAGCATAGTGACCTCGGGGCCCTACATGGACATGCTCTTCAACGTACGTCCAACCTCCCACTTCTCCTATTTTCTCCCGATCCTGACACACCGTCCGCCGCCGTCCAGCTCATGTTCGGCCCCCTCAAGACCCGCGCAGACGGCACCGCCGTCTTCGCCACGCCGATCGGGTGTGGGCACGTCCCGATGATCGCGCTCGCCGACCTCGCCTTCTTCGCGCGGCACACCTTCGACCACCGGGAGTCGACGTCCGGGCGCGAACTCCAGGTCGCGAGTGACGTCGTCGGCTGGGACGCGCTCGCCGCAACGTTCACGCGGGTAACCGGCCGGCGCGCCGAGGTCGTGCACCAGACCGTGGACGAGTGGTTCGCGAACTTCGAGGGCGTCGACGACCCGCTCGCCAACGAGCGCGGGAGCGACGGGGCAAACGGAGTCGAACTCGGAGACATGGCGGCGACGACGACGACGACGACGTGGGCGGAGAACTTCCGCGGCTGGTGGGCTCTCTGGCGGGACGACGTGATCACGCGGGACATGGGGTGGGTGCGGCGGGTGCACCCGCGCGCGCTCACGCTCGAGGCGTGGATGCGGGCGAACGCGTACGACGGCGGGCTGAGGCGGGCGCTGCTCAAGAACTCGGAGGACGGGAAGACGATTCGGCCGAAGTGGGACGTGATCGAGAAGCTGTAGGGCCATTAATATTACACTGTACATGCTGTGGCAGTCGCCGCCGGTCGTCCGCATCGGCGTGTTCCCCACGTGGGTGCGCGGACACACTTACCGACGCACTAAACCCGGACGAGCGACTTGGCGAGAAGGCTCTATGGAGTGAAGGCGAAGCTACGGGGACCGACGGCGCTCCTGCGTGCGCAGCCGGGGAGAGTGGGAGCGGGAGTCGCGCTTCCGAGTGCGGCCCAGGCCATGGCGTCCGCTGCGATCGTCGTCCCGAACGGCAGGCCTTTCTTGTCGTGGCGAGGGCTCCCTGCGGGTCCCTCTGGCATCCTTGCGTGATGCAGGTCCAGCGTCCGTGCCACCGCGTTTCAGCCCAAGGTTGTCCAGGGTCTGATGCTCGCCGGCCGGACCTTCCACGTGCTGCTGCGCGGCCTTGTCTTTGTTGCGCTTCCACATGAGCTTCTTGCAGCACCTCGTGCAGAGGACGACCTTGACGAGCGCGAACTTGCTCTCACCGCGCTCTTCGTACGCAAACGGGAGCTCGAGCGTCGTCAGCCCGGGGCGTACGTCATCCTCGTCCGGAGACTCCTTGTGCAGCGGACAACGGGTGTTGCCGCAAGACGTCTCTCCAGCGCCAGAGAGGACTTCTTCCTCTGTTCTCCATCTCAGAGCGAACTGCGCCATGGGCTTCAGTGTTCTGTATAGATCGGCGAGGCGAGGCGAGACGTACGTTGCCAGACTTGTAGTGCTTGAGGTCGCAGACGGCGTACTCCCGATAGAGCGACGAGTAGTATTTCTTGGCCATCCTGTCGTCCCACGACATCTTCCTTTCGTCCCCTTCGCCATCGTCTCTGAGGAACCTACAGAAATTTAATGAGTGTATGTCACGCATACGCGAGTGTGTGGGAATGTGTTGCATACTGATGGGAGTTCTTGAGGATCTCGAACTCCGTTGTGGCGGCCTGGACTTGCTTCGAAGAGCCGGCACTTTTCGACACATACGGAGTGTAAGACGTCAACTGTTCCATGACAATATGGTGTCCTGTGACAGTCCGGCAGTTCGAATTTCGTCGACCCGATGGCACAGATGGGAGTTCTTCTGCAACGCATGTGAGGCGTCTATTTGTCAGCGAGGGTTGGTATTCGGAGCGCAGCACATACTCCCACGGCGTTCTTGTTCTTCGAATCACAAGCGAGGACCACGACTCGGTCTCTTCATGGATGCACCACAACACAACGGTTGTGAGACCGAGCTTTCTTGGCAGATTCTCCATTCGCAGTCCGACAGGCGGTCGGCACAATCGCGAACGTCCATACCTCTCGGCCTCAGCAAGTCTCAGATCTCATGGGGGACTGCACGCAATCCTGCAGCCGTGCGGGCCCGACGGCGGCGTGGACGACGGAGAGGGTATATGATACACAAGGGCGCGCGCGCGCGCGCATTACTACCGGGCGGCGGATGGTATGCCCGCGTAGCGCAAGGACCGTATGATAAATACGGAGGCGAGGACGGCGAGCGTCCTCGGCCTCCTCCGGGGATAAAGAGTGTGGCTTGCTGTAAGAGCGGGTCGAGAGCACTGCGAGGGAGGAGAGGAGGGGGCGCGCAAGGCGCAGAGGGTACGATGTATGTATCTAACATGCAATGTAGGCTGTTGGGATAGTAAAGGAAAGGGGCTAGGATGGAGAGTGTACGGGAGAAGCAGTAGATGTGCGCAGATCGGGAGATAAACGAAGGGCGGAGAGAAAGAGCGAGCGGATGCAGGGCGTAGATACAGCACATGTGGGAGGGAACGGACTAAGACTCGTTGTATGCCGACAGTACCTAAAAGAGTCCTGGAGACGATCAACGAAGAAAAGACCCAGAGAGCAAATATCCAACATCCTTAATCACAGCAGGAACGCCATCTCGCTCAGCCGCCTGCTCTCCTCGTCTTCGATCGCGTGCGTGCCGGCGAGGATCGACCCGCGGCTGTGTATCGTAGGCTGGATACCCGCGCGGAGGCCCACGCCCGGCGTTCGCGCTGCTGCAGACGCGGTGAGGAACGTCGGCGACGGCGGTGGTTGCGTGCGCGCGCCGGCAGCAGCGGGGTCGAGCTTCGGCTTCGGTCGCGAGTTCTTCGAGTGCGTGAACGCACGGCGGAGGTTCATCATCGACGACGCCGTTCTCGTGTCACGGGGCAACTGCAGGTGAGAGAACAAACGTCAGCGCCAGAATCCCACCCAAGCCAAATCGACACTCACGTCGAGCGAGCTCTTCTTCCCGAACAAGCTGAACGACTTCCGCCCCTCCTCCTTCGCTGCGGCGGCCTCTGCCGTGTCTTGCCGCGGCGGGCGCGGCCGCACCGTCACGCGCCCCGAGCCAAACTCGCCCTCCGCGCCGCCCTCCTCCGACTCAGACGGCTCCGTCTCGCTGTACTCCTCTGGGATCGGACCAGGCCCGGGGGGCTTCATGGCCGGGATCCCAGGGCCGAGGGGCTCGCGTCGCGCGCGCGCGCCAGCGTCGTGTCCGTGGTCGGACGAGCGCGGGAGCGACGGCTCACGCGCGCCCGCCGCGTGGCACGATTGCGTCGTCGGGGTCTGCAGCGCGGAGTCCCCGCCCGTCGAGTCCACCGTGCGCGTGGGGGACAGCGCGGGGAGCGTCCCCGAGCGCGCGCGGCTCGACGTGCTCTCCTCGCTCGTGCTTTCCGCCAGGCGCGGGGGGCCGGCGAAGCGCGGGGACGGGGGCACCGCGAGCATGGGCGAGGACGGCGCGGTGCGGCGCCCGCGTACGGACAGCGGGGAAGACGGCGGGCGCGCAGTGTCATCGGCGGCGGGGTCCGCGGCGGGACGCGCGCGTGGGGAGGGCGGCGGCGGTTTGTCGCGCGAGGAGCGGTGGGGGGTGACGATGATCGGCGGCGGCTTCTCCTTCCGGGCGCGCAGCGTCCCTGCGGGTGACGGCGTCTGTCGCTGCGCGTCCGCGTCATCCGTAGGCGGGGCGAGGTGCGCTTCGGACGGCGGGGGTGTGGGCAGCGTCGACGCCGTGCTCAGCCAGCGGTCGACGCGGTCCGCGTCCTTTGACTCCTTGGTGTCCTTCGGGGGTACGGGGGGCGAGGCGGGTGGGGGCGGGAAGGGCGAGTTCGGCGCGGTGTGGAAGTCCTCGGAGCCACACCCGCTCTCGGTCGACTCGTCGCCGATCTCGCCAGCGCGCGCCGTTAGGCTCGTGGCCGCGACGAACGTCGCGCGCACGGGACTGCGGTCGCCGATGCGCCCGTCCTCACTCGCGCGCACGACCGCGTCGCCCGTGCTCGCGGGCCCGCGGAACGTCTGCTTCGCAAGCCACGCCTCGCGGATCTGGCGGGCCTCGCTCGCCCCGCCGTCCTCGAGCTCCGCCGAGGAGCGCGGGACGACGACGGCGACGCGCCGGTCGAGCTCCTTCTCCTGCTCGCTGAGCGACTTCATCAGCCCGTCCGGGGTCTTGAACGCGGCGGGCGCGACGGCGGGCTTGAGGCCCATGGCGCGCAGCGCGGCCTGGCGGTGCTCGGTTGACGTGAAGTCGTTGTTGATGGCGGCGACGGGGGCGGGACCCTTGGGCATCCGGAGCGTGGGCTTACGCGAACGCTCGGGGCTGACGCTGGGGTCTTTTCGGGCATTTGAAGGACGGATTTTGGAGGTGATCCGCCGGAAGAGGCCTCGGTTAGCTTCCGGCTCGGGTTTGGGGACGGGAGGGGGAGGGGGTAGCGTAGCACTGTCGGCGCGCGATGAGAGGCTGTCGCGGAGAACGGACGGGCAGGACGCACCTGTGTTTCGGAGGACGTCGCGCAGGCGTCTGCGGGGGCACTTTGGAGTTGGACGCGTGGGGCTGCGCGGAGGGTGCTTGAGGACGTGTCATCGGTCTGCTCACGACGTAGTTCAGCGTCGAGGCTCTTCTCCATCACCGTCGAAAGGCTCGCGGGACTGGCGAAAGTCAAAGAGGAGTGCTCACCGTGGTGCGGACACGCGTGGAGACGGCGGCTGGGCGAGGGTGTCAGCCATGTCGACTGGGCGGTGGCGGTGATCAAAGGTGGGCCGGCTGCGGGGACGCGGTCAGCGTGCTGTTCATATGTGTGGGTGAACGCGCGGAGAGGGAGGACGGAGGAGACAGGAGGATGACGCAGGGGGCGGAAATGAGGGCACGGAGGGCAACGGGGAGGGGGCTCGCGGGGTGCGAGGTGGACGAGGACGTGGGAGGAGGAAGAAAGAGAAAGAGAGCGATGATCTGACTCGCGGGGTCATCAGGCTAGCGGGGCTGGGAGAAGGGAGAAGCAGTAAGGCAACAACAAGGACCCCGGGAGGGAGATCTCAGTTACGCGCAGGCGCGCGCCGGAGCGATGCGCGCGGCGTGAGCCCGGACGCGGGGATTCGGGGAAACGCCCGCGGGCGATGTGGGAATTGGACTGACCAAGGCGAGGCCGACTGGGGTTTGATCCCGTCGCCAAACGACTCCTCCGAGTCGGTGTCGAACGCGAGCCGGAGCTCAGGTGCGTCCGCGCGGAGCACCGAGCGGCGGACGCTCTGCCGCCGGCTGTTTGCTGCCTGCGCGGGGCTCTTCTTGTTCATCCCGACCGCGAAGAACCCGCGGCGGGGCTTCGTCGACTTGGACCGGGTCGACATGGGATGCGGGGGTGGGGGCGGGGTGGTCGCGTGCGGTGCACCGAGAAAGCGAGCCCGCCAGGGGAGCGATGGTGCCTTTTAGAGCGAGAGCAGCGACGGTCAGGTGGTGCGTGGGACGGAACCCGAAACGTAAAGATGCGGGTACGCGCGGTCGAGCGGAGGTGTCGAGAGGCGTCGGGTGCGCGGGTGCAGGGAAGGCGCGTGGCCGCGGAGAAAGCAGAGCAAAACGGCAGCGAGCAAGCAAACACAGAGCGAGGGATGGCTGAGACGCGATCGTCCCGCCTGGATTTGAGGCCGAGCGCGGGCGCCGACCACCTGCCCCGCCTCCTCGATCGACGCCCGAGCCCCGTGTGGGGTACCGCCAGCCCCGCGCCAGCCTCCCCCGCCGCCAAAGGCAGCCACCGACGTCGTCCCCCGCACCCTGCGCACACCTGCGCGTCCCCGCTGTCAAACCAATCGAGTGGCTGCCCGTTCGCGGCATGCATTCGCGCCCCCGCACATGAATAGCGCAGGGAATTTCCTTTGCCGCGCTTCCCATCAGGTCAGAGGTCATCCGTGGACGTCTGGACATGGATCGGTCCCGGAACTGCTGCAATTCCGTGCGCGCGAGCCGCACACCATCGCTCTCAAAGCCGCGAGAGGTGCGCTCATTCCAACCAAGTTGCATGCATGTCAACCACGATCGTTGCCTATTAGACCCAGACGCACAGTCTATGCTGATGGTCACCAGAGTAAAGCAAGTAGCTCATGATCAAACTTACATCTTCCGATTTCTGAACAGCCGTTGCGCAGCATCAGCGTTGGCATCACGCATAGCTCGCCCAACACTCATAAAACAAACATACACTTTAGTCTCGGAGGCCAGCTGTACCTGCCTCTCTGCATCCGTCTCCGCCGTCCGGGTGTGGGACCTGGGTATTGCATCTCCACCTTTGGAACGCTCTTCGTGGGCGGTGCCGGTACGTTCCTGGCTCCTAAGCCTAACGCCGACCCGTACCTGACCTCCTGCTCCACCTCAATTCTCTAGAAGCCTAGCCCGCTCGGCGGTGGAACAGCGGTCGTCGTCTAGGAAGACCCAGCCCCGCCGCTCCAACGACCGTGTTTGCCGTTAGAGAGAGAGAGAGAGAGAGAGTACACAGCTCGCGGGCGTTCTCGCGGGCGGCGTGGTTAAGTTCTTACGGGCAGTCTCGACCGATGCGGCAATCCTCTTTCCGTCTTCCAGCATAAGGATCAGTATCACGTGCCCATAGCCGAGACCTCGTACAAGACCCCGAGCGCACCTCCGTCCGAAATGGTTTGTTGTGCACGCGTGCGCTGCGGGCGTTCTACTGCACACGTGGATGCCATCTTGACGTCCCGCGGGTGGGCCGGAGCCGGTGATTGCAACCCGTTCATCCTGCCAAACCCCGACTTCCATCCCTGCCACCCGCCAGCACCATTACCCAGGCCTATGCCAGACTGCGGAGGAACCGCGGAGCGCACGAAGTTTTGCTCACCAGTGGAGGTTGATAGCATTCAACAAGGTTTTTTTTCTCCGCCTACGCCGCACGCACTAACTGCGCTCCTCTGCATCAGGTGCAAGTGCCACGCCAACGCCAAGGCCTTCGACCTGACATCCTGGCAATAGTGCAGTCGACGCCTCCCTCATAGTACTTGTATTGCATACCCCCCACACACTGCATACCGTACCATTCCGAATTATTCGAACGTCATGTGTCACAAACCCTCCAAAAGTTCGAAATTTCCGGGGTCAGCCATGCATCACAATTGAAGCCCGTAGTTAGAGACGGTTGTGTTGGCGCTTAGCGACATGCACACTTGTTTCGTGTGTCCACAGCACTAGTTTCGGCCTTAGGCATGTTCTATGCTAATTCGTGACACAGCTAAGTGCTCTGTGTCTCAGCTAACGGTACGCACAGCTCGTTTGAAACCTTCTGGCAGTTCGAATATTCCAGGGCGGTCGCACCGGGCCGGCCCCCAGGTTGAATTCACCTGGCGTATTTGGGCTGTCACGCATTTGCAAGGCCTGCTTCGAATAGATCGAAATGGTACAGTACTTCGAGCTTCTTCTCGAGTTGGTACAGGGTGCATAACGCATAACCCCCACATACTGCATAGTGCATAACTGGGTCCATAACGCATACTTGTGCCTTCGCACCCGAGTTGTATGCCATGCATACCCCTAAATGCGGCATAATATCCCGTCTTTTTGGCGCAACACGAGATCCCAAGCGGAAAGAGTCGCCCGCCGCACCAATAGTCAAAACAATATAAGGTAGAACAAGTAGTACTCGCATGTACAGTACATGTACGCGCACACACACAACGCCCGACGTAGGCCCGCCCGACCAACACCAACACCCGCAACGACCGCCTACACCAGCCCCCTCCCTGCCATGTTCACAGTGTCGAGCACCGCCCGCACAAGCTCCGCCCACACCCTCGCCGCGACCCCGCCCCCCGCCCCGTCCGTCCCGCGCAACCGCCGCCGGACCGCATCCACCGCGCTCCCCGCACCCGCGGCCGTGCGCGCCTGCCTCCGGCGGAGGCGCACGAGGAACGACGCGACGGGGAGGACGACGAAGACAACGACGTAGAAGAGCACCTGCGCGCGCGACGTGCCCCGCGCGAGCGACCCGAGCGCCGCGCGCACGAGCGCGAGCGTCGACGGCGGACGCGCGCTCGCGGGCGACGCCGACGCCTCCCCCACGCTGCCTCGCGACGGCGTGCGCGGGACGAGCGCGGCGGACATCCCCGACCCCGACGCGGGCGTGGACGAGCGCGAGCGCGCGCCCGCGCGGGTGGAGGACGACGGGGAGCGCTGCGCGTAGGCGTGCCCGTTCGCGTGGGCGCTGCCGTTCGCGGCGCCGTTCGGGTGCGCGGTCCCGTTCGGTTTCGCGCGGCGCGGCGTACGCAAGGGGGTGATCGTGCGTGAGGTCGCGGTGCTCGCGATGCTCGCGGAAGATGCCGAGTGTGGGTCCGCGCGGGGCGTGGGTGACTGGGAGTGCGAGCCCGAGGGAGTCAGCGGCGTTAGCGCAGGGGGGCCGCGCTGCGATTGGAGCGGGATCGCGGTGTGGGTGGACGAAGAGGACTGCGAGGAATCGTCGGAGACTGCGGGTGAGGGAGTGCGGGAAGGGGTGGAGGAACCAGAGGATGAGGAGGCGAGTGAGGGGCTGGAAGGGAGGGCGGTCTGAACGTGCTCGGCGGAGGCGGCTTCGGTGCAGAGTTGGCGGAGAGACTGCTCGAGTTGCTGTGGTCGCGGGGACCGGTCAACCTCGACGGCAGATGGGTTCAGCAAGGAATACACGCACGTAACGGACTTGGTGAGGCAGCTCGCTTTCATATGCCAAGAAGTCTTCGGCATAGTCCCAGTCTTGCAGGCGCGGGAGGACGTGCAAACAGTAGAGCTCAAGAACTTTGGCATACCCCGTTGGATCTTCCATGTCCGGTTCCTGCCCATGCCTCGCCAGCCATTCCTCGATCATCCTCCGGCCTACTTCCGCGCTGTCGAGCTTGAGGCTGGCGAGGACAAGGGTTACTAGGATCTGCGCGGGCAAGAACGCGGAGGATGGTTTTTGTGGATGGTCGCTGGGTGTGAACAGTTGCAGCGACCGGGTATGAAGTGAGGTGATGAGCGGTTCGGGGGATAGAATGAGGTTGGCTCTGAGGGCAGAAGGTAGGCTGTCTTGAGTCGAGGGTGGGGACGCATAGAGCGTGGTCTCGAACGTCAGTCTGAGGATGTCCCATTTTCTCCTGTGCGACGCAAGGGAGTCGTTGATGCAGCTTCTACTTGCAGGTGGGTTGATGAGAGAGAGACCCGAGGACAGGAGCGAGTCCGTTAGAATGACATCGCGTTGTAGAAACGCACGAGCAGCGCGGGGATAAAGCGAGCGGAGGGTGGCAACGGTGGACGAAGACGGGGCGGAAGAGGGCTCTGGAGAGCCCTTGAGAGATATGGATGAGGCGGCCGTGGTAGTGGTAGTGACTGCGGTAGGCATGGATTGAACACCGCCCAGAGAGGAGATGAAGGTGTGAGTAGGGAAAGCAGCGCAGGACGACGAGGTGCGGGGACAGGCGGGGCGGCACCAGCATGCAGCCGGAGCCGCTGGATGCGGCGCCTATCCCGCCTGGCACCTGAATATTCAATGCGGCATTTCCCGCGCTCTTGGCTGTTTCACGACGACCACCGCAGACCTCGTCTCGCAGACTAGGCGATTTAAACCTGGTCACAGTGGTCGGTCAGTATGTTATCAGCATTAGTGAAGGTATCCTCCTGACCTCGCACACTGTCTTCCTTTTCAGGCACGCTCACTTGAGCCGCTGACTGCATGCAAGCGCACGGAAGTTGCCGTTGGCCGCCTGCGAGGAAGACATCAAGAAGACATATGACCCCGCCGTATCTGCTCACGACTGCCCAGAGCTCATGGCGGTTATATAAGCCTCCCCCAGGCATGTATCTGAGTCTATCTGCACCTCCCATCGAGCATACACAAACTTGGGCGCACACGGCTACAGGATGAAGCTAGCAATAACCGGATGCAACGGCGACGTTGGCAGGCCCGTTGTCCTCGCCGCACTCTCTCAAGGCCACACCGTCGTCGGCATCGACGCCACAGTCCCTCCGGAAACCCTTGCGGCCCTCCTTCGAACCCGCACCGCCGACTTCGCGTTTCACCAGGCCGACCTCGTGGATTACAATCTCGCCCTGAGCCTCCTGACTGGGTGCGACGCCGTCATCCATCTCGCCGCGATGCGGACCCCGGCGGACTACGCCGTGGTGGCGCACAACACGTGAGTGGCCGTCCGCCCGTCTAGACTCCGCGCTGACCATCTCTGCTATCGTAATTTGGCCACCGGGCGCGCACAGGAACGTCGTCCTGTCGTGGAACGTCCTGCGCGCTGCGGCCGAGGTCTGTCGATCGTGCTTCGCGGACCTCGTCCAGGGCCGTTAACTGGGATTGACCGGGCGCCGGTTCGCAGCTCGGCATCAACCGCGTCGCGCAAGCCTCGTCCGTGAACGTCATCCCGCTCGTCTGGACGGAGAGGAAAGACTTCGAGTATTTCCCGCTCGACGAGGACCATCCCTGCCGGCCCGACGAGCCGTATGGGCTTTCGAAGGTGTAAGTCGAAGCACGTCTAGTCCCTTCCACGTGAAGTCGTGCTGACGACGTCCTTCCCAGCATATGCGAGCTCCAGGCGGAGACGATAGTCCGCCGGTACCCTTCTATGCGCGTCGCGAGCCTCCGCCTCAGCTGGTCCCTGCCCTCCCGGGCGGACGCCATGCGTGACGACTCAGAGCGGCGCAAGAACGACCTGTGGGGTTACGTCCAGCAAGACTCAGGCGCCGAGGCCTTTCTCCTCGCCGTCACGGGCGAAGACTCGCGGTGGTCCGGCCACGAGGCGTTCTTCATCACCGCGCCCGACACCGCGAACGACCTGCCTTCGATGGAGCTGTGGGAGCGGCATTGGCGGGAGGTGCCCATCAAGCAGGGGAAGGACTTGAGTGGGAACAAGGGGTTCTTCGACTGCTCCAAGGCGGAGCGCATGCTGGGGTGGGTCCATCGGAACCCATAGGAGAGGTACCACAAAACCATGCATTTTCGAGAGCCGTCACGACGTTCCGTCCGGACATCCGGAAGGGATTGGCAGAACGAACGCGTCTCCTTTCTCCTGTCGATGTCCTTTCCCGAACATATCCACAACCGCCGTCGACCCCCCCGCCCCCGACCCCATCGCGGTCGTGTCCGTACCGGTGTCCGTGCCGACCGTGCTCCTCTGCTGCGCAGCGAAGCGCATCGTCGTCCCGTGCCGGTTCGTAGTGTAGTAGCTGTCGTCGTGACGCCGCTGGCCTACGCGGAGGATGACGATCGAGAAGATGATCCCGGTGAGCGGAACGGCCTGTCGTGAAGCACTCGCGCATCAGAGACCCCGCGCGCACGCGGTGCACGCACCGACCACGAAAGCTAGCACGACCGGGGACTAGCTTACCATCTCAGACATGAGCTCGAGGCTCTGCGAGCCGAACGCGAGCGTCATCACGTACGCGAACAGGTAGGCGGCGTTGATGAGCCCGCTCTCGAGGACGATGCGCACGACGGGCGTGAGCGCGGACTGCTGCCCCCCAAAGGGGCCCTCGAGCTCCGCCGTCTGCGAGCCGCTGAGCACGTTGTTCATCTCGCGGTCCACCCACCAGATGCGGAATGCCAAGAGCGCTGCAGGGGTGAGGCCGAGGCCGAGCAGTCAGCGTCGAGCAGGTGCAGGAGCGTCACGCGGCCCACAGGTAGCGAGAGCGTTCGCGATGAGGCTCAGCGAGAAGAAGGCTTTGAGCAGCCTCGCCTCTGCGAGCACGGTCTGGTCGGGGAGTGTGTTGTAGGCCCACATCGCGTACGCGCCGATGGCTGGAAGAAGGTTGGCCTCAGCATTGTTCTGCCTCCGTGTGGACGAAGGGATGCCGATCAGTACTACACCCACCTGCGCTCGAGAGGGAGAGAGTAACAGGTAAAATCACGACCCAGAGGCTCTTTCCCCACACGACCCAGCATCTGTAGTTCTGCGCTTCTGTCAGCTGCGTACTAGGGTTGATAGGGCCCACAAACATAACCCACCACGAAAGAGTCTCCAACGAGCAACACGGCGATCAGGATGGTGTGCTTGGTCCTGAAGAGGGGCGCGGTGACGTCCTCGAGGTATCCAAGCCGCGCCGGGCGCGGGTCGTGGTGGATGAACGCGACGAACACGTTCGCGGTGTCGACGGCGAAGCGTGCCGTCGCGAGCACGATGAGCAGCACGCCGGCTACTACCATCGGCCAGCTGAGCTGCGACTTGTAACGAGCGCGCCGGCGGACGAGGTCGTACCCGCACACACAGAACAAGCAGACAAAGACTCCTGTGAATGACTCATGAATATACGCTTGGAGTATGCGCGTAGGAATGAAACATGCCGTAGAGTCCACCTTCGGCGGCGAGCCCGGCAAGCTCTGCGCTGTCGATGAGAAGAGGCATGCTGAAGACTGGAGAATCCGGCGGTGGACTCTTGGGAACTGAAAGTGGACCGGAAGGGACGGTGCAGTATTAAATGGTCGTCGCCGGTAATGATGAACAATGAAGTCCGAAGCTCCTGCGGAGTGCGTTATGACATGGTGGACACCTGTCTTCATGTGTATTCATAGCATGAGAACGACGTACTGGTTGTGGAAACAGTGTGGCCTGGAGATGCACGCTGGCGCTTCGCTCGTTGCACGACAGTTGACAACCTGCCATCTGAATACATTTTGGGATGCGATGATGATGTTTCTTGGATGTTTCGTCAATAAGTCAATGAGACACATCACGAAGCGCCATTGCATTAGACTTGCGATTCTCGTCCTATCTTACACCCCCATGTGCCCATCCGCCGGTTCGAGCACGGCACCCTTGTTCCAGATCATATGCGGATCATACTTCGCCTTGACCGCTCTCAGGCGGGGCAGATGTTCGCCGAAGATGTCCTCCGTCTTTTCATCTCCCTGACAGAGGTTCACAGCCCAGCCCAAGTCGCGACCACTCAGCTCCGTGTTCTTCTCGCGAACCAGGCTGACGATGGAGGCCACAAACTCTCTGCAAGCCCCGACGGAGTCGTCGGTGGTGGACCTGACGTGATGAATATGTTTCAGCCTCTTTTCGGGCCCGGCATTTGTTTCCCAATGGACCCACCTTCCTTGTACCGCCACCCAGTAGTGCGGCACGCGCAGCTTGAACGCCGTGTCGGCGAAGGGGACTTGCGCGATGGCTGTCGGAGACGTGACGTTCCATATCACCGTCGACTGCCGCACCTCCTCGCTGCGCTCCGTGAACGCGACCCAGGCGTCCCACACGGCGAGGACGAGCTCAGGGTAGAAGTCGGAGAAGCACGCGCCCCGGATGACAAGGCGCCTGGGGGCCTGCGCGAGTGCGGCGTCGGCGGAGTGCGACAGCGCCAGCATGTCGGACGCGGTGGACAATTTGTCTACCACCGGCTTGACGACGGAGCGGAAGGGCTCCAGAGAGGCGCGGGCGAGCGACCCGTGTTCGTCGCGGAGGATGCATGGCATGATTAATACGGATGGCTGAGAGGGGCGGTGTGAGCGGCGGGTTTCTGCGGCACGAATATCGGGCTTCTACCTTGAAGTGGGGAGCCGGGCGGGAGAAGTTGAGCGTCAAGCGCTCAGACGGTTCACGAGCCGCCTTCCATTCCTACCGCGATGCGAATGAATCACCTGAAACGGACCCCGAGAGAAGAGACTGACGTACGTTGATGATGCTGATGACCTTCCCCAGCTCGGCTCCAGGATACGCCAGAATACCAGAAGAGATTGGACCCGCGGCAGGGTAAGTTTTGAACAGGAATTCAACAACGACCCCGAACTGTCCCCCGCCCCCTAGCAACAAAGGCTGATCAGGACATGTGCACGACGAAGGAGAAGGAGGGAATACCTCTGATGGCCCAGAAGAGATCCGCTTCCTCTCTCGCGCTGGCCTTCACAATGCGGCCGTCGGCGAGGACGACAGTTGCGCTGAGGAGATTATCAACCGCCAGACCACGTTCGCCGCTGAGAGGCCCGTAGCCGCCGCCGACAGTGAAGCCGCCGACGCCGATGAACCAAAAGGGCGATCCCACAACGTCAACGCCGGCCTGAGAGGTCACAGCGTAGACATCGCCCCAGATTGCGCCCCCTTGAACGGAGATGGTCTGTTTGTCGTCCGAGAGGGAAACTTTATTGAGCTTGGAGAGATCTATGACGATGCCACCGTCTGAGCTCGACCAAGTGGCGGTGTGTGCTCCGCCGCCCTTGACAGCGAGCTGGATAGGAGGTGTTTGCGAAGCGGCGTACGCGAGAACAGGAGGGATGTCGGTATATGCGGTCGGTTGGACGACATATCTGGCCGGGAGTTCTGCGAGCGGCGAGTTGCGCTTGAGTGCTGCGCTGAAGGCGTCGCCCGAGGCCACGCTGAGCACGGTGCCTTGGATGTCCAAGTTTTGCATGTCTGACACTGGGGGTGGGGGCCTCCTTCCGGGTGGGGAGACTGCAAGACGGTGAGAAGCACCTGGGGCGTGGCCAGTACGCGGGTACGTGGGCGCGTGACTGATCGGGGAGACTTCTGCAAAAAAAGCTCGAGCACCGTCCAACGGAAGACATCGAACAACAAACCTTATGCCATCCACGGGTGGCAACGGCGCGCCGACGGTGTCCGCGCTCATGCGCACATGGGTTCCCGTTTTCCTTTGCTCGCATCGTAGCCACGTCCCCTGACCGAGACCGACAGGAGGGTGTTGGATGCATATGACCGGTGTTCCCGCGCCACGAGGTGATCTCTCCATATGAAGCTGCCATTCCCCTCGCTCGTTCATCAACACCCAGCGTGCACCGCGCCCCCTATCGAAAATCCGGGAGTCACCTAACGAAACCTAGAGTGACCGCCGCAACCCATGCGCCTGCTTGATCAGGTCCGCTGCGCGCTCTGCGATTGCGTACACGGGAGCCTGAAGGTGAGAACCAAAGATATGAGGCTGTGGGTATGTCAGCACCGGCACCAGAACTGCCGTCTCAGACGAGAGCTTAACTACGCACAAAGACAGATGCGTCCACAATTCTCAGCCCCGCCGCGCCCTTGACACAAAGATCCGGTCCAACCACACCGCTGGCGTCATCTGCTGCGCCCATGCGCGCGGTCCCCACGGGGTGTCGGAAAGTCGTCGCCATCCGCTTGACGTATTCGCGTGCACCCTCTTCTGTCGTCGTGTTCGCAGTGTCGGGGAAAGGCGCGATGATGAAGTCCTTCCATGCCGGCGCACTCGTGAACCGGTGCGCGGCCATCACCGCCTCCGTGAGGATCGCGAGGTCTTCCGGAGCCTGGAGGAATGCGGGGTCGATGAGTGGAGCGTCGAATGCCGACGATGAGGCCAGGCTGACGCTCCCCTCTGCATTGACATCAGCTCCACATCCTTGGGAATATCACGCGTGGGACGCACTCGAGGTAGGCGCCACAAGCGCTGCGGCCATGCTCATGAATCCTCCTGCATCTGGCGTGGGCTGGGTGAACGAGAGGAACGAATTCTAACAAATCTGGCTCAGTGGGCGGTTCGGGTAGCCGGCAGAGTGTTCACATACCGAAACCGTGAGCTCGTAATGCGGGGACAACGGTCCGGAAGAGGGATCGCCGTACTGGCGCAGGACGGAAGAATTCTCAGGCAAGCGAAACCAGCCAATGTGGTTGCCTCCGGGATTATTTGCCAGTGGACCCCGTTTTGTCGCGTCGTACGCAGAGAGGGCCGCATCGCGAAGCGTTGCGTTTCTGTTGAACGGATCGAGCGTCACATTTGTGTTGATCTGCCATTGCAGTGGAACCCAGGGGTGGTCCTGGAGATTCTTTCCGACGTCGGGCAAATCAAGCACCAGGGGGATGCCGTGCGCAGCAAGCTCTTCGCGATCACCGATCCCAGACAGCTTGAGAATTTGCGGGGTGCCGACGGATCCTACAAGGGATGAGCGGTTGGTCATGGTGCAATTTTGGGCCGGGTCGTACCTGCTGATAGAACAAGTTCTTTCGTTGCAGTCACGATAACACGCTCTCCTGTCGAGACGTCAGTTCGAGAGGAAGGTCGAGGCCATCGGTTGTCTTACCTGACGGACTTTGTGCGAGCTCAACATCCCGGAAGGTGGGCTTCGAGTTGCTTCGAACCGACGAGATGAGACGGGTCACCCGAGTGCCAATAAGAACATCGAGATTCTTCCGGTCAAGTGTGTTGGCGTCCAAGAAAGCCGTGGCGGAGCTGGTACGGACGCCGTGTCCTATCGTGGATTGCAGCCAACCTGGACCTTGTCGTGAGCAAGATAACCAAAGGATTGGTATGGTATGGTTTTAGGACCCACCAAGGCCGAGTGGATTGCCCGAGTTCATGTCCAGATTGAAAGGGAACTCGGCAAGTTCACTCGTGGTCATGATCACACGACCATCCAATATCGTTGAGTTGCCGGGCAGGCTTGTCAACACCGGCCCGTGAAAGCCATGAAGGGTGGCGTTGACTTGTGAGCGCGTATCATGCCCGTCAACGGGTGGCGAAAGCGTCTCGCTCTGTTGTCGAAGTAAGACCATTTGACAAACTTAAATTCGGAACGAGCTCTGCTCACTTTTATCATATAGGGCAGCATGTGCTTCCATGACCAGCCCTCGTCCCCTGTAATGTTTGCAACACGGTCGTACTCGTCGGAAGATCCTCTCGTATACAGCATGAAATCTGGTGTCCAAATAGTAATGAGCGCACGACCTTCGATGTACGCAAGCCCACACCCACTGATCGAACTGCTTCCACCTAGAACATGTCCGCGAGGGTAGTCTAGTGACCGATTTTGAAGTGAGGGTTGAGCCACAGTAGAATAGTTCCAGTTGAAAGATGCATCAATCGACGAGACGAGGAAAGGAACCTGAATATCGTCCACATCAGGGCCGTCGACGTTGCTGTAAGGGCTTCAGGATACTGGTTGTCAGAAGGTGTGTAATGAAAACCTCACCTTCTCCCCGCTTCGACAAGTAGCACGCGAACATTTGGATCCTCAGTCAGCCGATGGGCAATCACAGAACCAGCAGTTCCACCTAACGCAGGTTGTGAGTTCAGAACCACACAATAATATGAGAGACTCACCGCCGATGATGACGAAGTCATATTTCCGGTTCGCGGCGTGATGATGGTTGGTGAGGATAGCACTTATGGCGAGTGTCGTGGACCATAGCAGCGGGATTGCTGCCAGGATAGAACTTGCTATGAACATGATGGGATCGTGATGGCATACGGCCTTCGCGGAGAGCGGTGTCGAGGAGCTTATATACAACCATGATATTAATATGGGTGACTATATGTCAGAAGAAATGAATGGACACACCTCGCTCCCCCATGGACTCTGGGAACCTTGCACAGGCTGTCGAAGAGAAGTTCGGTACGAGCGCTCTTGCGTATGGTGTTTCCGGTGTTGGGCAGTCCACCTCCGGTAGACAGCGTGGGATGAGCATCAAGGTTGACCGTCTAAAGTTCATTTCTTGAGAGCTCCGACGATGACCAAAACCGTGGATTTTAGTGGTTTCTGCAGCAAGCATACTATCACCCCTTTGATCTTGCTCCGTGCACTCTGAATGGTTTCGTGTGCGGTGGGGGTCCGAGGATATCGCACTCGTCACGTTGACCGATATCTTCATTCCAGGCGCACGAACTGGACACGGTATTGTTACTGGAAGCCGAGCACTCGTCCCTCCTATCCCACTTGCCGTTCGTGAGGCCGGGACTGGAGTGTGCTGAAATGATCAGACTGGTGTCAAGATGGGTGGAGGAATGTTTGGAGCTATTCCGAGAGATGAGATCGGCAGCGATTTCTATACAACAAACATTACTCACATATTCCTCATAATGATGTAGAACTTCTCGAAGCTGTTTGCGCGATATTTCTGCCCTGTACAAGATCTCGTCGTCGGAACATTTGCCATCAAAGTACTGGTGTATCCTGGTAGCCGCATCAGCCTCGGATACCTGACAAGATCTGAGATGGGCCACTTACCGCTCGAACCGCCTGACGATCTGCGCGTCTTTGCCCTCAGACATCCCCGCCAACCACCGTCGCTCCAACGGCGTCGCGCGCGCAGGATCGCTGATCATGGACGCGATGTTGTCGTTGCCCCCGTTGTTGTAGTACTCGTCCCACTTGACTTCGTCCGCGCTGCTCGACCCCACCTCCTCGTCGACCGCATCCTCCCGTCGCCGTCTCCGCCGCTTCTCCACATCGCGCTCGCGCTTTTCCTCATCCGCTCGGTCCCTAGCTTTTGTCCCCGCGCTGTCCCCAGGCTGCTGCCGCGCCTGTTTGCGCGCCGTCTTTGGCGAGAGCGACACCCAGTACTCGACCGGGCTGCTCTCCGTCACCGTCTCCAGCGCAAAGTTCGCCTTCTCGTCGTCGTCTCCTTCCCCGTCCATGTCCTCGACGATGTCGTCCCGCCCACCGCGGCTCCCGCGAGTGATGCTGCGCGCGCGCGACCGCGACCGCCGGCGCATGACCTGCTCCTCCCACTGCTTGCGGACGTGCTTCTTGAGCGGCTCGGTGGCGATGATGCGGATGCGGAGGTGGAGGCGGATGAGCAGGTCGCGCTTGAGCATCCAGAGCACGACGTCGGTGTAGAGCGGGATCAGGTCCTTCGCGCCGACGACGGTCGCGTAGAAGTGGTTCGCGGACTGCTTGTGCGTCGCGGTGGAGATCATCGCGAGCAGCTTGGGGAGGGGAGGGACGTCGGTGTGGGCGAAGGTGCGCTCGAACTCGGCGGACAGGACGGCGAGACTGGGAGAGACATTGAATGAGGAATGGGGGCAAGTGGTTTGAGTGGAGGAATACTCACGGGGACGGGAATGTCTGGGGGACAGAGAATACCGTTTTGAGGCTCCCGTGTACGACGTCCACGATCTTAGCTCGTCGATGGAGGACGAGCCATCGGACGGCTGGGTAGACTTGCGATTCAAGATGCCAGTCGAGCAGGCTCGCCATTTCGGCCAAGCTGAGCATCACTGAGGCGAAATCGAGAAATTTGAGGAGTTGCTCTGCCAGCTCTCGTTCCTCCGGATTGAGCTGAGCGGAGCGCAGTTGCATATATAGTTGGTAGCCATCCTCGTCGTCTAAGCGGAGAAGTGCCTTCCAAGGTGTTAGAGCCGGGAGTCTCCAAGCAAAGCTCATGGTAGGACCCCATGCGTTGGGTTCGCCGTCTGGGTCCTCGTAGTCGTATTCTGGGGTGATCTCTTCGTCGGCGTGGAGGAGGGAGTCCAGGTAAGGCGGTAGTTGAAGCTCCAGAGGTAGGTCGTTGAGGGAGATACGGGCAATGGTGTTGTCCTTGATAGATTCAAACAAAGTCTTCATCGCAGGGGCGATTGTAGAGCATTTGAAAGCCTCATACATGAAGTCCGCATATGACTCGCCTGAGGAGATGTTAGCGGGGTATGCATATATTCACAAACACACGCACCTCTGTTCGCGTAGTCTTCCTTCAATGCGCTCAGTCGTTCGGACTCCTCCTCCACATAGTGGTTGAGCACCTGTTCTTGGTACAACACCGCGGTCACGTTGAAAGCAATCTGTTCGTAGATCGTGTCGAAGTATCGCGCGATGTTCCCCGACGCGGACGACGACGGATCCGGGAGGTCGAGCACGACGACCAGGTGGAAGGTCTGCATCCCCGACGCCCTCGCCTCGCTCGCCCCAGCTTCATCGCGTCCGCTCCGTCCCTGCCCCGCCTCCCCGCGTTCCATCCTGTCCGGGGTCAAAAGCCTAGTCTCGCCCTCACCATCCAGCCCGTCCTGCGCCTCGCCCTTCTTCCCCCCGCGCCCCCGCGCGACCGACGCAGCCGCCGCGCCCCGCGTCTTCTCCGCGCGAAACCTCCACCGGCCGTCCTCGTCCGCACACACCGGGTGCCCGACGAACGCGAGGTCGTCCACCACGAGCTCGAACTTCTGGTGGCACATCCCGCTCTGCGGGCACAGAACCTGCGCGAGGAACTCCGCCGGGTACCCCAGCAGCGCGTCGTACTCGTCCAGGTTCCCGCTCCCCCCTCTGCCCGCCCCGCCGCCCTCTCCGCCGCCTCCCGATGGACCACCGTCCGCGCCGCTGTGTTCCCCTGCGCCGCCCGCGCCGTGAGGCTCCTCCAGCGACGGGAGGCGCGGCGACAGCCCGTCGCCGCTCCTCGACGGGGACGCGCGCCGCGAGGTCGGGTGGCTCCTTGGGGGCGCATGGCTGAACGAGACCGACCTCGGCTTGCGCGCGCTCGGTCGCTGCCAGTAGTACTCGGACGTGTCGCCTTTGGTCGCCTCCTTCACCGCGACCTCCATGGCCGCGGCGCTGTCGGGGTCTGCGCCGTTCGCGGCGCGCCAGGGATTGTCTGCCAAGGAGGCGAGGAAGTCTTGGGTGGGGAGTGGGCGCGCAAGGCGCGGGATCGTCTGCGGTGCGGGGGGCCAGTGGTAGACGAGATTGGAGCCTTTAGCGGAGGAGGTGACGAGGAGGATGCAAAGTATTGTTTCGCTCATGGCGCATCAATGGCCATCGAGGAGGGTGAGTGCGAGCCGAAGAATACGCGCGCACCGTGAGTCTGAGCTGCGTCTCGTCTCGCCACAATAGTGTATATTGGCGCCCACAGGGTCATCACGGTAGCAAACGTCGATACTAGTAGCAATTGTAATGTAATGGGCACAAAATCATGACGAGCTGAAGTTTTTCTTCACAATGATCAGGTCGGTAGCTCTCGTTCATCGGAATCCAACGAGAGCTTTCGATACATGGTTCAAAAGGATAGTACAAAAGATACAAGGCATGTCCCACATTGGGTATCATAATCTAGAGTCTATGTTCCACAGTCCGAAGCCCAAGTCCAAGACAAACACCCACTCGTCTAGTTTGCCGCGATTTCCACCACCGTGACCGCCCCATTCACCTGCCTCTCCGTCAACCCAACCACGGTGTCCGCGGGAGCAGGTGGGGAAATCCCTTCGTGCCACCGGTCAACCCAGTCCACCAAGGACTGCGCCATATTCCTGCCCTCCTCCGCGCGTTGGCCCGTCTCGCCGACAACCCGTTTGCGCGCCTTCGCGTCCTTGCCCAGCTGATACGCCCGCTCGATCGCCTCCGCCCACTCGCCGACCTCGTACTGTGTTCGCGAGAGCTCGACCCCGGCGCCCTCCTGGTCGAGGTACAGCCGCAGCCCATGCTCCTCGATGAACAGCGGGCGCGGGACTGCAAGCATATTCACGACACGTCAGCTCTGGCTTCTTCAAACCGGACGGCGACAGACGGGAATGCTTACCGAAAACGAACGGCGTGCAGGCGTCCACGCACTCCGACACGGTCCCGTACCCAAGCTTGCCGAGGAGCACGTCCGCGACCGCGGTCAGGTCCGGCATGTACACGTCCCGCGGGGCGACGAAGAAACCCTCCGGGAGCTCCTCCCCGCCCTCCGTGCCCCAGTCCTTCGGCACCCCGCACACGACTGCGATCCACGATTCGTCCGGGAGGATGCGCACATCTTCGTCGCCGAGCGGCTCCTCCGCTTGGAAGGAGCCGAGTTCCGTGGGGGTCGATGGGGACTCCAGCAAAGTACTGCGTGTGGGCGTGGGTGCGATCATCACGGCCTGGAATGAGGGTATGGAGGGAAACGACGAGAAAGTTGCGGAGCGCGGGGAAGCCTGGATCGCGGCTGGCGGTGCACCGGGAATACGGAGCGTCCGTGGGCGATCGTGTGCGTCGAGCGAGGCAGCGCGCGAGAGCGAGGCTCCAACACACGACTCGCGGGGAGGCGTGTGGACTGCATGGAGGGCGTGCTTGAGCGCGGCAGCGTCGAGGCCAGGTTCAGGCTCAGGGGGAGACGGAGGGGAGTGGGAGTTCCCGGCGTCGGTGGGGTCGGGTGAGATCCCAGTAGGTTGGGTGTGGACGATGACGGGGGTGGATGCTTTCGAAGACGTCCGGCTATGCGAGCGGCTGTTGGGCTTGTGGAAGACCTGTCCACCGAACGAGACGATAAGGATCTTGGTTCCGTTCGGATCGTGCAAGTGAGCCGGAATGCCGATGGAGTCTAGAAAACAGCTCCGGCCTTCTGGCGTGTACACGGCGGAATGGGGCGAGCGGACCAGAAGTGGAGCGGGAACAACTTGGCGAGAGAGGGGCTTCGGAGGAAAGTGTGGGGGAAAAGGAATCTGAGGGAGCAGTTTGTATGACGACGTTGGCTGAGTGAGATGACCGACGATGGCGCTCTTGAAAGTGCGCCTTTCCATGTCGACCCACTCGGGCGAAGGGAGGCTGGGATAGGCAGAGAAGGAAGGCAGAGGAATAGTACCCGGTAGTCGTAAGAGCAAGTCTGCGCAGCGGTATCCCGAGTGAATCTGGTCGACCAGAGGCACCATTGTGCTGAAGGGTATGGGGGTATCAGGTTCAAGCTCCTCCGCCGTCTTGAGTGTTGGGGGTGATAGGGTAGCGTTGACCACGGAGTTCTCCGGCTTAGCTGGGCCGTCTAGGAATGAAGTGGAGAGGTAGCTGTAGACCGAGTCGAAAGAGAAATTTGTGATGAGGACCGAGGGAACCCCCGCCTCATTAGCGGCAAGACTATATAGCACGGGTGAGTATAACGCTTCACCAATGGCGGCCCAGTGTTCAAAACGAGCGGTCACTTACCATCCTAGAAACGCAGCATCACTGAGAACGCAGTCCGCCCGGATGGCCTGGAGCCACTGTGATTCATCCCGGACCTTGTTATCCTTCTGTGTCAGGAACTGCTGTAGTACCTCGACGCTCTTCTGACGATCCACGCGATATCTGTGGAGATGGATGAGAGATGGACTTGGCGAGTAGGCAGCGAACGTACGCAAGAGGTTGCACGATAACGGGATCTATGTCGGCATTGCGATACAATGCTACATGCGCATATAGGTAAAACGGTTTGGGTCTGGGCTTTGTGAAGACATACCTCCGGCTGCAATACTGTCAGAGAACACATGTTTTGGTGCCGAGGATACGATGCAGATGGTGAGACGGCGTTGAAGACTGAGAAGATGGCGTGCAAAGGCAGAAACACGAGTGGCATGGCCGTAACCTAGGCCGCTGAATGTTCGGCGCGAGTCCTGAAGGGATACGGCAGATCCACGCACCATGTCCCGAGCAGTAATACACCAAAGTGAGGGTCCTCTCTCTCGCTGGTAGCGCGACAGTCATGGCGTGGAGCGGGGAATGACTGTGGGGGTCGCGCCGAGAGGGGCAATATATCCGGGTGGCGAACGTGTCCGAAAGGGCCGTGAGGGTGTGTGTGCAGACTAGTGCGACGCGCGCTGGGGTGATCTTCGGCGGCGGTCGACGTCACAACATGGACCACAGATAGATGATCACCTGGCTGCGGTTTGATCGTCGTAAAACGTTCGCGGTGAGCTTGTTCAAGGGTGACGTGAATTGGCAGGTGTATATATGCAGCTAGTTTGCTAGGAGGAGGCGTGGAGGTGTCTGGAAGGTGCAGCGGGCGAGCATGGCCGCGAGCCGGGACGGCCGACGAGAGCGGCGGGACGGCCTCGGTTGCGACGACTAGCCACAGTGCCGATCAGAATTTAGGTGACCATAGCTGAGGTTGTTGAAATGTAGTGGACGGATGTAAGAGAGGATATGGATAAGAAGAAGATGGGGCTCTACTAGTAATAGTAGTGTGGCAGTAGGTTCATCTACTAGATCAGGAGCTCGAGGACACCAGCGGCAGGTCAGGCCCGAGGCAACCTGGCGAGCAATCCAGAGAGTGTAAGCGCTAATACAGTGACGGTCAAAAGTAATGCACACCCTGGCTCTGGCGTCTAGTGCGCTTCATGGCGGGCTCGAATCTCGTCCGTTTGGGACGATTTCTGTATGTACGGGTAGATATTCTGAATGCGAACCTGTGGGTACTTGTTTGAGAAGATTCGGACTAGTATTGAGCGAGATAGGAGGCAAACTCTGTGAGCCACCCTGTCACAGCTGTCACAACTGTGGGCAGGGGGCGACAATGCATGTCTGTAGAAGCAGAACAGCAGAGAGTTGAGAGCTGCGATTTATTTGAGGCTTATTAGGAGTCTGAATGATGCTCTGTGTAGGAATTTCAGGCTGCAGAAACTTCTGGTTGGGTCATGTTTGATCAAACATGGTTTTGAGCTGCCTCAACTCAAATCCGACCATTTGTTCGCACAGGCTCGGTCTGACTGCTACTGCAACAGTATGGAATATTTTTAACATGCTCATAGACGTGATTGATGCAAAAAACCAGAGGAGAAAAGGTGCAGATGTGGTTGTAGAAGGTGCACTGTGGTATTGATCAATGTCACACACATCACAAATCGATGTCTAGAACAGGACAAAGGACCCTGTGAGGCACGAAACTGCTGTGAGAACTTCCCATAAAGAAAGGCTTTCAGATAAGGCACGTAAGGTTGGCCGCTATGGCTTCGTTGCATGGGTACATACTCAGGAAGTTGCCTGATGTGACATGTGCGGCTTCACCAAGTATCCCCCGTCCCAGGTTCGCCGTGTTTTTCGCAATTCGTGCATGGTGTTTGTATGTATCAACTTTATAAGTCTCTGAAATGTGCTCAAGCTAAAATTCCAGCATACAGACAGCCAGGAAGGCAAAACAATGGAGGCAGGGCAATCATTGAACATGATCATATCACATCAGGCAACTTCCTGAGTATGTACCCATGCAACGAAGCCATAGCGGCCAACCTTACGTGCCTTATCTGAAAGCCTTTCTTTATGGGAAGTTCTCACAGCAGTTTCGTGCCTCACAGGGTCCTTTGTCCTGTTCTAGACATCGATTTGTGATGTGTGTGACATTGATCAATACCACAGTGCACCTTCTACAACCACATCTGCACCTTTTCTCCTCTGGTTTTTTGCATCAATCACGTCTATGAGCATGTTAAAAATATTCCATACTGTTGCAGTAGCAGTCAGACCGAGCCTGTGCGAACAAATGGTCGGATTTGAGTTGAGGCAGCTCAAAACCATGTTTGATCAAACATGACCCAACCAGAAGTTTCTGCAGCCTGAAATTCCTACACAGAGCATCATTCAGACTCCTAATAAGCCTCAAATAAATCGCAGCTCTCAACTCTCTGCTGTTCTGCTTCTACAGACATGCATTGTCGCCCCCTGCCCACAGTTGTGACAGCTGTGACAGGGTGGCTCACAGAGTTTGCCTCCTATCTCGCTCAATACTAGTCCGAATCTTCTCAAACAAGTACCCACAGGTTCGCATTCAGAATATCTACCCGTACATACAGAAATCGTCCCAAACGGACGAGATTCGAGCCCGCCATGAAGCGCACTAGACGCCAGAGCCAGGGTGTGCATTACTTTTGACCGTCACTGTATGTATGGTGCTCGGGCGCAATCGTTGCCTAATAGGCGCCGTATTCCAGTTCGCGGCTGCACGCTTCCCATTTTGAAAGACAACGTCATGCACGTTGCAACCCCTCAAGGCCTCAAGGCCTCACCACGCGACGAACAGAGTTCATGCAACACGTCCGCCGTCCAGTTCCTGTCCGCCGTCGAGCGCCGTCGACTCTTCTCGACGTCGCGCGAGCAGATCCTAAAGTCTATCACTGAGATGCACTTGACCGCGTACGCGTATGGACTGGTGGGAGGCCAAGCCCGACGGCGATGGATGCTTGTACGACGTCACAATTTCCCAAGGATTTTTGGAGGAATGATGCTGTCGATCCTCCAACATGTAAGCAAGTAAACGAACTAACTCGGGAAACGGTATACGCGATCCAACGAGCTCGTCTAGACATCTAGCTCGCTCATCGTCGGAGTCGCAGAGGTAGTCAATGAAGAGCCCGATCGCGCTCGAACACGAGGATGCGACAACATGGCCCACAACGCTGACTTAGCACGGTACGCGATCTATCCTCCAGTCATCGTGCATGCTGTTCACATCGATGCGAAATCAGCAATAATCAAATAACGCAAAGAGGTCTCCCTTCGAGACTGTCCACCTCCGCGATTGGGGTCAACGTAGCGTAGCGTTCAAACGCCACATCAGCTTTATGGGGCGAAACGTCTCGTGAGTAATCAGAAAAAATGAATAAAGATACATGAAACCACAAAGATATGCAGAAAAGACACAAAGCCAGTGTGTCCTAGAGCGAAGCCCATGGCGATGGCGATATGTCCTGTCAAATTGCACGATGTTAGTAGATGGGAGATATTCGATCATGAACATCGGTGTGCGTACCTCTGGTTCTGAATCCTCATCCTCATCGCCGGAGGCAACGTACGCTGTTGGTATACGAGATCCGTCAGTCTCCACATCCAACAAATGCACGAGTGTCTCTCACCACGTAAGAATGAAGCCGGCCCTCTGTCTACTCCCGACGAAGCCATGACAGCAAGACAGATGGTCTTCTCACATCTTCACTCGTCGCATACTGGACCACTTTATTGTAAATGACAGTGACGGCTGTACCATACACGATTCTTAGAAAGGCCGCCATTACACAGTGTCGACACTCACCTGTATACCCCGTACAGTACAAGTACTGCACGTATCGAGCACCGCGAAACGCATCCTGCGAGCGCAGCCACGGTGGGAACCAGTGATCAGCGTACGCCCGGGTGTCCTTGTCGAGAGACAGATCGGGTGCTTCTAATCCATCCTCTACGATCGCGAGACGGCACACCAGCACGTAGTAGCGAACTCGTTCACCGCTCTCGTCTATAATAAAATAGTCCACCAGACTTGGGCACTCGAGAACGTCGTTCTTGTCGAAGTGTTTATACGCATTGTAAGTCCAGGATCTGCCTTTCGCGAGCTCGTGTTCGAGTTGACCGTACGCTCCAATGCACAGTTGGCGAACAGTGTCGATCGTGAACAAAAAGCCACCAACATGGATACACATGGCTGCGTGCGCGGCAGAGGATAGGGAGAGTGGGGATCGATATAAAGCGGAGGGAGCTGTGAGATCTGAGATGATCGAATCGATGATGGCCGCGGTGATGGTGTTCGGCGCCGCGTACAGCGATCTGAGATCACCTCATAGCAGATCACGTGGTGTGTTTGCCAGCATGGTGTGTGGCGCACTCTGCGTTCCCAGTGCTTGCCAGCAGCCCCATTCTCGACCCCAGCACCACCCACAAGCCAACTGCAAAGCACGATGGGTCGCGCAACTCGAAACGGTTCCCCGAGCGTAGGCTAACCAGATCGGCTGGACACAGAGATAGGCGCCAGGGGACCGACAGCGACCGAGGTCGAGCAGAAGCTCAGCTGGACGGCTAGATGCCCGGTTCCTGATCGTTGTCTTCCCCCCGCCCTGCCCTCCCTACGGGCCGGCGGTCTCTCTCTTCCCTCTCTTTGTCTGTCATGGCAGCCCCCGACTCGTGGCTGAAGATCCTCGATCGTCTCGACCTCCATCTCCGCGCATACGAGGATGAAGGCATTTCGGACGAAGCAGATCCAAAGCCAAGGTGCAAGAGATTCACAAGGGCCCTGGAGGACGTCTGCACTGTTGTCCGTGACGCGGAGCGCAAGGGATGCTCGGATCTCCCACAGCTCGTTGAGAAGGCGCAGCAAGTGCTCAGCGATGCTCTTCGGTACGCATACAGCGAAGAATCCGGTTTCTCGTCTCTGTCTTCCTTTGCCCATTCGGAGGATGAACCATTGGTGGAGGATGCGCTGGATTACGCCGGTGCGTCTGTTGCAGTTCGAACATTGCTAATCACTATTGACCGTCCCTTTAGGCTCTGATATCCTCGACGCGTTCATGAGCTTATACCGCCTGATGCACCCTGGTGCCTGTGAGTGTTGTCTATATTGTATCTGCGTCCGAACGCGTCCCGCTGTCACATCGCACTCCTTCCCAGACTGCAGAGGGGGCGAAGCTCATCGTCCTGATAACTAACTTCATATCATCTGCAGCGGCTCCAAAGCTCCCTGCATTCGCCAAAATGCCTTCCTGGGTCAAGTCGCCCCACCCTCATCCTCTCACAACACGTCTGTCACGGTTCCGCGGTGGCTTTTCGCCCAGCGCTAGCAGTGCAACTCCCTTAGCGCATACAATCTACCAAGCCCGTGCTCAGCTGACGGTCGACTCTATTGCATCAGCTCCGTCCGATATGTCAATATCGTCTGGAGGTTCAATATTGGCTCTGTCCATCGGAAGCGGCTGGAAGGCTCGCGACCCACATCTGCAGTATTACCTACTGGGCGAACAATCCAAGGACTACCTCCAGAGTGCCGATATGGAAACAGGACTCTCGAGCGTCGCTGATTTTATCGTGACTGACGAATCGCGCAAACTCGTCTTCCTTGCAGACCCCGACCGCGTCAAGTCGTTCTCTTTCGCTCCCAACCCCGCTACCGGCAAGACCCCTCGTCATCTACCGACAGTCCACACGTTGGATTCAGAGCGCGCGTTTAACGGTCCTATCCTCGTCCTCCCGAATGGCCGCCTCGCACGTACCGCGCACGGTCGTGCCGCCATCTGGAACCTTGACGAGCTCGAGACGCAGAGCGTCCCGACCACCTCAATGTCGTTCGGAGAAGATGATCTCACCCCCAGCGTCCTCCACCTGCACCAGCCAACACAACATGTGCTGTACGGCACCCATGACGAAGCGGGCGGGAGGTTCGCATGCGCTATGGTAGACATGGAGGCCGGCGGACGGCGGATCACACGCTTCCTGGGGCACGGCGGGGACGTGGAGCGTATCTCGACGGATGAGGGGAGCCCGAACTTGTTCGTCACGGCTTCAAACGACGGCTATGCGCGCATCTTCGACGTGCGTCATCCGTTGCCTGTCCTTACGTTCAGCGTGGAGCAGCAGCGCCAAGCATGCGCGGACGTCGTGCTGGTCCATCCCAACGGTGTCCCTAGTGAGTTCGGTAGCCATTCTGGATTGTGCGAGGCTAATTGCGGTGTTATCTAGCGTTGTTCACTGGCGGTGCGCGCTCACATCAAGTCAAACTCTGGGATATCCGCGCCGAAGAGTGCGTTTACGAGCTCTCCACTGGCAACAACGAAGTCACCGGGCTCGCTTGGGACTCGGCTCGGTCCTCGCTCTTCGTCGCAACCGAGTGCACTTATGTTGATCGCATGGGCACTCGCCTGGACTATCGCCGGGCGCGTGTTCCGCACTGGGCCAGCTGGAAGGCTGTCAACGCCGAGTTCAAGACCTATCGGGAGGCGGTCAAGCGCGGAGAAGTGATACCTGAGAGTACTGGCCAAAACGAGTACCCTGATGTGTATGACGACTACTTGAGTGACGGCGACGGCAGTGAAGAGACGGAACTCGAAGATGAGGAGGACGATGTGGATGAGGAGTACTCGGCGGACATGCGGTGGCCGAAGAGGACTTTCCACAAGGAGAACTTCTTTGGCTACGCTTACGACGCTGGGGAACATGTGCTTTGTGAGTCACATTTCTTTTCCTTGGTACATACGTGTGCTGACCCATCGACTGCAGTCCGCTGGCAGTACAAAGACCTCCCTGACATCTCGCAGCTGCCTGCAAGCACTGGCTTCGACTGAAACACCGTGCACTGGCTCCACCTCCAAATCTTCCACGACATACACTGCCGAGTCTTCATGGACACCCATACACGCCCTACCCAATCCATTCTTTTGTACATACTACTCCACCTCTAGCACTCTCCGCGGACTCGTGTGCGATACACAGACACTCACTCATACCCGGATTTTCGAGCATGTATACCATTTGTTGTTGTAGACTATCCACTTACTAATACTTGAACGGACTACCTCGACAACACCACTGTCAACCCACTCCTTACGAATTCAATCCTATCTCAGGCGGCAGTCGCCTCGCGCCTCGCCTTCTCCCGCCCCATCTCCATGACGAGAAGCTCCGCCTCAGGCTTGATGCTCGCCCACATCTCCTCGATGCTCGACTTCGCCGTCGCCTCCCAACCGAGTAGGCGAGACCGCTCCGCGCGGCACCGCGCGTTCGTCCCGCTCGCCACCAGGAACCGTTCCTGTCACCACGTCCGGTCTCGCATAAGTGGATGCACTCTCTCGCGCGGCTCGGGGTACGCACTGCATGCGCGTGCGCCGCGATCTCCTCGTCGGTCATGTACCCCACCGGCGCGGGGTCCGCGACCGCGCCGAGCTCGCACAGCGCGGCGCCGACGCGCTCCGCGAGCGCGCGGTGCGAGTACTCGCCCGCCTCCGCGAAGTAGTAGCCGTCGCGGCCGAACGCGAGGCGGTCGGGGCTGGTGGCCGCGGTGCGCACGAGGAGCGCGAAGAGGTCCGAGACTGGCGAGGACGATAGAGCGTGCACGTATGAGTGTTCGGAACCATGAGGGGGAGGGAGAGGGAGGAGGAGGGCGCACCGTCGTCGACGTGGACGTGGCCCCAGAGGCCCTCGCCGTTCCCGACCATCGCGACGCGGCCGCGTTCGACGGCGGCGCGGACGAGCGCCGGGATCTGCTGCGAGTGCAACATGCAGAGGCCCGCGTCGGCGAGGGGGCCGGTCAAGCGGCCGAAGATCGTCGGGGGGATGACGAAGAGGTTCCGGATGTACCCTGCAGCGAAAGGATGATCAGTGCATGTTCGAGGACCCGAGGCCGCGTGAGGGCGGGGCGCACCTGCTTTGTCCGCGTCGAGGAAGAGCAGATCCACAGCGCGGTGGGGGGCGTGGGGTGGGATCTTCTCGAGCGCGTCGGCGTCGAGGTCCGACGTGATTTGCTCGGACACCGAAATACCCATGAAATGCGCAAAGTCGACGAGACAAGCTGTCCCAGTCTGCGACGACAAATGAATGGCCTCAAAGGCACGGCGGGAGCTCATGCAAATACCGTGTGGATCGATATTGGTCGCTCGCCCGTCTTGTCGCGGTGGGTCTTCATACCTCTGATCAGTGCTTCAAATATGCTCTTTTCAACATCGCTCCCCTGGAAGCGTTAGTTATGAGTGATTGGCATGGGGCGGGCAAGTATAGCGAAGAGTGGGCCGTACCACGGTGACCACGATAGAAAACTCCTCCGCGAGTTTCTCTATCTTCTCGTAATCATCGTACTCCCCCACGGCGGCCTTGATTGCAAACTGCTCCTCAAACACCTTGGCTTTCTCCGCTGAGCGAATGTAGATGGTGATCTCAAGGTGGTCCATGATGCTAGAGTCGGCGAGAAAACGTGTAAGGACCGCTCCGCCGACATAGCCTGGCAACAGCTGTAAGCTTCGTCGATACCAGTTCATTGAATAGTACGTGCACTCACCAGTCGCGCCGAGAACGAGGGTTGGAATCTTGGAGGCCGGCATAGTGTATGAATCAAGCGGGCTGAAGATGAGGTGTACTGCGATGTACAAAGCCTTTGAACTTGAACAGTATATATAGGAACTCGTAAAATGGGTAGTCCTGCGATTCGCCACCTTTTGCGTTGGTGACAATGCTTCCCGGCAGGCTGCTGCGGTGCATACGTGTCCTCGGCCTGTGTGCCCTGAACCTTGCCCACCGGGAAATACATATAGTGATTGCAAAGCGACACTATATTCACATAATACCCTGCGATCATACCCGAACGGCTTGCTCCTCCTAGTCTTGAAGCGATGATTCAACGGACGTGCCAAAGGTAGGCAAACAACTCACTGGCCAATCTCGAACTCACCTAAACGAAACCGAGCCCTTCTTCAGTCAGTCGGCTAGGGTTGAAACCAGATCTCCAACAACAAGGCCGAGCGAGTTTTGAAGACCCCGTTCCGAGAACGCATGAAGGCGGGTTCTCCAAAGGTTCCGATTTCCAATTTTTCCTGAAAGAATTGCCAATCGAACCGGGGCGAAGCTGTATGACAACAAGTCGAACCTGCGTAACCGCAAAGGGGCGACGCGAACACCGAAGATGGCCGGCTTACCAAAACCCAGGTGGTATTCGGTCAGCATCCTCCTCGGCGCAATACTAGCGCATTCACATCGAGGGGAGTCGAATAGAACCCTACTTCGGGGAAGCACTTCATCCCGGAGATCCACGACACTCCACGATTACCATCTGTCGTCCAACTTGCGCAATAATATTGGTGAGCCTGTCCGACACCCACGGAGATGTTATCCGCAAAAAGTCGTGGGTCGCCACGCACAACCGAGTTTCAACCGCGTGCCGTAGTGGCCGCTTGCTTCCACGCCATGCTCTCCGCAATGATGGAAGTCTATGGAAACGAAGGAATATAATGGATGTCACGAGGAACAAGGGTAAGTACACACACCTCAGGGCCGGTGCAAGCGCTCCGGGTGCGCGATGTGAGAACCTCGTTGGTGCCGTAGACGCGCCGAGGTTCGCAACTTCGTCCAGAGCCGCACACTAGGACGCTTCGGGGCTTCGCCGATCGAACGCGGGGAAGGACCTTCGCGTCGCTCCTTCGGATAAGACGGGACGAGCACCTCGTTCTGGAATCCTAGGGGACTGGACCTAGAATGGATGCACCAAAGAGACTGCTCGACAGTTCTACGACGGACTACCGCATCATCTCCGATGCTCCGCGCTTCTGAGAACGATTGCTCGTACATAAACAGTGCTGAACTGTGTGAAAACAAGTACAGCATGCCAGTCAGCTGACGTCCGACGCAACGGATGTGGGCGCACCTGGGAACCGTTCAAGTATGCGACTTCAAAGATATCTCTTCATCGTTGAGGCCCATCCTGATACACCGTGTTCTCTGACACCGCATGCGTATAAGGTTTGTGGAACGACTTGTTGCATGCCTGCTTCTTTGACGTATCATGTCCCTGAGAAGAGGTGTGACATGCGCGTAACGAGCCGCGGAGAGTTCGCATGTCAGAGTACTTGGTGAACGTCCGAGAATCGGTTCGACCTTCTGTTACCGGATGCTTGACCATCGCACTTGATATCGAAATTGCTATAAACCAGGATTAGAATCAAACGTTCTCAGTAAATCCGAGAAGAATCGAGACGGAGGTAAAGGCTCACCATGTTTCAAACCTCCCGTAAACCCGGTCACGAACGACTTAAGTGATAAAACTGAACTACCGCGCGCCAGATGAAGAGACCCATGTGATAGAAGTGCTCTCAGATTCTATGCCGGGCCTGCTCAGTTGAGGTTGCAGGAGCCGACGAGTAACTTGTGCGCAAACAGGCCGTCATACGGCGTCTTGTGTGCACATGATGGGAACACTCACCAAGTTGATAATCAAGCAGTAGGTTGATGCTTAAGATAGACACGACCTGCTACGGGTTGCCGTCGAACGTGACGGCGGAGCAAGATCATCTGCTTGAGATGCAATTATTAGTGCCGGGCAACAGCGGCCAACCTACCAAAACACGATGTCCATGTTGTGCATCCATGGAGCCGACGAGAGCGCACTCGGCTCCTTCGGAGAACAACAGCACGGTGGGGGAACGAGGGCAGGCGTTATGGTTCACTTCCCATGCGACGAAGCTGAGACTGCAGGCGTGGCGTGGCGGCTGCATCTAACTTGATGCATATGGCGTCCACATCAGCAACTGAGGCTCGGCCGCGGACAAAGGCCCCCTCTACTTCCGACAGCGTTAACTTCTCTGCAAGGAAGCATATGTCAGAGCCGGTGTCATGTCGAGAAACCCAGTTTACTCACATGCAGTACTCCTTTACCCTGGGTCCTGCGCCTCAGGGCACTTGCATCGATAAGCGTGACAACGCGGAAGGGCTGCGCTGAACGTTGAACGTTGAAGTTTTGAACACTAGTGCAAGACTGTCATCGACGCCTGCCCGGGCAGTCCCCCTTTCCTGCTCGCCGGTAGCCTGTGGATGCTCAGCCATCCATGAGCATGACACCAGAGGTCTCACCAGCAGACTTCGAAAGCGCAGGAGATGATCAAGACAAAGATTCAAGTTTTAAGAAAGCGTGCGCGCTATCGCGCTCGCTGCACGCGGGATCCCCTCCGGGCGCCCATCAGCGCCCCGCAGCGACAAGCGCCCACCGACGGAAACGTCTCGCCCGCCGTCTGCTGCCCGGTCAAAGCGGGCGGAAGAGCGTACGAAATCTAGCCGCCCGTCCCGGAAGCTGTCGCGACGTGCGCGCGCGGGGGTAGCTTTGATCCCTCTGCGTGAGCGCGGCGGCGAGCGCCCAGCGCGCGGTCAGACGGGCGCGCGGGCGCTGAACTTTCGCATTGACTCCTGCGCTCGCGAAGGCGACGGCGACGGCCCGGTGGGAAGAAAGAGACGGATGCGAGGAGAGAAGGGCTCGTGCAGTCGCCTTAGGGTTCCTCAGGCGAAGCTCAAACTCCAAGCATCCTGTCGCTTTCCAGGTCCCATCCCGCGAAGAGAGCGCGGGCCCAACCAGCCGCCGGCGTGACGCCGAGGGCGGCGCACAAAGTTGCGTCGTCCTCGTCCGTGGACAGGCCGCTCGCGCGCGCACAGTGCGGCACGAGCTCGCCGTGAGATCGCGTGGGGGTTCGACGCGGAAGAGACGGCGTGTGGGCGGCCGCGGCGGCGCGCACTCTAACCTCAGGGCGCGCGGTGAGACTCGGCCTCGTCTCGCTGATCACACTCGCGTGACCGCCCAGCGTGCGCACGGCCGCACGAGCTCCCGGCGGACACATATAACACCGTGTAATTCAGGAGCACCCCCGCGCCCACTTTGCGCTCGCACCGCTCGCCCCACGGAGAGAGGAGGAGGAGGACGAGAGGAAGAGATTGAGCAGGCGCCGGCGCCCACCTGCATTGTTTGCCCCTCGGCTGTCGGCGCGCGCGCGCGCGCTCGCTGCGCAGCAGCCGCCCCGCGCCCGATCGTCGCGTCGGATTGGCGGGTGGGCGAGGCCGCGGTCGGTATATGTACGAGTAGTGCACCCACAGTCCCTCTCCCTGTCCGCGCTCGCCCCTTCTCCCCCGACGTCCTCCGAGTCGCAGCCCGCGGACCTCTCGCTCCACCCCCCCCCCCCCCCGCGTCGCGATCCCGCCCTTCTGACCCCGTCGCCAGCCGATCCCGACTTTGATCGCCCCGGACTGCGCTTTGGCCGAATTCGCATGCCGCCTCCAGCGCCCCGTCATCCCCGCGCGGCGACATTCGCGCACCCAGCCACGCCTTCCTCTCGGCTACGCCGTCCTCGCCACCCAGACTGCTCGCCCCGACCCGTCCTCGCCCTCCACCTCAACGAGCTCGAGCGAGCAGACGCACGATCGCGCGCCGCATCAGCCGCCCGTGAAGCACTACGCTCCTGTGTCTTTGATCCGCGCTCCGTCTCCCCGCCGGCATCTTTGTTCTCCCCCTCGTGTCCTCCCGCGCGTTGCTCCATGTGCGTTGCGTTGCGCGCGGAGCTCCCCGGACTCACCTGGCCGGCCTTCTTAAAGCACACGTCGCGCGGCGCAACGCGTCCCCACCCTACCTTCTCCTGACCCTTACCGCCATCGGACGACTGGAGCACACACGGCGGGAAGATGGTACAGGGCGCTGCGATCCCGTGAGTACGGTAGGGCTATATAACATGGGACACACTAATCAAAATAGTACTTAGGACCGGGAGCATTCGGAACATACACGGGCGGGGGCACAACCGACACGGGCCGGTCGTCTACCTCACGGGCAGGGGGGTATAAGTACGCATATAAAAGAGTCGGATGGAGAGCACGGGCCCAACGAGAGCAGGATGATTAGGTGCTGGGGGTTTTGGGAGGGTATGGTGAGTGCGCCAGTCGATCGTACAAACAGTCGTCAACAATAATACGGGGGTCGTGGACGCAGCGGGGGGACGGCCTATACTGGCAGCAGACTCGCCCACTGCATCCGCAGGTGCGTCCGCCAGTCGCCGACGAGCAGCGCCGGGGGCTGCTCGCCGGGCTGCGTCTGCTGCGCCTGGTGCGCGGCGGCGACCGCGGCCGCGCGGTGCGCCCACACGCTCTCCATTACCGTCTGCGAGAGCAGGATGTTGCCCATCGTGGCGTCCTGCATGAAGAACCGGTGCTTGATCACCTCGCGCATCATCTGGTTGTCCGTCAAGCACCCGGTCAGCAGCAGCGGGAACACGAGCGTGCGGTCGTACGGCGACGGCGGGAGGTCGTTCAGCAGCTTCGCCATCTGCTCGATGCTGTTGTGGATCTCGGGCACGCCTGTGGAGGAGGCGCGAGTCAGCACACGGACGCGGGACCCAGCTCGGTGCGTCGCTCTCACCTGGCGCCGAGTCGCTGATCACCGTGTGCAGGTACATCACCGCCGCCTCCCGGAACATCTCCCCCACGATCTGCCGGGAGCCGTCCCGGCGCATCTGCATCGACACGAGGTCGTCGGCGCCGCCCTCGGACGCGCCCCGGCCCGCGGCGCGGTCCCGGAGCTCCTTCTCGATCGCGTCCCCGCGGTGGACGAGCTCGCGGTGGCTGAGCGTCCCGTGCGCGAGCTCCGCCGTCTTCCAGTGCGCGAGCGCGGAGACCTCGGCGATCGCGAGCAGCGCCTCGTCCGGGCACCCCGTCAGCTTGTCCATCGAGAGCTCCGCGAGGCGCGAGCTGACGTCCGCGCCCGCCGCGCCCCAGTAGCCGGCGCCCATGCCGAAGAGCCGCCGGTAGAGCGAGAGGAAGCGCGGGGGGCGCATGAGCGTGATGCTCGAGAAGATGTCGAGGTACTGCGAACGGGGCGCACAGGTGAGCATGTCGTACGGATGGTCTGCGCGAGACGAGACGGCGGGACGCACCATCGTCGCCTTGGCGGCGAAGCGCCCCGCGGGGCTCATCCGCAGGAGCGTCAGCTTCGGGTTCTCCTCCGAGTAGATGCCCGTCTGCGCGAACCAGTCCGCGGCGACGTCGAAGAGCGCGAGCCAGGGCATCGAGCCGCCGCCGAGGAGCGAGTACGCGACGAGCTGGAGGGCGGCGACCGCGTCCGTGTCCGCGTACTGCCCGTGGCCGTTCGTCTCGGGCGCGTGCCGGAGGAGCGCGAGCGCGCGGTCGTGGAACTTGCGGGGCAGGGACGTCTCCTTGTCCGGGTCCTCGACCGCGTCCCCGCGCGCTATCCGCAGCCGGGCGTGGTGGAGCGCGGCGAGCGCGCAGAGCGAGTGGGCGACAGCGCCTTCCGGCTCGTTGCGCACGATCTGTCGGAGGGGCGGGTGGCGTCAGACTCTGGACGGGGGAGAAGAGCAGCGACGGGGCGGACATCAGGGCTCCGGTGCATCACGTCAGTGCGCGACCGGAGAGGAGATCGACGGCATCAGGCTGGTGATGACGGTGGCAGCAGAGGTATGTGACAGTTCTGGGATGGGAACTCGAAGCTGATCGCAGCGTGCGGAAACGATGTACAGGCACAGTGTGCTGTGCGAGAGAAGGGCACTCACCGGCAGCAGGATCTGGGTCAACGAATCGCCGGCGAAGACGTATTGGAGCTCCCGGACGTACTTGAAGTAGTAGTCGATATACTCCTCGAGGCGGATCGCGGCGGGTGTTGGAGGTGATTGCATGGGTGGCGGTGTGGGTTGGGGCTGTACGGCGGGGGTCATGGGCATCGCAATCGTATGGGGAGTGCCGTAGTTTGTGTAAGGTAAGTCTTCATGTCCAGACATTGATAGCGGTGGTGAGGGGAATCCATAGATGGTATCTGGGAGAGATACAGTGGAACCGGTAGGGATCATGCCCGCAGCAGCCATGGGAGCGACGGTATGGTGACGGCCGGAGGAGGAAGGCGCGAGGTTGCGACGAGGCCACTCGCCATCTGCACAAAGCAAAGGACGACGATGGGTCAGCTCCACTCTGCGTTTGCAATATTACACCCGAGAAGCCCGTGCCGGCTCTGGCACCCGCGGACGACGCTCCGAGGTCGTCGGACCCCCCTCCGTCGCCCCCGGGTGCAGAGCTCTCGGACCCGAGGCGGCGGGAATGCGGAAGCTTGGGGAGAGAGAGGAAGGTGCGTGACCGGTGCTCACCTGGGAGGGGCCCGGGCATGCCCAGCTGGTGGTAGGGCGTGCGCGGGGCGCCGTGGGCTGCGCTCCGGCGGTACGGCGGCTCTCGTGCGCTCACGCTGCGCCGGAGCTGCGTGGACGGCCCCGGGCCCGCGACGCCTGGGGTGGGGGGCTGGGAGGCGAGCCCGGCGTGCCACGGCTGGCGCGGCTGGCCGCGGATGAGGCCCATGCGCGAGAGCTGCTCCTTGATGCTCGCCTTGTACGCGGCGACCTTGTCCTTGTCCTGTGCGGGTGGCGCGCGGGGGGCGGCGGCGCACGGTGGCGGCGTGGCGGTGGTTCCCGATGGGTGCAGTCCCGACGCGATGGGGCGTGCACAGGCGCATCAGGCGCAAAGGCCGCAGTGACAGGTAGCGCAGCGCGGTGGAGAACGCGGAGGCGAACACGAGCGAGGTCGAGGAGGGCGGCGAGACGAGCGAGGACGAAGGACGGGAAGAGCCAAGAGCGGAGGGGAGGGTGGATGGATCAGCCTACGGCCCGGCGCCACAGGGAGGAGAAGAGAGCGGGCACTGACCCGCATCCAGTCGGGGCGCTTGTGGCCCCATCCGAGGCACTTGATGCGCAAGCGGAGACAGGTCTTGCAGGAGTCGCCCTCGCGCTCCTCGTCGCATTTCTGCGGGCGGGTGAGCACGAGGGGGACGGGGCGGGGAAGAGGACATACCTTGCGGCGGACGCGGCAGGTCCTGCGGGCGGTGGCGGAGCGCGCGGGAGGAAAGGGAAGGGGCGGGTGAGCGGACCAGGCACGCGAGCAGGGGAGACGTCACGACCAGGGGCAGGGAAGAGGAGGGCGACGGGGGTGGCGACGGGTCGGGGGGAAGCAGGGAATGCACGTACCAGCAGCCGCCCTTGCTTCCGGAGGAGGATCGGGAGAGGTCCATGGCCATGCGGGCGGGGGTGCCGCGGGGAGAGTGCTGCTGCTGGCCGGCGAACGGGCCCTCATCCGAGACGGGGTGCGGGTACAGGGCGGAGGAAGAGGAGACGGGGGACGCGTCGGCGGAAGGCGCGTCGGCGTCGGAGGCGAAGTCGGGGGACGGGGAGTGGGAGTCGGGGGAGGGCAGGGCCTGGAGGGCCATGATAAGTGGGAGGCGGGGGGCGGGAGGACTCGCGAGGGCGCGCGGGGTCGGAGGCGGTGAGGACGTAGATGAGGCTCGCGCGGGAGGCGAGGTGTATTTGGGGGATCGTGGCAGGCCCGGAGGAGAGACTGAAGAAGTAAGCGACCGGATGATGGATCATATCCTCCCGTCACCAAGGGTCTCTGCCCCTCTCGCCCCGGACCAGAGAGAATTCATGATCCCACGAGTCCAGCACAGATCCATCGCCCGGCGCCTCCCCGCCGTGACTGCCCCCATCATCCGTCGCCAACAATATTCCCTTTTTTCGTCCGTCCCTCCGACGCCGGATCCGCTACCACATATCGCGATTCGCGTTCCGCCTCCACCCATCACCTCCTTCCCCCCACGCCCTCGCACCAGCACTCCAGCCTGAGCTGACGCGAAAATCCCTGCGCAGCCCCCCAGGGCAGGTCTCGCTTCCGGCAAGAAGGCAGTATGCTCTCGCCCTTCGGGGCAGGAGAAGAACGGGGGCGTGACAGGCCTGAAACAGGATCGTGCCCGACTATTTTCGCGCATTTCCGCCCACTTCTCTCCACTCCGCCAGCACATCGGGCCAAGGCCAGCGTGTGACGCCCCCGCGTCATACGCAGCTTTCGTCCAGCACCGCTCCCCTGCGAGACTCAAAAAGCCTGCAGAATTGCGGGCGCTGGAACGGCATCGTGGAGCGGCGGCCCGCGCTGCCGTCTCCAATTGCATCCACACTCGCTCGGATATCTGGGCCACCCCCCGCGCGCCTCGGGCGACCCGCGCTGCCTCTCGCGCTGCGAACTGCCTCCCACCTGCCGGAATGAGATCCCAGCGCGGGGAAGCGGAAGGCGGAAGCTGAGGGCGCAGAGAACAGAACGTTCGACGGCGGGGCGCTGGGGGGCGTGCTGGGTGCGAACGACGCATACAGGACCGAGTGCGTCACGACTCTGTCGCGTCGCGCGCGTAGAATTCCGCTCCCCCGCGCCTTCTGTGCCCTCGTCCGTCGTCGGCTGCGTCTGCCGTTCCGTCCTCGCCGCGTCACAGGAGCCGCGCACCTCCCCGGGGGCAGGCCCAGTACGCATCCCGGACGAGGGGGGAACGTGGAGGGCGCGTCGGGCAGGCGCTGAGCTAAGCCCCCGATCCCGCGCGGGCTTCGAGCTCGCGCTGGCCCTCCAAGTTCCAACGTCGGACGGGTTGCCGCGTCGGGCAGCACGCGGCCGCCTTTCCTTCCCGCGAACTCCTCCACGACGCGCCTTCCATGTGCCCCGAGGCCGAGCTCGAGCCCGTTTCGCTCGCCCCCAGTTTGTCGACGTTCGTGCTTCGTCATCGAGACGCAGGCACGCGCCGCGGGGACGGGGAACGGACGATGGAACTCGACTCGACGCACGGACTCACAGGTGCCTGGATCGATCGGCCTGACGCCGTCTGTGCTGCGCTCCGTCTTTTCTCGACCTCTCGTCTTGTTCGAAGGGCCCGTTCCTCCCACTGCTCTCCTGCCGCGGCAAACGCGGCCATCAGGTCCTATCGGAGGCAAAACCTGCGGGCCTCCCGTGCGAGCTCTAACCCCTCCGTCCACTCAAATCTGGCCAATCCCGTGACAGCTACGGAGGCTGATGTGCCTTGCATTCCAGCGCACCCGTCCGCTGGGTCGCCGTCACGCCCCCCAGTCGTCGTCTGCGCATATGTATATGTAGCCAGTCGTCGCCCCTCCAGCGCTCACGCTGCGGCTGCGAGCCACGCAGGAGAAGTCGTCACGTTGTGTGGGCGTCCGTCGTGGTGCACAGAGCTGAGAGCTCGGCTCGCGAGCACTCTCGCAGCTTCCATTTGCGCACACCCCGACGCCTGGATGTCACGCCCAGACTCCAGAGTCCCGGCCCGCCGCACGACCGACTCACCCAGCCTCGAGGCTACCGATGCCGGCGCCTCGGATTCGAACTAGCCCCAAAGCCGCTCATATTTCCGCTCCCCGACCCGGAGGTTTCTGCACGCCCCTCCGGACGGCTCGTATCTCGTTCGTGAATCGTCTCTGCTCCCCGTCCTGTGAGAGATGTCTTATCGACGTCAGGCGCCCGCCGGGGAACCGTCATTGCGAAGAAGCTCAACAACGTCTTCGTTTGCGTGGGCTTCCACAGCACCCGACTCCGCGATGGAGATGCTCCGGTGAGCACGTGGGTCCCGTTGTTTGCACGCTGTGGGAGTACTTGCAGTACGCTGCGTTCAGGAATCAGCGGCCCTCTCGCACTGGCGCAGCAGACCCCTAAGCTCGCATCTACCCACGCCGTGTTCATGGGATGCATGGAGCTGGCGGTGCACGCCGTTTCTGGTGCACGTTGTAATTGCGGCCGTGGGCACGAGAGCACCCGAGCATATGCCCTTCCGGCCGTCTCGTATCGATGCCACGCGAGTGAGAATGCCACGTGCGGCACCTCCTCCGATGCAGATCGCCTCGGGCGTCTCGTGCGCGATTGCGGCGTTGGCGTGTTGGGCAAGACCCGTGCGCGACATCAGGGGGTGGCAGTATAACAGTATAAGCAGCAGCGGAGAACGGAGCGAGGCGAGCTCGTCCCCGGGGTGTCCGACGGGCATCAACCTGCCTGGCTGCTCGCATCTCGTGGGCCCAGCGTCGCCATCAACGCACGCAGTGGCTGCTGCGAAGGCTCCCGGAGGTCGCTTGCGAACCCTCGGGGCCAGAGGCGTTTGGGCCCCTCGCAGGCGGTGTCACGTACCGCCACGAGCCCCTCGAGAGATTGCCCCGCTTTGGTGTCTATCTCGACATATCATGATGGGCCCTCGACCGTTCAGACACAAATATTCAAATTCGCCCGTCACATCACACCGTGCGAGAGGGCTAGAGGGAGGTCACACCCAGCCGGGGCGGCGTGCGAACGCGGCGGCGCCGAGCCCGGCCGAGAGGCGATCCGCGTCGCGGGGCGAGCGTGACCTTGCTTGCCTTAGACGCGGTTCCAGCGAGGGCTTCTGACCCGGTCCCTCCGCGCAGTGGACAGACGCCCCGCTCGCGCTCACTCCGGTGCGTCTGCACTTCAAATACGCCATGATTTGGGTCGCTGATCATCAGAGGACAGAGGACTAGCCCTGAGGCATGGGTGCCAAGTGGTGAGCTCGGAGCACGCCCCGAACCAGTCCACACGATGGGTGAGGAGACGGAGATGGAGTCCCGCTCTCGTTCTTGCCTTTGCGGCGTCTCTTCGCTGAACTTTGAACCTTGTGCTTGAAGCTTCGTGAAGACGACAACCGACAGGCCTAGGTCCGCGGATTCAGCGACTGAGCCTCCGATCTCAGAGCAGCCTTCCCATCACCTCCGATACTGCTGCCACGATCGGTCAGCCCGCCATACCCGCCAGACGCTCACCGCCTCCGCCCCGGCGCGCCGGACGTGCTCTCGCTCCCAGCCGGCGTGGTGCAACGCCTGTGGGTGAGGACGGCGAGGATCGTCGGGCCTTGGCAATACCACGCTACGCTACTGTCGTAGCGGGGCAATTGGCAATGCGCCCCGTGCCTCCACGCCCCGTTCGCCACGCTAGCCTCCGCAGGCTCCGGAGCCCAGGCGATTGCCGCACGGCAGTGCTGCTCTTTCAAACGCGGAACGTCCAGAGGATTTGACCATGTGGACGAGGGGTGATCACCTGTGCGCGTCCTGTCCGTGTGCGTGTTTTTTCCCTTTTCTTAACTTTGCAGAATAAGCAGCCTGACCCGTGCGGCGCAGCGATAGCAGGGCGGCTCTGGCCCTGGCCGCTCAACCTCCTTCGGCCGTTCCCTGAGGACGCCGCGGACGCTCAAGACGTTTATTCAGCCCCGTCTCGTACTCCCCCCAGCGGAGGGGCGCTGCGGCTCTCGGCACACAGCGGCGGCAAGAAAAGGCAGCCAGGGCGCTGTGGCACGAAATGATGTCGTCGCCGCCGTCCCTGGCGAGATCTCAGCCTGACACACCCCGACCCGCCCTTCCTTGCCACGCCACGACCCGACGCAACCCCGGCCCCACCAGCGCCCATGCCACCGACGCCGTCGCGTCTGCCGGCGGAGACCTGGGCTCCCTCCCGTCCTCGCCGCACGCTCGAGTGCGGTCGCAGTGGTCGTACAGGGTCCGGGGCCCGCTGCAACGACGACGACGAGAGCAATCGACGAGCCCGCCTCGCCGCGGGGCCCTCTTCGCCCCCGCCCTCGCCGTCGCACGTCCAGGCTGATGGAAACCACCGCACCCCCCGCACGTGGCGAGCTACAGCCACCGCTCGGGTCCGCGAGGGAAGGGGCGGGGGGCGGGGGGCACGGTTCGGGCACCGCCGCTGCAGGATGCGGATCGCTGCAGGCGTGCTTCTCGAGGAGCGGCGGGCGGGGAAGCGGAGGAGGCGGCGGGCGGCGGGCAGGCTGGCGTCGCCCGCTTCCATACACGGCGGGGAGCCGCGGTGGAATGGACGACGGGGACGGCGTCGCGAGGGTGCGTCTCGAACGTTTGAACTGACCCTCCGCCTTCGAGAAAGAGAAAGGGCCACCATCGGCACCCAGCGCCGCATGCACGCCCGCACGCCCGCGCCAACGGTCGTCCGAATCGCGCAATCGGCCTTCCTGCCCCCGGGGCGAACGTCCTCACCGCCGCCGCCCTCTGGTGCACTCGTCCGCGCATTTTCGCACTGACGAACTGCGTGAGCATGCTGTTCTGCGCTCTCTCTTCTCTTCGTTGATACCTGACGGGATGGCACAGCGGCAGGCCATCTCCACTCTCCCTCCTTCGCCGGTGCAGCCAGCGCCACGACCCCGCCGCATGTGAACGTGGTTAGTATCCCCTCTTGCGAACAACGAACCCAAACTGACCTTAGATTCTACCCTACCGTCTGCGACTGCGTTCCTGCCACAGTTGAGACGAGACACACTCCGAGTTGCGTGGTACCTGGCGCCACGCCCCGCACGCCCTTCGCTCTGTCCGTGACAACTCCACGGTATACAGCCGCACGCGCCCACACTCACCCACCCACTCCCTC